GAAAAACTGAAACGGAAAAACTGAAACGGAAAAACTGAAGCCGAAAGCCTGGAACTGAAAAACTGAAACTGAAAAGCCAAAACTGAAAAGCCAAAACTGAAAAGCCAAAACTGAAAAGCCAAAACTGAAAAACCGAAGCCGAGGGACTGAAGCTGAAACGCTCAAACTGAAAAGCTGAAACCGAAAGGCTGAGGCCGAAACTGAACGACTGAAACTGAAAGACGCAGACAGATACTGAAAAGCTGAAGCCGAAAAACTGAAACCGAAAGACTGAAACTGAAAGACCGAAGCTGAAAGACTGAAACTGAAAGACTGAAACTGAAAGAGTGAAACTGAAAGACTGAAACTGAAAGACTGAAGCTGAAAGACTGAAGCCGAAAGACTGAAACTGAAAGACTGAAACTGAAAGACTGAAACTGAAATACTGAAACTGAAAGACTGAAACTGAAGCACCAAGATCGAAAGACTGAAACTGAAAGACTGAAAGTGAAGCGCTGAGCCTGAAAGTATGAAACTGAGAGACCGAATCTGAAACGCTGAGCCTGAAAGACGGAAGCGAAAACGCTGAAACTGAAGCGCTGAAACTGAAAGACAGAAACTGAAGAACTGAAACTGAAAGCCTGAAACTGAGGAGCTGAACCTAAAAAGCTGAGAGGCTGAATCTGAAAAACTGAGGCCGGGGGGATGAAACTGAAAGGCCGAGGCCGAAGGCCTAAAACTGAAAGACCAAAACCAAGACGCTGAAACTGAAAGGCTGAACCCTAGACGCCGCACGTGAAGCGCTGAAGCTGAAAAGCTGAAACGGGAAGGGCCGGAGCTTTTAAGACTGCAGCTGCAAGGCTGGAGCCGAGGAGCTGACGCTGAAAGGCTGAAGCCGAAAGGCTGAGGCTGAAGGGCTGAAACTGAAAAGGCCGAAACCGAAGAGGCCGAGGCTGAGAGGCTGAAACTGAAAGGCTGAAGCTGAAAGGCTGAAACTGAAAGCAAGGCCGATCCTGAAGGGCTGAAGCTGAAGGGCTGAAACTGAAAGGCCGAAACTGAAAAGGCGAGCCTAAACGGCTGCGCCTGAAGGGCTGAGGCTGAAGGGCTGACGCTGAAGAGCTGAAACGAAAGCACCGAAGCGGAAGCATCGAAGCGGAAGCGCCGAAACTGAAGGGCCGAAACTGAAAAGCCAACACTGGAAGACTGAAGCTGGAAAACTGAAGCTGGAAGACTGAAAACCGGAAAACCAAAAGCGAAGGGATGAAACTGAAAGACTGAAACCGAAAGGGAGGCCAAGCCTGAAAGACTGACGGCGAAGAACTGAAAGGCTAACGCTGAAGGATGGAAGCGGAAAAACCGAAAAGCCGACGCCGAAAGACAGAAGCCAAAAGACTGAAACCAAAAGGCCGAAGCCGAGGCGCCGAATGAAAAACCGAAGCGGAAAGGCCGGAGCCGAAGCGCCGAAGCCGAAAAAGGAGAGCGGAAACGGAAGCGCCGAAGCCGAAAAAGAGAGGCCGAACCTGAAAAACCGAAGCCGAAAGAGCGAAACGGAGGGGCCGAAGCTGAGAAACTGAAACACCGAAGCAACGAAGCCGAAGCGCTGACACTGAAGCGCCGGGGCCGAAAGACTGAAGGCGAAAGCCGAAGCCGAAAAGCCTAAGCCGAAGGACTGAGGCTGAGAAAACGAATCTGGGAGAGGTGACTCCGAAAAGCTGAAACTGAAAGACCGAAACTGAAGGGCCGAAACTGAAAGGCCGAAACTGAAAGGCCGAAACTGAAAGGCCGAAACTGAAAGGCCGAAACTGAAAGGCCGAAACTGAAGAACGGGAACGGAGAGGCCGAAGCTGAAGCACTGAAACTGAAAAGCTGAAACTGAAAAGCTGAAACTGAAAAGCTGAAACTGAAAGGCTGAAACTGAAAGCCTGAAACTGAGAGCCTGAAGGCCTGAAACTGAAGGCCTGAAACTGAACGCCTGAAACTGAAGCGCCGAAACTGAAACGCCGAAGCTAAAAGACTGAGACTGAAACTGAAAAACCGAAACCGAAAAACTCAGGCGGAAGCATTGAAGCTGAAGCAGTGAGGCCGAATGACTGGGGCTGAACAGCTGAAGCGGAGGGGCTGAAGCTGAACGACTGAAGCGAAAGAGCTGAAGCAGAAAAGCTGAAACTGAAAAACGGAGCCCGAAAAACTGAAACGGAGAAACTGAAGCGGAAAAACTGAAACGGAAAAACTGAAACGGAAAAACTGAAACGAAAACACGGAAACCGAAAGACCGAAGCCGAAGGAATGGAACTGAAGGGCCGAAGCTGAGAGGCTGACTTTCGGCTGAAGCTGAGGGCCCTAAGCTGAAAGACTGAAACGGAAAGGCGGAAACCGAAAGACTGAAACTGAGGGGCCCAAACTGAAAAACGGAAACGGAAGAACTGAAGCCACGCTAAAACGGAAGCGGTAAACCGAAAAGCCGGAGCCGAAAAGCCCAAAACCGAAAAACCCAGACGGAGAGGCCGAGACGGAAGGCCTGAGGCTGAAGAACTGAAACGGGAAGGCTGAAACTGAAGGGCCGAACCTGAAAGACTGAAACCGAAAAGCCGGAAGACCGAAGCCGAGAGGCCGGGCCCCAAGGCCTGAAGCTGGGAAACCGAAACAGAAGCGCCGAGCGTGAAGAGTTGGACCTGAATAGCTGCAGATGAGAGGCTGAAACTGCAAGACTGACGCGGAAAAACTGACACGGAAAAGCCGAAGCCGAAAGGGTGAAGCCGAAAAGCCTGAACGGAGAGGCGGAAGATAAGCGACTGAGCCTGAAGCGCTGAAGCTGAAACGCTGAAGCTGAAGGGCTGAGCCTGAAAAACTCCAGCCGAAAAACGGAGCCGGAAAGGCTGGAACTGGGAAAAGAAATGCGCCGGAAGGCTCCCCGGCTGGGGTTGAAAAACTGAAGCCGAAAAACCGAAAGCGAAGCGCCAAAGTGGACGGAGAAAACTGAAGCGGAAAGACCAAGGCCGAAGGACTGAAGCGGAAAAACGGAGAGCGGAAGACAGACGGAAAAAGCTGAGTCCAAACGACTGAAGTTAAAAAACCGGGGCCGAAGCGCTGAAGCTGAAAAACTGTAGCCGAGGCTCTGGGGCTGAAGCGCGGAAGCTGAAAAACTGAAACGGAAACACCGAGGCGGAAGCGCTGAAACAGAAGCGATAGGAAGAGAGCGAAAAGACAGAAGCGAAAGCCCTTGCGCTGAAAACTCGACAGGAAACCGGAGCAGACGATAGGGCCGAGCGGCTGAAGCTGAAAGACTGAAGCCGAAGGCGGAGGGCTGCAGCGTGTGCGGGGGGGGCTGGAACAGAAACAACGAGACGCACGGCGGGGAGGACAAGAAACGAAGCGGAGAGGCTGGCGCCGGTGGTGAAGGCCTGGGGCGAAAAAACTGAAACGAAAAGCCGCAGGCCGGGGGGCTGCGGCTGAAGAACAGCAGCCGAAGGACTGAAGCCGCGAGAGTGCACCCAGGAGGCGGGCGCAAGGAAACAGGAGCCGAAAAACCGACAAGCAAAAAACAGCACTGAAAACCCAAAACAGAAAATCTACAACGGAGGAGAAGGGAACCGCGGGGCGCAAAGCAGGGCCGCCGCGCTTGGTTTGGCGCGCATCGCTTGGCCGCTCGTGCCTGGCCTGAAGATTTCAGGCTGGAGACCGAGGGCCAGCGCTGTAGCGTGAGGGCGGACGCCGAAAGCGAGAGCGCCGCCGCGGAAGAAGTGGCCCAATCATTCAAGCCGCAAAACCGCTCCGGGCACTCCGACTGCGGAGCCGGGCCCGGCGTGGCAGGCCGGCCGCCGAGAAACGGAGGAAAGCGGGACGCCGCGCTCTCGGCAAAGCGCGAAGCGGACTACGGAGCCGGATGGCCGTCGGGCCATCCGCGACTACGGCGCAGGCGCAGCGACTGGCCCTGGCGCGTATCAGCTTCGGCGCCTGAACGGTCGCAAAGGGATTGGCCGCATCGGATCCCACCGCTGCACCCGGACAAGTCTGCTCCCACAAGTGTGAGGCCACCCGCCGCGACTCGTACCTAGCGGGTCTTTTGTTCGTCGACATATGCTTTTTTGGTTTCTCTTCGTACAACAGCGCACGCCCCCACCCTGTGTTCATGCCACAGGAGTGCTGTGCTGAATGCTTTCATTCTTTCATTGGACAGAAGGTTATTTGAACAAGATCAAACTTTTTGTGCAAATCGTGGACAATATTAATCTCCATGTCAGAGAAAGTGAAAGATCCAAGAAAAATCTTTGTTCTCATGGATAACCATCTACTAAGGGGCTGTCCCGAGTAAAGATAACTCTTCGGAGTCTGTCGTCTCTTGATTTTCTTTTATGCAATGTCATCTGCAAAGGAAGTCACAGAGATCTCGCCTGGTTTTGAGCTTTGATTAATGTCATCTGCAAAAGAAGTCACAAAGATCTCAGCTGCGTCAGATGCCTCCTCCACACCAGCAAAAGACATTACGCGATCTTCAATCTGCTTAAGTGCGTTCCAGGGAAACGTGATCACGCGATCTAAGATCTGCACTAATTTGCGGCATCAAATAAAGAAATTACGCGATCTTCGATCCACTCTCGATCGATAGTGATTTATTGTGCTGTTTCACTTACGGATGAATAATTGAAATGCACAAGATCTTCGTGCTCTTAGAGGAGATTGAACAAAAGGATCAGGCATGCAGCAGCACCAGCATCAGAATAAGATCCAGAATATGAACATCAAGATTCATGTGGTAAAACTGCAACCACAAGTAATATTAGAAGAACTTGGTCATTGGTCCAACTTGATTGTTTATCGTCTTCCAAAAGGGATTCCATCACGCAGTCAATTCACCAAAGTTGATTCTAATTCTTGGTGAAAAAAAGTCTAAAGTTGCGACGTTCATCATCATCTCCTTCTCCACCATCCCAACGACAACAGGATTTTTTGTATTCTTGAAACTAGGAAACTGAAAGACTTTCTAGTATTCTTACCAAGTCCATCTTGCATATCTTGATGATTCATCAACTAAACTGTATTGGCGTTTTGGAATAACTTGAGGCATACTTCTGAAGCACGGTTTTTGGACACTATTTTTTCTACTTTGCATTTATATTTGTTTTGACCTAGTTGTACCCGTTTTGGAAGGATCACTGCGTATTCTTTGGGACACAGATAAGAAGCTTTTAAGTAACCATAAGTCACACGATAGGTTGCATGAGACTCATACACGTTCTTTTCTCGCTCTCTGATAATGTTTTTACTTGCATTCTAGATAAAAGATGATGGTAGCGCTAAGCACTAAAATATTCGTGGACGAAGAATCTATGGCTGATATCCTCAATCGCAGTGCAGGTCTGAATCAAGCAGCAGTTGTTCTCTTCTGTAAGGCTTCGTAATGCTTCTCTTTTGTAAGAGTTCGTAACTTCTTGGTTGTTAACTTCTAGAGGCTATCCTTGCCTAACCTAATGACCTCTGAAGACCTTAGTTTTGCTTCTGGGTCTGTCATACACACAGATATCCACACTTATACTGAAACTTGATTCTGCAGAGGCGTCATTATACCCATAGTTATTTTTGATCCACGATATTAGTGCATAGTTACTGTGGCAGGATTGTCGGACTGGAAATCGTCAAAGCCAAAATACGCATATAAGCAGATCATTGACTTAATATTTGAATAGAAAATATAGTTGTCGATGAACATATACTCGTCGAAATCTTTTACACACTAAGATTTGAGGTATCTTCAACACACACAAAGACAGTAAGAGTAAATGAGTAGTATCGAATAAGCCTGAACCCGCCTCTCGTCCTGCAGTTTTAAACCTCAATATACTTTTTATACATTCGTTCTATTATTTGCTACAATAAAAAGTCCTATTTTTACCTCAACATACCTCGATAATCTTAAGTAAACGTGCTTAGTCATCCCTACAACGTCGTCGTTCTGGCACACCCGCATCCGACAAAATGCCGGAACGCACGCAAGATACGTACGACTACAAGCTGTTCAGCCCAGCGCTGATCAGTTTCCTCTTTTTTTTCGGTAGCGTATTGATTTGTCTGATTGTAGTTTTCTTCTTGCGTTTGCAGCAAGAGAAGCGTCGTATTGGCGGTATTGGTTTTGGAGGAGGAGATGTGAACCAGAACAGCCGTTTCCATGGTCGCGTCCGTTGTTGGTTCGGCACTTGGATGTTAGCACTGATCTACTGTTTTTTCGGGTATAACCAAATCTTGATGGTTTTACTCTGCTACACCATTATGAACGCGCGTGAGCTGCACACCTTCTTGGACTTCTTAGCGCAATTACCGTTCGGGAACCCGAAATTGCTACCAATTACGAACGGCTTTTTCGGCTTGAACCTATGTGCCAGTCACGCAGATTTTGAGCATCCCAAGGACGTTTCGCCGGACAATGGAGAAACCTTCACGAAAATCCACTTTTGGCCTGACGAGCCTGCGTCCTGCGGTTCGAGTGGAGAAATCTCCAGCGATACGCACGCTTACTTTCGTCACCTCCAAGTGATGAACATCTATTGGGGAGTGGCCTTATTCACCTTGATGTTGTGGCTACGATACGGAAAAGTGCTGAAGAATATGCTGTGCTACAAACCAGGAAGTTTGAAGGAATGCACGAATGTTCTCATTGGTAGTGGAGGTATTGAACCTGGTGGAAGTGGCGAATCTTCTTCCGTTCTTGATACGACCACAACTGTGGACAAAAAGATGACGCTCTCGCAACTGTGGAAGTTTTACCTCGAGGCTGAATGTGTCGAAGTACATCTTGTCCTCCACGATCAAAGTGACGACCAAAGTGCTCACAAGGCTAAGGTCCGCTACTTGGTTCACGACAGCACCAGGTTCGTGTACAGTACTGAAACTGAAACGTTCGTTGATCCGCAGAGCTATCCTAAAGGCGGCCACTGGATTCGAGAATTGTATTCGCAGAAAGGTGCAGCTGTGGAAAATTTGGAGCAATTCAACTTCTATGGCGGTCTTGAGGGAGAAGGTATTCTTTTCATGATTGTTTAATAACGCGATGTTGAAAATTATTTCAGGTAGAAGAAGTAATGGTGGTTATTCAGCGCGCTTCAACTCTTTGAAAGATTTGGGTATATTTGCTGTTCTTTACACTTCCATTTGGATGAAAAATATTGCACACGCCAAATTGTCAATATCAGATTCTCATACCGCCAATCCCGATCCTTCGCTTGTCTTTGGGCGCAACGTCTTCGCCTTGATGGAAGAGAAGAAGTCTTGGCTCGGCTGTTTGGCTGACCAAGTGTTGACTCTTCCCATGGTCATTTCCTTAATGGGCATGTATTACGTGTTTATGAGTTTGATTTTACCCGCCATGTTCTTCATGATCGGCATCGCCATGGCCTTTGCCGTCACGGGAGCTTGCGAGGACTACAAGGAGCAAAAAGAATTGTTGTCGATCTTGGGGAAAAGCAATCAGGGGACGAAGGTGAAAAGAATTGTTCCCGTCGCTTCATCTGCGGATGCAGAGGTAGAAGTCAAAGACTTAGTGCCAGGTGATGTTTTCGAGCTTCCTCACAACTACGAAGAGACCAACAGTGGACAACACTTCACAATTCCCTGTGATTGCGTTCTACTCAGTGGTAGTTGTTCGGTGAACGAGGCAAGCTTGACTGGAGAAGCTGTCGCGATTCGCAAATTCGCAGTTGAAGGGTCGGTGTTTCAGGACACCACCACCGATCCAGCCCATTTGATCTTTGAGAAGGCGAAGAAGAAGTACTTACTCTGTTCAGGGGTTACGGTATTAGAAGCGCAGAAGGATTGCGTGTGTTTAGTGCTGAAAACTGGAGGATCCACTAAGAAAGGCGAATTAATCAAACTGTTGACTTCTTCCAATGGTGCTGACGAAGTTTCGCGGAACAAGGTTTTCAACATCGAGAACGAATCTTGGAAGCTGATCCTGATGTTATTTGCCCTTTCGATTCTCGCTCGCATTCCGCAAGCTATGCAGTGGCATGCGCAGGGTATTCTGCTGAAGCAACGGGCAAAGCTTGTTGCGAAATTGATCGAGGACTTCACGTTTTTGCTGAGTCCGATCATGCTCTCTGCGATGCAGGAAGCAACACGTATTGGTTGTAAAGGCTTGCAAAAAAGGTTCGTCAACAGTCGTAACGCGCGCAACTTACCGGTTGCAGGAGCCTTGAGTGTGCAGTGCTTCGATAAGACGGGGACGATCACGAAAGAGGGTCTGGAGTTGGAAGAAGTGGAAAGTGTGGTTGTTGGGCATCCTCTTGGAGGTGGTGCGGCAAATCCACCTACAAAGAACAGCTTGTTCACGATGGACCAGCTACTCGAGATCGGCTTGGCTACTTGTCATACGGTAACGCAGCTGAAAGATGGCACTCACGTGGGCAACCAAGTTGAACTGGAGATGGTGAAACGCGCGACGAAGATCAAAGACGAAAAGATGCATGGGGGTGCTGCATGTGACTCTCGGAACACTCGTACAACAAAGACGTTGCGTCAATTCGAATTCGATCAGCATTCTCAATTGCAGTCTTGTCTGGTGGAAATACAAACTTCAATTGAGCTCCGTGGCACAGCAACTTCCAAGACCATCCTCTTCGTCAAGGGTTCCGTGAAACGTATCGTTCAGAAGTGCAACCCCAACTCGGTGCCCCTCGATTTCGAACAGACAGCTGAAGAACTTGCCATGGATGGATTCTATTTAGTTGCTATGGCCATGAAATCATTTGACAACTTCGACAACACTGACGCGGCAAATATCGATCATACCTTGCTTCAACAGCAGCTTCCTCGTGAAGACCTCGAAAAGGACCTTACCCTTTTAGGACTGTTGAAGTTTCGCAATGAGATCAAGCCGGACTCGCGTGAGGTGATCAAGATGTTGAAGAAAGCAGAAATCGCTACGCAAATCATTACCGGAGACAACGTGTGGGCTGGCGTGAACATTGGTCGTGAAAGCGGCATCATCGATGCGGAGAATGACTATGTCTTGGTTCTGGATGCAGAACCTACTCATTTTGGAGGTTGTGCTGGACATGGAGGACGCCGTCATTCTCATAGTCGAAAGTCCGGAGCAGGCAGTCTTCACCATCCAAACACTCAGTGCAAGAGTTTAGAACAACAGGAGCATGAACGAACTCTGCGTCGTTCTAGTGCCGTTCAGGAGGACTCTTCAACTGACGATGCGAGTGGTGCGTCGACCTCAGAGGAGGACGAAGACGATGGCTTTGTCATTCAAGAACATCCTCTGTTGAAATTACATCTGGTGCGTCCTGTTGCGGGTGGACATGCTAGTGCGTTTTACGGAGAGGAAAGCAAGCATGAAGACATTCTCCATGTTCTTCGAGAGGAAAGCAAGCATGAAGAAATTCTCCATGTTCCGGAAGAACAAGGAGCTCTCTTGGGTATGGAAGAACAGGAGCAAGCGTCTCTCTCCCATTGGCGATCTTCTCCAGAACATCAACAAGCTGAAGCACTCTTTCGTCAGTTCACCATGGAGAAAATTGAAGATACTAAGAACCTCCAGCCTCGCACTGGGACAAATGGTATTCAAAACAAGAAGAAACACTCTATCGACTCTGTCAAGCCTTTCACCCTTCAAGATGGTACCACAGTCCGTTTTGTGGTCACGATGGACGCCTTTTCGCAGATCCGCTCTGCCTCTGCTGCTGCTCAGGAAAATAGTACGACACAGAACAATTTCCTCAACCACATCATCGAACATCATGCTGAAAAGGACGCAGAGGACCCAAGTGCCTCTCCTTGGTTTCACAAATCTCCCATGTTTTGGGCTGCTTATATCAACAAGGAAACTTCTTCTCCTTCTCAGTCTGCTGCAGCATCAAAGACGACGGCCACACCTGCTTCTTCCACATTGTTGTCTCTCCTGTACCCCAACACTGCAGTGCTTGGTAGTATGACGCCAGTGGGGAAAGTGCAAGCTGTGGAGTACTGGCAAAAGGAGGAGCTCTTCGGAACTCAGGTTGTCGGCATGTGCGGGGACGGTGGAAATGACTCCGGAGCCGTGAATGCAGCAGATCTGGGATTGGTGCTGGCGAATAATGATGAGGATGACAACACTGCTGGAAGTGGAGGTGACAACACCTCTCAGGCGAAAGAAGCTACTTCTTCTTCTCCGTCCACCTCCGCCAACGAAATTTGTCTTCTAGCTCCCTTCTCTGCACAAACCTCTTCCCTGATTTCTCTCTTGTACTTGATTGAGGGTGGCCGCTGTGTTTTAATGAATGGTCTGGGCGCGGTCAAGTTGTTTCTAGCTTTTGGTATTTCCCGTTGCTACGCTAATTTCTTGATGGACATGGTGCGTGGCTGGCGCAGCGAGGCCTTCCAAATGCTTGACACTTTCGTGGTCATGTTCTTCCTCAGTAAAGCTGTAGTCAAATGCAAGGTGCCCTCGAACTGGTCTGCGAAGTTGGGTGGATACAAGCACGTGGCGAAGATTATGATGGACAAGAAAAGGACTCGTAACCCATACCTCCCAAACCTCACTCCTGACAAACCGGAATTGAGTTTGTGGCGTTTAAGTGTGTGGATCGACGTTTTCTACGGACAGGTGCTTTTCGTGGTGGCTTTGTTGGTGTTTGTGCTGTTCCCGCATGTGCTTTTCGGATGGACTCTCTCTTCGAGCCCTACCACAACTACCATCCCAGCAGCTCCAACAGACACCAAAACCCATTACCGTCTTGCTTGGGACTGGTTCCGCTTCCCTGAGCGATGGACCGAGTTGGATCAGCAGAACGATTTCGCAGTAGGCTACGCAATCGGGACTGACACCATGACTCAGAGCACTGGAGTCGCGGCAAACCTGTACAACATTGCGTTTTATACCATGTTGTTTGGTGTTGCTGTTTCTTACTCCCTTGGTGGCAAATTTCGTGCCAGCATCTGGAAAAACTGGACCGTGCATGGTTTCTTCGTGTTTTTCATGTTTCCCTTCATGTTCTTGCTTGGGTTGTTTTGGCCACAGACGGTGCTTGGGTCGATCATGCGTGTAAACATCGACAACCGCACTGCGAACAATCCAAGCTGGTACTTCTACGACATCTTGGGCTACTTAGCCGTACGATTCCAGCAGTGGCCGGAAGGAGATGAAATGAGTGGAGGAAAAGTGTGGTTTTTTGAGCCGGATGTTGGGGAGTCAAAGTTCCTATTGGAGAAGACGACGGAAGCGAGGTTTGCGGCAGGAATCGTTGGTCCCGAAGTAGAACAACGTCTAAAGCAGTTGAAGAAAGTCCAGGACACGTTGCCCAGTTTCTGGCCAAGCAGTATGGTGACAGACGAAGAGTACGACAAAACAATTGGTCTTTCCTCTCTGGCGGACTCCCAAAACTACTTCTACAATTTGAACTTCGACTTTTCGCGTCCTTTCGTATGGACTCCGGAGAAAATTCAGCAGTTGAAGGACTTATGGCATGAGGGGAAACATGCTACTACGGGGAAACAAGGCTTGTTAGCAGAAGGCGGTGAGTCCTACAACATGGAAGTTGCGGTGGAGTCAAATTTTCTCAAGAATTTGGTGTTTCATTTTGGAGGAGATCCTGGGAATGAGACAGCAGTGAAGGTGGGGCTGTATGGTGCTATGGCTACGCTGCCAGCTGGGGTGGAAAAAGAACTCATCTTTGGTGGTGCAGCCTCGAATTACGGAGATAAACTAGGTGTCAGTTTAGACGGGAAGAGGCAGCAGCTTGAGCAGAAGATTGGTGTTGCGGCGACCGGCGTTTCGGGTGGACAAGAAAATGGTACAACTGCTACTACTGGAAACACCAACAGCCAAAAGAAGTGGGAAATCAAGCTTTCTACAGTACCTTTGCAACTAAACCGTGCCCAGCAGCCGAATAGCAACAAAGTACCAGTGAATGTCTTTCAGGTTGGCGTGGAAGTGGAATTCACTCGCCTCATCTCGCCTCCAAATAGCACTGCATCCGTTGCACCAGTCCCAAAAAGTAATGGCAATCTGATTCGTCGTCGTGGTGCTTTGAGCAACAACAGTACTGGTAACACTACGTCTTCCCCACTCACTGGAGGAGCATCGTCAACGCAACGACAAGCACAACTACAGGGTGACAATCTTCTTCAAGACAAAAGGGAGGTTCTCTTCATGTGCCAAGAGCTTTGCCTGGCGTCTGTGCAACTGCAAGATGGCGGTGACGGCGGGGAATTGGGTCGGTTTATGTGTCATTGGATTGGTATGCGTTACACTTCTTCTGACAACAGTGGTGGCAACAACAATGATAACCACAACAAGAAGCATTCTTGCCTTCTCTTCCCCCGTTTGAGTGCTGACACCAAGGTCGCTCTTGGTCCTGAGTTAGCTGGATACGTGCGTGACCAATTTCAACGCCGCAGGAACTACTCTCAACAAGAAATTGACTCGTTCATTAATGGGGTCGCGGTGAAAGGGATGATCAGCATCAGCTCTGCTAGTCCTAGCAGTGGGGTTGCTGCTGGAAATCCAACGAATACAGTAGACACCTCCTTTCGTCTCTGGTACATGAATCGGTCTGCAGTACTCGGATGGCAACCGCGCTCCCCCAAGGACGAGCTCGATCGCCACAATCCAGGCAAATACCGCGATTTGCGCTACGCCTTCTTCTTCTCTGGGATGATGCTCTTGCTGGTCGGAGTGTTGTGTCTTGGAAGGGCATTGAAGGATGCGTACTGGAAGTGAGGAGCACTCATTTTCTTTGCACGTTCTTGCACACAGCTGCTTTGGATGAAAAGTACAATGAGAAGGGCGTATTAATGTAGGGCTAAGTACTTCAACCAGAATCTCAAAAGAACTGATTTTCTCGAGAAGGAGAGTCAAGATGTCGAGAACAAGATGTTCTTGAGAACAAGACGCTGAGGGCTTTGCGCGTTTTCTTTCTCAGTACGATGCATCGGCATCCTTCCATCAACCTCTACTTCCGACCAGAATATCTATATTTAAGACTAACTTGTCATGGGCGTTGTAATTGTATGTTCTTGCTGAAAAAAGTTGGAGTATTACGACGATTGAAAAGAGAACAGGTACAGGAGATGAGGGGAATCATGACGAAAGCTCCCATGTATATCATGAAAATCGGAGATGGTTCTTTTTCCTTAGACTACTACGATCGTGACCGCATGCCAATAGGAGAAGGAGGGGAGTTCTATGATGAGTAAAAGAAGATCTCTCACGAAAAAGCCTTGCTTTGTCGTTTTGGAAACGCAAGGAAAACTGATGAAGCGATGAATATGTGCATGAATCATGATCTTCACACACATAGTAAGAAGCAGAGGAGCTAAATGCGACGCTGCCTAAGAGAGCGTTGAATGATAAGGAGCAAGTATTGATGATAAATGCTGCGTTGTGTAGAACAACCTAGGCTATGACGTCTTTTTTGCGTAGATGAAGATGCACAACTTCTGCGGTGGTGATGTTGCTGACCCGATCTCTGTTACTGACCCGATCTCTCCCTCTCTTTCGACCTATGCAACTTGCCTCAGAAGAGGCCATACTTGACATCATAGATGTTTTTCAAACACCACACATAAGCACACGCGATTGACCCCCTGTTAGTCTTCAAGGGTAGTGGGAATTTTGCGTGTTCGAACTGGTCGCTGACCTCGGCGTAGGTTTTCGCTTATGATGTTTTTTTACTACACTGGATAGCATTTTTCCTATTCTAATATCTTATTTGAGCGTTGTTGGTGTATTTTGAATGCACCTGCGACAGGGTTTGTTGTGGCGCATCTGATCTTGCACTTGAAACTGCCGCCAGAGAGAAGATTGAAGGAAAAAACGCTTTTACAGAGTTTAGTCCCGATAGAGATGGAAGTGGGAAATGTGCGCAACAGTGAACAGTGATGATTAAAACAAGGACTGACTCAGGTACTTACAAAAGTCGTGGTTTTCCTAGAAAAAAACTGTTTTCAGCTCCTAAATATATTATTGTCGTAGAAGGGGATGAAGCCGGTGGAAGAGGTGTGTCACTGTATGGTACGGTGGATTGGTCGGGTAACTCTTGAGCAAAATCAGCTACTTCAGGATTAGCTATCTCCGTTTCTCGTCTTTAGAACAAAAGAGTCTTTAGAACAAGAAAAGAGTGATGAATTACAGCGAGTTACAGTTCTGGATCTATGAAAGATTAACAAAATGATTATGTTTCACCGTCACCGCCTCTCTGCGATATCCTCTGCACTGCTATGGTATCGGTACTGCAGTTCGCTGGAGACCGTCTTTTCTGTGGCCGGGGGACAAGAAGATGGTGCAAAAGATGTCGTTCCTGATGAAGCTGCGACGACCTCTGTTCTTGAACCGGTGGAAGGCGATACAGGAGAAGATCAAGCAGATAAAAATAGCAGATTTAAATCCTCATCCTCCACTACTAGTACTAGGACGGCTACGACGTCTATCCCTGACGAAAGTTCAGGACCCACTGTTGAGCGTTTTATCGTGAGACCGAGAGGGGGACGTCGGAAAAGGGCATCGATTCGTGCAATTGACACTTCGCGTTCCCGCTCAGCAGTGGGTGGTGGGAGACCGAATCCAGAAGTATTACCTCCTTCTCCTGAGGTGGAGGTAGGAGTCCAACAACAGAAAGGTGATCAAAAGCGTAACGAGGAAGAAACCAGTACGTCTCGCCGTCAACCTTCCACTTCTGCTCAGCTGCAACAAGCAGAACAACGAAAGATACAAAAAGTCGACAAGCAAAAACGAAAAAGATTTGGCACACCAGAGGAAGATTTTGGAACTAAATTAGAGCGTTTGGGTCGACGCGTTGCTCTCTTGGCCTTAATGGGCAACGCTTTGGCCGGTAGACAAGGCCATGGAACTGGGCAACGGGCTATTCCATCTCCAACATCCACGTCGACGTCAGGAAGCTTGTCCACTTCCTCTTTGAACAGTCTACGTGCCTATCGACGACGGCCAGTGGCGGCTCGTGCAATGGCAAGTCGCGATGGATATCCGCATCATCAGAGTGCTCCTCCTGGTAGTTTTTTGAAAGGAGCTAATTTCTTGTAGTCACGTGATGTAAGAATTGGTGGCGAGGTCCCCATTAAGGTCTATGAAATGACTCGTGGCCCTACTTCTATGCCAAGGAAATCTTTGGCACGATCGTGTGTAATCAAATCTAGTAGACCCTTGTACATTAATAACTTAGCTTTTAGTGTCAGACACTAGTATAGTACTTGTACTTGTTGTGAATAACAGAGCGTTATGCTCGTCTCTTCGACGCACATGAACATGAGATCTTGTAGAATTATGCGTCCGCTAAAATGCAAACGTTGATTAAAACTATTCCTAAGCAGTTTCTTACTCGGGAATTGGAAATCGCTCGAACTCCGTGGGTTGTGAACGAAGACTCTATTGCTGGTTTATGTCGTGCCTAACGGAACAGAATCTGCATCGGTGCATCGGATTGTCCTCGTTATTGATGTGCTCGCGAGTACATGTGAATCGGTATGAATGAAAGCGTAAGATGAGCAATACCGACGTATAGTTGACGCGTCTCTATCAAAAGTTCCTTCTGTCAATCGGTTGAATCTCGGTCGAATCTACGATGTCCCGATTAGCCCGTTCCCGCGCATGTCAAAAGCAAGATTAGAAACGTAGGCCTCATGCTGTTTTGAAAAAATAGTTAGAATTCGTTCTCAGCAGAACAAGAACAAGAAGATTGTCATCGATAGGTAATTGAATAGACGCCCTCAGAGGCGATCACCACGTCCCCTGTACGGCCTCCTTGGGGCACAAGTGTTAAAATGGTCGCTGCATCGACGTTCACCTCCTTTGTCGAAGAAGCCTCGACAACTACCCTTCTCAGTGGAGGGTCTTCTCGACAAATTGGTGGTCCCCAGTCTACGATGGAGATAGTCGACAGTGAGCTCGGCAGAGCGCACGTCGACAGCATTATTGGGAGAGCAAGGGACACCGGTGATGCAGCAGAAGTACAACGCAGTCTGCGTGGTTTTCTAAGGGAGTATGCCAAAGCCAGGCGGACTCTGGTGAAGGGTGCTGAGCCTAGCTTTGTGGGCATGAAGCGTGGTGCTGCGATGCTTTACAGGTCTGTGAACGAAGAACAAGTCGCGCGTGTCGCGAAAGAAAAATTAGAAGCTGCTTCATCTGGCGTGAACAAAACAGATGAAAGAGCGTCTCCAGTGAATGATACTGATCGTCTAGCAGCAAAACGACGTAGACGTCGTGATCACCGCGCTCTAGAGCGCATGTCCGCTAGTGCCAGTGGCCTCGCTAGTCTGCTACGCGAAGCTAGTGCCTCGATCGATCACTTGCAAACACGTCTGGTCGAGTTGGTAAAACAAGGGTTAGCAACGACTACGAGGGAACACTTTTTCGACGTGTTTCAGAATGGGTCAGTGCAATCCGCTTCTATGATTGAGATCCCTCCCGACGGTGGGAACAATGGACACGCCACGACCAGTTTGGTACAGTTAAAGTCTTCGCATGGAACTACGGATAATCAATTAAGGCTACAAGCAAGAACGGTAGAAAGTGGATTTCCTTTCATCAGAACTTTTTTTTCCTGTTTTCGTCATACTCTAAGTCAATGTCTTTGCGCAGGACCTTGTGGGCGACATCAGGGTGCTAGCTTCTCTTGGTGCGTCGTTGATCCAACGAGTGCATGTGCACTCAGTCTCAAAGGGGCCAACATTGGAGATCCGACGTTACGCGATCACAGTCTCTACACGACTCAAAGTGGCCAAGACACGCCGGTCGTTTCGGAAATGAAAGATGTTATTAAGGGCCTCACCTCTGTATTGTATTGAAAGTATGCAATCAGTGTGATTTATCTTTCGTAGGTACTCTACGAAGCTGAAGCTTGTGAAGTATCTATATTGATGTACTTAGCTCTCGTTGTACTTCTTTCAAAATGAAAAATGATATGGGAGGACAAGTGACATGATCCTCTTAAACATCTTTCTCTAAAAGATCTGGTCTCGTTCCTTCGGGTCGAGTTTGGGACTATTGCGTGGCAACGGTACAGCCCAGTCCCTACGGCAACGGTACAACCCACAACACGCCTGCTTGGTGGCACCGTCTACCCGAACCAACAGCACACGGTTGTGAGTGCTCTACAGATAGTCGCGCTACACTTTTGGCGAAGTATGATCCCTCGGCGCACCCAGAGTTTGCTTTCCCAATACGACCAGATCTGCGGAATAAGCAGATTGAAGGAGGGGAGGTGGTCACTGGAGGTGGAGGTGGTAAGAATCATGTCGTACAGGGAGTGGTTGTGCAAGGGCAGCAGCAGGATCAGCCGTCATCTTCTTCAGTAGAAGAGCAGCAGGATCAGCAGCCATACTCTTCAGCGCACGGGAGGGAGGATCAGGAGCAGAATGGAGAGGCGTCTTCCTCAGCACAAGAGCAGCAGGATCAGCAGCCATACTCTTCAGCGCACGGGAGGCAGGATCAGGAGCAGAATGGAGAGGCGTCTTCCTCAGCACAAGAGCAGCAGAAAGGGAAGCAAGATCAGCAGTCACTTTCTTCCGCACCGAAGCAACAGAACGAAGAGTCATCTCCTTTAGCAGAAGAGAAGCAAGAGGAACAAGGCCAGTCAGCTGCGTCACATGTGGGGCAGAAGAATGATCAGCCATCTTCTCCAGCACCGGAGCAGGGGTTATCTTCTCCAGCACTGGAGGAGCCGTCATCTCCTTTGGCGCAGGAGGAGCCGTCTTCTCCTTTGGCACAGGAGCAGGAGACTGAGCCGTCATCTCCTTTGGCACAAGATGAAGGTCAGCAGCTCAATGGTGATAGTGGAGCAAGTGAAGATGGTGCTTTCGACAACAAGAATGCACAAGCGCAACAGGATCAGCCGTCGTCTTCGTCTAGTATGTTGGAGGTGGCACGACGAATGAATAGTACTAGAACTCTGGGACGTAGAAATTCGAAGCTTCCTGGAGGACAAACGGATTTTGCGTCAGGAGTTCCTCCACTTCCTCCTCCTCAAGATGGTGATGCCGCGCCTCCTGATGATCCTCCACCCGCGCCTCCTGATGATCCTCCACCTGTTCTTTCTCCTCGTGGTCCTCCTCGTCAAAATGGTGATGCCGCGGCTCCTGTTGGTCAGCCACCTGTTCTTTCTCCTCGTGGTCCTCCTCCTCAAGATGGTGATGCCGCGGCTCCTGTTGGTCAGCCACCTGTTCTTTCTCCTCGTGGTCCTCCTCCTCTTGAAGAGGGTGGTGCCGCGGAGAAAGCCGTAGGGGATGCACAGGCTCCCGTCCACGAAGAAAGCAATGTGGATATCGAAGATAATGATGGTGGAGACGCTCCTGGCGCTCCTAGTACAGACCAGGACTCTGGAGTTGTAGGAGAGAATTCGAGTCATGATGGGGAAGAGAATCCTAATAATCAACATCCAAGAACAAATGGTTCCTCTGATCAGACAGAGGAAAGTCAGCACAAAAGTTCAGCTGCAAATAATACTGCTACAGAGTCGGAGGACAATACTGCAGACCAACAAGATTCGTCTTCTCAACAAAATGAACCTACGGCCGGACAGGATGCGCCTCATTCTGCTCCAGGAGAGAATGAGAATGGCACCACATCAGAAGTTAACAGTAGTGCACCTGCGGCTCCTTCTTCTCACGTCGAAGAAACCGAGAACAAACAACATCAAGAAAAAACGACAGCTCAGAGGCGTATCGAAGCACAAGCACGGCTCTATCAGCCGCAGGAACCTGCGTATTTGGATTTGAGCAAAATACCGTTTCGCGACCGCTATGCAGTGCAAATTATGGCCCCTGAAGAATGGCTAAGACCCATAGACCGACGTCGCGTGCCTGCGGACGTAGGGGACGGTCTAGACCCAATTGGTCGCTTTGGTCCGGACAATCTCTGCGTTGCAGGTTTTGTAGGGGGGAAATTGGATCGACTGGCGCGTTTGTCCGCATCGAATAGTGTCATTAAGGCTTTATAACGTTGCAGCATCCTCAGCATCATCTTTCTTTGGATCTTATTTTTCTACTTGAAAAAGAAGCCTCCAAGGATATGACTCCTAAGGAAGATGCAAACGCAGTAGCTCTAATGTCAAGGAAGACGCGACCGGTAAAGAGCATGAGCCACTCTATCATGCTTCCTCGCCGAACCCTGCAAGCTGGTCTGTATGTCCTGTGGACACACGAAGGTGTCCTGACAGGAGTTGGGATTTCTGCTCGCCGACAAAATGGGCAGAGAAATCTGCGGAGAGCTGACCTCCTGCTCATAACAATTTATAGCTCCATCCTGCAGCAGTTGCATTTATGGGAATGGAAAAGAACAGTGGATCATAAGGATTTCTCCTATTGTTTCGTGTTCATCACATGATGTTCCAAAGAATTGATACAAGCTAACGGTAGACCCTGTCGAAGGCTACAGCAACGCAACTCTCTTTACGTGGAGGCAACAAAGGATCTGATAATCTGTTGTGGGATTATCGCAAAAGAGTAAAGTCCTAACAGGTTCACTGGTTCTATGCATGTGTAATTTCGAAGTTCTGGCGCAAGATCAAGGACTAGTCTCCAAATCCTGTTCATGGACGCTTTTTTGAGAAGATCCTTGGTCCTGAATTCAAGAAGCCTTTTTGGGAAGATTCTAGGCAGTCCCTTGAAGGGGATCCCTGACATGACTACGATCGACAATTAGCATTAAATGAAGCTAAAACCATCCGCTCACGATTGCGCCATCCTTTGCGCAGTCCATTTCCTATCCAGGTCCGTCTAAGTATTCATGCTTCGTTCAATAAGCTTCCTTGCCATTTCCTTTCGTCTCAGTCTTTTGTCTCAGTCTTATGAAAGTAGAGCTCTAGTAGGGACATACTTTGCGAAGATTTACCTAGAAGTACAGAAGATTGGCAATGATGGCTTCTACAACTTCACCAGCAGCAGCCGATAGTCCGGCTTGCGGCACTCCGACGGACATTTGCAATGTCGACCTGACCACCCTGCGCCACCGACTGCACGTTTGCGCTCTGTCGGTGTCGGCACGTGAACTACAGCCTTGGAAAGTGGCTTTGAAAAATGTGATGCTGAAGCGATCCAAAGTAAATCCAGTAACCGACGACACACGTGCTAGTGCTAGCGGTACTGAGGGAACAAGTAAGCCGAGCAGCGGTCGAAAGTTGCTTCTCCTTGATGCGGCAAATGCACAGGAATTAAGGGAAAAATTTCTCGAGCATGCTTCTGGAGTCGGGAATTCATCTGGTCAACAAGAACAGCTGGCCTTTTTTCAAGCAATGGCGAATAGGATTGGATCAACAGGATCAACAGTAGAAGGGGTGCAGAACACGGCTGCAGATACATCGTCAACCGTTTCTTTGCTGATTTCTGATCCGATCTGTTTTTTCGATGAGGCAGAGCATCAGCTCTTGCGAAACATGACGACACAGCAGAGCCAGGGAGCGAAGAAAGCAAAAAAACAAGAGAAACAAGGACATGCTGCTGCTAGCACTAAGGAAGGAAACAACAAGACAACTCCAGAATCAAAGCTACAAGAACAAGTAGTTTCTTTGCACCATGTTGCCTTTGACGTGACCTATGCCCAACTTAGCAGTGACGAAGCCTTGCGCATGGTCCTCCCTACTGGCACAGTGATTCCATCCGCTTTTGAGACCGTGGGCCACTTGGCGCACTTGAATTTGCGCGACGAACTGTGGCCTTACCGTCGCACCATTGGTCAAGTAGTCCTCGAGAAGAATCCCAGTTTACGAGCTGTGTATACGAAAGTGGGCTCCTTGAAAAACGAGTTTCGCACCTTTGAGATGGAGTTACTTGCTGGTGTGGACGACACTCTTTGCTTGGTGAAGGAAGAAGGTTTGGTGCTCAAATTGGATTTTCAAAAAGTGTACTGGAATTCACGCTTGTCGCAGGAGAGGAAGCGCTTGTTGGAACGCGTATTGGAGAAGCCGACGGTCGAAATCAAGGCGAATCATGATGAAATCAAGGCTGCTGAGGAAGCCAAGAAGTCAAAAAATTCTACATCACCGTCTTCGCGCAAGAGACCTAGAGACGTATCCCCAGAGAACGAAGCAGGCGATATTTCGAATGTGACAATCACCACAGCTTCTACGAGTGGAAACAGTCCTCTTCACTCAGCGGACGTTGAAGATGCGGCAATCATCGTGGATCGCGCAGAAACGACCGCAACCACCCAGTCGGTTGACGGTGGGAACAACATTCTGGTCGACATGTTTGCAGGCATTGGAGCTTTCAGTATTTTAGCGGCACGAGCAGGCTTAAGGGTTATTGCCAATGATTTGAACCCGGAGTCGGTAAAGTGGATGCGAGTAAATGCGGCAAGCAACTTGTCAACCACGACGAAGCAAGGGACAATGAACTCGCATCCATTTCTAAGTGCGAATGTGGATGCTCGTGATTTCGTACGAAACCTGGCAAGAGAGGATGTGAAGGCTTGCCTTGCTGGGGCTTCCGCTTCTTCTTCCGCTTCTTTTTCCGTTGCTGCTGAGACAACAACTGAAACAGAAACGAGCAGGAAGTGCAAAATGGAATTGCAAGATGTCGATGGAAAAGACGTTTCACAATCATATGGCAAGCCGCGTCACGCACAAGGTGTTTTCTTACAACAACATTCATCAGGTAGTGGGGCCTGTTCTTCTGCTGTCCACGTGGTGATGAACCTCCCAGAGTTAGCTGTGGACTTCCTCGATGTTTTTGTGAATCTTTTCGCACAAGAACAACGACAGCTCAAAACAACTTCTTCCGATTCCCATCCCCAAGAACAACAGCACAAACAGCAACAACAACAACCGCTCAACCTGAGACCAATTATCATCCATTGTCATTGCTTTGCGGTCAAAACAGAGGGCTTCGAACAGGGAATCCGAGACCGCGTCTGTGCTGTCTTTGAGAAAGCAGGAGCTCGTGCGGAGGTGGCACGTGGGTGTGTAGATGCTCTGACGATTCGAGAAGTCAGAAATGTAGCGCCAAAAAAGAACATGTACTGCATTGAAGGCGCGTTGTCTAAAGCCCTGTTGACAAAAGCTGACTGAAGACTTTGCATGGCCCTATTGTCTTAGCAACTTCTTACCCTGCCTTTTCTTCTGTAAAACGACAAGAACTGTCTGACCCTGCTCCTACGAAATCTGAAGTAAGCTTCTTATCCTGTTAACCATACGAGGAAGTCTAGTCCGCAAAAGGGCAGTGGACCGTTGTTCTTCAAAGTACCTGATTGTTCTACATGTGAATTAGACAATTATCTGTCAGAGAGAGAGAGAGAGAGAGAGGAGGAGAATTACGGAAAGATCTGTACTAGTTGCCGGAAGAGAATCTGTTGCGAGAGATCTAATCTATCAAAACGACATTCAACACCACAGCCTATGCCTGCGACACTAAGTAAGAAACTGTCGGTCCAAGAGATCCCACTCTGTTGTGAGGTGGTCCAGTCTGTCACCGAAGAAGTGCTGCTGCATCAAGAATGAGAAGAGCTTAGACACAACTAGAAATCTGTTCACAGGTTTCTGTGTGAGTTGTTTAAAATCCGTTCTGTTATCAGTTAGTGCTAGAAAATTGTACACTTAGTGCTAGAAAAGGCGTAGTTATACATGCCAAAGAGCGATTGGAGGACACTAATGTGTGACAAGTGTATCGTGCTCTCAACATATCATTCATCTCAGGCCCTCAAATTTTCATGCTTGTTCGCCATTTTTTCCTTCCTACCTATGCATCCGATCTTTGAGATTCATCCAATCTTTGATATTAGGTCTATTTTCGTTCCTCGCTCCTTGCCCAATCAATGAATCCTTGCGCTCTCATATTGACTCTCATTGAATCCTTGTAATCCATTCTATCTGCATGATCTTCCATTTTCCTTTGTGAAACTTAGAGCTTCTGAAACTTATCCGCCCACTGACTTCACTTCTTGCACAAAAGAAACAACCCACAAGAGGAAGATGAATCCGATTCGTTTTATGCATGTGAATTGCTACACTGGTGTAGCTTGCAAACAGGGAGCTCCCGCAGTCTGTTTTCAACTCGAGCAAAGTGTCCACCAATCCGTAACCGATGAGCAGAAGCTTACCTATGTAAGAGAATTCCTAGGTGCTTCTCACGAGAAAGCAAACGAAGACGCGGCCGTAACATCTGTAGTTCCGGCTAATCGCAGTCCGCTGTTGACAGAAGTCGCGGTAATCACTCTGCGAGCGGGGAAGAATCAACTCCTCCAAGTGTTTAACAAGGATGGCGAAGTCTCCATGCCACTGCACGAACGAAACATCCTGGCTGCGGCGCATGTGTACAAAATTCCCAGATTATTTAGTTTTTTTGACCATGATTTTGAACCACGACCACAAGGTTATTTATCGAGTAAGGGCGGTATTTATCAGATTTTTTGCTGGTACATTTTTTGATAAAACAGTGAGCTTCGTCGAACTAGAGCTTTTTATGGAGCACCATATTGATCAAAGTTTCTTCACATCACATCGAAGAAGGTGCACAACATCATCCTTCTCCAAACATCTCTACCAGTCTCCAACGCGGTATCGGGGGACCGCAGACGGTGAAGCCGAAGCCGGTGATGATTTTCGACACAAATGCCGGTCCCGCTACCATAGTGGTGAAGAAAATTTCCGTAGATCTCGGCTCTCGCATGTTATCCCGATACGAAATCAAGTTCCCGTCAAAACCTGGCAAAAAGCTCCTAAACCTCGCAGCCGAAGCTCCCCCCTTTTTAGCGGAATGTCTGTATTCGATCGGAAAGTTTATCTCGCCAGAGATGAAGGACAAAAAACCAGTGGAGAAAAAGGCTAACAGGTACTTTTTGTTACAAGCAGGTATTGATTCGATGGACTTCTACCACGCAACTGGCCTGATGCGGAAGAAATCGGTTTGTATTTGTTTTCGCTCGGCGATCGTATACTTGGTAGTTCTTCAAACAATTTCTAAGCTAGAACCCTAAGCCACCATCCAAACTCGCACAATAAGTACCCCTGTTTCTCTTCCACCAGATTTGCTGCTCGCTCCGCGGAACGTGCCGAGAACACTTTAGCCCTGAAAGGCCTCATGCGTGGCAAAGATACTTCCAAGATAAAGCCCGAAGAAGACGCCGCTGCCACCGACGCTGGAGGTCCCACAGTTCCTCCTTTCTACCCCAAGGAAGGCCGACGAACGGGCGACTACTTGATGCTCGTTTTCGAGTCGGAAGAAGCCATCCGGGAAGTGAAATTTGACAGAGCACGTTATGCACTGGAGTTGGAGCATTATAAAGAAGGTGCAGAACACTATACAGGTGAACCCTTGCCGTCCATGCTGGTGTGCACGGCAAAGAGCAAAGCCCCTAAAACCGCAGCGGGAGATGACTTGTCGTTTGTGACACGAGTCTTCTCAGCACAAAATGGGGAAGAAGAGGCAACCGCAAGTGTTTTTTCCACGTTGATGCCCTATTGGAACGAGAAGTTGTCGGACCCGAAACTGTTCTGCCAACAGGTATAACTCGTAGACATGGCCTTGCATGATTCACCTGAGAGAGAAGCTAGCTGTAGGCAACATCGGTAAGCGTGAATACGCGTCTATTCATTTTGTTCAATTGACAGCTCCTCAATTCACTTGGTGCCCATCCTTCACAAGAAGACCCTCGTGTATAATTAGTAGCATTCTTATTTTTCTCTTTGGACCGCGTTAAACAACTTACAAAGATGTCCCCAAGAACTAAGTTTTCCCCATCTTCAATCAATCAGCTCTGCCCACGTGGTGGCCACATTGTTGCCGAGATCATGCCAAATCAGGGGAAGGTTGCTGGCGACCCAAACGACGAATTCGTAGATCCAAAAGACCAAGTCCTGGTCTCCGGAATGGCAGCGTGCTTCTGCGAAGGCGCGATACCGGAAGAAGTCTGGAACGCGCAGTTCGATCCGAAGAAGAAATGATGAGGGGGGTTTTGTTTTGGGTGTTCTTTGTGGAAGTATTGGAAATCAAATTCGAAGGAGACGATTGATGATAATGGAGTGTCTATGAATGTATTATTTGCTGGAAACAATCAGAATCAATTTATTTTGGAATGAATACTTATTGTTATTCATAGTTGGATCCTCTTAAACCACAAGTAAGTTGTAGGGGGTCAGACTTTCATACCGTTGATTCATAGAGGAAGTTGGTATGCACCTTGTCGTTTTAGTTGTACGGCATTAGTGATGCAGAGTTGTCGTTTTGATGATTTGATCTATCCTCGAATCTTCTTTGATTCCTTGTAGTGGAGAGGAGCACAGCTGAGTTCTTGTTATATCCTTGAAATTGAGGATGAGAGAGGGTGTTGGAAGATTCAATCTCATCTTTGCTGAGGATGACATCCTTATGTGAAGAAAGCTTGCGAGTTCTTCACAAGCACGTCTTTGAGAGTCTTTTGAGCGGTTAAGAACTTCTTTGCATCATTGTGTTCCTGTGGAGGCTACTGACATTCTGTGAGACTGCTCTCTTGACAGCATTCCCAATTCTTCACCGTTGTTTCGACCGGACAACGAGGATATCAAAGAACATTAACAATATCAGTTCGGATGGCAATCGGTTTCATCATCGGTAATGACGAGCAGAATCAACCCTTGCTGCCCATCAGAAACGTCAGCAGTCTACGACTCTCTGCGCAGATTCATTCTCGGTGTGAGGGTGAAGATCGCTTATTCGAAGTCCCCTCCTTCACCACCCTATTTTTGTCCCCGAGTCGCGCCTTTGACTGTAAGAAAGACAAATAGAACTCAATTACCTCGAAGTTCGTGAGGACGACTAGTTATTGTTCTCTTCTGGTGTGATTGCTTTATTGGTCGGGTGTGTACCTTGATGATGTTGTATCATATTCATATTCTTTAGAAGATGAAGTGAGTAGATGAAACTTTTTTCTCCTCTAGATGACTTAAATAGCAATTTCTATAGTTGTATGAAGGATTAATTGTGGGAAGGACTTCTGGGTGAACCGTAACCGTAATGCAAAGACTTCTATCGTCTACAGATTTTCGCGGTATTGGAAAAATTTAGAGACTTCAATTTTCTGTTTCTGTAGTATTATAGTTGGAGACCTCCACGATAGATCTAATCAGTGTACCATACCTTTTCTTGATCTACTGACAACTACAGAATTTACTTATGTGTTGGATGAAAGCTTGACTTGAGTTTACTGCAAGGCTTCGCGATACGATTTTGATTTTCTTGAATTTGAAGGAGGAGCCAGCAAAAGCACTACCAGAGCTGAGATTCAGCGACTTTTACTCGTCAAGACCGATCGGCGTCGGGCTCGGGTACCATCTCTCGACGGGCATCCAGTAGCAGAAGAAGGACGACAGCGGTCGAGATTGAGGCAAGCTTCAGTTGTTCAATCCGAGTACTTAAATCTTCGAGATCATCGACGAAAAGAGCACCTTAAGAGCTTCTTCTGTGCCACCGAGCCGTCGTCGCGTTTCTCCCTCGCCAGTGCTCGTGCACTAGTGAAGAGTCACTTCACGAATTTCCCTGCGTCTTCCACCGCGGCCTCTGCTCCCTTGTATTCACAAGCTCTTTTTTCTCTCGACCACGCTGTAGTGTCCGGCTTCTACCAAAAAAATCGAAAAGAAGCCTACCAAAAAAAGAGACTTCAGGAAAATCTCTACTTGTACAGCTACGACCATTGGGCCAATCAAGTACAGCTACGACCAGAGCGCCAATCAACTACTAGCATCTGCTCGCTCCAAAGCACCAACTACTTCGAAACCACCAAAGAACAAGTACTAGCCGCTGCCACGAAACCGCCACACTAGTTCAGCTTAGTAAAGCGAAACCAAAGACGAAGATAACTGTTTCGAAACCACCATAGAACAAGAACACCATGGACAGTTTCAAGCAGGCTAACCCGCATGTAGTGCGGACCACCAAGCCGGTGCCTGCGGATCCCAAGATCCTGGATAGAGAAATCCGAAAACAACGAATACTCTTGGATAGGCTGAAACACTATGAATTGGATCCGAATTGAAAACAAGAAATAATGTAGATACTTTGATCTTAATTCTTGAAAACAAGGAATAATGTAGATACTTTAAAAAGAGGTGTGAAAAAGGTGGTGGTAAAATGGGAAACTTTGCTTTTTTCAAAATGCAGATCATTTATCCATCGCTCTGGAAAGTTTTGATTCGGAGTTTCAAAATGTAGTCTGGTTCTGGGAGTAAAACTAAGGCGATCAGTCATACGGAGAAGAAAAATTGCACTTCTAAAAACCAGAGCCACAGCGTTGTCGGCTGCTGAAAAAGGAACGGCAGAACTGGGATGTGGCGCGCGAACTCGATGCGACAAGGATAAATACAAGGGAAAGATTGGCGATATGTTCGCAGAAAGCTGGTAATTATTGGATATGAAGGACAATGATTACAACGAGGTTCTGTTATCAGTAGCATTGATATCAAGCAGTTCATTTCTTTTCGTGGATTACTCATCTCTAGTACTGCATCACTTCGTTGTCTGGATTCCTACTCAAACTATAAAAAACGTCCTCTTCCTCTACGACAGACGCATTCGACAAAAAGCAGTTGGAGTTGAAGAACGTTGTCCTGAATAACGAAAGCTTTATCAAGGATACGGATTTGAAGTGCGAACGTGCAGAAAAGAAGGCGAGAGACGAGAATGCGGCATGTACTTATTTGAAGGCCTTTTGATCTTGAACATCATCATAGACGTCGTGGAGACCGCTTGATATCCTATCAACATAGAAGAAGCATGCGCTAGTCCTATTTTATTCCATCCCATCTCATCCGCACTCTATTTCATTACACCTTCGTTCTATCCCATTCTATTCTATTCTATTCCCTTCCCTTCCCTATCCCAGCGTACCTCCCCATTCTTTCTTCAGGTAAACGTCTCGACGAAGAGATAGTACAAGTGGGCCAATTATACGAAGAGAAATTGACATTAAGGCACTTGAAGGTAAAAATTTAGCCCTGTTGTTGAGACGAGTATATCTACGAGGTAGAACATCTATTCTCTCGTCAGGTTTTCCAATTCATTCTCCCCATGCATCTTCCTCTATTTTCTAATAGTAGAACGAGAGGAGGAGCTCCAGGATATAATGCGGCAAATGACGTACCGAAAGTTCCTAGACGATGCTGCGAAACTCTATTACAGACAGAAAATTATGGGACATTGATATTATACTTTTTTCAGTCATACAGCTTTCGATATTATACTTTCTTTAGTCATACAGCTTTGTCTCTAGGTCTAGTCGTAGTGATGAGTCATATTGATATTCTCCTGTCTCCTGCCTAGAAACAGTAACAGTTAGTACAACGTCTTGCTTCTGGAGTAATATAAGTTACCTGCCCTTTAGTGATTAGTAAGTTACCTCCATCTCCTATCTCTTGCCTCATGGTAAATAACCTTCCCCCTCTATCTCTTATCTAGCATGTAATTTATATGTGCTCCTTCCACGACTAAATGAATTTCTCTTTCCAAATGAATTGTCTTCGCTCTGTTCCCTCTAAAATTCCGACGGAATTTGTTACGGCAGCGAAGAACAAGAAGCTCGCAATCGAGGGAGATGGCGCAAGAGCTACAATTGAGGATAAAGCAGGTGCGACCTTCTTGACGCAGCAGGGATAAAATGCATCGTTGGCACTTCTGAACAGATGGATTATTCGATGTGGAACATGAAATACATCGTGACTCACTCATGATAAGATGCATTTGTTATTCAACATGAGATGCTTCATCCATTATAATGCTTGCAAAATCATCTTGATGTAGGAGAGTTGGTCTCGTCAGATGTTAAGATTTGGTGTTTCGTTTCATTCGGGCGACAAAAATCGGAAAGGCGTTTCGTTGATCGTATAGGGGCCCTAGTACGACTTTCCTGTTTTGACTTACACCTATCGAAGCCTTTCTTGTTCGTGAAGATGTTTTACTTTTAGGTTACCCTATCTAGTATTTCCCACAATAATAACAAGATAATATTAGGCATGGTGTAGCTATTTACGACAATCAAGTAACAACATGTTGAATGAAAAGCAGGCGAAGATGAAAAAAGAAATTTATTACTACTCTAAAACAATGAGAACAACTAAAAGAACATGAGCATGATGCCGGCGACCTCGTTTTCGTCCTTCTCTTTTACGACGTCCTCCTCTTCCAGTCCGATTCAACGCCTGTCGTGGCAGACTATTTCAGCATATTTTTGGAGGACTACATTAATGATGGAAGTGGAGCAGAGAAAAACAGCAGCTAGTACAGCTAGAAGAAGTGTAGTAGTTTTGATGAAACGAGGTCAACATCCTCATCTTCAAGAACAGCACAGGGATCCTCGCAAGCCAGGGCTCCCGACGACCACACTACGAGCGCGCCTTACTGTGCTGCCCAGTGTTCTTTAAACAACATGTACGCCTACTGTAGTTGGGGAAAACTTCGGCGAAGGAGGGAGGCAATTATATCCACGATGCCTGTGAGCAGGGGTGCTCTGGACGGAAGTTGTGGAGGCCATCGACGTGGGCCTTGGGTGCAAAGTACAGGCTACGTGACAAGCAGATGGATACGGAGGTTCCAACACCGGCTAAGGAACCTGCCGTCCTCAACGACAAAGAAGAAGTCTATCGCGAGTACTGTTGCACTGATATAATATGAAGAAAACGCAGTAGCAGATCCAGAAGTAGATCAAGAAGCGAGTGCTGAGAACAGAAGCCGCACGAAATGAGCAAACCCAAGACGCGTCGCTTCCGGGGACGTATATTTTTGACTATGAATTTTTATTTTTCCTTCTTCTTTTGTTTTATTTGTTTGTGTTTTTCGACTCCACTTAGGCTCTAACCACAGAAATATTAACATGTGTTGGACAAAAACTAGTACAGGAAGGAAGTCACTTTTTGTTGTGTGGTGGACTATCTAGAAGACTCTACTTTTATCAATTTATACTTCAGGGACAAGAACATAATTGTTATTGCACCATTAGGAAGTAGAAACATTGTGTCGGTTAATCATACTGAACTATAGTTTTTAGCTCTCGTCTATTGCTACACTCACTTGATATCATCTTCATCGCTCCACTGTTTTCCGTTTCACCTTGATATCATCTCCTATAATTTTTCATTTGACAATTTTTTTTAAATGTAGTTCGTTCTATCACCTTGAACCTTGAACCTATCATGCAACTACACAGCTACTGCGACGGATGGGGATGAAATTACTTTGGAGGTTTTGAAGCTGTTGGCCGCGTTCTTATTGAAGTCTTTTCCTTGGATCGATGTCGGGTCTGACGAATCTTGTGGTCTCTGTGTCGTGCGCCACGGTGCTGCTGACGGTATGGCAGGAAAATAAGTAGCTGAACCGAAGGAGGTGCACTCAGTCTAAGAGTCCAGTCAGTCTAAGATGCTTATATATAAATTCGCTTTCCTAAAAGAATTAGGTCGGCACGATGCACAGTTTAGGGTCTCTAAATTCAGGTGCCTCTACCATCAGGTGGCGTACCGAAGAACACATCTAAGCTTACAACTGACGAAATATCTCTGCCATGACATTCATTCTGTTAGTCGCCGTACTCACGCAATCATCCAACCTTTCGTATGGACACTCTTATGATTGATGCACAGTTTTGTGGAGAAATATCTCTGGCAGCATTACCTTTATTTTGTACAGATTCTTTCATAGCTGAATTCGAAATAGTAAGAATAAACGCACAAGAAAGGGACAGACTACAACTTGTACAGGTCGACATGAAAGATGAAAAACGCATTCTGCCGGCGAAGGTCAGCGATGACTATCTGGCGAATATTAGCGATGAGTATTTGGATTCAAAGGGATTCGACCACCTTGGTTCTGCAGTTCAGTTGTAGTCTTAAGGCTTGTTGACGCAATTCATTTCCAGCGGTTTTTTTCTTCTGTTTCCTTTTATCGTCGGAGGGTGTAGGTTTTCCCTGTGGATGGCGAATAACTTTCTTCCAATTCTATCCTTCGTGGACTCTGAAGAGATGAAGCGAAGAAGTGAGTGGTTTTGCGCGCTAGCAATCGTTTAGAAACGCATAAAAAATCGGAAAAGGCTGTCGGTCATAGGATCTACAGTCGTGCTGACATTGGTGGCTACTACATAGAAGTAACCTTTATGTCGGTGGGCCTGGTACAGTCAATCGATCCTATCCTTCACTCAGAGACTCATGCAAGAATAGTACTCTTCAGGCATGATAGATTCTCTTCTACCGTATTTCCAACTCTTCTAGTATCTTTCGTCTGTCTCTTTTGGAAGCAACAACATAAAATATCGGTTGGTAATTCTATGCCTTTTCGTCCTCCACCTCTTCGGTAAGATTCGATGCGTCTTGCCTCTTCCCCCCTCTCTTTTGTAAAATTAGATGCTTCTTCCCCACTTCTTTCGGAATCACATCTCAATGTGCTGATAGAGAATTTCCTGAGATAGAGATCGTGAGTGAGATTTCTCACGACGTAACTGATTAGTGTGAATCGAGCAGTCAACATTCACTGATTAGTTTTTGATTAACTGATTACATTTAGTGGAGCAGTGATTAAGTGATCAGTCTTTGATGAACTGATTAGAAGGCTTCGTAGACCTCAAAGAAACAAAATGATGCGTCTTTTCCCGCTCTGCGCTGTGTGCGCAGCTGCCATGTGCGGAACAGCTCTAGGCCAACATGAAGAGAGTCAACAACATGAAGAGGCAGGAATCTCTCTGGAAGATGCAACAGGAGACAACTGCTTCCTGGAGAAAAAAACTTCAGCTTCATGCGGTGAACAAGAAAAGGCTACGACCCTTGAAGGAGAACTTCCGGACCCAGTAGAAGAAAACCCAGAGAATATTCATGTTGCGGACAAGAGTAAAGCCGGTGATCAATCAGGAAGCCCACCATCACCTTCACCTGCCGAAGGTGAAGAGGAGGCTGAAGACGAAAGAAGGGAACAAGGAGAAGGTGGCGCAGGTGACCACACCAAGAATCAAGCTTCTGTAGAGCCAACACAAGGAGAAGGTGGCGCAGATGACAGCACCCAGGGTCAGGCTTCTGCAGGTCCAAAACAAGCAGATCCAGAACAAAAAGATCCAACAGTACATCCAGAACAGGTACATCCTCCAGAACAGGTACATCCTCCAGAACAGGTACATCCTCCAGAACAGGTACATCCTTCAGAACAGGTACATCCTCCAGAACAAGTACATCCAGAACAAGTACATCCAGCACAAGAAAAACCAGAACAAAATGGTCCAGCAGAAGTACATCCGAACAAAGTAGATCCACAACAAAAAGGCGGGCCAAGTGCCGGTGCTAGTACTGCAACAACTCCAGCAGCACGTGGGCAAGAAGCCGGAAGCGGAGCTACGGCAGATGCAACTACTGGAGGAGCTGCAGCTGTAGGAGAAGATGGGGGAGCTGGCGAAGAACCAGCCGCAAAGCATAATAGTGATAACGGCCACGCAGCTTGTAAGAAAGACAGTTGCAACAAGATGAAGGCTTGTTGGACCACACACTGGACTAGATTAGACGCAGAGATCGAACGTCCATCAGGAAAGTCTCTTTCCAATGGCGCCCTTTGCGATAGATGTTGCACGTCGAGAGGGATTTATGGCTACTTTTGTCACTTTCCCCTCTTCGCTGAGTAGACGTTCTTGGCCTTTTGTCGTGTAGCACGGAAGATGAAACACCATATGACTGAAGAAAAAAGTAGACACATTATTTACCTTTCGAGAAGAGAGCAAGCAAAAACATTGTCGAAAAATGGTCTCTAATTTGATCTTTCGAGCAACGAGCGCGCACCGAAGGACGGACCGCGGCTAGGTGGAACGCGATTCGGTTATTGGGACCCGGAGTTGAATAGGTTGGCCGAAGGAGAACGATATTATCACAATCACGAGGGCAAGTCCGAGTATTATGATCAGTGTTTATCCGTGTTTCTCGCATCTCGGTACCATTTTCCCATAGAGTACATGGGAAAAGGTACCGAGATGGGAGGACCGTGATGGATTCCGGCACACTCTAAAAGTACACGCACTGTTGGGGAGCATCGGAGAAGGATGGAAATATCCACGAAGCCTGCAGCAAGGAGTGCGATAAACCTGCTAGCATGTTCGGCTCCGCAAAAAAATTTATGCTACGTGACGATCAGATGGGTAGGAAGGTTCCAACTAGAGAATCCCCGAACAACGGACTGGAGAACACGGACAAAGATTTCTATTGCGAATATTGTTGCACTCAACATGCAGAAAATGCTGAAGGAGGAGATCGTTCAGCGGCTGGAGGTGGAGCGTTTTTACAGAAGCCGCACGAAACGATCAAACCCATGACGCGCCGCTTTCGGGGACGTATGATTTTTGCTCTTTGCTTCTTCCTTTTTGTTCGTTTGTTTGTTTGTCTGTCTGTTTGTTTGTTTGTTTGTTTGTTTGTTTGTGTTTTTCGTCTCTGGCTATCAACATGTGTTGGACAAGTCTTTAGTAGAGAAAGGAAGTTACATTTTGTTGTTCGGACGTCTACATTTGCCTCCGATCAAATTTATGTTTTAGACAACTGCAAGAGCATAATTGTCATGGAGGAAATTGAAAAATTGTGTCAAGATATCATACTTAAGTATAGTTTTTAGCTCTCGTCTATTGCTACCCGTATGGTATTATTTCTCAATGTTTTTGTTTCAGTGTAGTTCGTTCTATCATGCTTGCAGCAACATGATCATTTTTACCCTTTATTGAGTACATCCTCATCATCCTCATGCAACACAGTGCTTTTCTATCATACATTGGTCCTCGGAGGGTAAGGGTTGTTCCTACCCAATCCTATACTATGAAAAAAACTATAACTCCTAATATTCTGTCGCCCTATACAGCTACTGCGATGGATTGGGATGAAGCTACTTTTGAGAGTTTGGCTTTGGACCTAGCCGCGTTATTATCGGATGCCTTTCCCTCGACGTCTGCGACCACGAATATTGTGCTGCTCTTTGTGTGCGCCATGATCCTGCTTACGGGGGTTTTTATTTACGCGGCGGGTTTTTGCCGGAGAAATACGGCTGCAAGAAAGAACAGTATTTTTGAAGGTGATTTCTTTTTTGTTCGTTTGAAGATATAAAGTAGTAAACACGTGCACTAGCTATGCACCTCCTAGTATAGTAACACGATCAACACGAAGATCAACTCAGGATCAGTCTATCAATTATTCTGTGTGAGTTGTAGAGTTGAGTATAATGTTTCACTTTTTTTATAAAAACACTAGATCTGTCGACTTTGGGACAAGAGGGACCGAAGTATGAGGCAGAGGCGGCACCGACAGTGCAGGCCGAGCAAACTACTGCGCCGATCGAAGTGCATCCAGACATGGAAACTTCCTCTATCTTGGTGCGGCCTGACATCAAGACGAAGCGGTTTATCACAGCGCCAGCAGGCAGCGACGAAGATGCAAGTCACGAGAAGGATTACGGTGCCTTGGAATGTACTTTATTGCTATAGATGCAGAAATTCTTACCTCTTTCCATCGTTATTGGGTTCGCGACAATCCACCGCTCACACCACGAAGGTATTTGTGATATCCGTCAAAAAACAAAGTCGCGAAGAAGATCAGCTTTCTTTTGCAAAATTTTAGGTTCATCTTCCGATTTATTGGAGGCGAAGGCGAAGCCGCGAGATTGGAGGACTAAAGAGGAGCATGTCTGACCACGGCTCGATGGTGCCTCACCAATCTGTGACTACCTAGAAATGTTCATATTGGTTTTGACTATGTGGTGGTGGGAAAAGATGCTTCTATCTTGGCTTATTTGGAAATTTGAACAGGACAAATACCTCTACTAGAACTAAGCATGCTATGATGATAGATAACAGTAAATGAACCAACGGAAAGCATTCATGTTACTTAGAGTCCATAGTTGGTAGATTTTTTCACTCCTATGTTCAGGAAGTGCTAATGTCAGGATTTTCGAGTATTGTTCTCAAAGAAATGGTAATAGCGTTTATCTCCTCTATCAAATAATTTCAGTGAAAGAACATGATAAATAATGAGCTCTAGTATAATTTTCAGAACATATTGACCGAGCTCAGAGTTCATTCAACGCACAAGTGGATAAGCCAGATAGTTTTACTTCGTTATATCACAGCAGCCAAGATGTGAGGTAGAACAATAAGACAATGAGAAATGCTAGAACAAGCAACCAACCATCATGATTATTTCGAAGGCAGAATTCATTAATTTTCTAAGGTGTTTAGATTGTTCGAAGAACGAAGGTGTTTGAAGTTCACCGCTGTGTGTTTGCTGTGTCCAAATTTTAGACAAGACAATGACAAGAGTCAATGCCTGAATTATCCTGTGCGTACTATACGAGCTTGCTCATAGTCAGTGTTTACTCGTTTTACACAAATGCCTAGGTCGTTATCCTTCATTGAATCACAAAACAAAAAACGATGAACTCCCCCATCGTGCACAGTTTGACTCCCCCATCGTGCACAGTTTGACTCCCCTATCGCGCACAGCTTACGCCATCAGTAGCCTTACTGAATAAATAACTCTGCCATCACCTAGATACTGCTAGTCGCCTTACTAACTATGAAAATACGCAACGCTTTGTACAGTTTCTTGCATAGCTGAATGCGAATTTTCAAAACACCATCGAGCACGCCAAGTGACGACTCTCTCTACTTTGATGCGTGTGTAGCTATAGGCGAGCAAATGAACAATAACAAAGGGAGGAGACCGGGAAGCAAGTGTCACGAACAAGTGAAAAAAATGGGCTTCAAGTTTTCTGTGGTATGCATCCGATGTCAATTTCTGAGAGAGGACTCCAGAGATCATAGTGAGAGAGAAACGTAGTTCCTTTGCGTATTGGAGAGAATCGTAGCTTCGTTGCGGATTCTCACCTTGTAGAGTGTTTACTCTGTTGAGGCGATAGTTACAGCGTTACGCAGAAGAAGCGTGAATAACGTTCATGGTGCTTGGTACCACGAGCATACTACGATGACAATGGTTGTTCCTCGTCTAAAGTTGTCTGTGGTTCTTCTGCTGTTATGCATTAGTCCGAGACCGGTTGCGTTGCGCGTAAACGCAGAACGGAAAGACGATGCTGCGCAAGAAGAACCCACAGATGATGTTAAGGTGAGCTTTTATCCATCTTTCTCGGCATCTCGGTACCCTTTTCCCTTGTATTATCATGAGATGCAAGGTAAAAGGGGTTAACATGGGGGGGCCGAGATGCAATCTAGCAGACTCTGGCGATGGTTCCAGAAGTATGACACGGTCGTGAAGATTTCTAGAGGACTTTTAAGAAGGAAGTCTAAGTTTGATCGTAGTCGGAATTTGATGTTAAAACGTCTAAGAATATACCAGGAGGACATCGGGAAGCGGAAGCCTCAACAGTACCGGAACAACTTCAAGAAGCGTCGACAATACCGGAACAGCAGCAAGTACAATCCGTGACAAATGCGTTGATTCCAGACAAGCAAGTGACTAATGTTTCAACGTCATCTATTCCGAGTTATGGCAGAAGTGAGGTTCTATAGTCCAATTCCATAACCTAACCTAACAAGAACCTCTGCTCGTGCTAGAAATCACCATAATTACACTAGTCTGTTCATTCAACTTCAAGAAGCACCGCAGACTCCGAGTTATGGCAGTGCGATAAGATAAAACTCTGTTCATTCAAGAAGTACCGGAGGACTGCATTCAAGAAGTGAGCTCTAAGGACGTGTCACGCACGATTTGCCTCCAGGAGCAAGCATCTGGCACGAGCCGCTACCCACTGCAACGAACACGGCAGCTTCCTCCACCTCTCTGCGAAGCACTACAATAGCACCAAGGCCCGGTAAAAGAACTACACGTACTAGAGGTCGGCGAGAGACAGATACGCTGACAACGGGACGGACAACATCTGGAGCTGTGGACCCAGCAGAGTCGCCAGTGTTTGGAGAGCATGAACATTTGCCTAGCTTTTTCGTAGAAGATGACAAGGAGAGGACGGCAGCTTCGACAACAGATGCGGACGTGGGAGAAGAACATTATAGTGAAGCTCTTGTCGTGTCTCCAGCACCTCACTGTGCACTATACTGCAACGGAGACCGGTTGATTAGTGCACCAGACAAACATGATACTGCAACGGAGTGTAGTCCTCGTCCTTCTAGTGTCCTAGTCCTTAGTCCTTCAACAGACTGTCCTTCCATCGCAGGCGTCGGACTGGCTGCTCCTTCTGTTGCAGTTGTAGGGAATGGACTACAGTCTCAAGAGGGCCCTCCCCAGGAAGATGGAGATGGGGAAGAAGATACAGATACAACAGGCAACGGCGTCGATTCAACTTCCACTAGAATAATTGATAACGCTGCACAAGACTCTTCAGGCATGAATCATGTCGTGCCAGATGTAGCAAACGAGCCTCCCCTAGTACTCGGACCAGACGGCCCTCCTCTAGTGCAGCTGGATAGTGAAACTACTGCTTTGCTCTTCATGATAGACGGAATGGCCAATGAGATCCCCTTCTATGGAGAAAATGATATGCCGAGGCTGGTCCCTCGACTTACGAACCTCCTAGCAAGGCGAGCTGCGAGAGCCTTGGTACTACAGTGTCAATGGTGGACATTATCTTAACCGTTTTTTGTTATATAGGAACAGCATATTCGCAGAGGGAGTTGTACTTATACTGAAGCACTTAGTTGTTTTTTGCTCGAGTGTTTGATTTCTTTGGCTACCAGTACCAGGGACAGAGATTTCTTGTCATTCTAGCTTAGGGTTTGGGTTTAGGGTTTAGGGTTGGTTTAGGGTTTAGGGTTTTAGGGCCGCATCAAAATTCCAGGTGAAGCAGCACCTCGGAAAAGAAGCCGTTCTTGCCAAGCGCAGACCTGTGGCAAAACGTCGACCTTTGATCGGTCCACGTGTGCCTCGTCGCGGAATCTTTGGGGACCCACCAGGCTATGTAGAGCCGGATGAGGAATCCGAAGATGAGGAATCATCAGATGAAGAGGAAAGTGACTCTTCTTCATCTAGTAATGGTTCTAATGGTGGCGAGCAAAATAGGCTGGTGAGGAGAGGGCGCTTGAACCCTGATGGCGGAGATGATCCCCCTGACGGTGACGGAGATGATCCCCCTGACGGTGAAGGGAGTGGTGACGATGAGGGGAATGATGATGCTGGCGATGATGACGCTGGTGAAGATGGAAACTCAGCCGAGCAGGATGTTGATTCCCAAGGGAGTAGCGAAACCACTGATGGCGGATCAGATGACGGCCCAGCAGTCGAAGGTAGAGAAGTTCAGCCGATGGGCGATAATTTTCGAAGCAACCAAGAGAGTTCCGAGGAAATGACAGATAAGCTTTTTGGCACTGACACGTATTTGCCTACAGAAATACGAATTGCGAAACAGAGAGCTGTGCGAAAACGCATGGACCGTGCGCTGAACCGATGGCCTATCTGGTACCGCATGATGACTCAGCAGCTTCGTGGGGACTCTACAACAGTACATTTCCGAGATTCCGTCGGAGAACAAGCACTGAGGTCTTTCCCTACGTTTGCGGAATTCCTCGATATGGATGTGGACGAAAACGGGGATGAGCAGTTCATTGCCACGTCTTCGAGTGAAGAAGGAGGGGAAGAGGAAGAAGGAGAACGGGAAAGTGGCACGGATGAAAAAAGGCCTTGTGGGTCTTTTTATCTTAACAAGGACAAGGGAAAGGCGCAGTCGACAACTGAGGATTACAGGAAAGGAAACGACTCTCCACCTGGCAACCAAACATCACCATCCCCTCATCTAGTATCGAGTACATCATCAACAGTACCTCCAATTTCCTCGAGACCATTAGACGCATTATTAGACGTTGCAACAAGCCGCGCAAGACCGATCATTTCCACTAGTCTAGAGCCAAGAACAGCTCCAACTACTACCTTCAGCACAACCGATGCTGAGGCAGATACATCTGTCACAGGAGGAGGTCGGAGCGGAGTAGAGAAACTAGCCTTGGACCTATCCGAAGAAGAGCAAGGACAAGGGGAAGAGAGTTGTAGTACTCCCGCTTCACCTTACCCAGTTGCTCATCCGACAGAGGCAGAGCAAGTATTATGGTTAGCTAATATATGTCTTGCAATTTTATCAATACGAATTTTTCCTCGTAGAAAAGTAACCAAGCAGTCTACGTAGTGCAGATCAAAATTGCAGATCACGAGACGTCCCGAGAGGCAGATATTTGTTACAATCTAATCCCACTCACCTCTTTTCTAAGTACGGCAAACGAGGCGCCTCCAGATGATGAACCCCTGGTGTCGGAGGTTTCTCCCGCGTCGACCCCTGACGCTTCTCCCAGTACTCAGCGGAGTAAGAGAGGAGTCGTGCGTTCACTTAAAAATAGCAACGAAGAAGGCGCAGAAGGTCAGATTTTCGAGTTAGATCCTCTGTTCCGGAAAGTAAGAATCAGGATCACATCTTTCAACGGTGAAGAAATTTACACCATGCCTTTGCCCAAGGACGAGGAGGAGGAGGACGAGGAGGAGGAGGATAGAAAGAACGGGAATGAAGCTGATGCTGAAGGTGATACTGGAGGAGGCCGCAGAGAAGCTGATGCTGAAGGTGATACTGGAGGAGGCCGCAAAGGGACTTCTTCTGGACGCATAGAAAAAGACAAAGATTCTTCAGGGAAGTCATCCAGCAAGGACGGCGCAGAAGGGAAAAACCAGACAGCCGAAAGTTTAAGGGTAAAGTTTTTCACCTCCATTCTTTCCGCGTGGAGGAAGAGACAAATAAGTATCGTTTCCGCACTACTCATCATCTCTTGTAAATGAAAAGAAAGGAATCTGTCTCGGATTGTTGTCAGGATGCGTGATCTCTACGTTAAATATTACAGCTCGATCAAAAACTACTAGTATGTATATCGCTCTAATATTATCCAATAGGAACGGAGAAATTATTTTGGACACGAGCAGTTTCGTGGATGACCTTTTGAGAATACTAGAGGCTCGCACACCTAAAGGGCCACGGCGATGGCTACGGAAAATTGTGGAGCCAGTGTCTGGGAAGACGCTAGAAACAGAACATCGAATCGCGGAGTATGTGAAAAGAGGAAGTTCTGTTAAGTAGAGGTTGGAAGAATTATATTAGTTTTTGTTTTCTGAATGCGGTTCATCATTCACTGATTGATACATAAAATGTGTGCAGTCAGACCACGTGTCTGTACTTTGTCCAGGAGAATGTCTAAAGCCTAAGTCACAGCATATTAAGGGCTGAAAATGATCCTGCTTCAGAGTACTTAAATGTGAACCTCCTAACACTTTCTACTCGATCTTAATCAAACGTTTTAGTGCAGGGGTTAGTTTACTAAACGACCGACAATCTAGAAGACCCTTCATCATTATTAGCGTCTAATGTTAGCGCCACTTCTCCCGAGTTCAAACAAGACGAGCATGGGAGGTTGCTCTTGGATTTGGTCGAAATCCGTCAGGCCAGGAGGATTTTGCGGCCACGCTATGGAAATCAGGTCCCAGCGCAGGATGAAGGCGACGACGACGACGATATCCAGAGCAACATTAAGGCTACTACGTCGTAGTTGAGACAGAAGTGAAATTAGCCATAGTTGTCGTTGAGACAGAATTAAATTTAGCCATAGTTGTCGTTGAGACAGAACTAAATATAGCCATAGTAGATCGTGCTTCAAAGCTTATTTAGCCATAGTAGATACAGATGCTGTAGACGCTGTAGAGACAATAGAAACAATGGATCAACACCCTCACAGCTTCAACATCAGAGAAATCCATAGAACACAGAAGAGACGCAGGGAAGTCGTAGGCCCAATCCGAATCGACTCACATCTTCATCAGCAGACGCCGACGCTTCTACTGGCGAAGCGATTCGAATCCTTACAGATAGAAAATCTTACAGGACGAGATAGACCTCTCTAATACTAGTTCTGCTGATTACAGTGACGATGAGCACGTCCTACGACGTCTTCGAGATCCTGGGGAGCTCTATTTGCGAGGCCGAGGAGCCGAACCGGCATTCAATCTCAATCTTTTTCGCATGTTGTTCTTATGGCAACATTTGTTGAGGGGACTCGAAAAAGGAACACTCATGTTTGGTATGGTAGCTGTGAAGAGATAGAAATAGAATGAGATAACCAAGCTGCTGCTGCTTGAACTTACTACCAGAGTTATGGGGCCCTTTTTATAAGGGTTCTTCCTATTGGGGTCTTTCCTTTTGGTGTCCTTCCTAAGCTGGTGCGACATATAACAAGTTGCGGTCTGCTCACTGTTTCTTAAATCCATGTCTTTTGAATACCGCTCTAAGATTTGACGACGACAGTTTCAACAATTTGCCGAGGCGGGAATCACAGGCAGATGAAAGGGATCCGTTTGTCGGTCTAGGGAGACGTGGGTCTCGGGTCCGCAATTTAGTACAAAGGGCTTTGCAACGGAACGGGCATGATCGTGAGGATGATACGCTCAATCGTGGAGAGGAAGAAGAAGGCCTAGAACAAGAGGAAGCAGCCCCGGAGGAAATGGGCCCTGCTATCGAAGAAAATGAAGATCAGGACAGTGAAGATCAGGACAGGGCAGGAGAAGTAGGGGAGGACAATGCTGTGGTAGAAGATGATTTAAGGTCAGCTTGTATCCATCTTTCTCGGCATCTTGGTATCCTTTTCCCTTGTATTCTCGTGAAATACAAGGTACAAGGCGTCAAGATGAGGGGGCCGAGATGCAATCTAGCAGACTCTAATTGATGGTCGTGCAGAAGTAGTAAGTGAAGGGGATCATGGGGGTGCCGATGCACGCGATGCTGCTGCGGTCGGTGACGACGTTTCGGCGGGGCATGATCCCCCGTTGAGCCACGAAAGTGTCACTAATGCCTCGGACTGAAGAGTACTGAAATATTCGAAAAGTGGAAATAAGCGAGTAGCCAACTGATATAACACAGTCACTACGGTACTCGTCGTTGAGTATCTCGGCTTTTCGGAGGAGTAACTTGCTTATTTCAGTTTATCGAATAATTATGGATGGGGCGCAGCATTATAGTGGTACTCTCTGGAGAAACACTCTGACGATGTCATCTACTAGAATTTATACTGATGATTACTGATTGCACAAATTTGACGATTTTTTATCCCGGGATAAAACGACGCTCATAATGAAACAACGTGCATGATATCAAGCAATTTTTTTTTTTGAAACATGATATTTGTATACTTGCTTGCGAAAATAACGTTAAATGTAGAACAAGTCGATAGCACCTGTGCTATTCCTTGTTGCTATTTACTTTTGTAGTTTTGTTTGCTGTTGCCTTCTTCGTTCTCTTGCTCAGAAACAGAAGTAGGACACTGAGTTAAAGTCAAAGTTCAGATAGATAGTTCTTTCTCGTGAAGCTTGTCGACTAATATTGTCCATCGTTCTCTCTCATAGACGGAGAAGCGTCGTTCGTTTCGTAAAAATCATGTAGTCGTCGAATATGCGAATATGAAGAAGAGAAAAGAGAATCAAAGCATAGAGGCGACGCCCGTTCGCCGGTTCGTCATTGCTGAAATGGCTCTTGGGAAAGGGACACCTTTGTAATTTTGCTCTACATGAGGTTTTGATCGGTTTTTGTATTCGTGGAGTTAAAGGAACATTCTGCTGATCCGGCGCTTGAAGCGCAGGGCTGAAGCAGGAGCCCATTTATATCTAAATCTAAATGGATGAAAATTGATGGTGGACATACAAATAACCCATCAACAAAACAAACACAAATTTTTGATTTTTGTTGGTTCTCAACCAAGCACAGCTTCTACTAGCACACAGATGATATCCAGTATCGGCACGCAGGGAACGACGCAAGCTCCCTCAGCTGTTAAGGCTCCCTGAGCTGTTAGGAGGGCTCCTACGGTATTAGATTCTAAAAGTGAAAGGAATTGATATTGATGTTGTTCTCCCTCGCAAAAAAGATTCTAAAGTACTCGAAAAGTCCACAATCGTATGATCATTCTGTATCGCGCAAAGTACTCGAACAAAAGTCGATGATTCTGTATCGCGCTGCGAAAAGGTTCATGAAATCTGTCTCGTTTGTGTTTGATAAGTCTGTTGTGAGCAGAGTACACAATCTGTTTTGCGTCCTCGAGTAGAGTGCTGTGTTGCCGTTTTGTTTCGCCTCGAATGGTGCATTGCTCTGCCCTTCGCTTCTGTCGCTTGTTCTCCCATCGTTTCAACGAGTACGAGTGACAAGGAGAGTGAGTTGTGTATATGTATCTTGTCACGCGCCGCTTTCCGCTCTTTTCTCCTTCTTAATACGTAGTTTGAACATGATAATAATAGTATTAATTTTAGTTACAGGGCCATCCTTGTGGTTCTCGGGGGTTGGATGCGATAGGCTTTAGGTCCTGGCTAGGTGAACCGGTGCCTTTGGTCTTGTCAGGAAAGGTGGCCTAGAGTCAATGCGAGCACTCACCCCCCCATTCTTCTTCCACCAGAGAACCTGGGGGGGGGGACGGGATGCCAAGGGCAGCAGCATTTGGTATAGCTATTTAGTTTTTAGCTATAATTTGTACACTGATCCTCGTTCTTGCTTTGCTTTCGACGGATACTACGAGTGTTGAGTGCTGAGAGCGTCTTGTCTTAATACCCAACCTACGACCCGTTACTTGATCAGGGACCACAATGGACTACTTCTAAATCTACACTTACTCCTAAGTTAGGAGTATTCAAAACCGATTGAACAACATATGTTAGAATTGCCGGAGTGCAATGCATCCTTAGAGCTACCGGTGCCCCCTTTTAGACGAGTATTACTCTGGATGTCATGAGAGAGAGAGAGATAAGGTTATTTTCGACAGAGGGTGACTCTGACTGTGAAGCTTCTAGTCAAGTAGAGTGAAGTTGTGTTCATCTGTATCTATCTGTTGTGCGAGAAAGAGAGATCGTGAGCATCTATTTTACTTCAACAAATCGGAGACTGAGGGAAGCAGTTAGATGACAGAAGATACTGTAGATTATCATATCAATCTGTTGATTGCTCTTTGAGGTAGATCTGTACGCATCAAGAGAGTCATGATCTGTGGTCCACTTACTAGGTTTGAGAAGCGCGAGCCATGCAAATGCATAACTGAGCTTTCCTAATCCATTCAATTCCTTCTCACTTCACAGCATTCTACTTATAACACTTTGTTACCTCTAGATGTAGCTTTGTTACCTCTACCGGAACCGCGGTGTAAGTTTGTTACCTCTAGGTGTAGCTTTCACTCATTTCCAGCACTGTTCTCTCCGCTTCAAAGCTTATAACACTTTGTCAATGTTGTGCCCTTCTATTCGTGGTCCTGCGCCATTCGTGGTCATTTGTTTAACCATGTAATTATGAAATCATTGATACTCTAACTGAATAATTGCTGAAAGCGTTGCTTGATATACTTCGTGTGCTTGCTTTTGATAGTGAATATTTTCCTATATAAGTAGTGAGTACGTAGATTGCTCCATCATCATGGGGATCTTTTTGCGGCGAAAATATCTGGAGTCAATGCTCGGATGTTATACATGACTATAATTTGCCAGAACATTGCATAGTGCAAGCGTTGACAAAAAAACCGCGAACGTTCTACGGTAAAGGATAAGGATATATTTTATAGGTTTTTGTGGGCGCAGAGAAGGATTCATGTATGTTGCGCACAGACAGTGACAACTTTGACTTTCTATAGATAGGTAGTTTATATAGAAGTCCTCACTACAATTTCACTCCATAGCAATACTGATCTTAGAAAGTCCTAGGCTCGCCTTATGATTATAGATGGAAAAGGTTTTGGATAATACATAGTGACATTAAGAAAATAAATTTTTCTTAGATGACATGCACATGCTGTGATGTTATCACATGCCAAGTATCCGACACCTAACCGCCATGCTACACTGTATGAACAACTTGAACTTGTCGAATAGATTCCGATTAACAGTTAGAGCCTATAATAGTTAGTTGATAATTCGCGAATGACAGTCAATATGGTAGACGATACTACGACTATGGGAGAAGAGAAGTCGCGCGGCGACAACTAACTGCTCGACGAAGAAGATGATGAAGAGGAGACACCTCAAACGCATAAATCTGTTGTAGGGGTTGATACATCAGCAACAGCAACTGCTGGGACTATGACAGGTGCAAACGTGATGGCTGGAAGGAGATCATCATCTACCTCATCTTTCTTCTTAAAGCAAGAAGAGAGAGTAGTAGTTGATGTAGCAGAAGATAACACTCCTGCTCCGCCGGGTAATACTGCTCCTCAAGAAGTTGCTCAACATATGAAGGTTAGGAAAATGGTGGGGCAGAGTGGAGGACTGGATCAGGTGAAGATCGAGGGATCAACGACCAGTGGTTTTGGTGGTGGCGCAGGCGACGCGACGACCGGCTCGGAGACGGACGGAAGTAGAAACTTTTTCGGAATCACGGAAATGATGAGGGTTCAGTTAAGGCTCAAAACTATATTTCAACATTGATTTCTACAAGAGGTGACTTCTCGCAGACTCCTTCTTGGGATTCTGCAGAAAGGAAGGGAAGAAATGAAATGTTTTGAGCTCTAAGCTTAGGTGGTGCGATTCTGAATGTCCGTGATTTTTCCTTTGTCCGGTGGCTCTTGCACGCGATCGGCGACGAAAACACGAACAGCCAGGAGGCCGCAGTTGGCCTGGTCTTTTCCGTAGCGCACGTTATCTTACTTGTACCTTTGCTTAAGGGTTTTGACATTACTCATCCTCGATTAACATCCTTGGATGAGGTCTTGTTTTCTCAAGTAGAAAATTTAGGTCACAAGGATGAACTGGAGAATGTACTCATGCTGCAAGAAGAACTTCTAACGTACACATCGCGCTGGCGTTCACACTCTTCCCAGATCCACGCTTCGAGAGTGTCTGTCCCAAAATCGCTAAGGTGCTATATTTCTCAGCCGCATTTCATCAGATCTTTTTGACGCGGAAGAGCACGATTCCGTTTATGATGGGCAACGCCGCAGAGGCAGCTATTCCGTTTGTTGCTGGTATTATCATGGTCCTCTTGCAATTTTCGGATGAGGAAGAGAGAGAGCGTCTAGCGATCCTAGCGGGGGATCAAGGAGTAGCAGCAGTGCTGTCGGCGGGAGATGCTTTGCCTCTGTCGGAGAAAAGGATGAATGAGGTGGTAACGACAGGCATGTGGTGTAGCGTTTTTGGCTCCTTTCTAAGCGGGTTCGCGTACTGGGTCATAGGGTATCTGAATCTCGCAGACTACTTAGGCGTGATCCCGATGCCGTGCGTCGGAGGTTATTTCTGCTTTTTAGGGTCGTTTCTCCTCATCGCTGGGTTCAAGATTGCGACAGGAATCGCGGTGACCACACAAGAGGGGCTGGACAGCATTTTGAATGGGGATTCGGCTGTTACAAGCAGATTCCCTCACATGCTGGTCTGGGTCGCACTCGTTGCTCTGTTTGTTGGTCTCTCCGACTACGTTGTCCCAAAATATGGCGCGATGACTCTGCCGGTTGCGTTCACGCTGGTCCCGTTAGTCTTGCTCTTCATTTTAGCACTCGTCGCAGTGGATGAGCCGTTGGACTTGTCTCAGCTACGCAGCGAAAAGTGGCTGCCGCAGGATCCCAAAGAAGTGGTGTGGGGGTGGTCCCACTTCGAGCTTTTCGATCCAACATACATCCGATGGGATTGGATGCCCTACGCGTCGACCTGGTTTTAAGGATCGGTCCCCTCATCCATCTTGTGAAGCATCCTCAGAGCAGGGTTTTCAAGGGGAAAACACACCCAGGATGCATCTTGAGATGGATTAGGGTGAACTCTAACGGTTGGTGGCGCTGGCTTTCTTCCGAGGAATCGGCGGCTTCCTTGTGCTGCTTGGGTTGCAAGCCGAATTGCCTACCCGGATCGATGTGAACTACGAGATGCGGTGTATCGGATTGTCGAACATGTTCGGCGTCTTCGTACTGGCGTTTCCGGCAGCGAACTGGTTTTCATCGACGTTGGTGAACTTCAAATGTCAGGTTCGGGGTCGCTCAGTCGGGTACGGCACGTTTGCACTGATGCTTTTGTATTGGTTCTTCGCGATTGACATTGGTTCGTATCTGCCGAAGCCGGAAGTGGGTGCACTCGTGGGCTACATTTAAGGCTACAAGAAATCCATCTTCTTCACAGGCACCTTCTTGGTCCTCCCGTTGTTTTAAAGGGACGAAAAGGAGACCCAAGAAAGATGCTGCTGAAGATGGATCTCTCTTGGTTCTAATACATGGGCTTCATGCTGCTGCGCACGTGGCTGTGGGCCTCGAGGAGGAAATACCCGACGGAAGAATATGTGCTACTCTGGGTGTCGATTTGCATCATCGTTCCCATGCAAAACATGTTTTCCTTTGGCCTGATTTTAGGCATGTTGGTCGCAGTGTCTGTTTCGGCACTACTTTTCGCCGTGTCCTACGCGTTTTACTCGGTCATAGAAGTGCTAGAGACGCCTCCGCACAGCGGCACGGCGCGCAGCGAAGAAGAGCGTGATATGCTTACTTTGTGTATGCGCGATGAAGCGTTGATTGTGCGGCTTCACGGCTTTCTGTTCTTCGGTACGGCGTTTCAGATCTCTAGAACGCTATTGACGCAGATCCAGCAGGTAAACGCCGAAAGGGAGCTGAACAACCCTGATGACGAACGAGATCGGATACGCTTTGTCTTGCTTGATTTCGAGCATGTTAGACGAATTGATTTGACCGCCGCGGACCACACGGAATTCCTCGTCTCCGCGCTACGCCTCTCCGGGATTCATATTTACATCACTGGATTGCTAGGCCACAAGAAAAAAGGCATTCGAAAACTCCTCGAAAACCGTTCGGTGCTGAAACATGTTAAACAAGCTTCTCATACCTATGCTGTAGACGACGCGGAAGCTGAAGCAGCTGCGGGGTTTTTAGTTAAGGCTTAACACGATAATTGAACTTCATCTTCATCTTCACAAATGAATTGGCTGAGAGCAGGTCTCCTGCTTGGATTTTTTTGACTAAGTTTCCGTTTCCTCTTTCTGACAGCACTGCAATGTGAACTTGCAAATGTGGAGGTTGAAGAAAGTGAATTATTGCGAAGAGCGCTAATGTAAACTTCAGATCTGCTTTGTCCTTGATTGAAGACCAAATCTTGCACGAGGAGCGGGGAGAGAAGGGACGCGGGATGTTAAAAACTACCGCCCAATTACTGGAAGAGGAAATGGCACATGCGAAAGGAGGACTTTATCACCTCTCTGCTCTACTGGATCCTAGTAGCGCGGAGTGTCATGAAGTAGGCGGGTCTTCAAAGAGAGGATGTCGTAGTGAGAGTAGGGGCTGCTGCAAAGAACAAAAAGCAACAAATATTAAGATTTCCGGGAATCTCCCATTTTGAGAAGCATCTTGATGGAGCTCCCGTGTAAGGGGGAAGCGGGGTCGTCAAGATGCTTTTCAAGATGGGAGACTCCCGGAAGGTCTAAAAATAGTAATAGTAAATCCGTCGCCGGAGCAACTTCTTCTTCTGAAGATGATGGTGGTGCAAACACGCAAGAGAAGTCGGTGGTCATCGATTTGCGCGGTGGTCCTGTTGTAGCGTCGAGCTCTCATTTTCAAAGCTCTCTCGCCGCGTATTTCTCCTGTATCATGTTGGAGCCGGGTGAAATTCTTTCCCGGATCACAGACGAAAAAAGCTGCGACTCAGTCTATTTCGTGGCGCAGGGCCTGGTGCAGATCATAGTTCCCTCCTCAGGCAAGAATTTGTATAACGTACCTGTTCTACCAGGCGATGAAGAGTACTGGGAGCATGGCGCCACGGTGTCGCCAGTGGGCTCTTTTTTTGGGAATTTGCGCATTGTCTTGCCGATGCGAGACGAGGAAGACGGAACGCGGATGCCGGAACGAAGCAACAGTGGGTCCTCTTCATCCTTCTTCAACGCCTCCGCAGAAGTAGACGGCGACACGGGTGTCTGCTTGTCTGTTCGTGCGCACAGTGAGAACACTGGGTATGTGGTATTGTACAAGTTTACGCGCGAAAGTTACTGGAAATGCGCTAAAGAACGGCCGCAGGTAGCAATCAGTCTGCAGTCCCGCATCATCGAAGCTTTCTGCAAAAAGGCACTGGTCTCCAGAGGTGGCTCCTCTGCGATGGCGCTCACGTCGGGAACTTCTAGTGAAAGCATCTCAGCGATACTAAAACGCACGAGTCTCGTGGACTCTGGCGTAGGAAACGTGTCCCCCACGGGCCGGAGAAGTTCACTCACCGGATCTCCCTCCGCAGCCTCGGCAGCTAAGGGCGAACCGCTCTTGGTGCTTTTCTAGATCTCCCTCCGCAGCCTCGGCAGCTAAGGGCGAACCGCTCTTGGTGCTTTTCTAGATCTCCCTCCGCAGCCTCGGCAGCTAAGGGCGAGCCGCTCTTGGTGCTTTTCTAGGAGAGCCTTTAAGGCTTAGGACTTGCGAGCCGCCCTTTAAGCCTTAAGCCACTTTTATGTATTAGGCATAATATTACCACGACGATGAATATATGGATTCTTGCATATGATTCACATCCAAGAACAACCACGATCAGTCACGATGAGATCATTAAAGATTGGATATCGACACTTGAATTGATACTTACGAGTGATGGAAGAAAAAGAGGAGCAGTAGCCACTGCCCTCATACGTGGGATTTATGATTATCAATGACAATATTGTAGGTATTAGGATACGGATACTGGTGTCCTCGTTAATATTGATTGCGAATCGGAAAATTATGTTAAATATAGAGAGACACCTTCTGGCTGAGTGTGTAACGCTCGATGATCGCATCCACGATCTGACATTTTCCGCTATATTTCAGGATAGGTGCAGCAGCTTCGTCATCTGCGTGTTATGGTTACCTTCCTAGCTAAGGACCATTGATTATTGGTTCAAGCCATTGGATTCTCAATTTGACGTTGGTCTCCTTTCTCGGTCTACTTTTGTGCCTGAATATAACTGTATTTGTATGAACCTTTTTTTCAAATAAAGCATTGGGAGGGCGCACGTGCCTCTTTGTGTTTGTTTTGGGATTCTCTTTGTAAATATTGAAATGGAATGAAGATAGAACCACGTGAGTTGAATTAGAAAAGTGTATGTAGTATGCTGTACATCCTCCACCTGCTGCCTTTGCGCTGTAGGGATATTTGACTATATTCTTCCAATGTGACAACTAAGGAAGGCTGTCCATATGTACTTATGAGATTATTTTTTTAGTCTGTGTTTTTACAGTACTAGTTACCCCGAAAAGGAAAATGATATTTCAGTTCTCCAGGAAGGTCAGCAAGTTTAGCCTTAACGCGACTGTCTGGGGAACCCCTTCAATAATAATAATATTTCAGTTCTCCTGATTCCCCAGCTAAGCAGCGCACGGTGATCGTCTTACCTCCTATAGTTGTTGATAACATATTTTTATCTCGTTTGTCGAAATAATGTCTTGCAATTACATACATATAAAAGTATTTATTTTGTAAGGCTTCTGATTTCGTCTGATAGATTGTTTTAGATGTCCTCGAAAAATGATCGAAAAACAACTCTTGTTCTTGTTGGGTTAATACATCAACTTCGGAGCAAATTAGTGTGCAGGATCATGATGAGTTGAAATGTATGGTATCCCCGCGTTGCTGAGCGTCTTTTTAGAAGATAACAAAGCTAGCAGCTACTTCATATTTGTGATTTGTGATTTGGGTGAATATTCCTAAGTATTTCTTGATAATGAAAAGAAAATAGTGCTAGACGCATACTATTGTTAAAACGCGTTGCAGCGTCGTTTGGGATGCACCGTATGTGAAGTGGATTTGCTCGGAGGTTGTTCGTCGCAACACTTGTTATCTTGGTCACTTGTTATGGCCGTCGGCCTCGGTCATGTGCGATATATTTGACCTGTCGGTCTCGGTTATGTGGCCGGTTGCCATTCCTTAGTCTGTCGCACTGGAGGCAGGATACTTCCCTGAAATAACAGAATCTGTGAACAATGTTTAGGCTGCTCTGTCGTAACTACACTCGGTGAAGAAACAATCACTCGTCTCTCCACCCTGGTCATAGTTGTACAGACATTAGAGTTAGCCCGTGCGGATCCCAGAAGCCCACTGGATCTCCGTGTTGCGATTCTGGCTAAAGAAACTGATATTGTTTTGGAGCGTTAGTCTCACCACGGATGCGAAAACCTTTTATTTTCGATAGTAGAGGTACAAGCCAGTGTCCAGGAAACGAAGCTTACGTTTACGTAGTAAGAAGTACTAAAGAATGGCTTCCTCCTCCGGAACTCTGTCTCTGGTAAGCGCTACCCCAGGGCTTCTTGTGAGTGACTTCTTGTCTTCTCAATTCCTCTGTCCTTCCGGCAAAAGTTTCGCTTCGACAGCACCGCTACACCCACGCATTACGTTTGAGCCGGCCTTCTACGAGGAGCAAAAACGCATCAACCTAGAGGAAAGAACAGCACTGAGTTTGGAGCCATCGGGTTCGAAAGATAGCACAACGAGTCAGCTGGTGGATCTATTGCCGCCATTGAGTAAACGAGCTTCTTTACACGTGCACTTGTCGGACGCAACGAGTTCGATTGGGCGTGTCCTTTGGTCAGCGCGCTATCCTTTTGAACGAGTCTTACTACGCAAAGACGCGCACCTGGAACCATCGGCGCAACCGGAATTTCAACAGTTCTGCGCCACCACTCCACGCGCTGCGGCGCGAGCTATCAAGGCGAGTGATAACGGCATGCGGGCTGGAGCCAAGGAATTAGAAGAGCTGATGGATAGCGGTGCCCTAGAAGACGCGGTTGGCGGAGGAGGAGGGAGGAAGCGGAGGCCTAGATGGTACGACGAGGTCCTAAAAATGTAGGACGAGACGATTGTTCCTATCCAGAATTCCTCATGATGTCCAAGTGCAACGCGTACAAGTTGTAGCTCGTGGTTAGTACAGAAATGTTCATGAATAGCATTTTTCAATCTATGATCCACCATAACAAACAATCAGGTATAAGCTCACCCTGCATCGTCAAAATCTGGCTCCGATTGACGAAAGGGACAAGCCTTCAGTGGTGTCCAATGCAGACGCGAAGATTGACCCTAAGCCTCTCGCCGAAGCCCTTTTCAAGCTAACACCAGCACCGCCAGCAGCAGCTACAGTGACTGTTATGGGATGGGAATATCTAGATCGTCGTAGAGTGTGTCTGCAGTTTTACATAAGTAAGTAGCTGGTATGGTGTCTAATTATTTGTTCCTCATGGGAAATGAATTTTGAATATTGCCTCTACGCGATCTGCACTTACTTAACTTCTAACAGCAACTACGACTTCAAGGCACAGCAACTGGGAGATGATCCTGACGACGAAGAAACTCCAGAGCAGATCGCAGAGAAGATGAGCGATCTAGATGACCGTCTAATCGATGAAAACACTCTGGATGACGTTACACAGAGTTCTATAATTCCACCAAATGCAGATGTTGGGAGGCTGTTTTTGATACCTGCTGTTCACCGTGCAATGAGGAATGTAGTGTCGGGTTATGCTGGGGCAAGGGTGCGGAAGAGGAGAAGGAAGAAAGGATCTGGAGAAGGTTTAGACGGACGGGCAATGAATTCTGAAAGAAATAGCAGTTGTGCACAAGCCTTTGAGAGGAAGCAAAGAACAAGAACAGGCACGTTTTTTTGATTGAGTGAGTCCTTGTTTTCAATGTACGATGGATTGAGTTCTAGTTTCTTTTTGATACAGTTGGAGTCTAGTGGCCGCGTTGCACAAGCGCCACGTCAACGAGCTACTGATGCGGTCTCCAATAAGCGGCCGGTGGATGTCATCGTGTTCACCTGGTACAAAGTCTAGCACCTAAAGACTTGTCCGTCGTGGGTTCGAAATTCGTTCACGAGGAACAAAATGTGTTATGCAAATGCAAAAGGCGGATTAAGCAAACTTAAGAAGCCTGCTTCCTCTATGTCAAAGTCTTCAACATGATCCATTCCATTTTCAACCACATAGCTTTGGGCCTTGTGGGCCTTCCCACATCTCGTCTCAGAAGTGATTCTAGCTAAGATAGAGCTAAAGAGTAGAAGGAAAATATCTCTTCTGTCAAAAAAGAACAACATCCAATTCACTCGAGGACCCGAGAAGCAAAAAGCACAAACAAACATGCCGTTGCTCACGAAGACTGCCTCTCTGCTTTGCGCAGCGGCACTCTTGTCTGGCAGAGTCGCTGCACTCGAAGCCGAAGATTTTGAAGGCCTCCAATTAGTTCCGTCGATTGTTGAGCAGAGCTATACCAGTTCTTCGAGTAGTACAACTTCGGGCGATGGGAAGCAAGTGGTGACTCGGTCTGCCAGCTTTGCTTTCGGTCCTTTTCAGGACGTCAAGAGTGCTTGTATTTCAACTTTTCCGCTTCATTTTCATGATCGGTTGAGTAGGCTCTATGGAATTTATTGCTCCTACGAAGCAACCTGTATGGAAGTGTGTGTTAAGAGAAAGAAAAATGAAGAGAAAAAAAAAAGTTAAGAAGAGAAAGAAAAGAAACATGGTTTTTTATGCTCCACTCCCTTACTCGTTCAGGTTCTGCTTGCGCCAGAAAGGTGCCTGAAGATAGTAATGAGTTGTTGTGCATGGCCTCAATTGGCGAAGGTGGTCATGCGTTTGCAAGAGGCACGTCGCGGAATTTGTTGAAGTCGCCGTCTTTCCGAGCAACGGCGACCCATGAGAATTTGTGCCTATGTGCCGCAGAGGGACACTGTCGCGCCATTCAGAAGCCTAAAGAACAGGATCAGGAGCACGAAGAAGAAGATCTTCAGGACTCGCCGTCCGAGGATAAGCCGTCTAGTTCTGGGGCACAGCATTTGGTGACGAAGCGGAGTCGACAGGCGGGAACTTCATCCTCGAGGAAGGCAGGGTATTACGTAAGCATGTTCTAGGTCTGCTTGTCAATCTGATCTTCGAGCAAACGTGTCTAAGAACTCTGCATTCTTGTTGTGGATACTTAGGCATTCAAAGTCTCCATCTCCAGGTCCTCGAAGCTGCGTGATTGGACTAGCGATGTTTTTGCGGCTACTCCTTTCTTCGGACAAAATGCGAATGGTGGAAAAAGTCTATTCCCGACTGGCGATTTCGTGCACAATCTACAAGATGACTCGTCACCTCTTTTTGATGTTGATGCTGACAGTTTCTTCGGCAATGTCGGACTTCCATCCATCCGAATGCCGCAAATACCCTTCTTAGCGGATGACGAGGAGGGCTTTGCTCTTATGAGGATACATAGCTAGCAGGATCTAGGAGCTTTTGCTTGAGACGATGGGGTTTATTTTTTTCTTGGCAGAGTTTGCTCTTTTTGTCGTAGGTAACTGCAAATCATCACAAGTAAGTAACTGTCAGCGCTCTCTAATTTTCCCTCTCCGCACTTCCTTGGAGCAGACTCGAGGCGAAGAGACGACCCACTCGTGAAGAAGTCGAAGAAGAAGAGTGTCGTACCGGACGAGTCCGCTGAAGAATTAAGGCCTGTAAAAGAGAAGGTGAAGAAGAGATGGATGATTAATAGAAGGTGGATGAAGATTTTCTAGCCATCCCTCTAAGAAAGCAGGTCATCGAACGTGCAGGACAAATGAGTATGAGTTCAAGCTTTGGGCCTTTCACGCGTGGACCGGCAGAAGCCTGCGCTGCGTGCATGGGTATGGGCTATGGGGAACGTGAGGTACTTAATCCATATAGAAGATGTTTGCTTTCGCCTGTTTTTCGTAGCACCGCATTCTGTAAATTATCAAAGAGGTCGTGGATTGCAATTTTGCAATTTCAGTTCCAGACTATGGATCACGACATATGATGATTGTCATTGTTCAACGGTAAGATGATCATCCATGATCGCATCAGGGCGTCGGCTGTTTTGCGAGTCAGAAGACTACGTCCATGGCGCTCGCAGCCACTGCGGACGTTCTTGATACCATGAAGAATAGTAAGCAAGAGATGTGCGCGTGTGTCAAGCACAAGGACTTCGAGACTTGTCCGACGACTCTGGCTGACGTGCCTCCTCGGAAAGGTAAAGAGGCCGCTAAGGAGGCTGCTGGAGGAGAAGAGGAGAGCACAGAGATGGGGCAGAGTTCAGAAGAGAATGGGCCAGACGGGCAGCAAGAATCCGGAGCAGAAGCAGTGGGGCTCATTATGAACCTGAACGAAGTTATTTGAACAGTAAAATAGCTTCTGAGATCTGCTGAAGTAATTGGTAGGCTTCTCCATCGGTTCAGTTCCACATTCATCATCATCCTTGGGCAGCTACTCTGATTAAGATGTGGACAATTATCCATCGTGAATTTCTAAGTCCTTGCCGCCGTCGCAAGCAGATCAAGGGCAAAACGTGCCTCCTGAAGATGTGGTTTCTTCGAACCAGTACGTTCGACGGGTGAAGAAAAGGGGGCGCGGTGTTGCCCACGGAGACGAGGTCATGAATTCTTATGAATGGAAGTTGGAATACTCATAGAGGATAGGGATAGTTTTGCCATCGCCTTATCTGATATTCAAGACAGTTTTTAGTAGGCGCATATTGTAGGGTCTTGATAAATAAATATATGTATGATTAACTTCCTAGGTAGACAGACTGCGCCTAGAATAAACGGATCCTAGACTAGATGGCCAAATTTTTATTAGTTCTAATGTATATACCTTCACCTTTTTCAATCTTTCCTAGGTAGGTTGGCTCCACCACAAAATATATAACTTCCTAGATTACTCCATTTCCTGCACACCGCTTTCATAATCTACCAGCTGGCGCGCCACAGCAGTTGAAGGACCTTTTTGGTGGAGACCAGTTGAAAGATATGTTTGGTTTCGGCGATAGCAAGGGTTCCATCTGGGATCATCCGATGTTTGGACGATAGGGGTAGAATTTTGACGGTTTTGCAAAGACGAAAAGGACGAAAGGGGAGCTTCATCCTGATGAAGAGAACGAGCAACGAATGGTATTGATAGATGCAGTTGAAGGGACAGCACAGATTATTTCCGTTTCAGGTTGTTGCAACTTACTTGTGAAAAAAATTTCTCATAGATATTGTATAGACCATAAAAATGAATGCTCGAAGATACAGTGCTGACTCTTGTAGAAAGAAAAACTTTGACTTGTTTTCGATTTTAGAAGTGGAGACGAAATGACGCCACTTGTTGTGTGCTGTCTCTTTGGCACAGTTTTGCAGTTGCTGTGTATCTGCAACTAAGTTCTTGGAACTTGTGTGATAAAATCTCTGATCCCTCCAACCTGAGAAAGTGCGGATGACTAAGTACATCGATCTATTTCCACAGGTCCTACAGGAAGTCCTCGTGTCTACTTGAAGTTCAACGACCAATGTATGTCCCACCCTTCTACCACGTTATTCCTGGATGTTTTCAGCATCATCTCTGACTTCAGTGTTGAGTAGGCGCTTTTTTGACTGTTCGATGAAAGCTCTCTGCCCATCTTAAGGATTCTACCGAGTAGCTACAACTTCTTTTCAAATCAAGGTGTTTTCATCCGCCTAGTATAAAAAACAAGCAAAAAAATGTTGGGTGGTCTTTTGGGTCTTGGCGGCAACAAGCGCCCTGCTGCTTCGTCTTCTACCGCTGCTGCCTCTTCTAGTGCGCCAGTGTTGGTCCTCAAAAAGCGGAAAATCGTGCATACACCATCTGCCGACAAGCCCTCTTTGCTGTGGGTAGATAAGTATCGTCCCCTTTACCTTGACGAAATGGATTTGCACTCTGACTTCACTAAAATTATGCTGGATGCGGCAAGAGCGAAGGAGTTGCCGCACTTGTTGCTCTATGGCCCGAACGGAGCAGGGAAGATGACGAGGGTATAATTGCACACCCGTCAATATAATTGGCTGGGTATTACTTATATATCATCATCGTCAACATCATTAAGGAAAAGGAAGAAGGTTGGATAGACAGTATCATGGTTGACTCTGGTGAGTTCCAGAACATTGCCCCCTCCCACATGTTCCCTCGTGGTGCTAGTACAACATTTTCATTCTCTGACCGGGAGTCATTTAGTACAGTACCCAGGCGCAATAAAAATCCACGCTTTCCACCTTGCCGCCACATCTCCTAGGTGTACGCTTTATTGCGGCAAATATTTGGTCACGCAGTGGACGAGACAACAACGAAGATGCAGACTGTGGGCGAAACATCGTCAACAAAATTCGAGATATGTACAAAAAGCTCTCTCTACCATCTGGAGATCAACCTGAGTGACGTCGGCTTCAGAGACGTCAAAGTCGTAAAGAGCCTGCTGAAGGAGTTTACGGGGACGAGACCGGTATTTGTTGCTTTGATGTAGCGCTGAAAATAGATAGAGCGTGTTAATACAGCATACGACGGGGAGACAACATGGACAAGATCTTGATGAAAATGTTCCGATGAAAATGTTCTCACCATATCTAATGAAACGATCTTCTCACCATATCGACATCTTTAATAGAAAACCCTCTACTCCCACAACGCAGTTAAACCGTGCTGCCTTTAAAGTAGTCGTCTTGAAGGGCGCAGACAAGTTGACCAACGAGTGTCAGACGGCTCTGCGTCGCTTGATCGAAGTCAGGTCGGAGACGAATCGCTTCATCTTCGTGTCTAAGTCTATCGGGGCGATGATATTGCCGATCCAAAGTCGTTGCTTCCCTTTCCGACTATCCTTGCCCTCAGATGCCGAAATTAAGCGAGTGCTCTCGGACGTGTTGCAGCAGTTATGTTGGAAGAGAACATTAAATATAGTTTGAATTTGTGCTAGGGTAAGCATTATGAAAGTCGCCCAACATCCTCAGAGCCGATGGGAGGGATCAATGAGAGGGATCTCTAACCTAACCGAAGTGAACTAAAAGCTGATGCTAAAGGTGCAGCAATCCTCGTGATCCCCCTATTCTTATCCCTCCTGATCCTCCCTCTTCCTCTCCTCCTCCCCCCGCTAATTTCCGAGCGCATGCCGAACCTCATCCCACAGACGAACTTCGATGGTATCATTCAAGCCACTGGAAATGATTTGAGGAGAGCCCTCTTGAAACTCGAAACCATGGTCACAGGAGGAAACATGCAGCAAGTGCCTGGCGAGCCATGGGAGAATATCTGTGGACAAATAGCCCAATCCATACTGCAAGGACCTCATAATCCCAGGACGCTCCTGGACATTCGATCCAAGTTCTACACGCTTTTAGCAGCAACGGTTGACTTATGTTGAAAATGGTTGATTCTTTTCTGACGTCTTATACTAGTGAGTGAGATGATGAACCGAAGAGATACATCATTTTAGATATTATAACTTGTAGGAGTTGGGAGGGCCATTTCTTCATCGATTCGAGCTTCTTTATTATTTAGTACTTCACTGCTCGTCGTAGCCTTTTCAGGTTGAAGATGAAAATAATTCCCCTTGTTCTTACCTCTTCAGTTCTGAAGAACACTTCTCTAAGGCTGTCAGGAACGATTATGACAACCGTTTGCGATCAATTGGCGCAGAGGTCGCCCTATATAATCTCAGCTATATGGAATGTCGCTTCGATTTACGATGTAATGTTATGGCAGAGGATGAATTTCCAGTAGTATGCAAAGTCAAATCTCCAGTAGTATGTAAGTCAAACTTGGTGGTGAGTTCTCCTAGGTTGTTCTTGCTTCCTACCGGCAATGGAAGAGATGCTAAAGAAAGGAGTTCTTGTTTCCAGAAGTGTTTCCACCCTTTCTAATGTACTTGAAGAAATGCGGCAAAGAGATTTTTGCTCTGGAGGCTTTTGCAGCACGGCTGATGGCCATTATAGGGAAAATGGTAGCCGAGCAGCAACAGCAAATGCAACAGAGAAGGTAGTAGCTTTGAGAAAACGACTTCGATCAGCTGAGACGCATTGATGATGATGTGCTGTTGGAAACGGCTCTCCAAACCACTGTTTTACCATGAATACAACAGAGAAAGTAGGTCTCGTCTTCATCTGAAAGGTGGCATGGCGAAAACACATGATTGGAACTCTTTTGTGCCGCCGTTAGGTTAGCAGTACTGACCAGCTGTTTGGGACGCCTGTCTGATGGCGATGTCAGTCGATTCGGATCGGATAAACCCGAAAAAAACGGAACCAAAAGTCTCTGGGCCCTTAGCGCCATCAAGCGGGCCGCTCGGGTCTGTTTCGTTGCGCTAAGGGTCCGGCTGGCTGGCTGCGCCCCGCCGTTTTCGCCTTGTACTCCGGCCGGCGCCACTTTCCTCTCCGCTGTCCTGCCAGCCTCCCGCCCCCGCCGCTCCCTTCGGCACTTCCTGCGCCTCTTCCCCTGTCTCGTTCTCCGCTCTCGTCTTCTCCTCCCTCCCCTCGTTCGTTCCTCGGCGGCCCTTTCCTCCTCCTCTCCCTGCAAAACTAGCCCCCGCGACACCCGTAGTACTTCTGTGTATTCTAGACTTCAGCGCCCGATAGCTCTCCCTCCACTAGAATCCTCCACCCCCTTCGGGCATTCCTTTCGCCAAGACGCGCCTCCCCCGCTCCTCTTCCGCCAGCTCGCGACGCTTTCCAGGCGAAGTGGTCCGCGCCAGAGGAGTCGGAACAGAGGCGCCGCGGAATTTATCAGAGGAGGCCGCTTCTGTCTCTGAGGTTTTTGAGATGTCTCGGGGTTTGTCTGCTTTTGAATTTAGTGCAGGGCTTTGGATTGGGAGTCTCGAGTGCGAAGCTTCGCACGTAAGTCGTTGAGGTGGAGACTCGGCGCGAGATTGATGGAGGCTTTTGGCTTGCAGCTTGAAGCCCGCGGCCGCTTTCAGTGTGAAGCGCTGAGGTTTAGCAAGGCTCGGGGAGTAAAGCTTCGGGCTTGTCGCTTTGATTTTGAGGCTTTGGACTTGCAAGCCGAAGCTTTGGACCCGGGCGAAGTGCTGGGCTTGAAGGGTTTGGCCTGAAGTCTTGGATCTGAGATTTTGGGTCGGAAGTTTTGGACTTAAGATATTGGATTTGCGGCTTTGGATTGAAAATGTTGGACTTCAGGCGTTTGGCTTGAGGTCTTGGCTTTGAAATTTTGGGCCTGAAGCCTTGGTCTCGAAGTTTGGGGCTTGAGGCCTTGGGCCTGAGGCTTTGGGCTTGAGTTTTTGGATCTGAGTTCTTGAGTTTGAAAATGAAACTTTAACTTAGTTTTGGTTGACAAAGTCAAAACTTTGCGGCTTTTGCGCAAAGTAGCAAAGCTCTTGGGCTTTATCGCTTAAAATCTAAATTGTCGAGTTTTTGGCTCAAGTGTATGTGGTTCAAGTGTTTTTGGTCCGAGTGTTTTTGGTCCGAGTGTTTTTGCTCTGAGTGTTTTTGGTCCGAGTGTTTTTGGTCCGAGTGTTTTTGGTTCAAGTGCTTTTGGTTCAGGTGCTCTCGGTTCAGGTGTTTCCTGTTCGGAGCTTGGGGGGGGGCGTTGTTGATTTTTCATTATGCGTGAGGGCTTAAAGCCTACATGCTATCGATTTTCGCAAGTTTTTCTGACATTCAATCGCTTGGATTCGAATGCCTCAAATCCAAAAGCTCTCGACTTTGGCGAGCTCTTCTGCGATTCCACTGCTTGGGTTTGAATCCCTCAAGCCCAAAAGCGTTCGACTTTGGCGAGCTTTTCTGAAATTCAAGAACGGGAAGGCCTTCGACTTTAGCAAGCTTCTCCGACATTCAATTTCTTGGTTTTGAATTTCTCAAATCCAAAAACTTTCGACTTTAACGAGCTTCGCTGAGATTCAATCTCTTGGATCGTAATTTGTCAAATCCAAAAACTTTTGATTTTCGCCAGTTCTTCTGAGGTTCAATCTCTGGGATTTCAGTCGCTCAAATCCAAAAACTTTTGACTTTGCCAAGCTTTTTCGCGATTCAACTTCTTGGCTTTCAATTTCTCAAATCCAAAAACTTCGACTTTCGCGAGCTTTTCTGAAAATTCAGCTTCTAACTTGGATTTCAATTCGTCAAATCCAGAAACTTTTGATTTTAACAAGTTTGGCCGAAATTTAATTTCTTGGCTTTCAATTTGTCAAATCCAAAAACCCTCGACTTTCGCGAGCTTTTCTGAAAATTCAGCTTCTATCTTGGATTTCAATTCGTCAAATCCAGAAATTTTTGATTTTAACAAGTTTGGCCGAAATTTAATTTCTTGGCTTTCAATTTGTCAAATCCAAAAACTCTCGACTTTGCCAAGGTTGTCCGAGATTCAATCGCTTGGACTTGATTCGCGAGCGCTCGCAAATTCGTAGACCCATAAATTCGTAAATTCATAAATTCGCAAACTTAATAAATTCACAAGTTCCTAATTTCAGGAGTTCATGAGTTTATGATTTTGAATTTAGAGAGTGCGAGTTTGGTGGGGTTGTTGTTGCGTTTTTTTTAGCTCTTTAATATTTACGTATGAATTATATCGAAATTCACTCTACTATCTTCAATGAAATGTGATGAGTAGAATCGATGCGACTTTCTTAGAACCGAAGAATTATCAACAACCTGGAAATAGTGTGTTCCTGACTGAGTCGTAAGAGCTGTTGACGGAAAGTGCTGTATCACTACGTGCAAAGGTAGTCTGGCGTGAGAAGGAGAGAGAGCAATCTGTGAAGACGGCAGTGAGGCTTACAGATAATTCTGTCAGGATACAATGATCCTGGAGGTCCTACGAGAAGAACAGTCTGTGGTGAGAGTCTCATACTAGATCTATCTGATTGAGCCTCGTTAATCAATCAAGCAGGCACGTGGCGTTGGAAACTGTCCAAAGAGAAGATCACGAACAGTCAGCGCTGATGAATCAATGATTCTGTCCTACGAGAAGAGCACTCTTCTGTATTGGCGAGAGACTCATAGATGATGGATTGATCTGATTGAGCGTCCTGCTGGATGAATTAGAGAGGAATGCTTAAATGTTCTTGTTCTTGAGTTGTCATTCTAATACCGCTGCTTCATAAGATGCCCTCCCCTCCAACCTAATTCCAGTATTCGCAAGCTTCTGCTTTTTTTCCCCGCCTCGGTCGAATTCAAAAAAAAAAAAAATTGAAAAAAAGACGAAGTCGACTGTTATCACTGAACTAGCTATCATCTCGTTGTAGAAAATCATTGGGTTGATTTTAAGGAGATTGAAGATTAAGTTTACGCCTTGTGAAGTGAAAAAACATCAAACTAAGTAGTCCACCGTTAATTCAACATTGAAATATTTTAAAAAACGCATCGCATGCGCATGATCAACAAGAAACTAAGTAACAGATTTCATCTACTCGCAATATATTTAAGAGTAAGTAGTATCTAACTTTCCAGTACTGCTGCTACGTACTGGATCATCATCTTCAATCTACTTCACCGTTGCTCTTTTAGAAATCAAGAACAACAAAATGGCGTGCTGCGCGGGTAATAGTCGAGCCTCCAAGCGTGCCTCCAACGGTGCTGAGAATGCTGACGCAGGTACTGCAAGTGGTGCGGGAACTATTAAGGCCTTCCATCTTTTATCCCATCTGTGAGCTGTTTCCAAGAAGAAAAGCGGAAGCAGATGATGGGAATTGTAGTGATCACCAAACGTCTATCATTTTTATTCATTGTATGATTTCTTTTGTAACTGCCGTGTTTCTATTCGGGTCACAACTGAACGAGGCACCAGTTACTTGTAGCTACTACGTGGTTCGTATGAATGAATGAATGGATTCCTGTGAGTTCTAAAACTTGCAAGAAGGACCCCTTGGCTATGTACACGGTCTCCATTTTGGCGTCTCCTTTGGCCGACGAACCCGAGGGGTCCTACACCGTGATGACAGCTGAGGAAAAGGCGGCTTTGCAACAACTGCCAGGTGAGAAGCAAATGCCCCAAGGCGAGGGTGAAGCTGCTCCGGAGGGGGAAGCCGTCCACCCAATCGAAGAGGGGGAAGCGCTGACGGATCGCGGCCTGTACCGCGACGCGCCGAGCCCCAACACGATGTTTGGCGGAGTGGTGCCGGTCGGAGGGGGCTCCGGTGGACGCAATTTCACCATCCCGAAGAAGGCTGGATCTGGAGAACCGACCTCTGGAGAGCCTAAGAGTGCCGATGGTGCTCCAAAATCTGGTGGCGGTAAAGTTTGGGTTGAACATTCTGGCTTTGGAAATCGGACCTATGTCGGAAAAGCTGGCAGCAAAGACGCGCCTGCTTCTCGTGGTTCTGCCGCTGAAAATATCGCGAATCAAACATCGGCGGTGGAGCCCATTTCAGCTGGAGGCCAAGGTGACGTCGAACCGGTGAAAACTTCCGACGTCGTACTCACGACACCGGAAGCTGCCCAAACTGCGACCGAAGCTGCTGCGCCACAGGCCCCTGTGTCTCCCGCAGAGAAGGGTGAGAAGGAGGAAGAACAACACCTTGAAGTGAACTCCTTGAATCTTACGGCTTGATGGTCAAACTAGAAGTTCTAGTATGTATCTGTAGTTCTACAGTCTTTTTTTTAGTCTTAAATGATGATCTCTTCGTCGAATATGAATAAATATTATTTGTGAATAAGCAGCAGGCAACGACTTAACTACTCCTGCTTAAGCAACTTCGTTACTACGTAACAACTGCTCACTAACTAGAAAAAGTTGTATATCTATAAGATAAGAACAACACTAGCTATAGTATGCTAGTCACAAAAATTGAAATCTCTTTTTCTAATCTCCCGCAAGTCTCTGAGGGCGCACCGGTGGTTGCAATGCAAGAAGTCGCTGGGGAAGCAAATGCTGCTATTCGGAAAAGCATCGCGGCTGAGGGCGTTGCTGGTGTCAAAGAGCAGGCTCTCGCTGGCATGAGGAAAAGCTCCATGTACTGCGTCGCTGTCGTCGAGGAGGACAAAGCGAGTGTGCCCACTTCGGTGAATCTGCAAGAAGTTGCGCAAAAGCGCAAGAGCCGCGTCGAGGCGGTGGCCGCTTTGGACATGAAGATGGCGGAAAAGCGAACGCAGGCTGTGAAGAGTAAGGTAAACCAGACGAAGTTGGACGCGGACGCTCTGGAACAACAGCGCATTGAGGAACCGATCACAGCTTTGGACTCGCCACGTATGGTCGCGAAGAAGAAGGCACACCGAGTGCCGCACCCGCACCACGACAGACCGCAGTACAAAAATCTTAGCTACACGCCAAACGCGAGAAAGTAAAAAGAACTGTTGCGCACTCTTGTAGAGGTTGAAGAGGAGTAAAGAAGTTGACATAGGGCACTAAGAGGTGCTTGAGGGAGATGTTATCAGGTGGATTTTATGGGGTGAAACGAGTCCTCCTTATATATAGATGATACCACTTTTTGCTAGACGAAGATGTTCGGATTGCTGTACTAAGAAGTACATGTTGTAGTGGTCTCCGCTGTAGTTGGAACAAGAGGGAAATGTTAATTGGACATAAAGATTGGTGAAAATGAAAGTGTGTGAAGAATTTTTTCAATCCATATTCATTCATGAATATTTTTTTTCTCAGATAGTAAATATGTACTACGAACCAACTAGGTTGGAACAAGGAAGTGTGCGCATAGACATTTTTCCGATTTTTCCGAGAGAAGAATATATTCTCTCTTTGTACTTGACAAAGGATTTTTAACTAATGCCGGAGTAAGTTCGGATATCTTCCATGATAAAAGAGTTGTACATGATAGTGTTTTTCATTTAACTGCAATGATTAACGCAGAAGATGGTTATGACGTAACACAACAGATCGAAGAACTCAAGCAAGACAGAGCTATTGCTTTTACACAAGGTCGGTCGATTTTCGATAGATCTTTTATCCCAAATCAATGAGTTGCAACAGCGACCGGTAGAATTTGTTAACGGCCTCGCGCACCGCGCACGTATAGTTGCAGCGCAATTACAATTGTTGTAGCGCAATTATACTGTACTTGTACCGCAATTATTGCTACTAGGGATTGAAAATTATTTTGTTTGCCACAGGCAGGTGACGTACAAGTGCCTATCAGGAAGTTCGTTGCCGAAGAGGTTGATACTTTCTTACCAGTGCTGTCGTGGTTGTGAAATTTTTACCGAAGAGTAGCTTACTGAACTAAACTTGTGTAAGAACTACTCAAGAACTACGTAAACGGTGGTAACTAGCTTTGTTACCAGTGTATAGCTGGTGCTAGGACGCCAAAGATGCTGACTGACTTTGTCGATTCCTTTTTCAGGGTTTTTTCTGAAAAGCGAATCCATAAGAATTGAATTTTCCGAAGGAGTTTTTGTGAGGTATCCGAAGATAGAAGCAAGTCTAAGAATGTGAATAATAATTGGTGATGAATCGAAGAATTGAAGATATGCAAAAAGATGAGAAGATTAGAATATTGGCTGAAAAGGACTAAAAGATTCGTATGATGGATGACACTCAAAAGGACTAAAATGCTCTATTTGTGCCGAAGAGCACCCAAGGATTGTAGTGTGCGCCATATCTGCAGACGAGAAATAACAGCACGAAAAAGACCACTCATACGAAGATTTATAACAGGAATGCAACATAAGTGATGCTATCGAATTGAACAACGCCACATTGCTATGTTTTTTCCAGCAGCAAATGAAAAATACGCATGACCAAAAAAATGGAGTCTACCGGACGAAGTAGAGAAACTACATTTATTTCTCGACTCTTCCGTTGATGTTGGAGTCTATCCACGTGATGTTCAACACCGGAATCTGTAGACTGAAGGAATATGAAACTTCTAGGCGTCTTTCAGTCTGGAAATCCACTTCGTCAAGGTGCTGTCGAAACAGAACAGTGTCCACACGATGTCACTTCTGATCCGATCTTATTGGAATTTGGCTCCACTAATGTTTGCCCTTATGGTAGTCTGCACTGAACTTTGTGCGAGAATAATTGTATTGTATAGTATTGTATACTACTCCAACCTGGTTGTAATGTCCCTAGCCTCTTCCTTCTCCTTGCACAGTTTCCAGCAGTAAACAGAAATCGTAGACTCTCATTCTTAACTTATATTTTTAGCTTTTGGAGTTCTTGGTAGATATTTGCTCTTGGTATATAGGGATCTAGATATACAACATGACTCTTGCTGAAAGCTTTTGCTTTTCATACAAACTGAGTTAAACTTTGGTTGTAATGATCTATTTTTCTTTTGGTGCTTGCTTTTTTTACAGTTCCACTCCTTCTAGAAATTTAGACTTTGAACAAATGTCTTAGGTATATCTGACTATTAATCATCCTTTGGTTGTAATCTCTAGTAACAAAATGTCGATATTTTGGACGTTTTGTGCGTACGTGATGTTCCCGACCGCGTGCGTCGCGCTATTTTTGATGCTCTCTGGCATTGGTTTTCTGGAACGACTTGGATGCAGTATCTGTTGCGCTGACGTACAGCTAGGGACATTCCGCTGCAATATTCTCTTAAGACCAGCAGGACTAAGATGATGTTGACTAGGTTTGCTGGTTATGATATTATATTTGCAAATTCATACAACTAGTAGAATGTCTATGCCAAATCACGTACACACGCTCCTTGCCCACAGAAGCAACCAATTATCAGCACTCTCTTCGACTACAGATGCATAGTTGTATGAGATCATCAGAATGACCATCGTCAACATCCCCATTCTGTTTCCTCCTCATCCTCTATCCTCTAATCTTCGTAGTCTTTGTGCTCTTTTCGGTGATAGGGTTCGGGACCAGTATTTTGGGTGTCGAAAAATACGAGAAGCTCCGTGCAGAAGGAACCGAACACGTGTCCTTGGATGACAGGTAAAGTGTTTCGATTGTTGGCTGATAGGAGGGTACATTCTGGTTGGATGATAGCCAGGAGGTTTGTGATTGTTCCAACCCTGAGTAATTAATCTTGCAACTCCTTGATTGATCTTCTTCTGCAAGAACTCGATTTATACTTGCGGGACCAGCGAAATTGGTGGATTTCAGGCTGTTTACTTTAAAGGTGTCTTAAGGGTCCTTTAGCATTCACATTAAAGACGTCTTAGGGGTCCTTTAGCATTCACATTAAAGACGTCTCAGTGGTCCTTTAGTGTTTACATTAAAGGCGAAGAGTGTTCGGGGATTTTTAATAGTATTCAAATAGAGTATTATGATGTACTTGCTAATGCTAGGTATAAGCTGCAGCTTTTCCGGGACCAGCGAAATTGGTGGATTTCAGGCTGCAATTTGATTCTTTGGCTGGTTTGCTGGCGTGTCCAGGCTTTGATGCGGTGGAAGAACACTGTACCGGGATCGTCGAAAACGACTAGTGATACTGCGTCCCCATCTGCGGCAGGATCTACAGCAGCCAAACCAGCGGTTGTTGAAAGCAAAGAACCGAAAAAAGAACGATAAATGCTGTTTCACATGATAGAAGGTGGAGTACATTGGTTTCACTTAAAACCTAAAAGATAAAGATACTTAGATAAGTAAAGGACATGATAAGTAGTTAGATACATGAGATACACTGACGCGCTGTCGTTTACTTCGCATTTTTACGCATCATCGTATTTTTCGCATTTTTACATGAAAGATGAAAATCAAGCGCTGACCGAATCTGAATCTAGCACTAACTTCTTTCTTTACTCCTTCCCACAACTGACGAGAGTAGCAGACTTAAACTTTCTATATGCGGTGCTCAAACTACATTTCGGCCACATTTGTTTTCCTATGGTACAAAACACTATAGTGGACAAATAACACATCAGAGAATACTGAAAGTCTGTTCAACATCAGACACAGCACTATGATTCTCGTGACGAGATAAGTGTGGCCACACTCGATCTCATAGACCCGCACCACCTGGCTACAAATATCCCCCACCCTCCTCCCTCGTTGTAACCTAAGAAGTGGTCGTCGTCATATTCATGCTACCGTACCTCCTGTGTCTCGGTTGTAATTTTCGGGAGAAGTACTTCTCTCATTTATGCTTGGTTCGTGCTGTTCTTTTGTTTGGTTGTTCTGCCTCGGTGCCTCGCCATCGCGTACATAGTTCAATCACTTCGTCAGTGTGGTCGACCAATCAAGTGACCAACCTGTATGCAGGTTTGTCGTAAGAGATACGCGCATCGAAGACGTGCCTCTAGTGACCTTAAGCCTATTGGAGACGCTTTTTGAGAGGAGAGACGGGCCGCTTATTGAAGATGACAAGTTAGCATGCTGAATCTACGTCAGTATTCTCCATCTCTTGGTAGTCGCATTGAATGGGACAGTGTCAACATGATAGAATGGTACAGCGTCAATTTGATCTTTTTCCTGCTCTGAGGAGATTCGAATTTCTTTCCTCACCCTCCATTGTTCCTTCACTTTTACAACCTGGTCGCCCTCTGACAAGATTTGGATTTCCCTTTTCTTCTTTGAAGAAACTCCTCCACGTCCACCTTCCTACCTCTAAAACGAAGACGAGGGAAAACGACTCTCTGCGCGTCTCTCTACAACGTCCTTTGACAAGCTTCCAGCATCGATTGAATATTTTTTATCCGAGGAGCTTTGCATTTCTTTTCCTACTTGTGCTTCTTTCCTTCCTTGGCATTCCGATTTCTTGTAGTGCGTTTTCTTACGACTACATCGTCATCGGAAGTGGAAGTGCAGGCTCCGTTGTCGCGTCCAGATTAGCCCAGCACAACTATCATTACGAGCTCAATCGACAATGACGATTCGTTAAGATTAAATCGACAGGCTGAGATCATACAAGAGTCACGTTCCTGAGGAGCCCTTGTCGAACTGTTAGGGTGTCTATTGCACCTTTTACTCTTCTAATAATCAACTCTTTTGATCGAGGCGGGAGGGGAAAGCGAGCCATTGACTACCTGCGACTTCTACAATGAGCACACTCATCAGTTTCAAACGTGGCAATACCCGACGAAGTTTCATGATAAGAGGACCTTCATAAACAACCCGAAGGAATGGCGCGACAAGGTAGTGCATGGCAAGGTGGCAGGGGGTACCAGCATCGTTAACATTATGATGCACCTGCAAAATCTACCATTTTTATCTCTAGGACCGCTACCTACGAAACAAAATGCCCAGGAATCCCGGACATTTTCTGTCGAAGTCTCTAACAGTAGTTGTCTCTTTACACCGGCTGGACTGCGTGAATTCGAACACCTAGGGTATCAGTGGAACGCCACCGCTTTCGCTGAAGCGTATTTGTACTTGCAGAAGTTATGGAGGTGCTGGAGGTCAACCAAAATGTGCATCACGCCACTCTGGTTGCAGATGAATCCATTTTGATGATTTATTTTTTCGAGGCCGAGTGAAGAAGTGGCGAGGAAGTCAATTATGCATTTATTTATCATGAATTAGTCAGATGACGTCACGACAGAGGAGCAGTGCAGTTTCCTCTAAGAACCGAGCTTCCGGTGGTACATAAGCAGTTCCGTAATGGCATCTACACAGAGATAGTCCTTCTCAAGTTGATAGAGAAGGGTCTCTTCAACTTCGTGCACGAGAAAGAGGAATCCAAGGAAAGAGTTGTTAAGGCTACCGCGGAAGTATCCTCTTCCTCAGCATCATGATCTTTGGGCTTTTTTATACTTGAAAAAGAAGGCAAGGATGCGCTCCTCAGGGATGCGTCGCGGTAGCTCTAACATATTGGACCAAAATGTTGATGTCCTTGAAGATCCTCACGAACAGCGGGAGGACAGAGGCAAAGCTGTTGCTCAGACATCCCCAACAGGGGACGAGGAAGAGAAAGCGGTGGGAGATGTTACTATAGGTCTAAAGGAAGACGAGGTAGTGGATTCAGAGACGGGAAGTCGGCGCAAGCAACTCACCTCAGTTACGTGTGGGCTCACAGTAGTTCATGTCACCAACCATCTTCATGATCTTGCTCTCTCTCTGTTTCCTCCTTAGGGACTAAAAAGATGAGTTTGAGAGATGATCTCTCCCTCTCCCTAGTCTCTCCTTCGTTACGAGTTACTTGTTAAAAAGATGAGTTTATAGGATATGTCATTAGATAAAGAACTTGATCGGAAGATGATTGATCTAACACAGCCAGTATCAAATCGCGTGCAACGCATCTATTGGATCATAGTGGATACCGACGTGGCTGGTGGCTTACGACAGACGAGAATTATAGACGGCGGACCACCTACGACTCCTTAGTCACTCAGAAAGCGCTGCCCAACCTCGACGTTTGGCTCAATGCAACAGTCACGCGCATACTGTTCGACAAAGATGAGAAGTTAAGAGGACTGTGGTGGAAGAGACTTTGGATTCTAAGTGAGAAGTACACGGAAAGAACGTGTAAAAGAGTTCCCTCCATAGTCTATCATGCCTAGATCTTCCCACGTTTATAATTTACTGGGCTCGGAGCTAGATCTCACCTTTGTAATTCACAGAAGTACATCTCATCCGCTAATTCTTTCCCAAAGTAGCAGTGTTCGAGAAGAGCCACGTGCGATTGGTGTGGAGGTCCAAGCTGGACATTTGGGGTTGAACTCATTAAAGGTGTATGCCAGACGAGAGATCGTACTTTCTGCAGGTGCTTTGGGGACGCCTAAGCTTTTGACTCTCTCGGGTATCGGCGACCCCTATGAACTAGGCAGACTCGGCATTTCGGATACGGTCGTGGAAAGCTATGCGGTTGGCAAGCACCTGAAGGACCATTTTTGCTGGGTGGGCTATGTCATGCTTGACAAGTATGTCCAGAACAGAGACGATTGTGAGTCTGGGGTACTGGGAAAGGAACGCCTCGGAATATTCCTGAATATTACTGCAGATGGTGGAGGAAGAGAGGAGGCAGGCGACGACGCATTGGATGAGGGAGACATCAGGAAGCTGAAGATTTTGAACAGTATTCAAACTTACAGGGAAGAAACTAACCCCTCCAGGGACGATTCTTCAAGTACAGCGGATAAAAGTAATACATTAACTTCTGTTGGAAAGACGAAGATATCAAGAAAGACAGGACACCAAGAACTCGAACATCACAGCAGCATTAGTTCTGAGCAAGACCTGACGCATTATATGAGTGCTGCAGATCAATTTGCCGTAGAAGGTGAAATCCGCATGTTCAGCAACTGCGTTGAGGCCGATGCGGAGACGTTGCGCAAGCGCACAGATGAAGTTACCAATAAGACAAAGGAAACTCGTAGTGATAGTGCCAAAGAAGACGAGCCCTCATCTGGCGAAGAGGATCAAGCTGAAGACGAGTCAATAAATTATGACTTTTCATCGACGTCTAGTGCCAATAATTGATGTCTGTAGTAACTCGACAAATGTAAACGGCGATAGATGCGAGGACGATCTTATTGTCATGGTTGATTAGAGGTGCCAATGTCCTTGTGTTCGTCGGTGGCATTATATTTTTGGAGGAAGCTGCTAGTTAGTACTACATGTAGATGTACATAAGTAGTCAATTCTATTTCAATTTCTAACAAACCATAAAAGACGTGCAAATCCAACAGGTGCCGACGGAGCAGATCCATTACACCGTGGAATTCGTTCAGATGCGTCCGAAGACCACAGGACGTGTTTACTTGGCGTCCAAGTCGGCGAATGCTCGGCCGATCCTGGAGTTCCCAAGAATATTTGATGAGGATTATCAATACATGTTACGGCGATGAGGATTTGTCTGTCACACAATATTACTCAACACATCATGCGAGTACGATTACTCGAGGATTATGCTAGTACCCAAAAACTTTTTGACTACCTCATCTTCTGACTCATTCTGTACTAGTTCACAGTATTATTAGCTACCTCTTCTAAATCTAGCTGGCATGTCACGTTGGATGGGTGACCAGTTTTCTGCCTCTGGCGTCTCCAGTGAGCCCATCACCGAACAAGCCTTTTCTCCTGGCGCCTATGAATCTGCCAAAGCCACAGCAAGATTATACCAGCACCCCTGTTGCAGTGCTGGTGTCAATCGAGTATTGGATCCTTGGCTTAGAGTGAAGTTAGGGTCTACGTTAACTCATTTTCGCACTTCGTAGTAGAAGGCTGCTAGTTCATTTCCGTGACTTATAATTTTGCTCTGTCTCCCATTTCTTCTTGGGACACCCCTAAAAAAGTAAAAGTCAGGAATCTGGTAGGAAGACGAAATGAATTAGAATTTTTACTGTTCTTGTCTCTCAGAGAGTAGACTCTTCCTTTGTAGATAATTCTTTTCCTCTCTCTCTTCTCTTTTCTCGAAGCCACGGTGTCCGAGGATTACGTGTAGCAGATGCATCAGCGTGGGAAGAGATTCCTAGTTCTCATTTAGCAGCGCCAACGATGGCTCTGGGCTATCTCTGTGCGAAGTGGATGCTGCATGACGCTGCTGCTGCGGAAGATCAGACCACTATTATGTTCTCGACCTCGTTTATTATAGGAAAACAACACACAAAAATACGTCGTCCAATGAATGGATTTTTTTTGAATTAGTACTGCAGAAGCAGAAGAGTTGTGGCACTAGTTACTCTCAATTATAATATGGTCGTATAGATTTATTATCTACAATGATCGAACGATTCTAGCTTCTAATGCTCATCTATTCGGAAGTACTAGGGGAGATAGGGAAGTTCCGACGGAACAACCGCCGAAAACAAATACTGACTCAGGAGACAGTGAGGTTCCTCATTTGCTGCGGTCTTTAGTTGAGGCAGCAATGGCTGACAATGTTGGGGAGAGCGATATGCAACAATTAAAGGCATACCTGAATCTGCTCTTTCACGGGCGTCGGTCTGTGGTAGACCTACGACGACAAGAAGAAGTAGACGATCACGTCCGTCTCAGAGAAGAAGTGTTGCAACGGGTAGCAGATGCAATACTCGCTGTTCATAAGCTGGTTCTCGAAGCGATGAAAGCAAGAGACTGGACATTGAAGATACCGTTCCTTTTATGGTGCTGCAAGTAGTTTTTGTTTCATGCATATTTTTAATTTATCAAGCCGCTCCTGGCTGCCGCTGCTCCTGACTGCTACAACAGACACCTTTATTTTTGGGTTGTTCGGCCATAGCAAGCCCAAAAAGATGAATAAGACAGGAAAAAAGCGCAAAGCTACTCTTTTTCATATGTCACAGGAGCTGCCTTGGTGGAACTAGTGATGCAGACCTATCTGCGACGCGCGTTTGAGCTCAGCTTTGGAGTCGACGAAAAACAGAAGATAGAAACTCACGTCAATCAAATGCTGGCTTGGTTGAGACCAAGGATGGGACTAGATTTCCGAAATCGTCGCCTTGAGGAGGAAATCCAAGCAGTCATTCACAATCATATAGAAGACGCAGGAGGAGCTTTCGATGGAGTAGATGAAACGATAAAAGGCAGTAGGAAGATGGACTTAGAGACGAGTTCGACGGCTTCGTGTCCTATTCCAGCATTAGACGTGATGCATCGGTATGAAAAGAAGGTGCTGGAAAAACTGACCCAAGATTTCGAGAGGTTACCACTAGTGGGGACAGAAGCCGAGAAGAGTAACGAACAAGTCCCAGCACATGGTGGCACATCCACCTCTGGGCCTGGGGAAGACATGAGCTCACAGGCGGAAGCAGAGGAAGAATCTGTATCAAGTAGTGCAGTCTCCATATCAGAAAATGAGCCACGCTACATGCAATCGCCGACAAGGGATATATTGTTAAGGCTACGCAGTAGTAACATGAACGGGGGGAGTGAGATGAATACATAGAGACTCTCTCGATGTCGTCGTTTTATTTTCCAACTCCTATTCATCTTCTTCTTCCTTGGAAAAAGGTGTTTTTACTACATCTAGACATGTGATTAGCCTGAAACTTTCTTCTCAATCTAAGCTCCGCTTTTATGGCAGAGACAGTACCCGGCGAGGACTCAGTAGTAGAGGCGTCTTCGCTGCCGCAAATCGCGTTTGGTACGGGAACGATGGATGAGCGTTTTTTCTTAGATACCTGCGTTTCCTTTCTGCGCAAAGGCGGCCGCGTCCTCGACACAGCGCATATGTACGATAACTATGAGCAGATCCGAGAGTGTATCCGTGATTCCCAGATTCCGAGGGAGCAGATAGTGCTGATAACGAAAGTAATGCCCCTCGGAAGAAAGGAAGCCCAAAAACACGTGGAAGCGGCAGTTGAGGGACTAGCAACAGAGGAGAACTATTTGTACTTAAGGCTTAGAAGAAAGGAGAAAATTGAATTTTTACCTGGCAGGCACCACGCACTTATCTCACACTCACGCTTACCTCGTCATTTGTACCTAGCAACAGATATTACGTACAGACGAAGATTATTTGTAATAAAGGCTTGAACGACCTTGAGCATTTTTAGCATGTGAATGGGATGGATGAATTCTGGTCAACATGGATCAGAAGGAAAGCATGCCATTATCCGACATCTCTCAGAGTTGTAAATAGCATTTACAGTGATCTTTTAGCGACAAGAATGAGTTCGAATTTTTTCTGCTTTTTTCGTCTAAGTTATAAAAAAATCTTTCCATTGGACTACGTTCTGGTACATTGGCCTGGCAATAGTGAGGGGAGGAAGCTTCAAATACGTGTACCAGCGGATTGCGCTATGGTAGAGGTTGGAAAAACGGCCGAACAACAAAACATTTAAGGCCGGATATGTGACATCATCATTTGGCTGCTTAGGTTGAACATCTCCTTGCTTCCTATGCGTGATTATGCTATGATCATCTCATCCTTTGGAGTAAATATTTATCAGAGTGCATTACGCTCGTATTACCGGCAAGAAGTTACGATCGAGCGATGCATTAAAGGCAAATTATGCTTGTGCAAGCAAGACAGATACGAAAAGAAGATTGGTGCCTCTAATTTTTAGAAGAGGAAGAGAGGGCGTTGGCGAAGACAGGAGACCAACCGGGAATACCACCAAGACCGTTTAGTGGACCTCGAACAAGGCAAAATGCGGTTCAGTCGTCTCTTAAGGCTATACACAGTTTTTGTTTGCAACTTCGTGTAACAGTCTTCTTTTACTAGTCATCTGCTGTTGAGTTGCAAGTGCAACTTTTGTGTTTGACTAGTCTGTCGTTGAAGCAAGAGCGCCGGGCATTGCTTTCATCTTTGTCAGACGAGTCCTATGTTTGTAGAGCCCTTTAACGTACTAGATCTAGAGTCCTCTGAAGTAGAACCAGAAGCAGCTCCAACTGCCTCTAGGTTTCTCTGAGGTTTCTCTAAGGTTACCGGCGAGTCGTTAACTCCAAGTGTCGTCCAAACCGATGCGTGGCAGCGTTGCAGAGAGGAGACCTACCAAGTATTGATCGAGTATCAACAACGAGGCCTTATCATTATGGCCAAAGAAGAAATACAGGATCGTAGTACTGTGAATATTGACTCTGACATACCACATCATGGCTATCAGAGTAGATGGCAAGAATCTTCGAGTGCTATCATACTGAATACTGACTCTGACATACCACACTGAATACTGACTCTGACTCTGATCTGGCTATCAGAGTAGATGGCAAGAATCTTCGAGTGCTATCATACTGAATACTGACTCTGACATACCACACTGAATACTGACTCTGACATACCACATCATGGCTATCAGAGTAGATGGCAAGAATCTTACCACACTGAATACTGACTCTGACTCTGATCTTCGAGTGATTAAAAAGATGAACTTCTCTAATGTGAAGAAAATCGGATTTTCGAATTTCGGACTGGATCATGTGAACCAGTTTTCTGAACGTTTCCCGGCTAATCCGGCGCAAATGCATCAAATGGAGATAAATCCAGCTTATGCGGATTATCCGGTGATAGAGACGCATGCGGCGCAAGCGGCTTACTACGAAAGCATTGGGCAGCCGTGGAATAAGTGCGTCATCATGGGATATGGGATGCTAGGAGTAATTTTTCACTTTTACTTGATGTCACTTGTTGCGCTGGAGAATCTTGAATAAATTAAGGGTAGGTTAAAGGTGCTTTTCTTACCGCTTTTTATGGCTTCCTTAAGGGAGACAGGCAGAAAAAGCGGGATACACGAGCACCAAAAACCTACCGCTAAATAAAGCAATCAAATAAATAGTGCTACCTCTGTGATGGAGATTAATTGTTATGTATAGAACAGTTTACAGAGGGTGCACGCACATGATGTAGTACCGAATGAAGTTTTTTAGGTACAATTATATAGACATACTCTTACGTGGACATATTAACATGATCACCATCACCAACAACATCATCATAATATTAGGGCAACAATCGCGGACAGTTAAATCTGAAGCACGTGGAGCAAATTGCTCGACGGAATAGCATGGACCGATTCGCGATGCTCACGAAATGGATTGCAGAATCCCTACGTGGTGTGGTCACTGTGGCCAGCCGCGACACCTCTCGTCTCGAACAAGCTTTGTGTTATGGCGTCTGGTTATCTAGAGCAATACTTTGATTTTGAAGGAACTGCAATTTGAAAAGTTGTAAATATACTGCAGAGACATGATCTGGCTCGACCTTCGCTGTCTGTGTCTTGCCCTCGGTCTTGATCACATTCAGAGTCTGTCTCTACGGTGCTACGGACAGCACTCTCTTCAGAGGCATACACATGACATGACGTTGAATGCTCGACGCCTTCTTGTCTACGGATGACAATTTCTCTACGACTCTTGTTCAAGTCATCCATCATAAGGCAATCAAGATTGTCATCTACAGACATCATCTTCATCTACTTCACTTTTAGTCGAAGCCCATAAGTAACAATGCTGGAGCACCACTTTCTAATCAGACAAGAAATATAGCTTTTTTTGAATATGATATTATGCTCTAACCCACTACTGCTACTACTAAGCTCTAATCCTCCACGTGGAAAACGTATCCGACGCCTATAGTCGTTTCAGATGCGACTTATCTGACGCAAGTGGCCAGCAACTATTTCCGCAAAGCTTACACCCCATATCCAGATGAAATATTATAAGGTTGAAGCAAGTAACATTATTTATAACGAACATGTTGTTAACATTCAATTTAGATGAATCGAGGATGAGCTATTTTCTCATCGGACTAAGAATTGCTCTTCTATTAGCACAGAAATGTCTTATGTAACTTTCTTTGAGCTAAACCACTCTTTATTACATGTTGAATAAATCTTGATGTTATAAAAAAGAACGAACGCATGCACTGTAGTTCTTCGCAGTGTTAGTGGAAATACCTGCTGAGTGCCCATACCTAATGAAGAATGTGGAAAGCAAGATGCTGATGGTCATGAAATGTTCGACAGTCATACTACGTAGGGACGGCCGAAAGTCAAGATTCGATTTTTATGCTACAAAAGTAGTTGTCGATAAAAGTTGGTTTGTGTTCACCCGTATAATCGTAGCGCACGAGTGTGAGTTTAAGCTTAAGGGGTCTCTGAGAGATTGGATTTCTGTCGAGGTAGGATTTTCTGTGGAGAACACGCTATCATGCGTGATTTTCATCTTCTGTGGTCGTCAAGAGTCAGAGTAATTTCATCTGTTGAGTACAAGAGTGATATTCGAGCCGTGAGTTTCAGTTTCTGCTCGGAGTGACTCACCGAGTTCATCCTCGTCTGTCGAGAATTTCGAATTCTGCACCTCATGTGATATTGAGAGGGCTCTGTTAAAAATTATTCGAATTTCGCGAAGATAATATCCTTCTTCTGTAGTGCTGTGAGGTAGCGACGTCTGTGCTAGGTAGAGAGGGGGTCGTAGTTCTCAGGAAGTTGTCGTTGTGAGTGAGTCCTAATTACAAGGTTAAGAAGAAAGTATAGGATTTTATTGTTCTTGTCTAAACCGCATTCGCACTAGATCCTGACGAGCCCTGTAACTACTCGCGTCGTTGTTTTCTGGATTGTAATATGCAAGAAATCTGCAACCACAGCAGGAGGACTCTTATCACTGGTTTTTTTGCTCTCATCCCTCATTCTTGTGTTTTTGGGTATTGTCTTTTCCGACTGATTGAAATACGCAAGGAGCTTGCTTTTCTGTCTTTTACGGATGTTTGAGAACACCAAGTCCAAGCAACAGAAAGCCTTGACCTCTTCCATGAAGGTTTGCAATTTGATGTTGTATCTCCAATGGGTTTGATGTTCTTGTTTACTGTCTTTTTTTGGATTGACTTCCAGGTTTACTTTCTTTGAATTAGCCTCCATGTCGAACTCGGATGCGCGGAAGCAAGTGGCTCGCAACTGAACGAAGAGTCGAGAGGACATTGCGGAGCCGCTCTCCTTAGTCAGTTGGCCTCGCTAGAGAACACGGAGTGGAACAGTACAACCTTCGCGCGCTCTGCAGAAGAAAAAGAATCGCTATTGATTCTTCTTTCTAAGAAGCCCTTCGTTTTCGGCGAACCAACGGTAACTGAAACGCGTCGCAAAAGGAATCAATCGAGATCACTGCATCGAGATCCTCGAGACTTGAAGAATTGCCGGCGTGGCAATAGGGGTTTTCCTGTGGCGAGTCTTCGGCGACAAAAAGGACGAGCAAAGAGCCACTACCGCCCATCTTCTCTTTGTAGTCACGCTTCTCCATTTAGTAGCGCAAAAATATTGAGAGGGCAATCGAAGTTGTGCTGCGCTAGGAAGTCTTCAACGGCAAAGACGCACAGCGGAACCATTTCGCGTTTAGCTGGAGCCTCCTTTTTTTCACCTAGTAGTGCCGTGGCTTTCAGTAGTAGCTGTAGTCGCGCAATATCAAGGAACCACCGGTCGAAGGTGTCCTGTAGGAGGTCTTCAACTCGGCAAAGACGAGCATTGGCGTCGTGCTCAACGTCCGTAGTTGCAGTGTCTGCCCATCTAGTAGTAATACAGGAATAGCTATAGCCCGGCGTCGGCAATCGAAGTGCCTCTGGAATTTTCAAACAGCAAAGACGAGCATTAGCGTCTTCCACCTAGTCGTAGCACTACCGGAGCTAGTAGTCGTAGTGTTGCAATATCCTTACCGAGCCGGAAGCTAAAGTCTGGTAGGGAACCGTCAACATCAACGGCCGAAACCAGCGCTACCGGCATTGATCTTCTGGCTGTGGCAGTAGCGTCTCTACTTGTGCATCTGGTGAAGTTTCTACATCTATTTGCGTCGCTGCAGCTAGTAGTGCAATCGCGAAGCGGCAATCGCAGGCTGGCAGGAGGAAGCCTCCAAGACCCAAAATCAGAATTGGCATTTTCCATTTCGCATACTCTCCATCTGATCTGCAGCCACGAGCGCACTCCTATCCAGAAGCACAAGATTGGAGAGTCGTGAACGGCAAAAACTATCTTCCAGAAAGTCTTCAACGGCAAGAACGAGCGTCGCCACTTTCCACCTAGAAGCTGTAGTATCTCTCCATCTGCTCCTGGCTTTTCTACAGGTAAACTTACCTTAGTAGCTCGAGGAGCTAGTGCTAGAAGCGTCACTTCGTGTCCATCTAGTAGCACCTTATCGAGGCGGCAATCAAAGATCCCTAGGAAGTATTCAACGGCAAAAGCGAGCACTTCGACCCTCGATCTCGTTGCAGTCTCTTGCCATTTGGTGGCTTGTCTACATTTACTAGCATTTTTCGATCCAATACCGTCACGATGGGGCTGAGGGTAATTGATGTTCATCTACCATGGTCTATTCCGGTCTTCCTGACGGCAGTTCCTCTAGTGGGGGCAAGAATGGAAGAACCAGTGCACGATTACGATTTGCAGATGAGCCGCATACCACCTGACTACCTTCTTCAGTATACCGATGAAGCTGATTATTTTGGTGATGATCAGGAGGGGTTACATCATCAAGAGCCAAAGCGCATCTACCAACTGCCAAATGCAACCGCGTTTGACGATCCCTGTGTCGCACTTCCATCCGCGTCCTCTAGTTTCGTTGATTCGAGTTTTCTCTTGGTTGGTGATCAAGATGAAGAACCAGATGCAGCGGAGCTGTTTTTGGATCCCCAATCTCGTTTAGATTGGCTTCATCGGATCATACGTCTTCCCACTGAGTCAGGGCTCGCAAAGGAGCTGCAGCGCGCTCGTAGAGCATCGATGATTTTCAATAACTACAACTTCGCTGCGATCGATGCTGCAAGTGAGGATTCCTTGAGGCAGGGCGGCCGGATGCTGCTGAAGCAGATGGGCGGTCCCGATTCCATCATAGCCGGCCAAATCCTACAAGGCGTAAAAAAGAAGATGGCGCCTGGCGAGCTTTTGTCGTCGAAACTAGGTCATCTGAAAAGCGCTTGGGAAAGCTATGACAAGCATCTGGAGGAGAGGATTGATGAGGTTATTGAAGTGAGTGCGCGTTCTGAACAACAAGATGAAGCGTCGATACTTTTGGATACGGGCAAACCCTTACAGGATTTTCCACGCCGTCTTGAAATTTTTAAAGATTCCGCCGAATGCAGGGCCGTAATAGTTCGTCTGGTGCCAGTGAGCGATGAAAATAAACTGAACAATGGAAAAGCAGAAAGCCATAGTGCGTGCACCAGAGACGGCCTCTTGCTTGGTCTTGGAACATCTCTCGTAGAAGAGCTGCGGCGCGCTCGTAAGGCATCGGTCATTTTCAATGACTACTTGGAGCAAGCAGAAGATCCATCAGAATCAGGCGTCCGGGTGGTGAGCCTGAGGACTGGCGGTGGCGCAAAGATTGATAGGAACGCCAATAAACACTTGGCGTCGCAAATCATGGGGATGATCAACAACATCAACAACGGGGGGAGCGATGTAGCTTCACAGCTGACACTAAAGCAACTTAGTGAAGCTTGGGAAGGGCACCACAAAGCAGTCGATGCTGTGCCTCGAAACGAGGGGGACCTAAATGAATTTTGTTCGCCCAGGCTCAACACAAACAGAAATGACGATGACCTCGAGGCGCTGAAAAAGGACCACTTCCACTGCGGCACAGCGTGGAGACTGCTGGCTTCCAGTAGCCGCGCGAAGACATTCTTCGCCAACAACGTTCCTGGCGGGAGTTTTGCAGGGGGTGTTTTTCGCCGGAGTTTTGCAGGAGAGCTGCAGGTCGCCAGCAAAGCGCCCAACATCTTCGCTATGCTCAAGCCGAAGGGAGGAACGACTGCGATCGAGACCACATCCAGGTGGAAACCACCATGGGTGTGGTGGCGGCTGCGGAATGAAGACGTCTACCCTTTCGAGTGGAAAACCATTGTAGAAGTCAAGAATCAGCTAAACGACTACGGTGCCTTCAATCCGAAGAAGGAATTGGGAGAACTACAACAGGCGTGGAAATTCTACGGCCGTGCCCTCAAGGCGTATATTGTAACACACCCAACCGCCGCGGGGTATCACAACTGCGTCGAAGGCGAAGACTGCCGACAACGCAATCACGTCCCTTCCTCCGCAAACGCCGTGTTTACCCAATCAAACATTGAGCTCGCGGAGAGGCTTGCGGCGGATGCACTCTCCCTGCTACCTGAGGTCAAGAAGCGCACAGGCCGTCGTAGTAGTGCTTTAGGGGATCTGGAAGCGCAACTCGAACAAGAACTGAAGAGAAGTGCGACCGAATCGGGAAGGACAGGCGAGGTCGAGGCAGAAGCAGGAAAAGTAGACGCAAAAAGGGAGGAGCTAATACAGCACTGGAGAGAATATCAAAAAACCCTCGCGACTGTTGAAAAGGTGGAGAGAGAAACCGCACGTAAACAGGAGGGGATGTCGGAAAACCACCTAGGTACGCTGGGTTGGGGGTGAACTCTGTCTGGACTCGTTCCACTTTCATGGGTGCCAATCGTATCTTGTGCCAATTTTTTTCTTATTCTTGCAGCAGTCTACTATAAGATTTTTCCGTGATTGCGCGCCATAAGTATTGTGTCCGTACAGATCTAGACTCCCAAGAGGGTAAGAGGATATCCATAGGGTGTCTGCTCGGTGTGTGCGAAATGCGCTTTCATGTTGTCATTCGTACGTCTGAATCCATATTTTTTGGTTTGGCTAAGGAGTGGCACGCGATTGTGCTTGGGGGAGGGGTGAAAGGCTGCAAGGCGTACTTAGAAGCTTTGAAAATGTTCAAAGCACCTCTCTCAGATATTGAGATGATGTGGAGGAGATGAGTTAACAAATGATGATATTGGTCGCTATACGAGTAAGTTTTGATCATAGTACATATTGATTCCCTAAGGTTGCTGAGTCGCTCTTTTCTGATCTTTCAGATCAGGTGCAGGCTTTCGCATTGGGAGAGTTTCTCTTCAATGTGCCCCACCGACGGAAAACCAATTCTGTCCTTCAATTGTGTGCGTGTATTGATCATTGGTCGACTAAGTGGACAGCTGTCCTCCTGGGGGCTAGAAAGGCTAGTACTTATGACTAGTGCTGTACCGTATCCTCGCTAGTACTTATGACTAGTACTTATAATGACTGGTACTTATGACTAGTGCTGGATCCGTATCCTCCTTTTCTTTGGCTCTTACATAATTGGATGTCCCAGGACATCAGTTGCAAATGATTTACTGAGGAGAAGTCGAGGATAGGGACTGAAAGCTGTCGCTAACTTCTTCCCAAATGATTCTGGAGGATAGGGAAGAAGTTAGCGACAGCTTTCGCGACAGCTTTCAGCCTACTAAGCTTTCTATGGTAGGCGGGCTGGGGGGTGGGAATCCATTTCCATTTGCATTCCGCTGTGCGATGGGGATCGATCTTGCCCTGGGTCATTCGGTGTGGTGAAAATTCAATTATGTCACTTAGACTTCTTTGGGCTTTCTATGCTGAGGATATGCTCACCCAGAGTTCAAGATGTTGACTCTGCATTAGCAAAAGGGTGTCCTCATTGTCGAGATGCTGCGACTCCCTGGGACTTTACGCTACAGCCGAAAAGTCGCCCTGTGTGGCAACGAGACGGAGGTGTCCTATGATATCCATTTGTACACCCTTATGCTACTTTAAGAATCAATCTGTACACGCTTACTTATCGTTTTCGTTATGTCATCTACTTGCGCACTTTTTCATTTCTAATATCATTGAGACAAAGAACAAAAAAGTAGTCCTTGCTTCAGCAGGAAAAAGCAAAAAGATTTCGGCATATATTGAATTTGAATTTGCATCAGCAACATATCATGAGTCGCACCTTGTAGATAACAATAGCAAAACCTACTAATTTTCGAAGAAAATCACGAAAAAACGAAGATCCTTCATCTTCTATGTAAATAGGCTTTCCAATGATCAAGATTTAGGGATTTATTTTTTATTTTATGTATGAATATAATTCAAATTCACTTCAAGTAGCCTTCTCAATAGAATTCTTCAAGTAGATTTTTGAAAGATGGTTGATAGCTAGTCGCATCGTGCTAGATGACTTTGAAAGTCCCACAAGTCAAGCTGTGCCTTGTGACATATTTAGAAGATGGGGCATTATCATAGGTCTTCATGTTCATCGTTGTGCATGGAAGAAGTGCCTTTGCTTCCTCTGCTTGTCCTTGGACTGCCTCAGGGACTGTTTCATCTTGCCAGTGATTGAGGATAGCCCCTTGAGATGCACACGTGGCACGTTGTCCTTGTCATGTGCGACCAACTGCTGCAGCCTGGCCAGCCCATGTGCAACCACCTGCTGCCGCCTGGATCGAACAGCACCTATTTTTGTTCTTATGTGCTGGAAAGAGTGGGGGGTGAGAGCACTCAGCTGAGGACGATAAAAGGTGGGTTGTAGCAGGAGTTTGTCTTTACTGGAGTAAGAGTAGTTGCATACTTATTCGCTTGAGCAATTAACAAAAGGGGTGACTATCGGGGTGCCTCCTCATAATATGGACGCCCGAGCTTCAGCAATGGCGTCGGTGATATATCAGCGAAACTGTAACTATTCAGCTACAGCTAGCGCGCCCACCCAACTTCTGCGTATTGACTAAGGATGGCTGGGCTGAGAGCTTTTGAGTCATGTTGCAAGCGGAAAAATGATTTGAGTCACTTCTTGTTGCTGCTATGCGTCAATCAACTATGTGTATGTTTTTCCTTTCCGCCGGTGCATAGGATTAGAAATGCATAGGAAAGGCCTAGATGGGGAGGTAGTAAACTAGATTTTGGAGGAGCAGGCAATGTGGGTTGGAGACTGACTATTTGCGTAGGCAGTCGTAGTTTATTTCATTTTCAATTCGAACAAAAGAATGAATCAGAACAAAGACTAGTGTGAAGTTGTCGAGGATAATATAAAAGATACAGCTATTGTTCTTTGAAGAGCCAATGTTACCCAAGGATCCGAAGTATTCAATCTAAGTAATGTGAAGTGCAAAAAATGTCCTGCAATGAGAGTTGCTTCTTGAAAATGGTGAAGAACTACATTCATAACCATTAAACTCAATCGGTGCTGTAGGCACCGATGTAGAAGAACTACAAGCGGCTCCACTGGAGTCTACTGGTATTATTCATGATAGCCCGTGAAATGAAGATTTTTCAAGAACGACGAATAGATATAGAATCAATTGAATTGAATCATTATAAATATATAAGACTAGTTGTAGTTCAAGCGAAAGCAAAGTAGGAGAGCAGACGCCTAGTATACTGAGCCCAAATTTCGGCAGACCGGGATGGCTTACTAGAATGTTCATGTTGTTTTTGTTTTGGACAGAGGTCTGTCAATGAGTGATATTTTTTTTGCTGACATTTTGTCTTTGATGACGTCCCAATGAGTGATTTACTTACATTTAGCTAGCGTCTGTTTTCTTGCAAGGTGCTTCCAAAACTGGAAGACAGCTACACTTCTATGGGAGAAGGCCATACCTACTTGGCATTATAAAACTCAGAAGAAGACGATGAAGATGCAGCTGTAGGTGTGACTCCGAACCAGCCAACGCCATCACTAATTACTTAGATAAAGCAGCAACGCTCTGGAGTCTGAACAGACGCGCAGGCAACCTCAAGCTCGTTCCTTGGGGCTGCCTGTCTTCCCCGGGACGATGCGCTACAGCCGAGAATTCAACCGGTGTGGCAACGAGACGGTGGCGTCCTATGTTACCCATTTGTACACGCTTGTTTTACGTTAAGAATCTATTTGTACACGCTTACTTATTGTTATGTTGTCTATGTAGTACACATTTTTTTAAGACAAAATAGATAGACCAATCTTCAGCAGGAAAATGAAAAGAGATATCGACATATATTGAATTTGCATCAGCAACATAATATGAATCGCAGCTAAACCACCTTGCTAATTTTCGAAAAAAAACAGGAAACAACGAAGATCCTGCATCTTCTATGTAAATAGGCTGTCCAAGAGAAATTTAGGGATTTTTTTATTTTGGGATGATTCATTTACATTTACATTTCGACATTGTTCAAGGAGCCTTCAATAGAATTTTTCAAGTAGATTTTTTAAAGATGGTTGATAACTAGTCGTATCGTGCCAGATGAAATAATTGAAAGAATCAAGGCTGCGCGTGGGATGAAGACGCAGCCATTGATCAACCATCTTCAACAGCTGAAGCCGCCACAAGTCAAGCTTTGCCTTGTGACATATTTAGAAGATGGATTATTATAGATCTTTGTGCATGGAAGAAGTATCTCTGTTGTCCTTGTCATGTACGACCAACTGCCGCCTGGCCAGCCCATGTGCGACTAACTGCTGCATCCTGGCTCACCCATATTTATAATATGAGTATGAGTCTGAACCTGAGATCTCTTATCGTATTCGTGCTAGACTCTCCTCCATTCATTCTATCATCGTGTGCTGGAAAGAGTGGGGGGTGAGACCACTCAGCTGAGGACGATAAAAAATGGGTTGTAGCAGGATTTTAGCCTTACTGGAGTAAGATTAGCTGCATATTTATCTGCTTGAGCAATGAACAGAAGGGCGACTATTAGGGTGCCCACTCATATGGACGTCCGAGCTTCAGCAATGGCGTCGGTGATATATCAGCGAAACTGTAAGAACTATTCAGCTCCAGCTAGCGCGCCCATTCCATTATCCAACTCCTGGGTATTGGATGATGCCGAGGACAAAACGAAAGGGAGGGCGAAACTATGTCACATATGAAGATCAAAGCACTGCACGGCAATGCCTGTCGTCATCTTTTCTAGTACGGCTAGGAGTAGCCTCTTAAACTTAGATGAGACAATTGCGCGACATGCATGCCTCCAGTATCGAGGAGATTTAGAAGATCTATAAACATCAACTTTAAATGTTGAGAGTTGTTCTCTGGCACGAAATAAGTCTAGTTAGAACCTAGAAGAAGGCACTTGTATAAATATGACATTCATAGAGTTAGAAACAAAGCAAAACATGAACACTTATGACGAAGAGACCACAAGTATGCAGCATTCGTTCTCGAGTAGGCCGTAAAAAGATAATACACTTGCAAATAGTACATTTCGTGTACTGTTATTGATCATGAGAGTGGAGTGGAGACCGAGATCTCGATCTGCTTGTGTTCTCTCGTCATTCAGGGCGCTGGAATTCTAGATTCGCTACGTCCGAGTAAGATTTACGTTCATCCGTCGAGAATTTCTGTTTCTGTTTAGTACAAGACAGAGTAATAAACAAGGCCTTGAAGAGCAAGAGAGACTCTGAGTGAGTCACTGAGTTGGCCTTCTGTTGAAGAGAGTTTCTATTTCTGTTGAGAGCAAATAGAAATACGCTACGTCGAATCGATTCGTGAGTTGCTGCTCTGAATGATTCAGAGGGCTCATGCATCTTCTGTTGACGAGAGTTTCTATTTCTGTGCATCATGTGATGTTGAGAGGACTTTTTTTTAACTACATGATGATGGCTACGTCTTCTGTTGAGAGTTTCTATTTCTGTGGTAGGCACTAGAGATGAGAACTACGACGTCTGCTTTGCAGTCATAGTGCGAAAGTCCTTTGTCGTGAGTGAAATTTCGTTTCTGTCGTGAAGACCTTAAATCCTCCTTTGTCCTCTTCGTCGTCTCCTGTGTGTGATAAATAACTGAGAACGAGCGATCTAGTATTCATCTCGTTTTCATCATCTTGTAGTTTCTAATTGTCTTGGTATCTAGATTGGCTTCTTCCTTTACATAAGGTTGAGGTTTAGGCCCAGCGGCGCTCAAAGCACTAAATAAAACTACCGGTTAGTTTTTACCTCTAGCGTTTAGCCCTTCCAACAATATAGTTGTCTTGGTCTCATGATCATGTAGTTGATTTTTGTCATCATCTTCTCATCATCCTACTTGCATTCTCGTCATGTACGACTATCATCGTCATAATTCATCATTATTGTCTTCTCATGTTGGGAAATATTAGGCAACTTTCCGAATCGATTCACTTACTCATAATAATTGTCTTCTCATCTTGGCATGATCATCATCATCAACAACACCCTCATCACTTCTAATATTCTTTTCCAATTGCAGGGAAGAGTGAGTTTCTTATGATCCGTTTACCCCTGGTAAAAAACGCTGTCTTGTATCTGAGGAGAATATAGCATCACTACTTGTTCATCTAGATCATTTTCACGACCACATCGATTGAAAGAGAAGCAAATATATCCTCTTCGTCATTTTTCAAGAACAACCAAAAAATGTCGGGCGGTTTTTCCAAGCCTGTTTTCTTCAGAACAGCTGCCGCTGTCTTTCTCTTAAGGCTAGTTCGATCCGGATGAACGTTCTACATCCTCTATCTAGCTGAACAGCGAACGAGCGAACTAACTAACTAACTCTCAGCCAACTGACTATGACTAACTAACTAACTAACTAACTAACTAACTAACTAACTAACTAACTAACCACTACGTACCTCTAACAATTGGAGCAACTACTGGCGTCGAGGGTCGTCGCAAGTTCTTCCGTGGTACCGACGAAGTACCTCCTTCTACACCCACTGGAGAAAACGGACAGGCCACACCGACTGAAGCGACGACCAAGGCTGGGGAAAAGGTTGGCTTGGTGCTCGTTGACATCCAGAAGTGCTTCACCGCGGCAGAGAATCCCAAAGGACTTCAGCTCCCGACTACCATGGGAAAGTTATGCTTGTTGGTCCACAGCACGTCACTTATCTTGCTCGTGACGCCGTAACTTCTTCAACCTACTTATGTATTTTCTTCTACACTTACTTCAAATACAGGGTTGGTAAAGAAAATTTGACGGGTTTACTTTCCTTCGACTCTTCTATCCCTTCCAACAACAAACACAGGGGTAGTACACTTGTGCCTCTAGTCTTACTGCTTCCTCGTTTAGGTGCCACTCCGTGAGTAAATCACAGGCCACGTATCCAAAACCTAACCTTCATTGAGATTGTTTGATTTCACCCCTGTATTCCTTCAGACTTCATCGGCCTATGCCTACGCCCTAGCCTTGCATGTCTACTATCGTGTAGCCGTGGTCTTTTTTACCCCTGGAGTGGGTACATTCCTCCGTTCATCTTTCTAATCTACTATCTATCTTTCTAATCTACTATCTATCTTTCTAATCTTCTACTATCTTTCTAATCTCTAATCTTCTTTTATCATTCTAACCTCCTATTGGTCCACTCGTCCTTCATCTAAGTAGGAGCGACTGATGTGGGCATACAGAGGATATCGTAGAATAGATATCTCTGCAACAACTCTATTCTACCACTCTTTTCAGACCGTACGTACCCTGTGAACTATTTATATATTATAAAATATTTATTCAGCAGTTTCTTCTCCTACTCCTTCTAATTTCAATCATGCTGCAGGAAAACTACTCATTTTAACATAAGAAGAAAAGTCGCTAAGATTCAAGGCCTACAAGAATATTATATATAAGAGGACTCTGATTCTATGAAGACGATATCATGAAGCTGCATAAATGTAAGACATCAGCTTCAGTAATATCTCTATGTCATGAATCTGCACAAAAACAAGACATTAGCTTCAGTATTTTTTTATATCTCTACGTCTAGTACTAGTGCTGCTCTAATAGGAGGAGGTGACGACTACAAAGCTGCGGTCCTGGATTTGGTGCGCAAATTTCGCGCAAAGTATCCCGATGGCCCGATTGCTATGTTATGTCGAGCAGGTGTACATCTAGATCATATACAAACATTGAGTCCGCCTCAAAGTTTAACTATACCACCACATTAACAACTTTTTTGCATTGACGAACGTTTTGGTTTTCCATCAAATACAGAGGTAGCCAAACTTTTGGCTGTAGTTGTTTCATCAAAATAGGGACTACCTGCTGCAGACTTGACCAGGTAGGTTTATACATGAAGTGCATGACCATGGCCATGACTGAGAGGTAATTGCTATCCTGTTATGACTATGGACCAATTCCTATCTTCCTATCCTGCAATGGCATGATACCTCACTATCTCCTAGGAAAGACATCGTTTTCGAGGAGAAGGATAGCTCTCCCCAAGAATCCTATGCAATGATGAAAGTAGCCTCTAACTCTTGGACAGGACTACCATCCTCCTGACCATGTCAGTTTTATCGACGAAGAGCAAAAACGCGGTACCCACCCCTGGGACCCCATTATGAAGAGGGTTTGCCTGTGTAATTTTTGTGACATTTTTATTTTATGACGAGTAAGCTTCTTAGACTCTAACGCCAACGTGATTATTAATTAAACTTTTCTACGACGTCCTTGTCTACGGAATATTTCTAGGAAGCTTTTAAATTTAATTCTATTTACGCAGATAGAATTGATTACTCCCCTAGTACCTTAAAGTACTAGAGCATAATACATTGAAAATTTATTTCTACAAGGTGTGCGTGTTGACGAACATAGAAGGTTTTGCCGTTGAAGTCGCTTATATTAGTAGAGACGAGCCCTTATTATACTCACAGTCCTGATGATTGATTGATTGATTGATTGATTGATTTTCTGTTTGTTCCTCCGTTATCCAGCACCGCCGCTCGTTAGACGGCCGCACATCGTTGACGGATTGATGGACTTAGCTGCCTGCTTCTAATATGACAAACCCCCCAGAAGTGGCGGTGCTCGGGATGACTCAGACAACGTTTGAGTCGAACAACAAGGAGTTCCAGGAGGATCCAAAGCACACACCAGTGATGACCAGCGCGAAAGCAAACGTTCCGGAGGGACAGGGCTTTGTCGATATGGAGCAGCCCCTCTTTCCACGTAATCTTGAATTTATCGACTTTTTGATGCTTCCACTCTTTCTTGAAGAACAGGGCTCAAATTTATCATCTTAGGAAAATGAAAAAGAGAACTACAACAGCGAGGACCCTCCATGTGTATGAATATTTAAGGGTTGAAGAAATGCATCTTCACGGTCATCCTGGAAATTCTGCTCACGTGTTTTCTTTTAACTTAGTAATTGAAGGAATCTAGTGGGAGTAGAGTGCTGGTATTCCACTTTCGGCAACCATGCACATCTTACGTTGAGGCGCATCAAGTGGCATGCTAATTCTATGAGTACCTCCCCGCTGTTTACCTGAAAGCCCTACGCATGTAAGAAGAAGAACCACCTCTCACACCCACCGACGGACGCGGGGCGGTATTGTGGATTGTCAAGGATATGGCAAAGCGCCGTTCTAGTGGAATGGGTGGAGTTGAGCCACATCTGAACTTGAGAAGAGTCGAAGGGAGCTCATTCAGGCGGTTTTATCCATTGGCAACGCTCTCCCGGCTGGAGCTGAAGAATTATAGAAGAGAGAGACGGCTCGCAACGAATCTCGGAACAGCAGATACTTTCTCTTTTTTGAAATGATTGTAGCATAGAAGTACTCCCTTGCAAGTTTCAGACGTGCTCTTGATTTGGAAGCTAAGCACTTTGCAACTATATCCCTGAAGAGTAGAGGGCCACGAGATGCGGCTGCACTGGAGATTTGGCCGAGGTGATGCCATGCTTGCCGATGTTGCCGCAGGAATGGCTTTCATCAAGATACGCATCTCCTGAAGAGATTTTCGCACAGAAGGTTAGGGTCTTTGAGGAAGTGAGATGGCGGCGATGAAGGGTTAGGGTGGGAAAAATGGTTGCGTGGATGGTTATACGACACCGACGGAGTGCGCGGCACGTTGGTGTTAAGCATACTGGGGCCGATATCGCGTGGCTGCTGGTGTCACTAGTGGCCTGGCGCTTGCGGGGGATCGTCGTGTTCGGTGTGGTAGCTTGTGTGTGGCAGTTGAGGTCGTAGTCCAGGGTGCTTCACATTGCAGCAGGCTGGTGCTTTCAGCAGCTTGCTCTGAAGCGTTTGAGGCTGTGCTCGGCTTCGTTCTTCGAGTGGCGGACGAAGCGAGTCAGCGTTGAGAAGGGTGCGTCCCTGGGTGGCTTTCTACATTACCATTGGAAGGGCCGCTGGGGTTTGGCTCCGAAGTACAACGTCCTGCGTTGCGACGTTCTCGGTAGCATTCTGCAGTTCAACTCCGTGCTTGGGTGGGGTGTTGGAGTGAAAGCCCCAGGGATGTAAGGGTCGGGTGTTGGGCTGGTCGCTGCTCGGGGGCCAAGTTGCAATAAGCGGGGGCCAGAGAAACTCTAGCAGCAAGAGCGCTCTGCGTGTGATGTGTGGTGCACCGCTCTCGTCAGCTCCACAAAGACTTCTGCTTTTCAGTTTCACTGTTTATGTAGTTCTTGTCGCTTTGGAGTAATACCATGATGCAGATTCACTCTTATTATATTACCGTAAGCTTCCATGGGAATAGGCTAAAACGTGTGGCCATTATAGCGTAATAAAGTAGCTCTATTTGGATGGTCGCCCGCATTATCAGTAACGTGAGGACTTCTGGGTAGGAGTAGGATCAGGCAAGCAGGTGATATCTTCGAAGAAATTATATATACGTGCCTGCTTTAGCAGTTGCGGAACAGCGTGATCCAATAAGGAATCAACAAAAGACTTGCACTCAGGTAACTTAGAAAATCTATCACGTCGCCCTTGCTCATGATATTCGAAATTATCTCAACAGGAGCGCCTATGGAATCGGAGATGGGGAGCGGAGGCTTTTTGGCACTGTTTCGCTTGGTGGAGCAATGACGGCTTCCAGCAGATCAATCGCTACATCATTCAAGGGCCTAGACAAGGGCTCGCTGTAGTGTGTCAGGCTGTATGGGCATTGTTGACAAGTTTGGACATAGTGTAGAACGAGGTAGGAAGTGAGGCAGTAGGGCGCCGATGAACAGGTCTGATAAGCATCTTCATGTGGATGCTGATGAGCAGTCCATAAGTTTGGTCTTGATCGTTCCATCAAGAGTACAAGAATCTGCACGGAGCAGCTAGGCTTGCATAAGTGCTCGCCGTTTTAAGTCTTTGAACATGCACAACCAAGAGCACAACCTCCATGAGCACCGCTTATAAATGCGGGCCAGCAGCTACCTGTGTCTACTTGAGTGAAGAGGGGCGTGGCGAGTGCTTCTGTTTGGTGCAAACATATAGAAGAACGTCCTTGCAAATTGACTAGGCACAGAAAAAGGTGAAGAAGAAGCACAAAAGTGAAAAAAGTGGCTATCTAATGCTGAAAGCGGTGAGTTGGTTAATTGTGTACATATTTAGACTTCTTTAGAAATTGGAACGCTTATCTTTAGAACAAGCGTCACCATATCTTTGAATGAAACCACTTGGACCATGACACTGAAACAACGAACAAACTTTTCCACCATCTAAATCTTAACCACCTTAGCGCCTTTCTACTGTTGTCTACAACAACAAAGTCTTCAAAAGACTCGACGAGTATCTCCTTCAGGATGCCGGGCAATCAGCAGCAAACAGCTCGAGGAAACCGCATCGCCCTTGGGCAAATCACGGCCGGGCGCACTGCGGCGTCGCTACAGATGCCCTCGAGGGCTGTGGCAAAGAGTATCCTTCAGACCCCTGCTTCACTGATCTTCAAGTGTTTGAAGCAGGCGATGCAAGTGGTAACTGAAGAAGAAGAGGCGGAGTTACTCTCCTTGTGTCCAGGCTTTGCCAGACAGCTGCTCGGGGTGAAGGTGGTCTCGAATTACCCGAGGCCGCTCCACCTCGACAGCTTCCCGAAGTCGGGAGCCCATCTTCTCCAGACGATCCATCACGAGACAGGACGCGTCACGGATACTTACGCGGAAAGCAAAGCAAAGGTACTAAATTAGTATGTTTTTGCTTTTAACTTCTCCTTTATTCAGTCTTTTAGCTTCTTAGTCAGCTACTGTCTCACGTTCACTCATAAGGTCTTGCTTCTAAATCACCTTAGTCGCATGTATTAGCTTTACTACAGAACAATCTAAAAACGGTTCAACATCAACTCTTTTTCTTATATTAACCCTTAAAACAACAGCTTCAAGAAGAAATGGACATGCTGGAGAGTGCGTCTGACGAGCGCATTCTTCGACGCTGGTGGATGTGGGTACAGAGCCAAACGAGTGACATCGCTGTTCTCAAAACTCTCTGGGATGAGTATACCGCCAAGTACCCCCGTGGTGAAGTGATGCAGCAGATCTCCTTCACAGGCACGTCGCCAGGCCAAACCCAGGACCAAAACCCTACTGGGGGACAGATTCGATCATCCTGGCTGAGCAACAACGACGAGCGCCGTACTCTATCATCTTCATATACTTTGATCTCGTTTGAGCTTGTGTTTGTAGTCATTGGGTGCTAGTCTTTTTTAGCGATTCTTGGCTTATCTATCAGAGTACACCCGAGAAGGCATGTTCTATCATCCCCCATGACTCGTCATCTATTCTTCAATCCACACACAGTTTTTATGCCGAGCACCACTGCAGATTCTCAGCGTGAGAGCTTGGCGTCTTCAGGCGCATCCAGACGCTCCAGCTCCGCTATGCCACCACGTGCCCCTTCTTATACTCCTCTGCAGACTACGATCTTGGCCAACCGCGGGGCCGTCTCTGCCCTTCGTGGACAGCAGCTCAACTTCGAGGCCATGAGTGAGCCACAGCAGAACGCTAATCAACAGGGAACAGCGCAAGTCGGAGGGGGTTCTTTCTCATCTTCATCAACGAGTGCGGGTAGCTTCGCTGGGCCTCAAGGTGCTGCTCGTTCGCAGAGCGTTTTCGCGCCGGTGATGACTCCGCGAGGTGAGGGCATTGACCCATCATCAGCTGCGAGTCTACTCATTAATGGCCTTTCTTCCGCAAACCGCAGAGAAGTCTTTAACCAGCTGCTCGAGTTGTTGGCGCCGAAGAGTGGTACTACATACAGTGTAGCTAGTAGATGTCTGTATGCGCTGTGCTTGATCTAAATACACAAGGTCCAGCTTGAAAATGATGCTTCTAAACTATCTTCTACTAATCTAAAAACCTCAAACTCAACGCAGATGCTCAACTGCGAGCGGAAGAAGAGCAACAACAGGCCATGAGAGAGCAGGAAACGCGGCGATTGATCCGCCAGGTGACCTCCGGCATGTGCCCGCCATTACCTGGAAATGGACTACCTGGCCATGGACCTCCTCGTGAAGAAGACCCTGCTCCGAGTGCTGCCCCGGCATCGAATGCAGCTCCTGCTCCTGGATCATTGCGCCGTACTTGTTTATTTAGATTATTTAGATTTTTTAGAAACCAATCACTCTCATCATCACTTGATCCAACTTTCATCTTTACCTTTCCAAAAACAGGCACCCGTCAGCCAGAGGATGGCCAAGGCCTCTCACCACCACAACGGATGCGACGCTCTACAAACGGCCAGCGAAGCGCTATCTCGGCAGGTCGAGGCCAATCCCAGCGCGTGACGTTCGAGTCCTCGGCTCCCAGTGGTCCAACTGGTGATGTAGAGATGACGTCACCGCTGCGTGATCGCACAGAGCAGAACCATGATCCACTAGGGCCTGTTCGTTTGGGAACTCCAGGTCGTACCCCGACAGTGGTTGTCGATTTGGTCACACCGGCACGTACGAATGCGCGTACCCCAGGCAGACTCGTGACCGACACCACTGAGGAGGAGGACTTCATGCTGCCGCCGCCACGAGTTGCGCAACAGGTCACTCGTACTGGCCAGGAGGCGGAACCCGTCGGCGTGAATCAACCATCTGCTGACGCGGCTGCTCCACAGCCCACCGGCAACGGCGAGACCACGCACAACATCTCCTTGAAGAGAGACTCGGCCGAGTCTTGGGAGCAGACTGCAGAAGATGGAGCGCGATGGACCGCGGATGAGATGCAAACTTGGCTGTCAAGGAACATCCTCCAAGGAGCCAGTGCGTCTGCACCTCCACCGCTTCCTCCAAGTGCAGATGGCATGCGGGTGACGTCCTCCAACGATGGAGATGGAGCTACCGCCTCCACCGGATTGCGGAGCGGCCGCTACTCATCATCATCGTCGTCGTCTGGGAGTGGCGTCGCGTCGGCCGTTGGAACGCCGAATGTAGTATCTGGTCCAACGCTGCTTGATGAAATTGGTCTTGAAAGCGATCAAGTGGGCGAGTTCATGCAGCAGCTCCAAACGACTGACATCTTCGGAACAGGCAACGACATGCAGCGATCTCGTCGACGAGGCAGTGCACCAATGCCGGACTTGAACGTCGATGAGGCCTTCGAGTTCTCCGATGATATCAACGACGTGAGTCCCGAGGAGATCGAGGAGGCCATTCACAATGCGACTGCCTCAGCGCTCCGTGGCGGTAATTCGCTCCTATGAGGAGGACGCTGCGGTGGCATCGGAAGAGATGAAGGAGAGGAGACAGACAACAGTAGAAGGCGAGATGGTGTGTGAGGCTGCTCTACTAAGAATTTGATGTGCATAGGAAAATCATGTGTGCATGGAGTAGTAGTAGCAGTCTCACACGTTTCTGTTCTTTCAGGAGCGATCAGTCATCGTTTTTTTGCATAGAGCAAGTCAGAGGCTTTTTTGATCCCGGACGTTTCTTTTCTGTTTCTAAACGTCGACTGTGGAATCGGTTTTTTTTACTGACGCTCAAGTATAGCAGGGTCTGTCTTCTGGAAGTCTGACATCATGGTTTTGCTTTTTTTGCAGGCACAGAAATCGATACAGACTCTGCAGCACATTGATGGCTGATTGCGATGAAGGAATTTTTTGGACGAGTGAAAAGAACAGTGACGAAGAGCGTGTTCGAGGTTGGTGGATGGTCTACAAAGCTCAATCTGGGCAATCAAAGAAGACGAGGGCAATCAGTTCGGGCTCCTGTATCTGTATCGGAAGGTCGGCGCTTCTCTTTGCAGCATCAGCATCTGTTCTTCTGTACGCTCTGGATAAGTTAGAAATCAAATTGAAGCACCAAAGAAAGCAGTAAGTACATACCACGGCAATATGGTGTGAAGATGTCGACGATTCTCAGACTTAGCAGTACGTGCAAGTCGAGCCTCGTAGTAGAGGTGACGGAGCGGGCATTCGGTGGCGAGACTTGTTTTGTGCAGATCCCGTTCTATCTCCTAGGCATACCGTCCGACCAAGTGCCAAAAGCACGGAGAGAGTCTCTCAGGCTAGGAGCTGACTACGATCCAGACTCTGGCGAGAATGTGGAGGTCGAGTCGAAGAACTGGCGACGCCGCGGAGAGACAGTCGCCGCTCTTTGTGAGGCTTTTGAACACTCTGTTGGACCAGTATGCGTCGTTCTCAGATCTTTGGCGGTGTACAGGAGCCACACTCTAGGAGGCGACCAATATCCTTGGAATGAAGTCGACGTCAAGGACACAGCAGGAATAGATCTGATCAGCGTCAGCGGCCTCATCAACGTGATGCGGCACCAGGTCAGTGTCAGAAAGAGGTTGAATCGCAACTCCGAGCGCACTTCTCACACGAAGTTGGCTAATTGCTATGCTGGTGCTCTCTTAGAGCCTTTTGTCGCAGCTGGTATCGAAGTGCCGCTGGGACGTGGCGTCTACTCTAGCACCAACGTGCCTATTGCGATTGTCAACAACCACGTCGCCTTCGGATATCTAAAGGCCGGATGCGGTATTTGAACTAAACCAAGTTTTGCATTTAGACTTGGACGTGGCGACGTTTTCCAGTCACCTTTGATCTTCTACCTTGTTCTGTTACAGATGCAACACATTTCGCAACCTCGTCAAATACACCGCTCTGAAGTACAACAAATTGAATCTTTCTTCCCTTCTCCCACTCTGACCACACCTCTAACGCCCTTTGCTGACTCGATTGGATCTTCGGTGGTGATAAACGCGCTGCTCTATCAGCAAGATGGAGGTGATGCTGATTCTCTTCTCTTAGTCATAAGCTTGGTGCAGCAGGTTTGCTGATGGCAGAGGCGCGTGCCTTGCTGCAGCGTTGGCGTCTTTGGTTGAGACAATTCCTCCTCTCGTCGACCACATCTACTCCTTCGGATGATCTCATGACGTGGAGCATGTCGATCGCATGTCCGTTGATGAAGAAGCTAAGTAGGAGGCTGCTGCCCAGGTAGAGACTCGGAGCTTGCAGCTCGGCATGACTGGGAATTGGTTCGGCTCTTCCTGGGATTGTTGAAACAGCGTTGTCTTCTGCTGAAAGCGGGATATTTGTTTTCTTTGCTGGTCCGCCTTTGGAAACGGGATATTTGACGGGATATCAAACGGCGACGAAAACGGTCTTTTGAAGTAAAAAACGGGGTATTTGATCTCGTATCAAACGGGGTATTTGACGAGGTATTGCACGAGTAACCCTCGTGTGAGATGTTAAGCGTCAGAGCGGTGTATTTGATTGAATTAGACGAAAAGATGACTGGTCAACTTCTCACTCTTCTGATGCTCTTCTTCCAAGAACCAACAACGACAAAGCAGCGTTCTACTTCTTCTACATGATACACTCCTCAAATATTTTCACCCTTCTCGACCTCGGCAACCCCATCAGTTGGAGATCCACCAAACCAGCCAGCTTCTTTGCGACCCGAAAAGTATCTTGCGCTCTTCATAGAGTTTGGTGTGGGGCAGCCAGATCTTGTCGCGGACTTACTCACGGCAGCGTATCGTAGATTGTTTGCGGATGGCGTGCAGTTGGGGGAAGGTAGTCCTTTTCGTATCTGATACATTTTGGTACTTCCGTGGTGTCTTGAATATTTAACAGAAGATCTGAAAGCCAGAAAAGTGCATAAAGCTCTGACTTTGAGAATCAAAGGCGTGAGCTCGTGCGACCTCACGTTTTAGCCGGTTCTTTTCTACGGTTCGACAAGCTCTTCTCTCTCTCTCACAGGTTGGAAAGCTGTTGATCTGCGGCCGCCAGAAAATGAGGAGTTACGGATTGTTGGAGCTACTTACGCAGCCGGGCGACATCGCGACGCGTTCCTCAATGCGATAATGCCGATGGGAGACCGAAACGCAGATTCTGACTCTCGTCATCTTGCCCGTCTGATTGGCTTCTGGGGTCACTTCTCGTTTTTGCTTGGCATAAAGGCGAGAATGATTTGCACCGCGAGAGGCCTTCACCCTGTAGGTTTTAGCACAGATGGCGTTCCTATAGGCGGCAGAGAAATAGAGCAATCTAGTGTGCGAGGGCCTTTCCTCTCGGATGACATCATGGTAACCATAACCTTGCCACCTCTGATCACCCGTCGTGATAGCTACGCAAATGTGGAACAGATGATACGCGCTACCACATCTCTACAAGTGAGCGAGGAGGATAGGACCAACATACGAGCAGCTGCCTCGCAGTCGTGCCTCCTGTACCGGGTGAGTAGTCTCATTGACATCCAGGTGCTTGGTGTGGGCAAGAAGGTCTTCGTCTGCATTGATCGTGGTTCGAAGCAGCGAACGTTGTACTTGTGGCGACTCTGCAGGGGAGACCCGATACACATCCGCTTTGACCCACCGCACGCCCAGTCAAACGACCTGCTCAAGGTCTCTCGTCTCATACTTCCACCAGATGTTGTTAGGACCTTGCGAATTCGTGGAACAGCAGGAGGTGCGCACTCATGCAAAATCGGAACCACGTGCAACATCTTCGCAAACGACTGCACCTTCCAGCAGTGCATGGACTTCATGGGAATCCTCTGTGACTCAGTGGCAGAAGAGCTGGGCGTGTCTACAGAAGATGACCAATTTGTTCCGGCGTTGAAAGCACGCGCGAAGGATATGGCGGCTGAGCTGAGCACGTTCTCTGGTACAAAGCGGTGGGCGAAATTTGACTACGCAGCTAACTGGCTAGTAAAGAACTGGACCTTACTACAGGCAATAGTAAACTACGAGCGGTTGAAGCTGGAGGGTTGTAGCGTCACGGAGTTCGAAGGAGGTCGCGTTGTCAGTCACGTAAGGGAGGAGGGCGGCGTTATCGTGCTAGACGTCAGTGATGAAGATCTTCGTGTTGCCCGCCAAATTCTGGACGAAGAGCGGCAGCACCAAGTGCACGAGGACCGTCTGAAAGATGAAGGATTCGGCAACGAGAGCTCTGACGAAGAGGCCGCGGCTGCTGTGGATGCTGGTGGAAACTGGCAGGCAGATGAAGGCATAGTGCTTCCAGCGCATGAAGAAGCGGCTTTTCCAGTCGCAGGCGCGCGCCCGCGAGTACATCAAAATGAGGAGAGGACGGCTGCTGAGAAAAAACGAGAGCAGCAGGCGCGGCAAAGGAGGGATAAGAAGGATGAAGACAAGGCGTTGTTTGCGGTCCTCTACCGTTTGTTGAACTGCCCCTACAGCAAGGCGAGAGTCTTCATCTACGAGAAATACGGGCGGCCGGCTTTGTACTTCCACGCAATAGGCGTGGCAATATCGTGGCAGCACTTCCTCTCACACAAGATCTACTACAGCGAGCACCCCAGCCTTTTATCTGAGTTGGCTGGGACATTCAATAGCGAGATTCCAGCAACGATCTTGCGGATGCAGCAGGACATCCCTGTCGGGTGGATTTCAGAAGTAATTGGCTTGATGGGAATTGAGGTACTTCGGACGTAGATCTATGAAGTTTTGAATCTCATGCTGATTGCTGTACTTGGATTCTGTATCTAATTTTTTTCGTTGCGAATTGACCTTGTAGCCTTAGCTGCAAGAGGCGTAAGGCATGGGAGCATAGAGAGACGACGACAAGCATTAACAGAAACCAACTCTACTATTACAACGATACTATGAATCTTGTCGACGTGAAGCATGTCACTACTCTACTACTCGACCCACAGTTCTGAACTTAAAAACCGACAGCTTGTCCGAGCAACGTGCAGAACCGCAGCAGAGCGCATGATGCACGCGGAAAGAATGTTCATGTATGCAAATTCATGGGAAGGGGAGCTTTCCCCCGAGGGGCTCCTCGAGGTCGCTGAGCGTGGCCCGCTGTCAGCTACTATTCAGCGCATTCTGGACGATCATGAGCGGTATTTGGAGGGTGACGAAGACGTTCGCGACTTCTATGGTTTTGCTGATGTGCCTTATCACACGAATTTGCTGCACACGGAGCCTCCCCCAGGAGCGCCAGCTGGTGTTGGATTGATTCATCCTCTACAAGTTCCGACTTTCAGCGGCATGGGCTTTCAAGATTTGATTTCACCGAAGCAGTTTGAACTTGAGACCGTCATCGCGGCTGAGTTCATCCAGAACTGCAACACCGTCCAGGCGCGAGGAGTATCTGCTTATTTGCAGGGCTTTACGACGTGGCATCTTCCGAAGGAGATCTTTCAACTTCTCAGGGATGACGAGGAGAATGCTGCAGTGAAATTGCTGACGCAGTGGATACGCGTTTGCCCTCAGACAACGCGAGATCACGAAGCTCGCGGAGGCCGGGTGAGCAATAACGCGAGGCTTGCCCGAAACGCTGGCGCTGTCACTGAGGTGCTCCTTTTCTAATACCGACATGTTGTCTCTCTCGCTGGTTTTCAGTCCTATTTAAGCTTGGTAGACAGTCCGTAGAACTTCATCTCAGGAGAGCTACCTTCACCAATCTATCAACACCTTATCCTTTTTGGCGTTAGGCTATGGCATCGCGCATCATTCAACTCCAGGGCCTCCATTGCCACATCGCTGAGACCCAGTTGCCTACGTGGGTGCCTGGAATGCATCCAGATACACACCCTGATAACCCACGCTTGGTCGGCTGCAGAGAGTCCTTTTCAGTACTGGACGGCAGAGACACCTTGGATAATTTCGAGGAAAATACCGTGGACGAAATCCTCGCGCGACTGTTTCCGAAGCAGACGCTAGAAGGTCACTCCTTTGGTCTAGACGATCACGGCCTCGTCAATCGCAAGATCCTGGAAGGCATGCAGAAAGGAAAGAAAGGTGAGGATCTTTACCAATGGGTCAAGGAGAAGATGGTGAATTACACCAAACCAGAAGCACACCAAATGCGTAAGGCGTTGAAGAAGGCAACAACCCTCGAGAAGGAGCAGCACTTCTTGTGTGAAGACCAACTGAAAGAACTAGCAGACTTCCACTTCTCAGCTTCAAAGATGAGTTACAAGCTGACTGGAGAGATGATTGCGAGGGAGCAAAGGGCGCGGCTCGAAGATGCCAGCGTCGAAGCGGCTTTGCGATGGGACATATCGAGGCTGCTCTGCATGATGATTGGCGGAATAATTCAGAAGAATCAGCAAGAAGGCCGTCCGACGCTTTTGGAGATCTTTAATGCTGATGACAAGGTTGACATCTTTCTCGCCGTGGAGGTGTGCGTCCCTCTTCGGGAAGTATTCGGGTGCTTTTTGCCTCATTCTGCTAACGAAGTTAGCACAGGGGAAGCAGCTGAGGACGTTGGCGGTGCTGGTAGTGGTGACCTTGCAGCGGCTGCAGAAGAAGATGGCTTTGGCAGACTTCTCCCAAGAGAGGACGAAGATGTTGTAATGGGAGATGCTGTTCATGATCACCTCCTAGACGGCGGCGAGCCGGGCGCAGACGTGGAGCGCAGCGCCCCGCACATTAGCAGTGGATTTGGTATCTTCTTTGTCAGATGACTAGCAGTGAGGACGTCAGACAAACAAGTTCAGGAAGTCACTGCGTCGCTATGTATTGTTCATAGACTGAACATGTTCAACTTACAACCCCACAGGGCGGCATACATACGACGATGGAGCGGCGGAGAACGATAACCCACGGTCAGAAGTGATGCATTTTCGTTTTCCCGAGGGCGTCAAGTCGTGGACTTTTGTGCTTCCTACGGATCGCGAAGCTGCTACGAAGTCGCACGTGAAAGGGTTGTATGTCGACTCAATCTTCATGAAAGAAGCCGTTGATAGCTTGCACCAGTGGAGAATCGGAGTAGTGCCGGGGGCATACATGGACATCAATGTAGAGCATCGGACTCGTTTTGCTGTTCGCCGTGACTACGTTCCGCAGTCGGTGTTTGAGGCAGGGATAGACGCGGGCTTCTTGACCAGTAAGAACTTTCTAGTAAACTACACTTCATCAAAGAGTCGCGACTTGCGCGCCGCTTGTCTCTACCTTTTAAAGGAGGAGCCGTCGCGCATCAACCTCTTCCGCGGGCCGTGTTTCGAGCCAAAAGCAGGCAAGTTTCTGAACGACACGACCATCGGCCTGATCGGTTCTACGGGTAGTGCACCTATCGTTGCGGGCGCAAGCGGTGGCTTAGGTGCGCCTTCGTCAAGTTCCTCCTCATCTTCCAGCTCGTCCTCTTCATCAACTGGGAACCTCCGGATCGCACCACCATGGCGCACATCGTCAATCCTCTCTCGCGATAGAACCCGTGGTAGATTCGGCGACAGGTTGAGTGAGTCTGTTTCTGGAATGGCCCGAGTTGGCGATGCGGATCCGGTGATACCTGAAGCACCACAGCAAAGCAGTTTGCCAGCAAGGTTCAACTCGGCTCATCTCTTCAACGCAGTTCCGTTTTCGACCAGTACAGCAGCCGCAGCTGGAGAAAGCTCCAACGCCAATGACGGCAACAGGCTGTTTGAGGAGTTTGGCAGCATCGCGAGTGGGGAACTTCGCCACAGCGATCTATCTCACTTTGCGCAGTTTTTTGGATCGGTAACGCACAAGCGCGCGTTGGAGTGGGCGGAGACGCTTGCTACTCTATACTATGGCCAGAAGAAAGGCGAGGCGAAGATTCTCGCTGCTGGATGCTACAAGTCGGTTAGTAGCGAGGGGAAGGAGGTGCAGGTTTCGAGCATGAAGCTCACCTGCGAAAAGGTGGTGCTCGCATTGCAGAAAGCCGAAACTGCGGCCACAAGAAAAAGCAAGAAGAAAGGACCGGCGCGACCCATCACGGCGGCACAGGAAAATGCTCAACCTAAGAGGCAGCCGAATAAGAAGGAGAAGAGGAAGGCAGCAGCGGCGCTTCTGTTGCGGGTGCCTGGTTTAGGAGGTGCGGTTCGGCGCGAGGTCGTCGCAGAGGACAGTGACAGCAGCTACATTGACGACGCAGAGGTATTGTTGATTTTTGTGTTCAGATTGTGCATTTGTATCTGTCGCTCAGGAAAAGAACTGCACTTGTTCACGACTGTGTGTCACGTTAAACATCATATTGAAATCAAACAGATGACCTGCGAGCCTTGTAGCGAAGACGACGATGAGCATTTGGACTACAGACTTGGGGATCCGCTTGATGGGGTGGACGACATGCCTAATCCACCGCCCCGGCCGACAGATCTGGCGAAGCAGCTGATTAAGTCTGCGTTTTTGGGACCGAGAAAGCAGGAGCTGGAGAAGGCGAGGTTGAATTGGCACCGAGAAGATGACGACTTGATTGATCTTCATGCTCATGAATGCGATCGCTGGTATCATCTGAAATGTGCAGGATGTAAGAAGGTCCTTGGCAAATATCGCAGATGTTGGATGAACAAAGGGAACGGGCCGACAGCTTTTGCCACCATGATTGGCCAACGCCGCGAGATATCTGTTGCTCTTGGACCTTTGCGACACATCAGACGATCTGCGAAGAACGCACCTATTCCGCGTTGTTTATGCGGCTACTGGTTGCTTGGAACGCTTTTTTCCGATATCGAATGCACAAAAAAGGTTGGGAAGCTTTGTCTTTGGTGGTGTGCAGAGCACTGGTTGCGAGCACGTTTGCGTGCAATGGACGGCAGTCCATGCACCTGTGAACCAGGTAAGTGGTATAAACACACAGAGTTGAAACTTTTGAAAAAGGCCGACACTTTTACTGCCCGCCGATCTGAAGACGCATGATGCGGGTGGAACATGATAAGCCACTTCTTCCCAGTTTCTACATAATGAAAACATTGAGCACAACTAGATCGTCATAATTCCACATCTTTCAGTGAAAATTATTAGCTATCTTCCTCACGTCTGATTTCTGACATATCACTACTCATCCGATCGGTACTATTTTGCTTTTAAATTTACAAGCTTCATATCCTTCTAATCATGGCAATCACTTCGCATATCTTCTATCTCATATCTTAAGCGAGTAGTGCTTCAAATTTCTCGGAGTACATGATTGAAACGACCCCTAACACACACAGACCGACCCACTTTTTTGGAGCTATTCAGCCGACTACTTTTTTGCAGATCCATGAGCATACTCATTAATAGACATCACTGAGACGTCACCACTTATTTCCGTGTCATGTTTTAGGTCAAGAAGTCTCTTCATATAACTAGTGGGGTGCGATCCCAAGACAACGTTGGCTACGGACGAAAGTAAGCTCGTGTTCATGGAATCTGTCCGGGCACATCTATTGAGAGTTCATGAAATCTATTATCCAAGCCCAAAAGTCTGTCTCTCTCCGGTATGCAGGAAAGCACACGAGTCATCAAGTGCATCGTTGAAGCGGATCGGATCAAGTTCCAACGTTGATCTATTTTTCAAGCATACAGATCCTAGTCGGTCTTCTGAGATCACTATACCTCCTACTGCCCCTTAAACCTCATTGTCAGCGGAAAATTCGGGATGATGAAAAAGATGCATTTCTTCAAGCCTTAAAATATACATCAAAACTGATGCGTCATTGTAGCTCTCTTTAGTAGGCACGCGTACGCCAAGTACACCTAGATAGAACGCCACGCTTTTCATTTTTAATTTTGAGAACACACTGACTAAGACTAACGCGCAACACGATCAAGTAGGTAGACATCATTTTCTTTTTTATTTTCGTTCTTATTAATTTGAGATACTACCCCGTCAATGTGAAATCAATATTTCCTCATAGTGGGAGCGGTGCTTCTAGGTTCCTATCCCATGCTATCCTATGCTATGTTATCCTATCCTATTCTACAGGCTGCTTCTCCACCCCGTAGAGGTATCTTGATATCTTGAAGGCATGCCGCTTAGGTACCACCTTGATGCGGCCTTTATTATCCTGGTATACACCTTGACTCATCAACATTACAGCTCATTGCGAGAAGGGAACTGAGGAGGTGAACCTTATTGACGGTCTCTGCGAGGTAGCGGGGGGTGAGTCTAATTAAGGCTGTAGCCAATTCATTCTTGCCTGCATCCTTGAAACGTATGGGGGGGGGTATCCTGAGGGAATGCTCTACCATATTTTTCAAGGATACAGGAGGAGGATGAATTGCGGAGCGCTCTAATCAAAGGGCGACACCTGTGAGGTGCCACAAGGTTCCGAGAACAAACTTCGCATCATCCGCAAGGGTTTGAACAAGGGAATCGATTCCTTTTCCATGGTATGGCCTCCAATGTTGAAATTATATATAAGCAATCTTCAGTTCGTTGTAAGGCACCTCTAGGGGGTCGAGTTGTTCACTCACTCAGCTCGTGGTGCTGTTGGTTATAAGCACTAGCGCACTAGCTAGCAGCTGGTACTTGAAGTCGTGAGGCAAGAACACATCTTAGACGAGAGCTGCATTTTCATTTTGGCGAATAGGTTCAAGTCATCATCTTTGCCAGTAGTTCTTCATACAAAGCTGCAAAACCGATTCTCGAGTTCTTTCACGAAGTGAAAATCTTCGAGTTCGTAACAACTGCCAAGAACATTGCTTTCTAATCCTGGTCTTCGACAATCGTATGCTAGAAGAGAGTGACGCTCGCAAAAAGTTGCTTCAGAAGAAGGCGGCCAGCAACGCTTCGAATGGTCTTGCTGAGTGGTTGCATGAGCAGGGTGTTAAAAAGGTCCTCATTACTGTTATGGCAGTCAAGCGCAAGATCAGTACTATTACTTTCTTGAAATCATGTAATGAGGCGTTCTGCAAATCTAGGTTGGTTACTTCTTTCTTTTTTTATACGGTTGAGGTAGTTTAGGTCCAGCGACGCGTAAAGCACATGAAGAAGAGCTGTCCGTCGGCTCTTTTTCCCTCTTAAGTGCTAGGCTGCTTAGTCCCTTCAAACAAGATATTATCGTGGGTTGAATACAAATTGCTAGGAGGCTGCACACTGACTGTCGTGAAATTGGTGCAGAACAAGTGGTTTATAGCAGTGGCCGCCTGCTCAACACTTATCAATAGATTATCTCAGAACTACTTGGCTCATCAGTTCTTCTAGGCAGACTGCAGAATAGATTCACATTCACATCATCAGTTCTGAGAACTAGTGCTGCATCACAACTTTCCTAGTTCTTCTAGTTTTGCTGTCCTCTAGAAGGAGTTGCAATTCTGATGTCTAGGAAATTGAGAGGGCGACCGGACTGTTGAAACAGTTTGGCACGGTTTTTTGAGGGTCTCTTACTCCTGGGTCTATCACCAGTCGTATTCATCGTAATAGTCTGAGTCTCATATTAGTCACCGAAAAAAATAAGTTCACCACTTTCCTTATCCTTCTAGCGTCCTCTAACTTCGGCATTGCGGATGATTTTTGTGTCAAGAGCACCGCGTTCGACTTGTTGGACACGGAAGCTATGGCGCAGATCGCTGACAAGGCCGCATTCAAGGTGGTCCATCTGAAAGAAACGGCCTACGGAATCTTAAGGCTTCATCTGAATCTCCAGGAATTCTTTAAAAAAATCTGACAGTCAACGTTTTTCTTTAATCCGACACTCAGCGTGAGATCCAACAAGATAGCCTACTTATCACTGCGATAGTACTTATGCATTTTTTCACATCCTGAAATTAACCCCCTACACCTCATGCCAGTCTGATAGAAAACTTATTATTTACTTAGTTGATTTGACCCAGATAATGGTCGGGGGTACGTCATTATCGTCCCCCGTGTGGTATTATGATGCATAAATAGAGTGCTTTCTTTTCTACCTCTAGACTGGGTACACTACTACTGCTACTAGTGCTGGCGACGGCTCAGAATCCCAAGCATTCTTTTCTATATGAAATTATGAGTTCTAATATTATGACATATGAAAAATGTAATTTAGTTGTTTTGAGCTCCTGCTCTAAGAAATGTTCGTGGCTTGCGTGACGTGGATAAGGGGGAACTCGACAAAAATCTGCGCAAGGAGTACGAAGACAAGAAAATCACCTTGAGCAGCGTCGAACAGGAACTCGGAGGGTCCTCCAAGAGCAGTATTTGTTGTTAGAATTATAGAACAACAAAATAATTTAGAATGAAACAAACAGTTTGTTATTTTTGTGATTTATTCTAGTCGTGCATGAAGACTACATGTAGTCTTCATGTTAGATGAGGACATGACAAATATTATAACTGTAACTAACAGTTTGTTTCTTTGTTTGTTATTATAGGAGGTGTTTTTTGTAATAAATTATTGTAAAATTATAGGAGGTGCTAGCAATTCTTGTAGGAGGTGGATTTATTACCGTGGTTTCTAGATGATGATAAACTTGTGAACGATGATGAAAGTGAGATGATGACAGTGAGATTCCGAGTAGAGACGATGATGAACTTTTTTGATGTAGGGAGAGCCACGACGAGGTGGCATGGCATGAGATGACATGTCTTACTTTTGAGCAAGTATGCACAACGACAACTACGTCAAAACAAGTCTTCATCACATATTTAGTTGGATATGTTGTCATATATTTACCTAGAGATGTCGGCAACAGTTGCGAGTAGTAGGATCGAGATTGTAGGTGATTGTGATATTTTACGAGGACTTCTTATATGCTGCATCCGCCGGACCCTTTCGTACTAAGAAGACAGCAACCACTTGCTAGGAGATAAATGGCGAGCTTGATGATGGCCACCACTCTGGAGGTCGTCGGATTCGGAGCACAATTCATATCTTTAAGGGTTTCCGAGTTACATCCCGCACAACCGTCCTTGGCTCTTTTCCTAGTACAATGAATAGGGAAGAAGGCAAGGAAGATGCACTGGGAAAGAAGCCAGGGATGTTCTGAGGCATGTAATTCCGTAACCTCTAATATTTTCTATGTTTTACCCCGCTTGACCTTGACTGCTAGAAGTCGTACGCAGCGAGTGCCGTTATTGATGTAAGAATAGTATCCCCTTTTTGATGTTAGAACAATAGTATGTATTATACGCAGGAGCTTCCCGCCTAAAAGTCAAGGCTATGCAATCCCACAGCCGTCAACACAAGTGGTGTTGAGACACGGCCGTCGGAATTGCTTCGTCTTGTCGCTAGACTACTTGAGCTACCTCCTCTTAAGGGAAGAGTAGCCATGATGATCGTGGTGATGATGTGCATGTGAGAATACTATAGACTTGTCGAAGTGTAGTAGACTTCAAACCATAGACTTTGGACCATAATAGACTTTCAACCATAGAATATACTACTAAGTATGGACGTTTGGAGAAAAGGAACACGACCAAAGACCTTATCCGCAAGGGTATGGGTCGTGGATCCTCGCAGCTTCTGTTCCTAACACATGCATACTACATACTATTTATGTATTTTCTTACTACATGGTGATGAATACATACGTACTATGATGTTGTCCCGATCAATCATATACTTATTCTTACATCGCATACCCGTAACTTACAAATTTTCAAAAGCAATAAGAGAATTATCGCAACAAGTCCACAAAACAATAAGATTTATGATTTATATTGCAACAAGTTTGCTGTTGATATGTGATTGTGTGTATAGTCTAGGAGGTTCAGACTTGCTGAAGCGGAGCAGTCACCTCGATGTGACAGCGAAGTAGAAGCATCCTGTCCTATCCTATAAGACTTAAAAAGCGTAAAACTCCGGGATAATTTTTTTTTTGGGAATTTATTTAAGCAACATATTTATTAAATATGATTACGCAACAAGATGAGTAACTTTGATTCTTCAATTGAAGAACAAACAATCTACTGAGATTTTTTAAAAAGAGTTCTGTCATCATTGATAACTAGTCTTATCGTGCTTCAGATGAATTTGAAATCTGTCACCAGTCAAGTTTTGACGTGTGACGCATGTTGGCTCTTCAGTAGCCAACCATGTCTGTCTCTCTTGGCAGACCAGAACCTCCTAACACACTTTTAAGCAAATATAGATCTATGTGCATGGGAAAAAAAAGTGTTAGTATTGTTCTCGTAGCACCAGAAGTCAGTGATATCATCTTCTCAGGGAAAAAACCGAATCTAGAATTAGGAGTTGTTAGAGGAGTCGGTTGTGCACTCATTGCAGTATGTTGCAGCTGCGATATCATGATTAATGCCGAGGACCACAAAAAAGAAGGGGAGGGCGAACCCATGCCACATATGAAGATGAAAGCACTGTGCGGCAATGCCTGTCGGCGTCTCTGCTGTGGCTAGGAGTAGCGTCCTAGTCTTGGAAGAGACATGAGCGCGCCAAGCATGTCGTCAGTATCGAGGAGTGATTTATAGATCTATAGATTTCATCAAGTGAGTCGTCTAGCACCAAAAGTCTAGCTATAGAACTTCGAAGAAGGCACTCTGCTGCATCATTCATCGAAAAAAATGCATGTCCATGTTATTCATTACAACCGCGACTACATAATATTACGTAAATAGAACATTATTTGGATAGAAGTATTACGCCTACATAGAACTAGAAGTGGTACGTATGACGCAAAAGGATGGAGGTGTAGTATGTTCTTACTCGCATCATATGACAACATACAATTTTATTCAGTGGTGCAAACGAATTCATTCAAACAAATGCATGGAAACGACGTGACTTCGATCTCATTCTTCGTGTGTTCTCTTCTAAAACTACAGCCCAACGTGTGCTAGAGCTGTTGTTATCATTTATTTTAAAGCTAATGCGGTCGGTCTACTTCTCTGAGAGGTAAAGCTATCTACGAAATCTTCTTTCCGCAATTACAAAAATTTGAAGCAGGATGTAGAACGCTCTCTGCTTCCAGGAGTTGCTTCCACCCTTTAAGCAAGACATGGCCTTCTGTTGTGGTTGTCAGGTTCTGTAGAGAGTCAAAACAAGCTAGATCATGTTCAACCTCCGAAGAAAAAATGCGCTTCTTAGACAAAAAGAGGCATCGGTAAAAAGAACGGCATCTGAGAGCTTACTAGGGAGAGCAGCTGGTGCGTTGTGGAAACTAGTACGATAACCCTCTTCTAGTACTTTTACTTGTTTTTCTTGTTCTTAAAGAAAATTAACAAACAAGTATCAGAGAGTTTCACCGTCACTTCATTTTTCCAAAGAACAAACTGTCTGGTGAGCCCCTCTAATAATGATTTTTCCAAAAAACAAACTAACAAAAACAATCAAAGCTGCTGTGAGATAGTCTTCTGTCAGCATCCTCGATACGGTAATTTTATCTTTACCTAGAATTGAATACAAGATCCAAGACGAGCATACGCTACAGGCGCGCTCCTTCAAGCGAGTAGATCGGATGAGGAGACATGAGAATAAATGCAAAGAAGGAAAAAAGGGAAAAAAGAAGGAGAAGAACTAGATGCGCAACATCTAAACTTACCTCTTGCCAGGCACATCAATCAAGCAATCAACCCGAGTCTGAAAATACTTAGAGGTTTCTACCTATTCGAAAACTCAAAATAAGCGAGCTACTGAGTGAAATAAGAGAATCTTGACTACATTCCTCTTCTTTCAGTATCTCCCTTATTTTCAATAGCTACTCGGTTATTTCAGTTTTGCGAATACAAAAATTTTGAAAATGGAAGCAGCTTCCAGCAGAAGTACGACAGGAGAGGATATGGAAATTCCTGACGGGCCCTTGACGTTGGATGTTCCGTTAGATGCTGTTGCGTTGTCGCGGAATTCACGGAGCATTCTCCGTCATGTTGACCACGAGGAGAACCCGAATCATGAGGAAGCGCAAGCAGGGGTTCTGCGCTCATCGCCACTAGCCGATTTATGATGTCGTGACTGATCTCATCTGAGTTTAGGAGAGTTTTTTTTTGAATATAAGTTTAGCCCTGGAGCGAACTAGTCGTGGGTGCACATAGCGCGAGAACTGAGCACTTCTCTGAGGTAAGCACAGGCCTCGGCCGCCTCCGATGGGAAGACCTCCAGGGCTGTTGGGCGACACGCGGCGCCTAGAATAGACGGATCCTACTTAGCATGGCCAATACTAAGATATCTGTACTTCTCTATCCTTTATCTACTATCCTTCCTTTTTCTTTTCCTAGTTAGCTTGGCTCCACCCATAATATAAGTTTAGGATCAAGTTCATTATTTAATTACAAGATCATGTTCCTGAAGGGAGCGAAGCAATTTATATTTGAACAATGTGCTAGTAAATCGAAGAAGCACAACATAAAGAAGATGATAGTAGTGGAGATAAAGACTTCTAGATGGAGAAGGGAGTGGTGGTAGAGAAGATGCTATAAGAGAAAAAGAAGAAAAATGAGGAGAGTAATACAAGTCAGCACGAGTCTCGATTAAGTAGTCACTCGTTTTAAACACGACAGCTGCAGGGATCATAATTGAGCTTTTTCGTCCAAGATTCATTCCTTCGAGAGACACTTAACAGTGCTACTATTGTAGAACCATGTAGAAGCATGAGGAAGATGAAGAACCTTCTAATCGTAATCCTTAGTACAGGTGGAGAGATGTTGGGTCTTATTGGCGAGAGGGCGACTGGGGTTGCTCAGAAGTCTCGCAGTCCGAGTAACAGGTCCCGGAGTCCTTCCGAAAGCTGGCGAAGATTAGAATTAGTTTATGAAGAAATTCATCTCGAGGAAAACAGACAGGACTACTAGTTCTTGACGTGGTCTAATGTTTACCACTTCATTGTGTGTGGTCTCATGCACGAGGACTTCTTATACCAGATCAATCTAGTTGTAACCAGTCGTGTGCGCCTTCTGCCTCTTTAAAATGGAAATGCAAGAAATGTGCACGTAGCTTACACTAAGCATTCAGCAAGAGGAACAACAAGATCCGGTGATGTGCTCAAGGGAAACACAAACAATCTGTGAAATGATGAGTCCCGAGATGAATTTTCTACACCTCTATCTAGTACAGCAGATAGAGCCTGCAGTTGTTTCCCCACCAGAAAGAACCGCAGCACGAGAAGGAGAAGCTACGCCTTCAAGGGGACTAGGAGTTTTCCTAGAAGGTAGAGAAGACGTGGTTGTGGAACATGCTGATAAAACAGACACCGCCGATGTTGATGGCGCTTGTAGACCGGACAAAAATGCTGATGTCCTCGGTCCTGTGCATCAACAAGACGACATTAGGACAAGTAGAATTACAAGTTTGCGTTTTCAACAGCCTCCAGCTCCTGATGAAAGTCGCGTGAATGCACATGAAACAACGTATAGTACATCGAGAACGACCCGTCCATCGGCCACAGCTTCTTCTGGGCGTTCTATTCAGGCTTCAGAAAATCCATGTCAGACAGCGTCCTCTTGGGTCCGTGTCCTAAGGGAAAACGGGCACCAAGAGGCTAGCCAAGACGGATTTCCTCGTCTAGCTCTAATTCTACTTTCACCTCACGTGCTGCCGCATCCCCGTCTCTATTGTTCCCACCGAGAGCGGTAGAGCGTCTGCAGCGGGTTACCTCAGTTATAAGGAATACAACAACAGTCATTACAAGAATTTTGATTTATTCCAGAAATTTTCTATTTACCGACTAATACACAACATGGTCTTTCTTGTAGACGTCTCGACTTATTGATTAATTATAGAACGGACTACATCAACGACTCAGATATCTACTGAAGTTCATAAGTTTAAGTAGGGTAACTAAGATAACCACGATGGATCGATGGATACTTCTAATTCGAGAAAAAGAAGCTGGCCCTGCGCAATTGACCGACCGAGTTTCTGCGATACTAGAGAGGAACCGCCAGCTGTTGCGTGGATCTGTAGAGGGCTCACCTGGAGAAGCGACTAAACTACATGAAGAATTATATCGAGTGTCCTCACGTTTGTCTGCGGGAATAGAGCCTCTGATGCTGCCAAGAAAAGTTAAGGCTATAATCGAGTAGCCAACTACTTCTTCATCTCCGTGAGCTTGTAGTTTTTGTTAGCCTTCCGATAGTTGTAGTTTTTGTTGGCCGATTGTACGGTCTCATGCGCCCCCAGTATGTAACTTTTTTAGTTGTTTAGGTGATGTATTCCCTTGTTTAAACGGGCGGTGGCATATAGTCCTATGGAAAAAAAAGATTGAGGCTATAACCGAGTAGACCGCGCTTCGCCAATTGATTGACTGACTAGACAACTACTTCTACATCTACGTGAGCTTGCTTGTAGACTTTTGCTTCGCTAGCTAGTACAACTAGTACAGTTCTAAGACGTGCCTGGCAGCAGCTGCGAAGGTACTCCGGAACAAGAGCCGTGGGTCCCATGCAGCTTTAGTACGAGATGACAAAGATGGAAATCAAGATGCAAATAATGAACATGCTGGAGCTGGCACTGCTTCCGCATCTTCTTCAGCACTGTGGAACAAGAACACGGCAACCTCAGCATCATCCTCTCCACGACATCAACAGCATCTCCAGAGGGGCGAAGGAGAAAGCGCGCCGTACAGCAGAGACGGTTCTGCTGTCTTTGTTCCTCCGAGTGGCACAACGACCATTCACCCAAAAAATCTAAATCATGAAACAAACGTTCGTCCTGATCCTCAAGAAGCAGTTGCAAGACGAGGTCGACGTGGTCGAAGCCCAGATGTAATACAAGTAGAGACCACAGGGCCTTTTTCTCGTAATCGGTCACCCTCTGGGGAAGACTTCCGTGAAAAGCCAAGACATCCGGAAGAATGGCCAGGGTTACTGCGGAAGTCCAGTGGTTCCCAACATAGGGATTCTAGTAGAACTAGAAGTCCGTCACGAGGTGGGAATACTGATATGATTCCAGTCAGAGCCACAACTAGAAGTCCGTCACGAGGTGGGAGTATTGATATGATTCCAGTCAGAGCCACTACAAGAGAGGAGCAGTCGTGTGTTGCAAGCGCAAGTCCGCAGTCGGTACAGTACTATCAGGGATCTTCTTATGAAATTTGTACCTGTACTAGAAGTGATCATATAACTAAGTGATATTATCATGCGACGTATGAAGCAAGTTGTCAGCACCTCCTTGAAAACCATGATCTACAGCGCTAAATAAAATCGCGTAGAACAAATATCTTGGATCCCATGCCAATGCTACGACGCAAGAGTGGATCGCCAGGAGCAAGAGCACTATCGCTTTCACGCCGTCCTAACGAGGGTGAGCAACTCACAACTTCATCTAGAGGACCAGTGCTGAATGTTGAAGAAGGCACTGCTGAAGAAAAACCTGGATCTACTGCTAGAGGAGGTCATCTTGCAAGAGGAGAAATGGAACAAAAGCAAGTCTATTTTGAAGCACATCATTCACCCGAAGTAGAACTGCCACATGGAACTACTGTAGTGGAGCATAATCAAGCCCAAAAAAGCCGTCCTTCTCGCCAAAGTAGCCCGAAAAGCGCTGCCCGAGCCTCATGTCGCTCGTGGGCAAGTCAGCAGACCAAAACTCTACAGCACACACTGGTTTTAACAACGCGTCAAATGGCTGACCATGAAAGAAAAAGCGCATCTTCTTGGGAGGAAACTCTGCGGGAATTCAACTGCTGCGACCCTGAGGGTGAGAAGAGGTCTGCCGAACAGCAGGAGAAGAAAGTTATGGAGGAAATCACATTATAAGGATTTTTAGAAAATTGATAGTTTACAAGATCAAGAAACTCGTGTCATCTCATCCTGTTCTCTAAGAATATGAACACGCATCCGGTACCTGGCTGTTGGCAGACCTTTTCGGTTGATCCGGAGGGGTTAGAAACTCAAGTTTCGGAACCTAAACATGTTAGAAGTTCTTTTTCCACCACTTCTATAGATGAAGAACATGGCAAAGAAAATGATAATGGATGTCCTAGTGGACAAGGGGACAGGAGTGCAGCTGACGGAAATCTTCAAAAAACGAACGTTGTTGTACGTCAAGAGGAACGAGAAGGAGCTGCAAGAACATCATCGTCCACTTTAGAAGAAGACGCACCTGTCGTGCAGAGTTTTCGCACTACGCTTGTGACCTCTTCTGCAGCTTGTCAAAACGCGTTAGAAGAAGACCCTTCAATAGGGGAGACGAATAGAAGCAAAAACAATGGCGAGGAGGAACTAGATGCTCCTACGTCGGAGCCCTCTAGAACAGAAATTGAAGCAGTAAACGATGTTCTAGACACTGCGGCTGCAATTGCTGCATCTGCGATTGCATCTACAACAAAGCCTGCTCGTGAGGAGAAGGCACCAAGTTCGGAGCTTTTACCACCAGTGTGGGCAGCAAAGATTACTGAGGCAGAAATTGACGAGTTCTTAAGGTGGCGGGAACAACGTTCAAAAGCCAACACGACGTGTTTTGGTAGCAGCACTGATTCTGAAAATACCAAGATGGGTGTCGTTGCAGAGAAGGCAGACTTAGAGGCGGAGAACAGCAGCAGTGATAGTTTTCCACATCATGAGGTGAAAGCGCAACTAGAAAATAGCGAGAGGGCACCGTCAGAGAACAACGGCAGTCACAGCGATAAGTTGCCCCCAGAGACCCCAAGCAGTAGCAGCGAAGAAGATATAGAACTAGCACGACAGGGTGAAAATCACAATGCAACTCTTGTTGGTGACCACGAGAAGGACCTACTTCTAGTTGAAAGGCCAGCACTTGAGATTACCTTTACCAGTAGTGGAGAGAGTTTACCCTCGTTTCACATTGGTAGGGAAGAAGGCACTTCATCATCCTCAAAAGAGACGTCATCCACTGGTGGTGAAGACGACAGCAATTATGGTCAAAATGCAAATACAAGTGGTGTATCTGAGACAGACGAACATCATTCACATCATCACGCACACTCGCACTCTTCGTCTGCTCACTTCGTTGAGAAGATCAAAAGAAAAGTTCTTAAAATCAGAGCTGATGTACTTGTGGATACCATCAAAGTGGATTTGACTGGCAATAGCGAATTTGCTCTGGTCTATGCCACACTTGAAAGTACAGGAAAAACGGAAATGATTTATGCAGTCCGGAAAACGTAATCTTGTTCTGTACCTATGTATACCCGGTTTTATCATTTTCCTTTTTTTCGTTCTCCTGTGGGTGCAACCAATCCAACGTGGGTAGAAAATTTCATCGGGATGAAGCAGAATGAGGACATCAAGAACGTCTACGCTTTTGTCTTGTTCGCGGTCGTGTAGCAGCTAGTAAGTACTAGCTAGCGTGCCGTCTATGATGTATGTCGAAGAATGCGTCGTATGTCAATGTCGGTTTTTTGGTGTGAACACCACTTGCTGCAAGTGCTGGAACTCTGAAAAAATATGAAGTACCAACCCGATGGCGGTAACTTATCAAGGAAGAAGTGTGAAGTTTGTGACCGTGCATTTGTGGCGAGTTGTCGAAGAATCTTTGAGAAACCAACTCCGAAACAGGTAACCTCTGAAAGCATCCCTAGTCACCTACCTATCTTCAAAACAAAATCGTTGCAGCAGGATGTGATGTTACGGAAAATGCAGAGGCGACTATGCGCATTTGCTTCCCAATTTCAAGTAGAATCCTCGAATAAAGCTTGATAAAGTTGAGTCGGTAGGAGTAACAGGATAAGAAAGCTGGAAGTTATGGGTAACGTCGCTTATAAGTTTATAAGTAGTCATCCTTCCATTGAGTTCGCGATGCTAACTTCGATGGAGTCTGAGATTTAGTTTCCTACTTAGGGCTCCACCTCAATCATGCAGGATGACTTTTTTTCTTCCAACGATTTGAAAATGTAAGTACTAGAACTACATCGAAGAAAACGAAAGAATGGGAGACAATGAGTATGGATATCATTCGAGCCCCAAACGATGGGAAGGATCGCCTGACGGGAAGAACATCGACCTCTACTTTCGTGGAGACACGCCTGGACTAGTGGAGTCGTTGCGGATAAGCTCGAATCACGCTCAAAAAATGGGTGGACGAACGTCTTTGGCTAATCATTAAGAAGAGGATAAGTAAAGGAAGATGTGATAGTTGCGCTTGCAAGCTTTCTTCCTGGTCCTCTTGCTGAAATTGTACATGAGATAGACTCCTTCGTCGTTCCGTTTCCCAAAGCTTTGCTTCGGGTAAGTACTCACAAAGCTACTTCTAGATGTCAGTCTCAGTGTTCTTGTCCGATAAGTTTTTGTGGATCCAACTTCTAGAAAGCCGCTTCAGCCTTCATATAGCTCTAACTTTCCCTGTCTTTAGGAGACGAAGACTCTACTTCTCTTCTCTCTATTGGAGATTCATCGTTCGAAGAACGTTCACATGCGTCGTCGGCTCATCAAACAGAAAGCTCTCCCGGAGCCTCACCTCAAAGTTCCACGTTCTTGGAAAGCAGTTGCGTCTCCTTCGATCCCCGTGCATCTTCTTCACGGGTCTTTGCTGTGGCAGAGGACGAGGATGACTCAGTGGCTGAGGGTGAAATATTAGCGAATGATGAAGAAGTAAGGTCAGCTTTTAGTTTTGTCCATCTTTCTCGGCAACATTTAGTGTCCCCTTTTCCCTTGTATTATTCCTATGAAATGATACAAGGGTAGTAAAGGGGTCAAGATGAGGGGGCCGAGATGCAATCTAGCAGACTCTAAAAGAATGGAGTAAGGTCGAGGTCATGGCGGAGGATAAGCAGGATCATGTCCAACAGGGGTGGTCTAAGGACAGAATATTAGCGATGAACACTCACGGGGCTAAGAAGGCCAACATATCGAAGGAGGACTTCGAGCAAAGGGGTCTGGCGCCTGATCGGGGAATAGGTTCCTTGGAGACTACCGCAGAAGAGCGTGACGTGTTTCGTCGAGTTCTTGGTAAATTGGTGGCGCCTTTTTTAGCGGGATCCACAGAGCAGACAGCAGACTTTGAGCGTAGAAATGAGTCCTCGTCTACCTCCAGTGAGAAGAAGCACGAGGAGCGTAGCCAAAAGCTTCTGGGTGCTGGGTCCTGTACTAGTGGGTCCTCAACATCTTCGTCTTCCAGGATCTTGAATGGGAAGGAGGAAGACCCGCGTCGTAAAGCTGAGACAGCATCATTAGTAGCCCGAAGATTGACGAGGACGAATCTTCAGTATGAGGCTTCTTCTAGTGCGCAAGAAAGGCTTGTGGCTAACGATCGATCTTCTCGGCAAATTCACTCCGACGAACGAAAAGAGAAAAAACGGCGACGGAAGCAAAGGGTGGCAGCCCTGCTCGCAAAATATCAGGCAGATTTTCTGGCTTCATCAGACGATGGGGCATCCTCTAGTCAACCGGGTCCTGTATATAATGAAAACAGTCGTCCTGCGCGTGCTGGTGCTGGTACAAGAACTAGTCATGGCTCTTCCTCGTTCGTGACTGGCCGATCGGGGAGAAGGAGTGCTCCTGAAGGTTCTCCACCGTATAATTATGCTAGAAAAGGAGGTCCTCGTGTGGTTCCTGTATCGTCTTCTGAGACGCAACATGTACGACCGAACAGTACGACGGTTGAGGAGAAGAGGACCTTTGTTGACAAGAGCAGCCGCAATTTCAATGGGTCGATCGAAAATTATACTACGAATAATACTAGGACGGGGCAGAACGCTGGTCGCGATATCGCAGAGCGCATCGCTTCTTCTGCAAGACGAAGGGCAAGCGGCATTTCTTCTCGGGACTCTTTTCTTAACCTTGTTTCTCATTCGCAGACGGAGACGCAGCTAGAAAATCGTCCTCAAGTGCTTGCCAGAACCCCTGATCCTGATCACCGACATGTAGAAGAAGTGCAGGGTCCTGCAGTGCCAGTGGAACTGGTATCACAGCCTGTGCCTGCTAATCCGCACGAACAGCGGGAGCAATCACAACAAGTAGCCCAAGCCTGCGTGATAAAGGAACGAAATCGAGAAGAACTAGTCCAAGTTCCTGCTAAGGAACCACTACAAAATCGAGAAGAACTAGTCCAAGTTGCTGCTTCATATCCTGGTCAACAGCCACAGCCAGCACCACTATTGCAAGACTTGCTTCATACCCAGTCTGAGATTGTGCGTGACGAAGGCTGGCAAAAAGTGGAAGATGTTTTCCTGCAGAGCCTCGAGTTAAGCCCCATTCGATCTGAAGATGAAACGCCCCCTAGAACTATGTCTTTTGAAATCTACAACGAAGGTGGGAAAGGTAATGAGTCTTGGGCGGAAGTAGATATGCGTGTGGAGGAGGACTTCTTGGCGCGAACATCACGTGGCCCAGGCTGTTCTCCACAGGAAACTAGTTACAATTTGAATTTTATCTCTACTGCAGGGCCAGAAACAGGAGCAGGAGCATCAAGAACTGGAGCAAAACAAGAGAATGTTAAACCAACTCCAGCAAGACCGACAACTACATCAGCACCATATTATCCAATCAGAGACCCACAGCAGTATGACCTTCAGCATCAACATCTAGCAGAAGACGATCATACGAGAGAACAAGCAGGTTTACAACTACAACTACAAGCAGACGTTCAGTCTGCACACACTCCCTCCAATGAAGTAGAAGTTGTACAACACATGAACGCTACCGAGCAAGAACAGCACATGAAAAATGTTGAGGAAGAACGACTACAAAACATGATGCGTGGCTTAAGTTTGCGCGTTAGTCAAGTAGTGCGGGAACAACTAGTGCAATTAGCCGACGACTTCGACACGGATTCAGCAAGATACACCTGGCCACTTGGTAACTGTAACTCTTCTAGTAGTAACAGCAGTACCGGCAGTGGAGAAAGCTCTTTCGGCTCTTTAGAAAGTGCTGGTTATGGTCATGTTCGTGGTCAAGGTCGCGGTGAAGAAGATGAGCAGGAGGACCTTGGTGGAGGTAGTTCGAGGAGGAGAAGGAGACAGGAAATTCTTATGATTTGACCTGATAGAAGATAGGAATGATTCAATTGAAGAAGTTGTGCCGTTTTTCCTAGAGAATTTGATAGGACTGTCACCTTCTACAAGTGCAACGTCGTAGCGTACTTACCTTGTTATACATTTAAACCATCATCAACCTACCTATATATAACTTATACTGTTGTATGTGCGATCTCTTCTAATTTATAGCGCAGGAGGATCCATAGTCTCGCGACCGCAGCCTCGTTAGATAGCAGCATGGCGGAGTCGGTGGAGCGTCGTATTGGCTCTCCTAGAAGTACCGACCAGGGGCAACAAAAGTACTACTATCTTGTCGCGGATGCTAGTGGAGACGATCATGAAGGGGTTGGTGTGGAAGATGCTAACAATGTTGAAGATAATCAAAGTCAAACAACTGGAGGTAGAACTCAAACTAGTGTAGTTTTGACGAGGAAAGACCATCTATTGCGTGAGTACCTAAAGGAAAAAGAAAAAGCAGATATTCAATATCGCAAACTTGCTATTCTCTCGCGCACCCACTCGATTGAAGGAGGAGCATGATCCCCCTTCTTCATCTCGCTGCCTACTGCTATTTTGCTTGGACCCATTTTCGCTCTGAGTCTGACGTATCATGAAGATCATTTCGCACCCCTGCTTTATTTTTCCAAACGCGTTTTACTTTTTTATGTATGTTCTATCCAAAGTCGATTTATTTTCTAGTGTCGGCTGCGGTGGTTTACGCTTACCGCAGACGACGAGCATGGCAGGTGTATGTCCTCTGCGTGTGTTGCCATGTTTTCCAAGTGAAGAACTTCTACCGACGTTTTGCTGTAGTAGAGGAGGTTGCTATGTGCGATAGACGACGCAATGTTGTCTATCGGCTGAGTAAATAGTTAGTCTCCTAAAAAAAGTACCAGTAGTCAAGGTCAAAGTCGTATAGTAGTTTGAACATCGGTAAAAAGGTGCTCTTTAGAAGTGCAAGAAAAACATGGTGCTTTCAAGTACGATCATTGAGGTCACCTCGCTCAAAAACTCTAAAGATCGTCTTTGTCTTTCATCTGGCTTTTCTTGCGACACGAAAATCTGATAGATAAAAGACTAGGATCGAAGTAATCTTCACGATAAAGTTTTATTCGGTTGAAATGCAAGAACTCAAGAACAAGTGCTTGACTGTAGTATGCTTCATCGCCCGTGAGGTCTGAACGAAGTTTCTGACTACATAGCTGTGTCTATACTGTATGACGTGAGCTTTGAGTATTGATTTCGGGGATCCACTAGTTTCTTTCAGCATCAACTTCCACTACTAGCAAAAAGTAGAGCACAGAGGTACCATGACATGACATGACTCTTCACACATTTGAAACAGTCATGGGCACCAGTCTTAAAAGGTCTGCACGGCGGCGAAAGGAGTCGGTCGGCGATTTCGTTCGTCGAGCATCTAGGGACGCAACACGTTCGAGAGACGCGACGACACGTTCGAGAGACGCGACGACACGTTCTAGAGACGACACGACACGTTCGAGAGACGACACGACACGCTCCAAGATACTCCAGAATGGTATGGTTTTCACCTTCCCATCACCACACGTTGAAGGGAACGAAGGTCATCAAGAACAAGATGAAGATGATACCCATGATGCTGGAGGAATCGGAGCTTTGCTGCGGACCACTAGAAAGATGAAGAAAGGTAGAAATAGGAGTCGTGGACGTCATCGTCGTTGTGAAGGGGAGGATAATTTTTTTGAGGTGCAAAATGCAGAAGAAGGTCATGTTGAGAACATGGAACGAAATGACGCGGACGTAGAAGATGACCAGAAAAGTGCTGCACTGACTGCAACAACTCGATGTAGCAGTGGTGATGAAATGGGAGACCAACATACAACTAGTCGTCGAGACATGACTACACTTCTGCAAGAACAGGAGGAAAACGCAGTAGATGACTCTGACAGAAGTAGCCGTAAGAAGTCCAAAAGGAGAGGCGGTCGCAGAGATCGAAGTCGGTCCTCTGAATCTGTTTCTAAAAGTTCTGGTAGAACAAGAAGAGACGGTAGCAACTCTTCCAGGTCTAGACAGAGTAGAAGTAGAAGAGACGTCGATCCGCAAAGTCGTGGCAGCCACGATGATAACGCATCTCAGCTAACTTCGTCTAGGAAGAATAGTAAATCTAAAGACGGGAGGCGGAAAAGTCGCGAGGACAGAAGGAGCTACTCTAGAAGCGGAAAGAAGAAAGCGAAATCGCATAAGGAGCATGGTGATCGTGGAAGTGGCTATCTGCCAAGCGAAGAGGGGACTTCTATGAACGAGGACCATGATCATATGGAACTAGGCGAAAGGAAGAACCATCACAGAAGCCGAAAAAAGTCTAAGAAGCATGGCACAAAAAAGGCCCGCAGTCGCAGTTCTTCACGTCACCATGGACAAGAAAGAAGTCGTTCTTCCTCTCATCGTAGCAGAAGAAGTAGACGTGACGACCACGAGGATCAGCATGACAAAAAGGACAAGAAGCCAAAAAAACACCATTCATCTTCTTCTTTTTCCTCCGCTTCGTCCAGAAGAAATCCTAGAGTGGAACAATCTAACGCCAAGAAACCAGACCAATCTGACAGCGAAAATCACATTCACAGTGAACCAGAAATGGATAACCACCCGAGGAGTCTCTCTCGCGGATCTCGTGTTAGTTTTTCTGACGAGGTGGAGACCGAAATGGCGCGTCGTCGTCATCGTGACAAGAAGAGAGATGAACGAAAATAACACCGTGGCGGAGACGAAGAGGAAAGGACAGACGACATGCTCGAAGATCGGGAAGGAGGAGATTACACACTACGACAACAAGGTGAAGAGGAAAACGATACTGCAGTCCAGCAAGAGGACGACAGTCCTTTTAGTGCACGTGGTCAGCGCATCAGTACAACAGAGAAAGTAGACCGTGGTGATGACAGAAAGTCGAAGTCAAAGCGTGGCTCGAACGGAGAACCATGGAAGGAACAGGCTCGAAAAGAAGTAGAGGATGTAGAGAGCCACCACTTCCAAGACGAACCATCAGAACTACAAGCGCCTGTGTTCGATAGTACAGCTGCCGAAAATCCATTTGATAGTGACAGTCCTGCAAGTAGTTCTTCGTCTTCAGGGGTTGACTTCGAAACCCTAGTTTCTGCGGCATCTGCGGTCGCTGCAGAACGCAATTCTAGTAGCTCGGAAGCAGAGAGTTCTTTACTACTAGAGGCAAGAGGTAGTTTCGAGGAAAATAAGGTACACTAGGATGAAGAACGTATTAGGATGGAGACAAATCAACAAGCGAGGAGAGTAACAAGCGTGGAGGAGAATAATATCGGCAAAAGAAAACGCGATCAAGGGAGTCTCTGGTGTCATCCTGTCGGATCTGCAGGCGAGAAAGATGTGCTCGGGAAAGGTTTACAAGAAGAAAAAGCACGAGATCGCTACCAAGATCAGGATCGTTTGTCGAAACAATCTACTACTGCGCCTACATCAAGCTTCAACACCGACGCCACAGCATCTTCTACCAGGTCCACTTCAGCAATGATCACTCCAACAAGTTTCAGACCTGCGCCGCCGCTCAAAATTTGTTGTGGTTGTGGTGAACCTATTCTCAAGAACACTGCTAGTAGTAGAATCTCTAGTGACTCCACTTCTAGTCTTGGCGCCGGACGACACTCGACTGTCAATAAACCACATAAACGTGTATCTGAACTCCATTTCCACGACACATGTTTCGCCTGTACCAGCTGCCACGAACCCTGTTTACTCGATGTAGCTTTTTTTCTTGGTGAAGATGCGACCTATCATGCCAATCTGTGGCCATCGACCAAGGAATAAAGCTTCCTCTAAGCAAGGACTGGACTACAGTAGAACAAGACTTTGACTCTGTTTCGCAAGGAGCTGCAATGTGAAAAGTTGTAGATTAAATGCAGAGAAATCAATGATGTTGATGTTGAATATGGCTTGACAAGATGTTGAATGCTCGACACATCCTTGTCTACGACACTTGTTCAAGTCCTCATCCATAACGTAATCAGGATGATCATCTACAAGCACCTCCATCCACTACTTCGATTTTAGTCGAAGCCCATAATGAGCTTCTTCTAATCCTCCACGTGGAAAACGTATCCGACGCCCATGGTCGTTTCCGATGCGACTTATCTGACGCAAGAAGTGGCCAGCAACTACTTCCGCAAGGCTTACACTCCACATCCAGATGAAATATTGTATATGACTTTTTATACACTCGTTCCTGTGATCCGGATGAAATTTTGAAGCGGGACTGTTGAAGCAAGTAACAGATAACGAACATGTTGTTATAGCATTCAATTTACATATGCTTATCGAAGACGAAGAACTATTTATTTCATGTTGAATGAGTCTTGATGTTATAATATAAGAGAACGAACGCATGCATTGTAGTTCTTCGCAGTGTTACTGGAAATTATACCTGCTGAGTTCCAACACCTAATGAGTGTCCTTGTGGAAAGATGCTGATGGTCAAGAAATGTTCGACAGTGATACATACTGATGGCCGAAAAGCAAGACTCGATTTTCATGCTGCAAAAGAAGTTGCCGTCAAAAGTTGGTTTGTGTTCACCCATATAATCGTAGCGCCCGACGAGTGCGAGCTCAAGGGGTCCTCCCTGAGAGATTGGATTTCTGTCGAGGTGTGAGTTTCGGTGGAGAACACACCATCATGCGTGATTATTTCATCTTCTGTGGTCGTCAAGAGTCAGGGTAATTCTTTCTGTTGAGTACAAGAAAGAGTAATGATCAGGCCTTGAAGAGACATCTAACTTTTTGAGAGACTCTGAGTGTTCCACCACCGAGTTCATCTTCGTCTGTCGAGAGGTTCTGTTTCTGTGGAGAGCAAATTTTACCATACGTCGCATCGATTCGTGAGTTTCTGCTCTGAGTGATCCTCCGAGTTCATCTTCGTCTGTCGAGAAGTTCTATTTCTGTTGAGAGCAAATTTTACCATACGTCGCATCGATTCGTGAGTTTCTGCTCTGAGTGATTCAGTGAGTTCATGCATCTTCTGTTGAGACTCTCTATTTCTGTGCATCATATGATGTTGAGAGGACTTTTTTTACACTAGTGGCTCTTCTACTTCTCTGATGATGATGGCCTCTTTATCTCTTCTGTTGAGAGTTTCTATTTCTGTGGTAAGAACTTGAGATGAGAACTACGACGTCTACTTTGCAGATGATCTGAGTAAGAAGTGAGTCTAACTACCTCTGTAATGGATGCGATTCTATGCGAGTCTAACTATGTCTGCCACGAAAGTCTCTTGTAGTGAGTGAAATTTCGTTTCGGTCGTGAAAACTATAAATCCTACCTTGTCCTCTCCGTCGTCTCCTGTGATAAGTAAGTGAATACGAGCGATCTAGTATTCATCTCGTTTTCATCATCTTGTAGTTTATAACTAGTCGTGACCCGAGACCGAGTGTTTAGTTGCTAAGAGGAAAGGCGAAGACGACAGAGAAAGGAGGGCAACACTGCTAGGGACTGGAAGAAGAGCAGAGAAGGGCGGGCGGTGGAGGACAAAATGCTACAGCCGCCGCAAAATGGCCGCCGCGGGACGCTTCTCGCGAGCAGGGCGCGGCAGCGAATTGCTGGGCCGTTCAGTTTTTCCTGCATTTTGGAAGCCATTGCAAGGACAAAACGCGCATCCCGTTAACGTCTCGAAAGGCCCAAAGGGGGAAAACGCGACAGCCCGCCCGCGGACGAGGAGGCCGGCAGCGCTTCCACTCTGGGGGGTTTCCAATTCCCTGGCCAGGGAACCTGCTCAGGGCAGTCACGCCGTCCGCCTTGCCTGGCCTGGCGCGGCCTTGTGGCGTGTTTCTTCTCGCCCTCCCTCGGCGGGTTCGTTCTGGCTGTTCGTGTTCCAGGCTGTGAGATGGGCAAACCTTGAGAGGCGCAAACCTTGAGAGAGGCAAACCCTGAGAGAGGCAAACCCCGAGAGGAGCAAACCCTGAGGACGCTGGGGGGGGTCCGTCTACCCTGACGCGCTGCGAATGAGGTCGCGAAGATGGAGCGCAAAACCTTGGGTTTTGAAACCTTGAGGCGAAAAATGAGGAGGCAAGCTCTGAGGCTGAGGCCTTGGGCTTTTTCCGCTGTTTGGTCTACCTTGAGAGCCAAAACCCTGGGAGCGGTCCAAAGCCTTGGCATTGTCTCCAGCTTAGCGGCCCCCCCACAATCGCTGCAGAGCTCTGGCTTTCGTTTCCATCCTCTAAACCGTGGGGCCCTATTTGACGCCCCTGAAAACCCTGACTTTCGACCTCGATTTTTGTCGATTCGTATTTGAGAGGAAGCGTCTTGGCCTCGTGATTATGTAGTTGACTTTTATCATCATCATAATTACATTCTCGTCATGTATGACTATCATCATCAGAACTCATAGTTATTGTCTTCTCATGTTCTTGGGAAATATTAGGCAACTTTCCGAATCGATTCACATCATTGGAATTGCCTTCTTATGTATCTTGGCATGATCATCATCACCAACAGCATCCTCTTCCCCATCACTTTATAATGTTCTTTTTCCAATTACAGGGTCAGGGAAGAGTGAGTTTCTTATGATCCGTTGACACCTGGTAAAAAACGCTGTCTGAAGACTATTTTTATAAGTACTTAGAATAGTGCGGCCTACTTATAGTTCAAATTCATCAGGAAGATTCATTCGGCATCATTGTTTCTCTTGTCTTGTATCTGAGGAGAATAGCGCATCATCACTTGTTCAGCTAGATCATTTTCACGACCACATCGATTGAAAGAGAAGCAAATAAATCCTCTTCGTCATTTTTCAAGAACAACCAAAAAATGTTGGGCGGTGTTTCCAAGCCTGTTTTCTTCAAAACAGCTGCCGCTGTCTTTCTGTTAAGGCTAGTTCGATCCCGGTGAACGTTCTACATCCTCTAGCCAGCTGAACAGCGAACGAACTGACTAACTAACCTCCAGCTAACTGACTCACAAACAAACTGACGAACTAAGTAACTAGAGAACTAACTAGCTAACAAACTAACTAACTATTAACGAACAAACTAATTAACCACTACCAACCTCTAACAAGAATTGGAGCAACTACTGGCGTCGAGGGTCGTCGCAAGATGTTCCACCCTTCTGCCGAGGAGACTCAGTTCTCTGATGAGCCTGAAGTTCTTGAACAAGAATCGGCCACACCGGCTCAAGCGCTGCTCGAGAGTGCGGATGGGGAAACGGTTGGCTTGGTGCTCGTTGACATCCAGAAGTGCTTCACCGGTGCAGATCATCCCACTGGACTGCAGCTCCAGACTATCGGGGGAGAGGGCAAGTTATGCTTGTTCCTGTAAAAACCTATGCAGTTCCTCTCCCTCTCTTACTTCACGGGCAGGGTCAATTCGGACACAGTCCACAGCGCCGTCACTCATCTTGCTCGTGATGCCGTAACTTCTTCAACCTGTGTACTTTCTTCTACACTTACTGCAAATACAGGGTTAGTAAAGAAAATTTAACCGGTTTACTTTCCTTCGACTCTTCTATCCCTTGTTCCAACAACAAACACAGGGTTAGTACACTTGTGCCTCTAGTCTTACTGCTTTCTCGTATAGGTGCCATTCCGTGAGTAAATCACAGGCCAGGTATCTAAAACCTAACCTTCATTGAGACTGTTTGATTTCATCCCTCTACTATTCCTTCAGACTTCATCGGCCTATGCCTACGCCCTAGCCTTGCATGTCTACTATCGTGTAGCCGTGGTCTTTTTTACCCCTGGAGTGGGTACATTCATCCGTTCATCTTTCTAATCTAGTACTATCTATCTTTCTAATCTTCTACTAGCTTTCTAATCTCTAATCTTCTTTTATCTTCATTCTAACCTCCTATTGGTCCACTTGTCCTTCATCTAACTAGGAGCGACTGATGTGGGCATACAGAGGATATTACTGATTGTGATATCTCTACAACAACTCTATTCTTCCACTCTTTTCAGACCGTACCCTGTGAACTATTCATATTTATAATATATATTATATTTATTAAGCAGTTTCTACTCGCTCCTACTCCTTCTAATTTCAATCATGCTGCAGGAAAACTACTCATTTTAACATAAGAAGAAAAGTCGCTAAGATTCAAGGCCTACGAGAATATTATAAGAGGACTCTGATTCTATGAAGACGATATCATGAATCTGCACAAAAACAAGACATTACCTTCCGTAATATCTCTACGTCTAGTACTAGTGCTGCTCTAATAGGAGGAGGTGACAAATACAAAGCTGCGGTCGTGAATTTGGTGCGCAAATTTCGCAAAAAGTATCCCAATGGCCCGATTGCTATGTTATGTCGAGCAGGTGTGCATCTAGATCATATTCAAGCATTGAGTTCATCGCTTCAAACCCAAATTTTAACTGTACTACCACATTGATAACTTTTTTGCATTGACGAACGTTTTGGTTTTCCATCAAATGCATAGGTAGCCAAACTTTTGGCTGTAGTTGTTTCATCAAATAATAGGGACTACCTTGTTCAGACTTGACCAGAGAGGGTTATACATGAAGTGCAGGACCATGGTGATTACTGAGAGGTAATTGCTATCCTGTAATGACTATGGACCAATTCCTGTCTTCCTATCCTGCAATGGCATAATACCTCACTATCTCCTAGGAAAGACATCGTTTTCGAGGAGAAGGATGGCTCTCCCCAAGACCCCTATGCAATGATGAAAGTAGCCTCTAACTCTTGGACAGGACTACCATCCTGCTGGGCATGTCAGTTTTGTCGACGAAGCCAACCGCCGCGGTAACCACCCCTACAACGAAGTTATGAAAAGGGTTTGCCTGTGTAATTTATTTTGATTAATTAATATGATAAACATTCAAAAAAGAGGAGTAAGCTTCTTAGACTCTAACGCCAACGTGATTATTAGTTAAACTTTTCTACGACGTCCTCGTCTACGTACGAAATATTTCCAGGAAGCTTTTAATTCTATTTACCCACTGATAGAATTGATTACTCCCCTACCTTAAAGTACTAGAGCATAACACATTGAAAACTGATTTCTACAAGGTGTGCGTGTTGACGAACATAGAAGGTTTTGCCGTAGAAGTCGCTTATATTCGTAGAGACGCGCCCTGAATAGCCTCACTGTCCTGATGATTGATTGATTGATTGATTGATTGATTGATTGATTGATTGATTGATTGACTGATTGATTGACTGATTGATTGATTGACTGACTGATTGACTGATTGATTGACTGATTGATTGATTGATTGATTGTGGGCTAGGTCAGCGGGAACACAGTCGTGCTCGCACAGTCCAGAGTTGGCCCTGGGTCTGTTTGTTCCTCCGTTATCCAGCACCGCCGCTCGTTAGACGGCCGCATATCATTGATTGATTGATTGACTGCCTGACTGATTGATTGACTGATTGCACAGACCAGAGTTCGCCCTGGGTCTGTTTGTTCCTCCTTTATCCAGCACCGCCGCTCGTTAGACGGCCGCACATCGTTGACGGATTGATGGACTTACCTACCTGCTTCTAATATGATAGGAGGCCCAGAACGGGTGGTGCTCGGGATGACTAGGGATACGTTTGACTCGAACAACGAGGACTTCCAGAAGGATCGAGAGCAGACACCAGTGATGACCGACAAGGCAGCAAACGTACAGACGGAAGAGGGCTTTGTCGATATGGAGCAGCCCCTCTTTCCAGGTATTAATCTTGAATTTATCGACTTTTTGGTTCTTCTACTCTTTCTTGAAGAACAGGGCTCAAATTTATCATCTTAGGAAAATGAAAAAGGAAACTATAACAGCAAGGACCCTCCATGTGTATGAATATACATCTACATCAAAACTGATGCGTCATTGTAGCTCTCTTTAGTAGGCACGCGTACGCCAAATACACCTAGATAGAACGCCACGCTTTTTATTTTTTATTTTAAGAAAACACTAAGACTAACGCGCAACACGATCAAGTAGGTACATCATTTTTCTTTTTTATTTTCGTTCGTATTAACTAGAGATATTACCTCCCTCGTCAATGTGAAGTCGACATTTTCTCATAGTGGGAGCGGTGCTTCTACGTTCCTATCCCATGCTATCCTATGCTATCTTATCCTATCCTATTCTATAGGTTTCTTCTCCACCCCGTAGCGGTATCTTGATATCTTGACGGTATGTCCCTTTGGTACCACCTTGATGAGGCCTTTATTATCCTGATATACACCTTGACTCATCATCATCAACATTACAGATCATTGCATAGCGGGATCTCCAGACGTGAACTTCATTGACGGTCTCTGCGACGCAGCGCAGGGTATTCGTACTTAAGGCTGTAGCTAATTCATTCTTGCCTGTTGCCTGAAACGTATGGGGGAGTATCCTGAGGGAATGCTCTGCCATATTTTTCAAGGATTCAGTAGGAAGATGAATTGCGGAGAGCTCTAATCAAAGGGCGTCGACACCTGTGGTGTGCCAGAAGGTGACGAGAACAAACTTCGCGTCATCCGTAAGGGTTTCAACATGGGAATCGATTCCTTTTCCATGGTATGGCCCCCAGTGTCGAAATTATAAGCAATCTTCAGTTCGTTGTAAGGCACCTCTTGGGGGTCGAGTTGTTCACTCACTCAGCTCCTGGTGCTGTTGGTTATAAGCACTAGCGCACTATCTAGCAGCTGGTACTTGAAGTCGTGAGGCAAGAACACATCTTAGACGAGAGCTGCATTTTCATTTTGGCGAAGAAATTCAAGTCATCATCTTTGCCAGTAGTTCTTCATACAAAGCTGCAAAACCGATCCTCGAGTTCTTTATCACGAAGTGAATATCTTCGAGTTCGTAACAACTGCCAAGAACAGTGCTTTCTAATCCTGGTCTTCGACAATCGCATGCTAAAAGATAGTGACGCTCGCAAAGAGTTGATTGCGGGGGAAAAGGCCCACATCGCTTCGAATGGTCTTGCTGAGTGGTTGCATCGCCAGGGTGTTACAAAGGTCTTCATTACTGTTATGGCAGTCAAGCGCAAGATCAGTGTTACTTTCTTGAAGTATAATGAGGCGTTCTGCAAATCTAGTTTGGCTACTTCTTTCTTTTTTTATAAGGTTGAGGTAGTTTAGGTCCAGCGACGCGTAAAGCACATGAAGAAAAGCTGTCCGTCGGCTCTTTTTCCCTCTTAAGTTCTAGGCTACTCTTAAGTTCAAGATATTATCGTGGGCTGAATACAAATTGCTTGGGGCCGCACAGTGACTGTCGTGCAATTGGTGCAGAACAAGTGGTTCACTTATCAATATTTATCAGTAGATTATCTCACAACTACTTACTAGCTCAGCAGTTCTTCTAAGCAGACTGTAGAATAGACTCACACTCACATCATCAGCTTTAAGAACTAGTGCTGCATCACAACTTTCCTAGTGCTTCCAGATTTGCTGTCCTCTAGAAGGAGTTGCAATACTGTCTCGGAAATTGAGAGGGTGACCGGACTGTTGAAACAGTTTGGCACGGTTTTTTGAGGGTCTCTTACTCCTGGGTCTATCACCAGTCGTATTCATCGTAATAGTCTGAGTCTCATATTAGTCACCGAAAAAAATCAGTTCACCACTTTCCTTGTCCTTCTAGCGTCCTCTAACTTCGGCATTGCGGATGATTTTTGTGTCAAGAGCACCGCGTTCGACTTGTTGGACACGGAAGCTATGGCGCAGATCGCTGACAAGGCCGCATTCAAGGTGGTCCATCTGAAAGAAACGGCCTACGGAATCTTAAGGCTTCATCTGAATCTCCAGGAATTCTTTAAAAAAATCTGACAGTCAACGTTTTTCTTTAATCCGACACTCAGCGTGAGATCCAACAAGATAGCCTACTTATCACTGCGATAGTACTGATGCACCAATTTTTCACATCCTGAAATTGACCCCCTACACCTCATGGCAGTCTGATAGAAAAACTTATTATTTACTTAGTGGATTTGACGCAGATATTGGTCGGCGGTACATCATTACCGTGCCCCGTGTGGTATTATGATGCATAAATATTAGAGTGCTTTCTTTTAGTTTTATACCTCTAGACTGGGTACACTACTACTGCTACTAGTGGCGACGGCTCAGAATCCCAGGCATTCTTTCCTATATGAAATTATGAGTTCTAGTATTATGACATGTGAAAAGTGTAATAGTTGTTTTGAGCTCCTGCTCTAAGAAATGTTCGTGGCCTGCGTGACCAGGATCAGGGGCCTCTCGACAACGGGCTGCGCAAGGAGTACCGAGACAGGGAGATCGAATTGAGCAGCGTCGAAAAGGAAAAACTCGACTAATGAGGAAGTGTCGGAGGTTTTTGCTGTTAGAATTATAGAACAACAAAATAATTTAGAATGAAACAGGCTCAAGCAGTTTGTTACTTTTATAATAGTTATTTGATCTCTGATTGTGCTCGTGAATAAGAACCGAAGTCAGTGTATGATCAAGCAAATGATAGGCAGGGAGCTCTTAGTTAGTCTGTGGCGTTGCTTGCAACTTGCTTCACGGATTTTCTGAGTGATCGGGTTGATGTCCGAGCCTTCCCCAGTCTTAGCAGTCGCCTGGAGCAGGATTGCTTCCACAGACTCGACAAACAGTTTACTACTTCCATCGCCTCAAGTTCCTCATCTCGTATTGATACTCCCTCGTAGGTTACCATGGAACAAGATCAAGAAAAAATCGAAGGAGTGATCTGGTTCCTGGAAACGTGAAATGGAGGATCAAGCGAGATCCATTTAGATGCGGAGCGTTGCATTGTTGGACCCCCATGGCGTTTCGTGCTTGCCTCCGAAGCTCCCAAAGCTTTCGGTTAGGCCGCACATCTCCGGTCCCTTTTGGAGTGGCCATTTGGTTTGGACTCCTCACTGTGAGTTTGAAACTTCTTGTATCGTTTGGATCAACTAGCCTCCACAAGCTTCGCCCGGCTTCAAATTTGGCACTTTTCTGCCCCCGACGGGCTACAGCTAGAGCAGAGACGGCCCGCGGGTGAGCCGTTACACTCTAAGGATTTGCTTCGACACGAGTCGCGTGCCGGCGCTGACCGACTTAGGTGCGTCGACTCATGGGCAGAGAATTGTGCCGCCTTCGTTTTTTTTCTGGGATTGCGTGGGGGTCACCCAAGTTCTTAAGAATTTGCACGACCCTCACGGCAGTCCCACAAAAAACCCGAAGAAAGCCACCAGACACGCCGAAGCATCTGCAGGGCCCAAGCAACGCGCGGAAGCGCCACGCGGTGACACCAGGCACGAGTGACTGGGGGGCGGCCTTGCTTGAGGGGTCAAGAAAAGGCAACGCATGGCCGCGCTGCTTGGGTCTCCCTACGCGCCTACAGCTGGCCGAGCTCCTTCCTCCGTCGGATGTCTTTCGTCGGAAACAGAAGGGCGCACTTCGCGGGAGAGTGAGGCGCCGCGCTTCGGGCGGGGGCCGGCGCCTCTCGTCAGGCTGACGCCCTTCGTCAAGCTGACGTCTTGCGCCAGGATGGAGACTGACGCCCTTCGCCAGACAGGTGCCTGCCTTTCGTCGGGGCAGCGCTTTACGATTACGTCAGACTGGCGGCTTTCGTCGGACGGGCCGGCGCCTTTTGGCAGACGTCTTGGGCCAGGCTGAGACCCTTCGTCGGAGCGACGTCGCGCGCCGGGCTGGTGTCTTTCGTCAGGGTGAAGCTTTTCGCCTGACCGACATCCTTCGCCGGACCACGGCCGACGCCTTTGGTCAGGTTGATGGCCATCTCCAGCTTGGCGCTTGCGCCAGAGAGGGCGACGCACTGACCAGGTGACGCCCCTCGCCAGGCTGACGCGCTAGCTACTTCGCCAGGGGTCTGCTTTGCGTCGGAACAGGCTGAAGCCTTTCTTCGGGCTGCGGGTCTCTTTCGTCTGGTAGAATTTGAAGCCTTTCGCTGGGCTGGCGTCTCTCGTTGGACGATTGTCGCCGCCTGGCTTCGTGGCGCAGTTCGTCACACCCACGCCGTCACGCGTTTGTCGTCAGGCGTCTGCCCTCGGCCCTCTCTCGTCCGTCTGGTGTCTTTGTTTTTTTTGTAGGCGCTCGCTGGCAGTTTGTGGTCGTCAGTCAGACGCGCGGCGTCGAACGTCTGTCGCCTGGCGTCTACTCTCTCGCGAGAGGACGTCTTCCGCCAGGAGTTGCGTGGCTTTTCGTCGGACTTCTTTCGTCGGATCGATGTCTTTCCTTCATCGGGCGTCAGTCTTTCGCCAGGCGTCTTCCATCAGTCAGAGGTGCTGCGCCAGATGTCGCTCGTGAGACGGTTTGCTTTTATTCGCGTCACTCAGACGTCTTTCGCCAGAAGACTGAGGAGACTTCTTTCGCCGGGCTGACGTTTTTCGCCCGACTGGCGTCGCTGCTTCGTCATCGTCAGGGGTCTCCTCTTTTGATTCGTCAGGCGTCTCTTTCCGCAGGTCTTTCGCCAAGGGTTTTCTGTCAAAGGTATCTCGTCCAAGGTATTTCGTCAGAGGTGTTTCGCCGAGGGTCTTCTTTCAAGGGTCAACTGCCAGAGGTCTTTTGTCAAAGGCTTTCACGGATCTGCTTCCTGAGGTCTTTTGTCACAGGTCTTTTGTCGGAGGTCATTCGTCAGAGGTCTTTCGCCAGATGTTTCTCGTCGGACTTCTCTCCCCAGCTTGCGCCCCTACCTCCGTCGGGCATTTTTCTGGCTTCTTTTGCGATAGTGTGCCACGGGGCTGATGCGTAAGCCCCAACATTAAAACGGCCGAAGACGACCAACCAAGCCTCGAGCTTGAGGGGAAGGGGCCGGAGGCTATGGGCAATAGCCTCGGGGGAGAAGCTGAGTAGTCATCGGCGGGGTAGGCGGTGACAAGTGCTGTGGATAATTTAGATTAACTTACTAAGATAACAAAAAATATAGATTAACTAATAATATAAATATAGATTAGGGTCGTTTGTTCTTGACTTAGATAGTGACTTAGAGTACATTGGGCGGAGTGATAGGTAGGTCTCATCCCCCTCCCTAGCTCCCCCTACCTAGTTAGGTCTCCGATGCGAGGCGTGCTGCAAATTTAGATTCGTCCTTCCAAAAATATCGCTTTTTTGGAGGGGTGTAGGTCCCGCGACGCTCAAAGCACACAAAGTAAATTAGCCGGCTAATATCCCTCGATAGTTCGGGGGTTGTTCGTAACCCTATTCGTAATATATAGATTAACTCCCGTCTTCCGCAAGTGGGTAACGGGAGGCAGAGTTCTGCCAAATAAAAAACACGCGACCACAAATCAAAGTGGCGCAAGAAGAGAAAGACGAGATCACGCGTTCACATCTGTAGCGAGAGCGCAGCGATACTATTCTGCCAGGGCGCTAAGGCTGATGCAAAGTGGGAAATGGAGTCTGTTCGCGATCGATCTCTGTGACGCGGATGCGCCGTCGACTTTTCTTTGTGAGATATATGCATTGGCTGGCGAGCACTTCGCCATGAGACTCGGTCAGCTATCGACTCGAACGCTCCCCCACTCCAGTGATTCGAATCGTCGGATTTGCGTCTAAACAACGGCAGCCTGCGAGCTTGCAGCTGCCCCTAAACCGGCCTGAGTGCGGCGTAGTTTGCCGTCTTGGCCCGGATGCTTCCATCCTATTCGTTGCCTTTGGTTGCGTTGGCTCTCAGCGAGTTCGCCTCTGCCTCGCGCGTTCTGTGTCATGGTGAGAGGTCTCCCCTGCAGTAAAGGCCCTGGGTGACGATCAGGGTTCCGCATACGACTCGCGGGCTGCACGTTGCTGGAGTACCGCCGGGCTTCCTATAATGCCTAACTATATAGATTAACTAATATTAACTAATATAGGTTGATAGTATATCTCAATAATAATATAGCTTAGCAATGTAGCCTGAGAATATTTTTTTTGGAATGTTTTAGCCGTCTCCACTTATGGTAATTGCATCAATGATGTAGCACTGGTTGTGAGTTGGGCCCCTTCATAGATCTGAAGGCAACGGCCTGATCCGTGGACGATAGTCCGTTGTTCTGGTGAGAGAGACGAAGCCTTATGATGTTGGGAGAATTATACAGGCCATGTACTAGTCGTGCAGGACTACATTCATGTAGTCGTGTTAGATGAGGACATGACAAATATTATAACCGTAACTAACAGTTTCAGTTTGTTTCTTTGTTTGTTATTATAGGAGGCGTTTTTTTGTTGGAGGAGGTTCTTGTTGGTGGAGGCAATATATTACAAAAAAAAATTATTGTACGAGCTAGCATTTAATTGGATGGGGATAATATTGGAGGTGTAAGTATAATTTTTTATAATTGCTAGGTGCTAGCAATAGAATACTAAGCTATCAATGCTAATCTAATTATATAGACTAGTAATTATAGACACTGCAATTCTATTTTTCTAGCACCTGCAACAATGAATAATTATGCTACCTACAATTCCTGTAGGAGGTGGATATATTGCCGTGGTTTCTAGATGATGATGAGCTTTGTCAACGATGATGAAAGTGAGATGATGAAAGTGAGATTCCGAGTAGAAGAGACGATGATGACCTTTTTTGATGTATAATGGAGAGCCACGAGGAAGTGGCATGGCATGAGATGACATGTCTTACTTTTGAGCAAGTATGCACAACGACAACTACGTCAAAACAAGTCTTCATCACATAAATGATTATTTACTAGATATGTTGGCAACAGTCGCGGGTAATAGGGTCGGAAGTACATATGTGATTGTGATGTTTTACGAGGACTTCTTGTTATATATGATTCCATACTCCCGCTGTATTCGGACCTTTTACTACTAAGAAGACAGCAACCACTTGCTGGGAGATAATCGTATGGCGAGCTTGATGATGGCCACCACTTAGGGGGTCGTCGGATTCGAAGCACAATTCATATCGGATATCAGCATTTCCGAGTGACATCCCGCACAACCGTCCTTGGCTCTTTCCCTACAATGAATAGGAAAGAAGGCAAGGAAGATGCACTAGGAAAGAAGCCAGGGATGTTCTGAGGCATGTCATTCCGTAGCGTCTAATATTTTCTATGTTGCACCCCGGTCGACCTGGACTGCTAGAAGTCGTTCGTACGCAGCGAGTGCCGTTATTGATGTAAGAATAGTATCCCCTTTTTGATGTTAGAACAATAGTATGTATCATACGCAGGAGCTCCCCGTCTAAAATTCAAGGCTGCGCAATTCCACAGCCGTCAGCACAAGTGGTGCTGAGACACGGCCGTCGGAGTTGTTTCGTCTTGTCGCTAGACTACTTGAGCTACCTCCTCTTCAGGGTGGAGGAGCCATGATGGTCGTGGCGATGATGTGCATGTGAGAATACTATAAACGTGGAACCATAGTACTACTTACCATAGACTTCGGACCATAGTAGACTTAAAACCATAGAATGCACTACTAAGTGTTTTATGCTGTTCGTTCTTGTCTGTCGTGAAAGCTCTTAATGGCTGTATGGTATTTTCTCGCTTGTTGTGGGAAGCTGTATGGATCTGATGCCATAAACCTGATCCCGTCGGATTAAACTTAAACCACAAAGTTTAGGTCGTGCCCACACCCAACCAGACCCTTCTCATCAGACGCCCACAAGCATCAGCGTAGAAATACTTTCTCGGCTGGAGAAATGAAACACGACCAAAGACCTTCTGCGCAAGCGTATGGGTCGTGAATCCTCGCAGCTTCTGTTTCTAACACATGCACACTACATACTACATGTATTGTCTTGTTGTTGTGCTGGAAACCTTGATTGGCTTTTGCCCGTAAAACGGCGAAGGTTTAGGTCCAGCGGCGCTCAAAGCACTAAATAGAGCAACCGACTAGTTTTTACCTCTACAAAGTTAGGCTTATCCCGTGCAACACTATCTGTATTGTCTTGCTACATGGTGATGAATACATACGTACTATGCTATTGATGTCCCGATCAATCTTCCGAACAAATATACTTATTCTTACAACGCAGACCCGTAACTATCAATCTTCAAAAGCAATAAGATAATTATCGCAACAAGTCCACAAAACAATGAGATTTAAGATTTAAATTGCAACAAGTTTGCTGTTGATATGTGATTGTGTGTATAGTTTAGAAGGTTCAGACTTGCTGAAGCGGAGCAGTCACCTCGATGTGACAGCGAAGTAGAAGCATCATGTCCTATCTTATCAGACTTAAAAAGCGTAAAACTTAGAGATTTTCTTTGTTTGGGAATTTATTTAAACAACCGATTAAATATGATTACGCAACAAGAAGAGTAACTTTGATTCTTCAATTGAAGAACAAACAATCTACTGATATTTTTTAAAAAGAGTTCTGTCTTCATTGATAACTAGTCTTATTGTGCTTCAGATGAATTTGAAGTCTGTCACCAGTCAAGTTTTGACGTGTGACGCATGTTGGCTCTTCATGAGCCAGCCATGTCTGTCTCTTTAGTAGGCAGACCAGAACCTCCTAACACACTTTTAAGCAAAAATAGATCTATGTGCATGGCAAAAAAAAGTGTTAGTAGTGTTCTCGTAGCAGAAGTCAGTGATATCATCTTCTCAGGGAAAGAACCGAATCTGAAATCAGGAGCTATTGATATAGAAGTCGGTTGTGCACTCATTCCAGTATGCAGCTGCTATAATATCATGATTAATGCCGAGGATATAGAAGAAGGGGACGAGGGCGAACCCATGCCACATATGAAGATGAAAGCACTGTGCGGCAATGCCTGTTCGCGTCTCTTTTATGGCTAGGAGTAGCGTCCTAGTCGTGGAAGAGACATAAGCGCGTCAAGCATGTTGTCAGTATCGAGGAGTGATGTAGATCTATAGATTTCAAGTGAGTCGTCCAGCACAAAAAGTCTAGCTATAGAACTTCGAAGAAGGCACTCTGCTGCACTATTTATAGTGAATAAAAAACAGGATGTTATTCATTACCAACACGACCCCGAGTACAAATAGAAGTGGTACGTATTACGCAAAAGGATGCAGTTGTAGTATGTTCTTACACGAATCATATGACAACAATTTTCTTCATTGCAAATGAATTCATTCAAAGCAACGCACGGAGACGGACACGAAACGACTTCGAGCTCATTCTTCGAGCTCGTGTGTTCTCCTCTAAAACTATAACAGGCAGAGTGTATTAGAGCTGTCAAAAATATGGTCGGTCTACTTACTTCTGTGAGAGATCATATTAGAAGCTGTCTACGAAATCATCTTTCCGCAATTACAAACAATCTTGAAGCAAGATGTAGAACGCGCTCTGCTTCCTGGAGTCGCTTCCATCCTTTAGCCAGGACATGACCTTCTGTTGTGGTTGTCAGGTTCTGTGGAGAGTCAAAAGCTAGGTCATGATAAGCCTGCGAGGAAGACAAGAGAATGTTAAACCAACTCCCAAGGCCGACAACTACATCAGCACCACTTTATCCAATCAGAGACCCACAGCAGTATGATTTTCAACATCAAAATCTAGCAGAAGATGATCATACGTGAGAACAAGCAGGTTTACAACTACAACTACAAGCTGACGTTCAGTCTGCACACACTCCCTCCAATGGAGTAGAAGTTGTACAACACATAAATGCTACCGAGGAAGAAAAGCACATGAAAAATGTTGAGGAAGAACGACTACAAAACATGACGCGTGACTTAAGTTTGCGCGTTAGTCAAGTAGTGCGGGAACAACTAGTGCAATTAGCCGACGACTTCGACACAGCAGGAGGACCTTGGCGGAGGTAGTTCGAGGAGGAGACGGAGACAGGAAATACTTATGATTTGACCTGATAGAAGATAGGAATGATTCAATTGAAGAAGTTGTGCCATTTTTCCTAGAGAATTTGATAGGACTGTCACCTACAAGTGCAACGTATAGTACCTTGTTATACATAAACCATCATCAACCTACCCATCATCAACCTACCCATCATCAGCCTACCCATCATCAACCTACCCATCATCAACCTACCCATCATCAACCTACCTATACCTTATCCTGTTGTATGTGCGATCTCTTCTAATTTATAGCGCAGGAGGATCCATAGTCTCGCGACCGCAGCCTCGTTGGATAGCAGCATGGCGGAGTCGGTGGAGCGTCGTATTGACTCTCCTAGAAGTACCGACCAGGGGCAACAAAAGTACTACTATCTTGTCGCGGATGATAGTGGAGACGATCATGAAGGGGCTGATTTGGAAGATGCTAACAATGTTGAAGATATTAATCAAAGTCAAACAACTGGAGGTAGAACCAGTAGTCCAGCTGCGACGAGGAAAGACCATCTATTGCGTGAGTACCTAAAGGAAAAAGAAAAAGCCGAGATTCAATATCGTAAACTTGCTATTCTCTCGCGCACCCACTCGATTGAAGGAGGAGCATGATCCCCCTTCTTCATCTCGCTGCCTACTGCTATTTTGCTTGGACCCATTTTCGCTCTGAGTCTGACGTATCATGAAGATCATTTCGCACCCCTGCTTTATTTTTCCAAACGCGTTTTACTTTTTTTTGTATGTTCTATCCAAAGTCGATTTATTCTCTAGTCTCGGCTGCCGTGGCTTACGCTTACCACAGACGACGAGCATGGCAGGTGTATGTCCTCTGCGTGTGTTGCCGTGTTTTCCAAGTGAAGAACTTCTACCGACGTTTTGCTGTATTAGAGGCGGTTGCTATGTGCGATAGACGACGCAATGTTGTCTATCGGCTGAGTAAATAGTTAGTCTCCTAAAAAAAGTACCAGTAGTCAAGGTCAAAGTCGTATAGTAGTTTGAACATCGGTAAAAAGGTGCTCTTTAGAAGTGCAAGAAAAACATGGTGCTTTCAAGTACGATCATTGAGGTCACCTCGCTCAAAAACTCTAAAGATCGTCTTTGTCTTTCATCTGGCTTTTCTTGCGACACGAAAATCTGATAGATAAAAGACTAGGATCGAAGTAATCTTCACGATAAAGTTTTATTCGGTTGAAATGCAAGAACTCAAGAACAAGTGCTTGACTGTAGTATGCTTCATCGCCCGTGAGGTCTGAACGAAGTTTCTGACTACGTAGCTGTGTCTATACTGTATGACGTGAGCATTGAGTATTGATTTCGGGGATCCACTGGTTTCTTTCAGCATCAACTTCCACTACAGCAAAAAGTAGAGCACAGAGGTACCATGACATGACATGACTCTTCACACATTTGAAACAGTCATGGGCACCAGTCTTAAAAGGTCTGCACGGCGGCGAAAGGAGTCGGTCGGCGATTTCGTTCGTCGAGCATCTAGGGACGCAACACGTTCGAGAGACGCGACGACACGTTCGAGAGACGCGACGACACGTTCTAGAGACGACACGACACGTTCGAGAGACGACACGACACGCTCCAAGATACTCCAGAATGGTATGGTTTTCACCTTCCCATCACCACACGTTGAAGGGAACGAAGGTCATCAAGAACAAGATGAAGATGATACCCATGATGCTGGAGGAATCGGAGCTTTGCTGCGGACCACTAGAAAGATGAAGAAAGGTAGAAATAGGAGTCGTGGACGTCATCGTCGTCGTGAAGGGGAGGAGAATTTTTTTGAGGTGCAAAATGCAGAAGAAGGTCATGTTGAGAACATGGAACGAAATGACGCGGACGTAGAAGATGACCAGAAAAGTGCTGCACTGACTGCAACAACTCGATGTCGCAGTGGTGATGAAATGGGAGACCAACATACAACTAGTCGTCGAGACATGTCTACACTTCTGCAAGAACAGGAGGAAAACGCAGTAGATGACTCTGACAGAAGTAGCCGTAAGAAGTCCAAAAGGAGAGGCGGTCGCAGAGGTCGAAGTCGGTCCTCTGAATCTGTTTCTAAAAGTTCTGGTAGAAAAAGAAGAGACGGTAGCAACTCTTCCAGGTCTAGACAGAGTAGAAGTAGAAGAGACGTCGATCCGCATAGTCGTGGCAGCCACGATGATAACGCATCTCAGCTAACTTCGTCTAGGAAGAATAGTAAATCTAAAGACGGGAGGCGGAAAAGTCGCGAGGACAGAAGGAGCTACTCTGGAAGCGGGAAGAAGAAAGCGAAATCGCATAAGGAGCATGGTCATCGTGGAAGTGGCTATCTGCTAAGCGAAGAGGGGACTTCTATGAACGAAGACCATGATCATATGGAACTAGGCGAAAGGAAGAACCATCACAGAAGCCGAAAAAAGTCTAAGAAGCATGGCACAAAAAAGGCCCGCAGTCGCAGTTCTTCACATCACCATGGACAAGAAAGAAGTCGCTCTTCCTCTCATCGTAGCAGAAGAAGTAGACGTGACGACCACGAGGATCAGCATGACAAAAAGGACAAGAAGCCAAGAAAACGCCATTCATCTTCTTTTTCCTCCGCTTCGTCCAGAAGAAAACCTAGAGTGGAACAATCTAACGCCAAGAAACCAGACCAATCTGACAGCGAAACTCACATTCACAGTGAACCAGAAATGGATAACCACCCGAGAAGTCTCTCTCGCGGATCTCGTGTTAGTTTTTCTGACGAGGTGGAGACCGAGATGGCGCGTCGTCGTCATCGTGACAAGAAGAAAGAACGAAAAAAACACCGTGGCGGAGACGAAGAGGAAAGGACAGACGACGTGCTCGAAGATCGGGAAGGAGAAGATTACACACTACAACAACAAGGTGAAGAGGAAAACGATACTGCAGTCCAGCAAGAGGACGACAGTCCTTTTAGTGCACGTGGTCAGCGCATCAGTACAACAGAGAAAGTAGACCGTGGTGATGACAGAAAGTCGAAGTCAAAGCGTGGCTCGAACGGAGAACCATGGAAGGAACAGGCTCGAAAAGAAGTAGAGGATGTAGAGAGCCACCACTTCCAAGACGAACCATCAGAACTACAAGCGCCTGTGTTCGATAGTACAGCTGCCGAAAATCCATTTGCTAGTGACAGTCCTGCAAGTAGTTCTTCGTCTTCAGGGGTTGACTTCGAAACCCTAGTTTCTGCGGCATCTGCGGTCGCTGCAGAACGCAATTCTAGTAGCTCGGAAGCAGAGAGTTCTTTACTACTAGAGGCAAGACGTAGTTTCGAGGAAAATAAGGTGCAGCAGGATGAAGAACGTATTAGGATGGAGACAAATCAACAAGCGAGGAGAGTAACAGGCGTGGAGGAGAAAAATATCGGCAAAAGAAAACGCGATCGAGGGAGTCTCTGGTGTCATCCTGTCGGATCTACAGGCGGGAACGGCGCACAAGAAGAAAAAGCACGAGATCGCTACCAAGATCAGGATCGTTTGTCGCAACAATCTACCACTGCGCCTACATCAAGCTTCAACACCGACGTCACAGCATCTTCTACCAGGTCCACTTCAGCAATGATCACTCCAACAAGTTTTAGACCTGCGCCGCCGCTCAAAATTTGTTGTGGCTGTGGTGAACCTATTCTCAAGAACGCTGCTAGTAGTAGAATCTCATCTTCCACTGTTGGCGCCGGACGACACTCGACTGTCAATAAACCACATAAACGGGTATCTGGACTCCATTTCCACGACACATGTTTCGCCTGTTTCAGCTGCCACGACCCCTGTTTACCCGGTGTACCGTTCTTTGTCGGTCAAGATTCGACCTATTGTCGTCTCTGCATGGTGGCTGTAGTTGGTGAAGACGGACATGCAGCTGAGCTTGGACTGCATGAAGAAGCTAGGAGGAATATTACACCTTCAAGAACAGCAACATCTCCTACTTCAAAAAAACAGCAGATTGTAGAGATTTTGCGGAATTTTCAGCTTGTAGAAGCTATAAAAGAGCCGACGACCACGGGGACAGGCTCAGACACTGACCCTTCCAAACGACTGCAACAGGAAGAAGACGATCATGATCTTGAAGTTTTGTCGATGCAGCCAGCTCGCGATGCATGTGCCTTTTTATCACGATTCCTCTCAGACGTCGCAGCCCAAAGACAACGGGAGCACAGTACGCAAACCCCACCAAGGCGTGTACGTGACGCAGGGTCACAAGCATTCCAAGATGATGATAGCACCGATGTGTCCAATAGACGGAGTACTGTTGGAAGTCTCGCTAGGATCCGTGTGTTGGAAATGAGCAATAGAACTACACACACCAGAGATAGCTCAGCTACGGCGACGGACGATAAAACTGGCGATGCTGATGAAATGACCGTGAACGTTATGCCGACGTCGTCATCATTGGGAACATTGGGGATTACGTCGACAGATGCTTTTACAACTACAGATACGTCGGGTAAAAATGCCTCCAAGTCTGGTCTTCCAGTTCCAGAACACACCTCTAGAGCGACCACACCTGTCATCAAATCCCCAGAAGTTGCTGTAGATTCTCAGGAGAGTCACCAATGTGAAAGTCATACTAGCAGCACTACTTCTAGAAGTAGTGTGATTCTACTCGACGATGGACCTGCTGCTCGGCTGACGAAGATTCTAGCGGCATCTAAGGAAGATAGGGATTTGTTTCCAACGACAGTGGGTGAGCTAGAGAAAGGACGGAAAACCCGTACAATCCGCCGTGTTCAAGTGCGGGACGTCCCTTCTCAAGTCAACGAAAATGAGAATGGTGGAAGGATGGAAGAGGGCGAAGAGGTTGTTGATCGTGGAGGTGGAGAAGATGATGGAGTCGCTGCTGTAGGTGGAGAAAAGATGCTGCTCGAAGTTGATGTTGCGGAGAGATCAATTAAGGTCAACATTCAGTGTCCATTTTTCTCGGCATCTTGGTACCCTTTTCCCTTGTATTCTCATGGAATACAATGAATGCGCAAGGGGTCAAGATGAGGGGGCCGAGATGCAATCTAGCAGACTCTAAATCAACAAACGGCGGCAACTCTAACTCTGCTCGAGGAGACCACCTCATCGGACAGAAAGCCACCGCTTCGACGTCTGACGGTCCAACTACGTCCTCACTCCAACAACCATTTCAGCCACCAGCACTTACTGAGGACCGATTCACCACCTTCAGGCGGCAAGCTTTAGGACTTGATACGTATTTGGGCACGATTGGGTTTCCCGAAAAGTTTTCGGCTCTTGAGGAGACTGTGAAGGAGAAGACGCAAGAAATTTTGCTGAATGGAAAGAAGAGCAAAGACGGATTTTCTTCAAGTGTTATGAAAGTTAATATTGAAATTTAGTGCTAGTAGTAGTTGTACGACCTTTTTGCTGGGCGGAGGTTCTTTAGCTGCCAAGACTTTTTCTGAAATAGATGTTCCACCACGACTCATTGTTAGGATCTCCGACTCTATCACTTGCAAGTGAACAAAGCTTCCTGCTATCGGTATGATCTTTTTCTCGATTCTATTAGAAATTCCTCCTCCAGAATCGAGAAAACAGGAATGGAGAAGGATTCTAATATTCCGTCTTCCTCTTCCAGCGCTAGAGCACGGACAAAGCAGCAACGGATCGATGCGAAAGTCGCGGAGATATTTGAGAGGGAGAGAGCAGACTTGTGTACCCGACTCCAATGCGCTCCTCGTGAGCAGTGGGACGCTTTACTTTAAGGCTCAGCTTTCAATGGTCACCATTGAGATTGGAGTCACTGAGATCGAAGAAGCGACCTCCCCTTGAGAGGAGAACAGGGGAAAAGGAAAGGAAAGGGGAGAGCTTTGCAGGGAGTCTCTTCCGTTCAGCATCATGATGACCATTGAATGCTGAGCTTTAATTACTGCTACAATTTGTTGCCGATAAAGAACAGGCAGTAATGAGTATCGAGCGGAGCGCTTTTGCTTCCTCTAGGTACAACAGGGTAGAGGCAGTTGAAGGAGGAAGTTCTAGTTCTGCAGCGTATGGCAAGACTGGGACGACCACGACGGGGAAGTTCAAGGCCAAGAGGAGCAATGATCAAGAGAAGAAGCTTGATCATCTCACCGGTACAACGAGAAGAAGTCCTCGACCTCGAGAGAATAGCATCAACAAATTGGGTGGTGACTTTTCACGGACGAGTGCGAATTTACGAGCAGATGATGGTGTTTTTTCATCATCCTCATCTCAGGATAGAGCTTCAGCAAGACGAGGGGACAAAAAAGCACAGAACAAGAAACGAAATCTGCTTCGCGCTAAAAAGGCACCACGCGAAGCAGACAAAGACAATCAACCAGCCCAGCTTATTGCTGTTGACCCTAGTAGACAGCATCACTTCTCGGATGTGAATAGCAGCACTTTGTCGCCCATTCCATTTGCTATAGACGAGCAACGGAACAACTCCACCTCCTCTCCTGGCAGGAATAACAAGGGGAGGAGCTTTAGCAAGTCGGTGATGGTCAGCGCGCTCACGGCGCCCTCTTACGCCGCTTACCGTATGTCGTTGGCAGAGCGATTCACCGGGAAATTGCGTCAAAGTGCATTGCATTTAGTCCCGATTCCGCCGGAAGAGGTTCATCTTCATATGGAGGAGCATTCTAGTCCACCTCGCGGTACTAGTTGTACTGCTGCTCAAAAAGAAACCACTGCTGCGGAACAACATCAAGCAGAAGATGCTACTGCCAGTACAAGTCGAGGCAAGGGTAAAGATCCTCTACACGCTAGTCAAGGTCCTCCAGAACGACTCACTGTTAACAATCTATACCAAGAGTGTCTGCGGGAAAATACTGCGCATGCGCGTGCGACTGTGTCTCGACTGGGTGTGGGTGTAGTTGCATCTTCAAATGTTGACGCAACAAACGCAGTGCTACAACAAAGTGGCGGAATAGGTCTTTTAGAAGCCAGCTTTCTCTCCACGCATTCGCATCAGAGTAGCACGAGTGGCGCAAAACAGCATTCGCGGGAATTGCACAGCCGACTACTGACAAGGGAGTCGGCGGCAGGGAATGTAGATGTATTGCCGGTGAAAGAGGCATTTATAGGGAGTGTAACCGAACAAGAGGTTTCAAAATTAGATCTGAACTCTTCGACAGCGGGTGTTGGCCATGCTCCCGTAGCTCAGCAAGAAGCGGCAGCCCACGACATCAGAGAAAATACCGTAGACCCACAGAGGACTACTGGGGACGATGTTAATTCAAGAGCACAGATACAAGGAGTTGTGCCAAACAAGACGTATACAAGAACTACAGCATCCAATAATTCTTGTCACACCATGACTACAGCAGCCGTAGCAACCACACTAAGGAACCATAAAGCAGCAATGAATCATCGCAAAGCTGCACATGGGCATGGAGTAGAGGACTCCTCTTCTGCTAAGCTGTTTTCTATAGATTTCTGGGAAGCTCGCACAGGAGATGGCGCCGCAACAGAAGAGGCGGTCGCAAGGTCGTTTAAGCCGCTTCAAGAAGACGCTGCTTACCATGATCTAACGGATTTTTCTGTTGTTCCCGCGAGATTTGACAGTGCCGTTGTAGTAGGAAAGGGAGATGAAGAACATGAACAGCCAGGGCCAGGAAATACTTCCGGTGGTAGTACAAGTTTTACTGCTGCTGGGTCAAGAACAGCTTCTTCATCTTCTACATCTAAAAATACTACTCCCGCAACGACTTTCAAAGCCGCGCCATCTCTTCCGTCGGGGCCAACGTTTCTAGTGGAGAGCCGGAAAGAAGAGGAAGAAGGACCTGCACCAAGAAGCTCGCTTTTAGTCGGTGGGCGTCTTTTTGGCGGCACTAGCGCCAAGAGCAGTCGCGCGTCATCGCATCGTCTGCCGACATTGACAGAGGAGGAGGAGAGCGCCTCCACTTTGCCTGCGATTTTGCAAGGCTTGAGGACGAAAAAAGAGAGCATTGCTGGAGAGGATGGAAGTTACGTTCCAGACGCAAAGCAACAGCAAGAACAAGTTGCATCCTCAAAAACGGATTTCACATCTATGGCTGAAGACCTGCTACGACGGATGAGAATATCTGAGGACAAGGAAAATATAGGAGGAGGACCTTCAAATCTACCACGAACGTCAAGTGGACGGATACAGTCTGGTAGACTCACTTTGCAGTATGAATAACGCTTTCTCACTCTGTTGACTCGCACATCTGAGTCTGACTTCTCCCACCTATAATTGTCAGAGGCAGGCCAGAAAACAAAGTTTGCACAGCAATGATTTAAATTTATTTTGATGTGGTCGGTGTTCATCCCTGGCTGTCGGCCGGAGAGAACTTCCATTTTGATACGGCTCCACCTTAGGTACTAGTTCTTTAGTTTTAACTATAATACGGAGCGAACACATGACAAAATTCCTTGTGCTTCTGAGTGAGAGCGACCACCACATTACATAGAAACGATAGAAAAAATGATGTCGGCTGCACTGCTTTTTGCTTGCTTCGGTTGCACTTGCTAGCTTGGCCAGTGGCGAGAATCTTCTATTGTCTGTCGCAAGTTCCAGATTTTACCGTCAAGATGCCTGGTTTTACAGCGCATCCAAATGTGAATCCCGCTGTGGATCGTCCTCCCGATTCAGCGGCTACTTGCGACTACTTACCTACTTATGTGTAGCGATACAGAGATGTAAGCTATCAACAGCCGCATATGCACAAAACGACGTTGGTTTATAGTTTTTTTCCTCCAATTTGGCCACCCTGTTCTACTTTCGGTGTGGAAGCACAGGTGGATGAATTTTGCCGCACACACAAGGGGGCTTGCAATGACGAGGGTGCCAGTTTTCAGATCCTCTTGCGTGCAAGTAAGAAGGAGGTGATGGCGTGCTATGATCTAGGACAGATCTATGTGATTGGTGATGGAGATTTAGCCAGCTTGGAAGATGGGCAGGAACCAAAACTAGTCGCTTGCAGAGACTTCGTCAACACGACCTTGCAGAAGATCATGGAACTCTCTTTGCGTTTGAGGTGATATATTCCGAGGCCTTCGAAAAGGATGAACGTACAGCGAAGCGAAAACGTCACTTTGATGGAAGGAGCCGTTGCTGGAATCTTCATTGGGACGCTTCGGGTAATCATTGCTGTTCATCAAAAAAAATATCTGAATCCTAGGTATCTGCCACAATATTTTATCTAGTACAACTTCAGAACCATCGTACTTTCTCTAGGTTCTCCTGCAGTACATGTCTGGACCCTCTTGGGCAGGAGAAATCGATGAGACGACTGCCGATGTGGATCGCTTGGAGGCCACCGTGTGTGTCCTGTTTGGAAGGAGGATGTCTAGGATACCTAATTCCAGTCGAGAAGTGAGCCACTCAATCGATACGAGAAGACTCGCATCACAACATTTTTATGCGATCTGCTACAGAAGATAAGGGCGTTCTAGTCTTGCAACTCCGTCACGCTATGATGCGTCAGCCGACATACCAGAATTGCATATATGCTACTATTATGGCGATTCTGGTGGTATAGGTATCTATACGCTTCATGGTGAAAAAGGTGTAGTGAGTGACAGAACCTGAAGTTGTGAACCTGTACGTACAACTTTGTCAACATTTTTATGTATCTTCTGTCTAATTTGGTGTTGTAGAAGAAGAAGTGGATATTCGACAGCAGGTTTTCCAGTATCTTGATCATGAACTGGAGTCGATTTCGCGTGGTAGCAGGACGACTAGCGACACCACGGCTTTAGCAAACAACTCGAAGTCTCTTGCCGACGCTCCTGTGGACAATGCGCTAGTGAACCACTGTTTGCGCGCGATCGTCTGCTACGATTCGGATAGCATTTATTAGCCGAATCAATGGGTACACGTGCTAACATTTTACAGCTGAGTTCATAGAAGATAACTCGAATATTGTGGGACTATTGGCTTTGATGCTAGTGGGGAACAAACATGTGTTGAATTAGTGCGACGCAAGTTGCATGCGGCCATCCGACTACGCTCGCCAAGCCAAGAAACAAGCAAACGTGGCTCTTCTGGAAAGAATACGAAACCAAATACATCATGCTCAAGCAGGGAAAGAAATAACTCGAAATGACTTGGTCGTGAAAAAGTTGCTGACAGACGTACCAATAGGAATAAGTATAAGTAATCAAAAGTTCTTGCTGAAAGGGCGACTACCAATCACCAATCATACTTTACGTGTCGGAGTCGAGGCTGTTTTGCAGACAGGCTGGCGTAGAATCAAATGGCCTAATGGTTTCTCTGTATTGCATTTGGCAGCAAAATGTGAACATCTTCAGGCGCTCAAGTTTCTACTCCATTCCGTCGAACATGTTTTGGAGGACGTCCGAGCAACAGATGGGCAAGGAATGACACCTCTGGACTACGCAATGGCAGAAGAGCACGTCGAAGAGGTGACCGAATACTTGCGGCACTCCGAGGCGATGACTATGGGACCAGTGCGAAAGGAGATCTCGATAGATTGGCAGAACGTACTGGAATGCTGTACTCGTAGTCTAGACGGTGACAGCACGTGTCTTGATTTTGTCTTCTGACTCTGATTTATGATAGGAAATTAGATTTCTGGAGCTTTTGTAGTAGCTTGCGGTCTAAATTTTTCTTATCACGTGATAGATAGATCCCGCCAATTACTACTCAGTTGTAATTTCCTTCTAGTCGCTCCGAGAGGAAGATGCTTGCGATAGACAATGTAGGACATTCGAATCTTCGTATCAGATGTTGACAACATGAAGAAGTCAGAATATATCCCGTTCCTGGCTGCATGGACTTAGATGATCTTGTTGGTGTTCGTGTTCACCTGTAAGGGAGGTCGAGGTTTCTTAATCCTACAGATTTTGGACCGAATTGCAATGGCTGGTGGAAATGGAAAGAAGAATTGGTCAAACTTGCACATGCGCATCATGGGGATGGTAGTGGTATGGGTCTAACAACACTGATGGAAAATATCGAGGTCCAAAAAGATCAGAAGTAGTAGACCGAAGGTCTTTCCTATTAATGTATCATATCCTGCATATCATCCAAATCCAATAATTAACATGAACATGATGGAATTTCCACCTGCAGGCACCAGCTGCAATGCAGCATCGGCACTAGTTTCTTTCGGGTAGTTCCAGAACACGCAATTGAGCTACTACTGCTAGGTTCTAAAAGTACATTTTTTTTAGTCTCAAACTCAAAGCAAGAGCAAAAAGATGTGTTACGGTCATTGGATGCAGTGCTCTTTTATGAGCGGGCCACCCGCTTTCGGTCGACGTGATCAGCCTGATTCGCAGAAGAAATCCGTCATCACTGAAAAAGACTTGTACGAAATCCCGAACAAGTGCACTCGCGTCTCCAGGGATCACGAAATCTCTGTTTTTGCTTTGGAGTACAACATCCTCAGGGGCGAAGAGGACATGGGAGGTGCTGCTGGCACTGGAGCTGCCGCAAATGGTAGTTCTGGAAGTGCGGTGAATGGCTCTGCTGCTGGAGGAAGCAAAAAAGCAGATGAGATCACAGCGGGAACCAAGACTGTTGGAGGAACGCACTTCGTTGGTGGGGTCCGACGTCGATGGGAGCGAAAGCAGATGTCGTTCGCGGACAGAGGAGTCATTTTCGGTTCCGCAACGGATTTAGAAGGCCAAGTCCTGAACCGCGATTCGTCTGTGGAACGGCAGCACTGCGCTTTGCTGCACAACCAAGGGAAGCTGTTCTTGAAGCCGATCAACGGTTTAACGAAATTGTTGTCTGTTCCTCATGTCCACGAGTTGTTATCTGGACCACCAGGCGGAGCAGGTGTGGATGGTACCACGACGACAGGAGTAATCAATAGCGGAACAATCACTACCATGTTGAATGGAGGTGGAGGAACAGAAACTGGTAAAAATGGCGCTGGAACTTCCGGTGCCAATGGAATAACACCCGATGCTGACAAGAACTGCAAATCCTTAGGACCTACCACTCTAGTAGAAAACCAGAAGAAGATCAAGTGCATCGACTTAGCCGGCAACGACAAACTGAGAAAGTTGACACGAGGGTTTTGCTGTTTCCAATTGGGTGACTCGAGTACGATCTACTACGTGGAAGCCAAAACAGTCAATAGTGGATCGAATCTTTTGCCACTGGGCGATGATGAATATGATCCGATCCTAGGTGCATCTGGTGGAGCAGACAAGGAGAAAGAAAAGGAGAAGGAGAAAGATAAAGTACACTTTACAACAAAGTTGCTGGATGATCACTTGAGTTTCTTACTCTATGTGCCACTTACGTCATATCTAAGATGATACCAATTCGATAGATAATTGTAATTCCACCAGGTTCAACTTTTTACAACTTGTTCTTGTTCAACTTTTTTTGTCAAATATATTTCTTAAAGAAATTTATTCACCTCAACTCATCCACCTTCAGGACCGCGACTATCGACGAGCAAGTAAGGATGAGCGCGGTGAGCGTGGCCGAAGGGATGAGGAGCGTGATCGCGATGAGCGAGGTCGCGACGAGCGAGGTCGCAGAGACCACTACAGAGACGAACGCAGTCGTAGTAGGGAAAGGCGCGGTTACGACAGAGATAGACGGGATCCAGATCGTCGCCGATAGATGTACGAGGCGTGGATTTTTCGAGATACAACTAGGGAGAACTCTGTTGATGATTTAAGAATCCGCAAGTCGTGATGAAAATACTCATGATGAACAAAAACAACCACTGAACAAAGCCAACAAGGTTTAGGGTTACGTCATATGTTCGTCATACCCCAAATAATTTGGGTTTCCCTATTTTCATTCAAGTTGCAAGAATCAAAATTGATGTGCTGATGTTGTTTTCAGTCAAAAATTCTAATTCTTTCAATGCTCCCGCAACACAGATTGAAATTCTTTCCTGAAGACAACTTGTAAATGATATTTTTACCCAATAAAAATGACCCCTCTCCACTGTCTCACTTGTATTCCAAGGCTTCTGTTCAACCGGCCCTTGCTTTGTGCTTTTTCTGATTCAAGAAGGTCTTATCCTGTTCCACACTCTGAGAGTAAGATATTCTTGAGTGAAAAAAGGCGTATTATTTTCGCAGCGGTTTTAGTTTCTCCAGGCACCATCAAATGAAGAACTGTTTATGAATATATAAAGTGCAGAAAATGGAATCTGTCAATACCTGAGAACAAACGTCAGTATTTCTAGACGCAGGTAGAGAGTAAGACTTCTGTATTTCTCAAACAGGTCGACAGGAAAATGGTACTTCTGGATAATAGAACAGATTTAGTCTTAGTCTTGCAACATACTAGAAAATGACAGTCGAAAGCGACGTAAGTCGCTTATTTAAGCGACGCAAGAACGAGTCCGTTGCTTAACCGAGGTGAAGAACCTCTGCGTGGCTCAGGACAGAGAGCAACCACCCGAATATAAACATGTCGGCTCCTTCAGGACCGCCTGGCGGGCCTCCAGGAGGAGGCGGCGCAAGGCCTAAGTTCGGCGTGGGTATGCCAGGGTTGATCCCTCAACCGAAGGCGACGGCAAGTCTTGCGATAGGTCCTAGTGCGTCTGGGAGTTCACCGAGTACAGGTAGTGGTCAGGTGGTACGCCCTGCGGTTCCGCGAGAGGCGACTAGCTTCCTCAGTCTAGTGCGACATCGGCCGACCAAGTACGAAGCCGATCAATTTCAGTTGAACGTGAAAATCACGTACCTGAACAAGACAGTGAAGCACACGTTTTCGCGGTCGAAAGTTAAGGAAGATCAAATATCTGAAGATCAAACTATCTGAAGGTCGATCGGGAAGATCAAATATCTGAGAAGATGAAACTACTACAGTTTAGGTCAACTTGTTGGTGAGAGAAAAAGACGACCTCTTCTACTTCTTCTAACTGGCGCGTAAACGACCAAGTCGCCACCCTGTGCGACATGCGAGACGTCCCCTTCGACGAAGATGCCAGCTACCAGATTCTACTGCGCTCAAACCCGAAGCATCTCCAGAAGTACGCCATTGGCGAAGACGATTTTGCCAAACTCGAGGACGGCCAAGAGGTCCGACTCGTTGGCGGCAGTGACTTCGTCAACACGACGTTACAAAAGATTGCTGAACTATCTACTTCTTAAGGCTTGAGGAAATACATCTTCACAGGCATCTTGGTCCCGTTTTTCACTGGAAAAGGGGACGGAAGATTCTGCGGGGGATGGATTTCTGCAAGTTCTAAACTTCCGAGAAGGTGGGCCAAGGCAGTGCGGACGAGCTGCTGCGGTGGGCGGACAGTCTGTTGAAGAATTGCAGCGTTATCGGACCGATCGGCGAATGGTTCGCGTCGGAAGTGATATCGTTCAAGGGGATCGGGATTCTTTTTGCAGCTTTGCTGAACGTCCAAAGAAGCGAAAACACCGGTTTGATGGAAAAGATTGTCGGAGTTTTCATCGGCATACTGACGGTACCTTTACTTTACCTTCTGTTCTCCTTCTTCGCTATTCGCCACTTAAGTTAGATATCCAACACATCATATGAATGTGGCAAAGAAGGCAGTATTATTTTGGTACGAACAAGTACCTCTTCCGTTCTTGACCTAATAAAGGCTACAGAATCATTCAAAAAAAATCATCCGTTCTTGACCTAATAAAGGCTACAGAATCAAAAATGAATCTCCAGATCCTTCTTCAATTCGAAGCTGGTATTGTTTGGACGGAGAAGGAGATGGTTCTCGACGTGGATCTCCTAGAGGCGATCGCATGTGTGCTCTTCGGAAAGATGCCAGGTAAAGCGGCTTCTTTAGTAAGTACTGGCGCAGACAGAAACGACCGACGGGATGCAGGGTATGCATTGAACACAAGGAAACTGGCATCTGCGTTTTTGTGCACCATCCTACAGCAATTCCATAAGGACGTGCCGCTGCAATTGCACCGAGCCTTGATGCGGCAACCAGATACCTCGACTTTGAGCTATTATTATGGCCATGATATTATATGGATGACAAGGACTTGTTTCTTTCAGTTACTGCCGAAGATTATCCATTGATGAAGGGCTGCGTCTCAAGGGACGACTGAGCCAGCTATGAATGTAAATGCTTATAAATATGTTGTCAAGTGGAATATTCTGTTTTTTTGACTATCTAAGGAAGGTTGACAAGCTTTCTTATAGAAATACATCGTCTAGCGGCCGCAAAACCTCTGATGGACGTACGCCACAACTTCTTCTACCACCCCACTCTAAGCTCCTCAGCTGATGACCGAACTGAAAGCAGACGATCCGCTTTACAATCTAGTGCTAGTTGTATATCTTTTCCTCGTGGACCAGGAGGATATTCGACAGCAGGTTTTCCGCTATTTCGATGCAGAATTGAGCGGCTCTGCTGCGACCAAGTGGAAAAAGCGTGGTAATGCTCCTGATAAGAGCAAGAAGATGCTAGTAGAAGACAGCCTGCTGAGTTCGCTTGCCACCGCGTGTGCCGACAACGAGCGACTGGAACTTTCAGGCGGGACACCAGGAGGTGGAGGCCATTCTCTGGCGACAGGGAGTGAATCGGTGGACAATCTGAAAGCAACGCTGAGGAAAATGGACGATAGAAGGAGGAAAGTGGAAGCGGATTTGAGGAGGATGCACCAGGCGATGTGCAAGATGGTGGAATTGGTGGACGTGGAAAATGCGTTGGTGAATCAGAGTTTGCGTGCGATCGTTCGCTACGGCTGGGACAGCATTCACTGGCAAAAGGGGTACACCTGCTTGCACTTTGCCGCCGAATGCATGGATGCGCCAAACGTCGTAGAGCTGTTGGCCTTGCTTGCGAAGGACATGAACGAGCGCGATGCAACTGGGAAGAGGCCATTGGACTACGCGCGGAAGGAGAAGAAACAAGCAAACGTGGACGTGTTGGAGAAGATGCGAAACCAATTCTATCGTCAACAACAGGCGGAAAGGGCGATTAAGAAGAAGCGGGACGTCGACTACGCGAAGCAGGTTGAGATCCCCGAGAATCTGACACCCACTCTACGTGCAGGAATTGAAGCCGTATTGCAGATGGGGTGGAGGAGAATCAAGTGGCCCAATGGCTTCTCAGCGCTACATCTAGCTGCGCAGTGCGGGAATTTGGAGGTGATCAAAATTCTCTTAGAACAAGTAGAACATGTCTCGGACGACTGGCAAGCGAAAGACAAATTGGGCAACACAGCACTTGACTACGCCGTTTCCAGCAAGCACGAGGGTGTTGCGGAGTACCTGCGCAACTACGACCCAGTTACGATGGGTCCTACCGCTGCCGTCGATGACGAAGCAATGTCGCTGTCCCCGGGACCTTTGCCGCAAAGAGCTGAGATGGACCTAGCGGATGCGGGCAAACGAAGGTTGCCGGACTTGGCACAGGTCAGCGGAGCTAGCGGAGGCTTGCCTCAAGCCATGACAAGGCTTCTACCTACCAGAGTGCCCGATAGCGTGACGGATGAGGCTCTGCGGAAATTACTCGAGGATATCTTGTCAAAGGGGTACGGCGGGGTTTCGCGTATGATCTTCGACAAGGACAAGACACCATTGCACGGCGCTTGCGAACGTGGGGATCTGCCAGTAGCGAAATTCTTAGTCCAACTCGGTGCAGATCCGTACAAGAAAGATCAGAGTGGAAAAACCGCGATCAAATACGCTGAAGATGCTGGCTTCAAGGAACTTGCAGAGACGATAAAGCGAGAGTGGAAAACCATGGCTGAGTCCTTGAACAGCGCGTCGGACTCGGCGTCGTTGATTGCGCAGATCTACGCCTTGAACAAGGCTTTGACGGAGTCCCACGACGCTTTAGAAGAACTCTCTGGTCAGCGAGATGCTATGGAAACGCTAGCTGGGGACAAACTGCAACTAGAACAGCGGGTGTTTTTCTTACAGGAGTGGATTAATGGGAAGAGGTTGGATGAGATTGGTGCTCTGCATGATGAGCAGATGGAGACCTACGGGAAGCAACTGGAGCTAGTGGGTGTCCACAAGCTTCGAGCCAAATTGATGGAGAACAAGATGCAAGGAGGTTTAAATCTCGCTCTTCACGACGCCGCTTTGGGAGTCGAAAAGCTCTTGTTCGCCGGAGGCAAGGGAGCGGCAGCGGGCATCCGGCAGAACATCCTAGATGCAGAGGGCTTCATCAAGATCGTAGGCGGACACATGACTCCACGTGGAGGAGGCGGTGCGGCGGGACCGGAGCCAGCTTCTCCTGGCGGGAAACCTGGGAAACCGGCAGCAAAAGGAGCACCTCCGAAGGGCGCTACTGCGCCAAAAGGCGGCGCACCACCGGGAAAAGGAGCACCAGGACCTCCTGGCAAAGCAGGCGCCGCTCCACCTGGCAAGTTAAGGCTCAAGAATATTTATTGAATAGATTTCTACAGCCTATCGCAATCCTTTAATATTTATTCATTTCTACACCAGCTTATCGCAATCCTTGTTTTCCTTCTCATGATCCTAAGAAATGAGTTGAGCTTTGAAATGAAATACTTTGAGCTCTAAGCAACGGTGCAGCAGCCCCGGGAAAAGGCGCTGCGCCAGCGAAGGGAGCGCCGAAGGGAGCCAAGGGAGCAGCTGGGGGAGCGAAAGGCAAAGGCAAAAAAGGAAAGGAGACGGGTCCAGGAGGGGTGAAAATCTTTATCGACCCGAATCTGCGGATGCCAGGAATAATTCCACCGAAACCAATGAAACCGTTGTGGTGGAATCGTTTGGTACTTCTCTTCTTGCGTTTTTTCGTAAGAACTACATCAATAGGTGGTACTGTGCTATACTAAACAAGTGCTGAGAATGTGAATGCTACATTAACTACAATTTTTTTATGCATGAGACTTAGATTGATCTTGTTTGACGTTCATCTATGACATAATGGACAGTAGCGGCTGCGTCTGCAGCAATTGCCTTCATCATGTATGAAAGAAAGTCAAGCATTCTCGTACTGCTGCAACACATACACACAATCCTTTTTTTTTTTATCCAGATCATCGGCAAGCAGATCAAGGAAGAAGCGACCGTGTGGGACATCGTGGAGAACTATGCACCCACTCTACTGGCAGAGGATAGTGCTACCACCAACGAGTTTGTAGAGCGGTTCTCTAAGGCCAAGGGCGCAGGAGGCGACGGCGAGGAAAAAGAGGTGAAGAAAAAAGAGTTGAGAGAGCTGATCGTGATCACAGACAGCAACAAAGCTGTTGCGAAACAAAAACTCTGCAAGGGGTTGCCGAGTCCTGAGATCCTCTGCGCGGCTATATTGGAATTCGACGACACGGTGATCGATAAAGACATGCTGGAGGGCATAAAACTTCATTGTATTCCAGACGCAGGGGAGCTAGCGGCCATGGAAAAACTGCGTGCAGAACATCCTGATGTACCGTGGGCTCTGCCGGAGAAGTATTTGTGGGCAGTGGGGCACATCCCAGTATACGAACAACGGATTTTATGACAAACAAATAGTCAAATAATTTTTTCCGTTATTTTGCGTCGCGGCTGGTCGATATCGGTACTAGACCTTAATAAAGATGAAACACATCTTTTGTCTTTCTAATTACCTATATCTGGGTTTTTTTCCATGATCCAACTATATTTGGGTCATTTCATTTTTCAAAAATTCGATTACATTCTTGTATACCTCCCTCGATAACTTCTAGTTGTACGACCGTCCTTTCTGTCTCTCTCCTTTCATACCTGCAGTGCTGGCATTTCACTCGGAACTACGAAGAACGGCTACTCGACTACGAGGCAGCCTATGCCGACTTCACGAAAGTGGTGGATGCTCTAGAAACGGCTTCGGCTTTGCAGTCGTTGTTAGGTGTGGCACTGGCGGCTGGAAACTATCTAAACGGCAACACGAATCGTGGTCAGGCTGACGGATTCGATCTCTCTGGCCTTCCGATGTTTTCCACCATCAAGGATAATTTGGACGACAAGATACGGGTATTGTTTTTTTGTTTATGAATACCAAAAGATCACTTACCACCTGGGTTTACAACTTTCTATATATAGTTTATGTTGATCCATCAACACTATTACAGACCAGAATTTGGATGACAAGGTACGGGTCGTAATATTGTTTTTGTAGGGTACTGTTAATTCGGGCTTACTACACGACAGCGTCATTATCGTAAGTACAACAAAAAACAACAGAAACATTACGATCTTAACATCAATCACCTATTCCCACCACACAACCAGGTTACGGACTGGATTTTCCGTATGTTCCTCAAGGACTCGCCTCTCTTTGTGAAGGCGCGCAAAGATATAATGGTGCAGCTAGCACCAGTGTTTAAGAATGTCAAGCGGCGTGTAGGAAAGAACAAGGATGGCGTCGTGAGCATGACAAAACAAGTGAAGTACGCCAATGAAGAGTTCGATGGTATGGTTAGAGCTTTGAAAGAGGAATTCGACGGGCACAATGGGAATTTGCAAATGATTCTGGGATTCTTCGAGGATCCGACGGATCCGATCAGGACGGTAAGAATAGACTTGATTGTCTTCCTCTGTCTTTCCATCTTCGCTTTCTCCATCCTTTCTGAGTCCTTATATATGATAAATAGTAAATCGAAATGGATCTTCTCTACTCATCCACGCTCTTCTATACACCTCCTTCCACAACTTCTTTCTCGCTCTCTAATATATCCAGGTTTTAGTCCCAGAGTTTGAGGCTGTGGACAAGCGCATCAAGGCTTTATTGCAAGTCCAGGCAGATGCCCAGAACAAAATGGCATCTATCCAAGACAAGTTCAATCTGGGAAAAATGATGTCAACAGAGTTGCTCCTACTCTTAGATGACTTCCTGATTCCTCCAGATTTGATCGTCAACAAGCCCGAAGACGTTCAGAAGAAAGTCTTTATCTTATGGCTCTGCTTTCCATTTCCTCTCTAAGGGCTCTAAAAACCCATTTCTATATTTGAACTAGTGTTGTAGTTAACGACCCACACACGACTACGGTCATTATGAACGATGATAACAGGGACAATTGCATGCATGCACACACTACTTTTTCCTCGTTTCTACATAATTTAAATTTTACCTCTAACCTCCCCTCTCTTCTGTGGTCTCGCTGCTCCTACTTTCGATGCGATGATGTTCCTGTGGGGCCTAGAAGATCCTATGGCAGCCTTGTTGGAGGAACAAAAGAGGGGAGCTAGAAGGCCTAAGCGTGGTGCGCGGGCACAGAATAGACGTGGTAAACGTGTTGGCGCAGCTGCAGCTGATCCTGATGACAGCAGTGAAGATGAAGAAGCAGAAGCCGCTGAAGCAGCACCACCAGGAGAACCAGCTGCTCCGGCAAGGAGTTCAGGGAGTTAGTTGTACGTTAATTGTAGTTCTTGTTGGTCATTTACCAACGTGCTTCTGCTAATGAATACTTAGACTTTTTCAGTCTGACTTGTTGTACAACTGTTTGTTTCTACACGACTTCTTCGTAGCGAAATGAATCCTTTTGTTTCTCCTGTATCAACATCGAAGATGCTTCCTCCTGTGGATGAAGAAATTCGCGAATTTTCACAGCAAAACATACGAACCTTCGTAGGAGTTGTACCCTTCTCCTTCCCTTGACACTGTACCTTTTCCCATCCCATATGCGCGCCAAAATTTTGCATTTTGAACATCGCCGTACAAGAAGATTGTTGCGTTTTGAACAGCGCCGTGGTTGTTCTAACGTCAGATGTAGCCAAGAAAGCGAGTACTTACATTAACCTCTTGCAACTGGGGACCAGTATTTGTTGCACGATTTCGAATCGGTCTTTCCAACGGAGAACTTTCCTGTTTTCACTGTTGGCGTACTCCAAGCAGACGTGTAGCGCGTGTGTCTGCATCAAGGTCCAGTACTAATTCAGAGCGGCAATGTACTCCTGTGGTCGCGTTGTGTCTGTGTCATGCGAAAGCGAAGAACGGATCAAGATGCGGCACCTCTAGAAACTTCAACTTGATCATTCTTTCTGCGACAAAAAAGTAAGCAGGAATTCAGAGCAACGAACGTAGAAAGGGTTTTGAACATAAGATACGAACAATTATATTTATAACATAAGAACGCATATTTACGGAGATGTAGCCATTGGCAGTTGACTCCTAGATAGTACGCAACATCTACTGAAGTGAGTGCCAGACATAGAAAAGAAGCTTAGGTGTAAGGTTGTTACCTTGATGTTAAAATAATCGCGTCATCTATCGTATGTTTGAAATTTTGGACAACGTACGGTATTTGATAGACTAATTTATATAGCGCTTGTACTCTAATGGAACACTTTAATCTCAATCTTCGCGAAGTGAATACATAGATAGTGCCATCGTATTATTTCAATTTTGGATTATCATTTCTGGATAAGTATCTTGGAGTCACATAGTATACAAAATGTGAATCGTTTTCTTAGAACGGGCGACGATGTAGTGGCGTAAGACGATTTTGAACTACAATCGAGAAATATGGCAAGGAACACAACTTAGACTTACGTCTATATCGTTCAGAAAAAGAAGATCAAACAGGATGAGTGCTCCTGGTCCTCGTAAGTCTACTGCTGCCCCACAGCGACCGCGACCTTCTACTGCTGCGCCACAGCGTGCACGACCTTCAACGCGACCCCCCGCGCAGACATTAAGGCGCACTGCGTTACTCATGATTCATAATCATAGCCCATTCTCTCAGTCGAACGGACCGCCACCATTATTAGTCGTGTATGAAGATTATTAGCTTTCTCATATTTTTTTCCTTTTGTGATATCGCTGGACCACAAGAGCACTTTCGTAATATTGCTGGACCATAAGAGCACAGACTGCTAAGTCGCGACTGGTTTCCCATGGAAAAACGTAGAGCGTAGCGCTAGCGTGGTGCAAGTTGAACCTGCAGCCTGAGGCTGATGGCCTCTGGCTGGTTTGGTCCGTGTGGGTGCTTGTTTTGGGGTTGCGAGGGGGTCCCTCCTGTTTTTTGAGGTATCACGCTGGGGGGCGTTCTTTCATATGCTCGCGTGGATATCTTCAGGCTATCGCCATCAATCTCGTGCGGTCATCTATGTTGATACCCATGCAGACCTGGCCGAACCTTCTGGATGAATACGCGCCAGACAATGCCGGGGATTATAATGGGAATGCGCTAGCTTTGGCGATCTTCGTGCGTCTTGATCTGATCAGAACTGATAGAACGACACGGACATGCGCATAGCTATGAGCGTGCGCCGCTCCTCACACCTGGGAACATTGGCGGCCATTTGCCCGCCGATCATTGCCTTCTGAACTCTGCGCGTTTAGTGCTGGAGCGACGCTTCCTGGAGATCTTTTCGGTGGTGCTTGGTCCTTGACTGAACTGAGAGACTTGAAACAACGAACGAGAGAGGAGAGAGACCACAGACGCCCGCCCCGACTATGGCCGAGGCGTTGAGAATGGCGCCCGTGGCTTACCGTTTTCGCCTGGCGATCTTGGTCATTTTGGTTGTTCAATCCTTTGGATCTTGGAGGATCTTGATCGGATTCCACTCATGGCCAACAAATATCTTGCTCTCCCTTTTGTAATTTCGCCCTGTGGACGGCGGGCCACCTCTTATCCTATCCTATCCCTTTCTAGAAGGACATCGACGTCCTTCTAGTATTGTCAGAAGATGCTTGTTGCCTAAAGAGAACTCCAAATATGGCTAAAAAGTCGTCCTGCCCTCTTCTAATCATAGACTCAGACACTTACACCGATGCAAGCAGCCGGTCCTCTCGGCGTCGTCGTGGCTCCTCCACTATGGAGACAGATTACAGTGTAACGGAGACAGAGACCTACACAGAAACAAGCCATACAGAGAGCAGCGCACCAGCCCGACGTCCACCGCCTGCTAGACAATCGACTGCAGCGGGAGGTGTTGGGAATACTAGGAGTGGTGCAACAAGTGCTGGAACTACTTCTGCTGCAAATGGAGGGAAGTAAGATTCTAAGGATTCATTGTTCAATTAATCTCTGTATTTTATTGCACTCAGAAGAAAGTGATGTAGTTTGTGAGCTAATAAATTCTGATAGATTTTTCTGTCATTGCTTACAATCAATCGAAACAAAAACTATTTCCCGCAACTACATCAACAGTCCTCCGAGCAGGCCGTTTAACCAGCCACAAACGCCGCCACGCCCTAACAATGCCCTCGGCTCTTCCTCTCGACCAGGCCAGGCTCCCTCCAACAACAACAGAGAACAACAAGGACCGACTGTTGTTAAGGCTAACTCGAATCCATTTCTGTAGATCGGGATTCCTCAGCTCAAAGCACATGATGAGTAAAACAGCCGGTTACTTTTCCCTCTACCTCGTAGATTTATCCCTTCAAGCAAAATATTCTTGAGGGATCCCCACAGAGATGAGCGCGGGGCAGGGCTAATATTGGCAGAATGACACCAGGGCGCTTGGATCCTAAGCGTATCCAAAGCATTGGCCTTGGCGTCTCAGGCCTACGAGATCAAGTCAGTGTGCTGCAAGGGAAGAAGACCAATGAGCAAGTACTAGAAGAGAAAAAGAGGAATCATGCAACACAAAATGCTGGCACTTCTAGAGGAGGTGGGAGCGCTAGTAGTAGCTCCTCTGCCGCTGTGCAATCAAATTTTAATGGGGCAGGAGGCTCTTCTTCTTCCTCTGGTAACACTCAAGAAGGTGGATCTTCAGCCTCAACGTCTCCTGTGTTTGGTGAAGAAGTGACGCTGAGTGTGCGAATCGACAGTAGTCTTCTCGGAGGAGGTCAAGCGCCAGCCAGAACTCGAGGCAGCGCTAGCAGCGGCAACAACCGTTCTGCTTCCTCACAGAACAACTCCTCCGTGGTTTCGCACGTTTTCTACCGCAATTTGCCCAAATTCTTCGCCGCGCGCAAGGATTTGCTAGCCCAAGTGGAGGACTTCTGTCAGCGTGAAGGGATAGTTCCAGAACAGTTACAGGAGAACCACAGTGACAATTTGATACTTCTGCACACCCGCAAAGACGAGGCCAAATGGCTGGTAAGGGCTGAGGATTTGCACGAGATTGTGGAAGTTAAGAACTTGAGTCTACTACTAACTATAGGTGAGTACTTCTTCTACTTGTGCAAAAAAATAGCTATTTCTCAGTGTTCGGGATTGTTTCATCTCATGTGGAATGTTTTTGACTATCTAAGGTTTAGTCGCCTATTTCTCACTAAATGGGGTCGTGCGGGTCGTGCATTCTTCAACGAAGAAGTAAGGTGCTTTGATGTGCTAGTATGTATATTTAGCTTCTAGTCACAATCTACGCTCCTAAGAAACGCACTGAAGTCCGCCTGGTGAGTGGTACTGGGTTCGTGAGCACGTGTTTGGAGCAGATTGGGCTCCTGGCAGCTAATCGTGGAGGTCAGAATTCAAATGGACCACAGGGCTCTACTGTAGAACATCTAGAATCGTGGCTAGATTGTCTTTGCAGGAATAGCGGGATCCCTGGTCCGCAAGGTGAGTGGTTCGCCGAGACTGTCATCTTGCAAAAGGGTTTGACGATTCTGATCGACGCGTTTTTGGAACTGCATGAGAAATGTGAAGATCTTGGTCGCATCCAGTCGTTAAGTGGTACATTGCTTGCGGCCCTGGCGGTTCTGTTGCCCTTTGAACAAGCCATTGCCTACCTCAGTGAGCACTATGTTCTCGATGCGAACTTCTTTGAGTCGTTGCTAGCAACCATGTTCGGCAGGGTTCGAAAAAGCCGGTTCCGGTATGAATTAGTGGCGCGCCAGAACAATCACAGTGTAGGAGGTGTACCTGGCCCTTCATCAACATCCGCCTCCTCGTCTGGGCCTTCATCTTTAAGGCTACTGTATTATATCTGCATCTTCGCTAACGTCTTTGTCCCGTTTTCAAAGGGAAAACGGGGACAAAAGTGCATCCGCGGATGGACTTGCAGTGGTAGTTCTAACATCTTCGATGAACGGTGACTCAGCTGCGGCACGCTCGCCTTTCGAATGTAATTTCGCTTTGTCAACGCGACGATCGGCACTGACGATCATTGGATTGTTGTTGAACACTAGTTTGGGTGGTGTAGCCAGTGAGAAATGCCATGCTGCGGCTCTGCGTCCTCTGCCTACGGATGCGCAGCTCAAATGCATTTCGATGCCAGGAGGGACGCCTTTGTCCAGTAGTAGTAGTAGTAGTGCTTCATGTTCATCCAGTACTAGTAGCAAGGCTATTCTGCAAGGGCCTGGCGCTTCTAGTTCTTCCTCTTTGAACTACTACCATCTGATGGTCGACGCTGCGCACAACTTGTGCGATCCAGCACATACGCTGAGTTTATGGCTGTACTAGGGAATTCTATTTCATCTCCAAAGTCATCTGGTAGAACAAGACAAGGGGGAAATAAGGGGACCACACAGATGATCATCCCTGGGGCCTGGGATGAATTCCGAACTCCCTTTTCATTCCCTTTGCTTACTTCTAATGAGTACAGTGCTGTTTTCTTTCCTCTCAGCAAACTGTGAACTGTCCAAGGATCTGGCGGCAATCAGTGGGTCCGAGCTCTTACTACGCCAGCAGGACATGGATCCTGTGCGGAAGCGGGAGTTTCTGAATCAAGTGCTATTGCTGAATCTAGTGGACGCTTCGGTCGAGCAAGAATTGTTCTTGTATAAGAACTTGAAATGTTATGGATGCGTATATAAGAGCAGACTTCTTTTACCTGCTCCTCCCCGTCAGTACAATGCGTATCATCTCGTAGGCCTTCTGCTCCGTCATTATCTCCAATCAAGATGCTTTTCAAGCCCGAAGAGGAAAATCTCGGATGAAAATAGAAGCAGACCTCTTACCTGCTCCTCCCCATGAAAAAGTAGAAAGTGCATCACCTCACCTCTGTGATTATCACCAATGTTGCTCCTCCTTAAGACACAGTACATCACCAACGTCACCTCAAATATCCTCTGAATCACCTCCGGAAGCATGCCTCTCTCCATATTTTCTTCCTCTCCTAAGATCTCAGATATAGATGATCAGTCTAGAGCTTTCTTCATACTCTCGCCTCCGAGCGTAACGAAGCGGATTCGTTGAAACAGCAGCTCCGAAGGATCGAGACGCGACGACGAAAGCTAGAACACGACCTTCGGCATTATCATCTGGTCATGGTGAAAATGGTCGAATTGATTCGACTCGAGGGCCATCAACAGTATGAGCAATACAACGAGTCGTGATAAAGCAGTAGTTAACTGCTTTGAATTTGATGTCTAGTAGTAGTACTAGTACCTTGTCTACTAGCGCATCTAATTTTCTCATCACAATCTAACTATCTATAATATCTTGAGCCTAATTTTTAAATCAACAAATTAATACGAATACACACTTTATTGCTGTAAGGACTTCGTCACAGTTGTCAGCAACTATATTTTGATTTGAACATCAGATTTGTGACAGAAGTGGTAGCATTTAAAGTTGTGTGATCTGGCTCCATGCATTATAGCTTCTAATCAAACGTGTACGACTCGCTGAAAGCGGTAGTGAAATTCGGATGGGACAGCATGAAGTGGCGTCGTGGCTACACTGTGCTGCATTTTGCTTCAGAATTTATGCTTTTCAGATTCTGAGTGTAGTTTTTTCAGAATTTTTTGTCGACGGCGACATAGTTTTTTTTCGAATTTTTTGTCCTCTAATGTTTGTCTAGACGACAGGCGGATAGTGGGTCAATCATCGTGAAGGAGGTTGTCATTGTGTCATCACTGCGAATAAGTTATTCGTCTTACAACTAGATGCAGAGCTAGGCGGGTTCAATTCGCTACAACTACCGTACTAGCTACTTATGCTTACTACTTTCTCTAGTTGTGTGCTGTGTTTGCAGCTTCCTCGTCGCCAGCCTGCTTCCCTCGCCCTTTTTTTTTTCCGAGTTTTTTTTCCGAGATTTTTTTCGAATTTTTTGTTGTCTAATGTTTGTCTAGACGACAGCCGCATAGTGGAGCTGTTTGCATTACTCGCCACCGATATGAATTCGCGCGATTCTTCCGGAAAACGAGCTTTGGATTACGCGCGCAGGGAAAAGAAGCCCGATAATGTCAGAGTTTTGTTATGGTCAACATTTAGTGTCCATCATTCTCGGCAACATTTAGTGTCCCCTTTTCCCTTGTATTCTCGTGAAATACAAGGTAAAAGGGACCCCAAGAAGAGGGGGGCCGAGATGCAATCTAGAAGCAGACTCTAATTTTGGAGAAGGTGAGGAAGCAGAAATTTCTCGAAGAGCGGACACAGAGGTTCCTGCTGCAGAACAACAACCCACTAGCCACCACCTTGCAAGTACCGGATAATTTGACGCCAATCCTGCATGACGGGATCGAGACGATCTTGAAGCTGGGATGGAACCAAGTGCGGTGGCCGAACGAGTTCACGATTCTACATTTGGCCTGTCAAAGTGGCTCGCTACCGGCGGCGAGATTTCTGCTGGAGAAGGTGTCTTTAGACTCAACTGAATGGTTACTTAAATCTAGGATTATTTCTGCTGGAAAAGGTGCTTAGACAACTGAATGGTTATCTATTAATCCTTTATAATGTGTTTTTTGAGTAGTTGTTTTTTTATAGGATTAATCGTTTTCGCGTTCGCCGTAGCTCTTTATCCTGAACGTCGTGCAAGAACCGACAAGATCACGTGATTCACAAAAACATCTTCTCAATATCACTGTAGGTTCCCGGCGTTGCCCAATACTATGCTAAGGTGGACAATCACAATCAAAGGCCAATCGACTATGCGATGGTCGAAGGGCATACAGAAGTGGTTGAGTATCTCTCTGAGTTTGACCCAGAGACCATGGGTGCCGCAGATGGAAACATGGGAGATGGAAACATGGACGACCGGGATGATTTTGATTAAGGCCAGTCGACTCTTTGTTCTTGTTCTTGATGTTGTCGTATCTACGTGTACTTGAGGACGAATAAATGAAACGGCACAAAGAGAGAGCAAGTAGTAGTTTCTTTGGCTTCATCTTAGCTCTCCTCCTCTAATCCCAAGTGAAGCGTGCAGCCACGACTTCGTCTGCTGCGCCTGTGGGCTTCGGCTCCAGTGGCATATCACAGCTTTTTCAGAGTATATCCGCATTCAATCCAATAGGAGGATCATCCTCTTCGGCCCAAGCGAGAAGCGGCTTCGAAAGTACTCGTAGTACTTCAGGCTTTGGCTCGACGAGTCAGTTGCCGTCGCCACGTGGCGGAGTGCAGTCTAGTGGCAGAATGGACCGCATCTACAAGTCAGCCACAGTTCACGGTTTTAGCTCCAACGCCAGCGTGGTGCCGAATATACCAGGAACGGCGTCGGTGTCGCAGCCGGCTTTTGCTGGCATGGATGGCATATTGGATCAGTCGCCGCCAGCTGGCATGTCGGTTGGTGTTATGGAAGATATTTTTTTTGGTCGTAGTAGGTACAATGAATGCTTAGCTCTGTGCGCTTGTCTACCATGCATACGTAATACAATGAGAGACAAGTTGTAGTTTCTCTTCGATGACGATTGCGAATGCAGTTCCTGATCATTTCAGTTGTCCTCTTCTTGATCAATCCTATTCAAAGATTGACTTATTTCCGTTTCGGGGTTTCTTGTACGAAGAGATACCGAAAACAGGAAGGGAAAAATCAGCACCATTTTTAGGTCTAAAATCTGACTTCTCCCCGCCTCCTCTAACACCTCCACAAGCGACTACGACGCTCGACTCGCAGCATCACTACGGCAGATGTCGTTGGAGTTGCAGTCGGTGCGAGACGAGCAAGAGAAGCTACGGCAAGAAAACGAGAAGCTGGCTACGAAACTCAAACGGTCAGCAGAGGGACAACTAGGTGCCAAAGTGGAGTTCTTGCAGAGGATCTTGGAAGGCGAAACGGATCCTGGAGTTTTGAACCTGAGTCAAGTGGAATTATGCTTGGTATGTAACTTCAAACTCGATTATGCATTCAGACGCTGTTTAAAAATGGCATGTTCTTTAGAATGTGAGACAGCTTCTATTTGTTCTACTCCTTCTTCTAACCTCTCGCTACGCCGCCGCCTATGAGCGCGATGGTGCCAACGGCGCTCGTGCGAAGTTGCTAGAAGACGAAAAGGAGCTTCGAACAGCTGTGCGGGAAGCGTTAGAGACAACGAGACAAGCCCAAGGTATTTCCGCAGATGGAGCTTTATCAGGATTGAGCACAGCCGTTGGGAGTGATGCAGGTAGCGCTTCAACGAGTCCGGTAGAAGAGGGATCCGTCGTTTCGAGTATCGGCGCAGTTGAGACTGCATCATCTTCACCGACTACCACAGGAGACGGCCCTCCTCAAGGTGCCGATGGAAGTGGAACGTCAGCATCAAGCCCAGACGATCCTAGCGTCAAAAAGGTGTTGCGCGGCCTCGACTTGGTTGAGAATGGAACAAGAGACGAGTTTGTTGACCACTGTCTAGAACAAGTCGGGCATTTTCTGCGATGCAAGAATATGCACAAGGATCGAGGAGGAGGTGACGCACATGGAAGTAGCACTAGTGCTGGCCCTAACTACCTGAATCATAAAGAACATCTTTCCACCAGCAACATCAAGGGTCTGGATGTCAGTATGAGTGGTGGTTTAAGAGACCAGCTTCGCGCAGACTTCGTAGCTGCTCGCGAGGACTTGCGGACTCGTGGAAGACCGATTTTGCGTGGTCGCATGGTCCGTGAAACCCCTTGTACGGTCAAAGTGGATAGTACGACTTGGGTTCACGCTCTTCCTGTCTTGCCGCCAGAAGTGAGTGACCGCAGAACGGTAAGCGCGCCGCAAGAACACCTAGTGAACCCTGAGAACAAGGACGATATCAATCAGAGGATAGCTGGAATCGGATCAACAGCTAAAGGAGCGGCGCCACCGGGTGGTAAGAAAGGAGCTGCTGCTAAGGGACCGCCAGTGCCTGGAAGTGGGAAAGGCCCACCTGTTCCAGGTGCTCCTGCACCTGCTAGTGGAAAGAAAGGCCCGCCTGTACCCGGAGGAAAAGGAGCGCCTGTGCCTGGAGGAAAGGGCGCAGCACCACCGGCCAAGGGCGCAGCAGTTCCAGGCAAAGGCGCAACACCACCGGCCAAGGGCGCAGCAGTTCCGGCCAAAGGCGCAGCACCACCGGCCAAGGGCGCAGCAGTTCCAGGCAAACCCGGCGCTGCTGCTCCTCCAGCTAAAGGAGCTGCCGCACCTTCCAAGGGCGGAGCATCCACAGGAAAAGGCGCGCCTGGAAAAGGTAAAGGCAAGAACAAAAAAACGGGTTTTGATGAGAAGTCCAGCCAACAGTACATCCTTCCAAAAGAGCCCATGCGAGCGTTGTGGTGGACAAAGAAACGCAGCGATATGCTACCAGACCAACACGTCTGGGCTGAAGTGCCTGATGTTTATGCGGATCTATTTGTCCACTGTCCTGAAGTAGAGTTAAGGCTCAGCTGTATTGGGGTTGGTCACTGAGATCGAAGAAGCGACCCCTTTAGAGAACAGGGGAAAAGGAAGGAAAAGGGGAGAGCTTTGAAGGGGGTCTCCTCCGTTCAGCATCAGTGACCATTGAGTGCTGAGCTTTAATAGAGGAGGCCTTCGTAAAACGATTTGGCAAGAAAAAGATAGCAGCAAAAGAGCCAGCGAAAGGCGCTGCTGGAGACGCAAGTGGAGGAGGAGGGGCGGCGAATGTTATGACAAAAGTCAGGTGCTGGCTGAAGATTGCATACATTTATCTGCCTTATACATAGAAGTTTCGAACTCTCTCTTTGTCTCCTTCGTAAATACATCCACCCAGTACGGTTTCTGTCCCTTCTCTTCTAAGAACCAACGCAGCACCAAAGCGAAACCAAAGTTGTTGACGATCATAGATGATCCGATGAAGCAGGGAGGACTTAACGCAGCCTGTAAGACCCTTCCGGAGCCACAAGCATTGCAGCGCGCGATCTTAGATTTGGATGATATTGAAATCGACGTCAACACTCTGGAGTGGGTACGCCGAGACCTATGTCCCGATCCTGCGCAGCTTGCGCAGTTAAATACACTGCGCAACGAGAACAAAGGAGTACCATTTGCGATTCCGGAAACGTATATTTAAGAAATTGAAAGTGGCATTGGTATTGGTAGACTAATTCATCTTACATAATAGTATGAAAGGGTAGTACCATCAGAGACCAATCAAAAATCTAATTTCCGCTCGCCATCGCACACGTCCCTGGTTACCAGCAGCGCTTAGATTGTTGGTTGTTTGCGCGTACCTATGAGGAGCGCTCGAAGAAGTGTATGACGGCATACCTCGCTTTTCAGGCAGTGATGCGAAGTTTGCGAGAGAGCCGACAATTCAAACGGCTGTTGGGTTTGATCCTGTGTGCCGGTAACTATTTGAATGGCGGAACAGATAGAGGCATGGCAGACGCCGTGGACCTGGATGTCTTAACGAAGTTGGAGAGTGTCAAGGACACAGAGGGACGAGTGCTATCAAGATGGATTGTGGAGCAATTCTTTATGAGCGACGCGTTTGCGAAAAGTACAACGAGTAGCGCAGCTGCATCGGCAGGTGGTAAAGGAAAGACCGGCACTTCTGGGAAGAACGGAGTAGCAGCTGTCAATGGAACTGAAAAGGGATCAGCAACTTTTTCTACCACGAAAGGCGGCGACGCAAAAGGAGGCTCTGTATCTTCAAAAGGTGGAGCAAGTAAAGGTGCGGTGATGTCTTCGCCGTCCTCAGCTAGTGCGCCTTCTCCGATTGTGTCCTCACCTAGTGGCTCTGCAGAGAAGGAAAACAATCAGGAGGATTCACTCAGTCTCAGTACGAGTGGATGTGCAGCTGATCACCGTGAGCAGTTGTTCGAGGAGCTTAGGCCCCTGTTTTCTGCAATTCGAAGAAGAATAGAGCGCGGAGGTGATGGTATTGAGACGTTGTCGAAGCAAGTTTCCGTGTCCATCGAGGACTATGATCAGATAGCAGATCAGATAAAAACGGAATGCGAGAATCGATACGAGATGCTGCGAGCCTGTCTATGTCAATTTGAGGATCCAGCCGATAGTTTTAGGACCGTTCTGGCGCCACAGTTTGCGGCGGCTAGCGAATATGTGGATAGTCTCGTACTTTCTTGACCTGTAAACTTTTCCGTAGCCACTTTGCATCATGAGTCTCAGGGGTCTTGTCCCGCGTCTCTTGTCCCCTACGACCCTCAACAAATATAACATGTACAACATTACGCCGATATTGCTTGGCGGTGCCCCGCCAGCGTCGGAGCGTAGTGAGCGGCACTCGCGACTCTGTCCGCGCGGTGCCTGCAGCGCATTCTGCTTGAGGTAAACGAGAAGCTTGCGCGTCTGTGATTCAGTGGGACAGATGCAGCGGCGTGCACATTGCCGGCGCTGCTGGCGATGACGAAACCACACCCGCAAGCTGCTGGATCGTCGTCTTCTTCTTCCTTGCATGCCATTGCTCCCTCTTCAAGTGGCGGGCCCTCGCTTGGTGAAAACTAGGCGGGTGGAACGTACGCGGAGGCGGATAAGGTGAATGCGGCCGATGTGGAAGAAGAGCCGAAGCCCAAGCAAAAAAGCCCCATGTATACGCACACCGCTCGCGGCTCCAAAATGGTCGAGCCAATTGGTGGCCTCGCTGAACTGGATGACAGGACGCGGGCGCCTTCTCAACAGTTGGAACGCTTGGCCAGCTTGGCAGTTGCGTCTTGTATTGCCCCTGCCGATTGCCGGCCTTACTGTCTGAAGAAACAGCCCCGCAGGAATGCGGCTGGTTTCTTTGGATCGTTTGGCGCGCAGACAGGCGCCGGCCCTGATGCTAAGGAGGAGGGGGCCACCATTGTTGGGCCCTTGTTAAGCTTTCAGCCCCAAGGGGGCAACTACCTGACAGCAAACGAATCCGATTGCAAAGGGCTACGGGTATCGCCTCGAAGAAGGGGGCCTTCTTATGGTCGGCATTTGGTCAACGACTCGCCCGTCAGGTTCTGCGGGTTTTCACTATATTGAAGAAGTGGAGGCTGGTTTGGCCACTGGGGGCCTTCTTCCTGCTGCATTTCGGTTAGGTCTGGACGTCTTCACTTCGGCACAGCTGGGTAGTGCTTGGCTGGATGGCGGCGGATTGTGAAGGCGGAACCAGTGGCACAGAATCTGCAAGCCAGACAGAGGAGCACTTCCTCGCGGTGCAGTTCTTTCATTAGCCCAGCGCATGCGTCTAAGGTCATGGGACGCCGCGAAAGTACTCGGGGCCGCGGGGCTTCTTGTTCGAAAGTACAGCAGGGAAGAAGGGGGACAGCACTGGAGCGCTGAAGCAATCGGCGGCGCAAGAAATTCTCGCGCGTCTGGTCTTGGGGGTGTCTGACAATTTGGGAGACCAGTGACAGCGGGCAGGTCGCAATTGAGTTAATGCCGGAAAGCTGCCGCCGGGTTCTGACGTGGCTGCAGCGGCGCTGGGCGTGTGCACTAGCCAAAGCATTTGGGTGGGCTGCAGAGAGGACCAGGGCTGCAGCTTTCTGGTGTTTGCAACGAGGTCGAGTATGGGCGCTTCGCTCGCACAATGGCGACGGCCACCGCTCAGATTCATTCTGCACCAGGCTGGGGAGCTGGGGGCGCTACCTAGGGAGAGCTGACGGACAGCCGGCGCCGTAGGCTGGAAACCGTTCTCGTTCTATGTCAATAGTATGGCGCTTGTTATATTTTCTTTCATGAAGATACAAGACGGCAAGTACAAACTCGATGGACAAACTGCCGACGAGCTTACCCATTTTGGCGCGGCAAGAGTGGAAAGCCTGGAGCATGTTGATGCCCAAGTGCCTCGGGGTTACAATCTGCCACCCGGCAGCTTCATGCTAGAGCCGCAGTTTTCATACCGGGATGAGTCACGGTTGCACTCCGTTCGTTGCATATTTGGACTCTCTTACTTGGTGCCCTTGTATAAATCCATCGCATACACGACAATCCGAGGCATTCAACAGGCTGAAGCTTTCGCAACAGGTGAGGGAGAAAATGACAAAGCAAAGAAAATTGGGACGGCGTGAGCGTGTCCCATGAAGTTGACAGCTGGCGTGGGTCTTATCTATGAATCCAAAAGCGCGAAGGGTCTGGGAGGGTGGGGAGAGCAGTCGGCCTTGGTCGCATTCTCGTCGTTGTATATTAATACACACCCCGCGCCTTGGCTGTCCACTCGTCTGCGCGTTCTTATTATGTAGTGTCTGTTTCGCCTCTCTCTTTCTTCTAGCTTTGGCCTTTTTCTAGCGTAAGCGCTAGCTTCGATTGTTTTTGGCTTGTTTTTAGCAGGGCTAGCTTAGTCTTAGTCAGTCCTTTCTTGATTAGTCGCCGTCTAGCAGTAGCCGGCCCAACATTCACACTTTTCCGCTTCGAAGAACTAGAACAAGTTCGTAAGGCTGTCTGCCTCCGTGGTTGTACTTAACAAGACCAACTGATAACTGTTGGTAAACATAGGACGTACCTTTTGGAATTGGCTCATTGATGTACTTAGAAACAAAACTATCCTTGTCCATTTTCGTAACACCATCAGATGGAGAAAAAGCAGACGGTAAAGAAAGAGTACGAAGCACTCTTGAAGTATTTTACTATGGGAACTGTAAAAGCGGCGACGATGATCAAAATGATCGATGATATGCTGGTTCCAGGTACTAGTTGTAAACCAGTACCACTTCAAGCTTTGATAGAATAAAACCAAGTTCTGCGTAGACGTTCGTTGCATTGTGCTGGCCGTGTGCTACTTAGGTAGATACGACACTAATGCTACCGCAATCTCCACTCCATCCATCCAGGTGATCAAATCACCAACAAGCCGGAGAAGATGAAGAAGGCTTATTTTGTACCACAATTTTGCGGAAACCGCATACCCTCAGCCGATTCGGTCATGGCCTTGTGGGATTTGAAAGAACCTGAATTGAGGCTGGACGATAGTTTGGGTGGTAGCAAGAGAAGAAGTGGGCGCGAGCATCATACTGGAGCAAGAAAGACGGAAAATCGAAGGGGCATCCGTAATCGAGGCACTAGTTCTGCCAAGGCAGAAATTGCGCATAAAACGAATGACGCAGTGGATGAGGCTCTGGTTGGAAATAAGGGAGAGAAAGATAATTCTGGGGATAAGAATGCTAAGGAAGCAGATGCGAGCAGTGGAACTGCTAATGCGACTGGATCACCGAGGTCTAGTATTATGCCAAAGACTACATCTGCAGGAAAAGATGGACAACCAGGTGAAAGCACTTCATCTGCCAGAGATCCCGTAACCCCTATGTCTTGTAGGCGTCGGGGGTCATGTGATTTGCTTAGCGCACGTCGTCAGAGCAGGCGGGGAAGTAGGCCATCTACGTCGCAGGATCCAGCCAGCAGGAATACGCAACTCCCCACGCAAGAAGGGGAAGGTAGCATTGCAAAGACACCTGAGCGTACTTCGCGAAGGCGGAGCGCGAGTCGGTCAGTAGCAAGAAACGCTGAGGAGAGGCGAGCAAGACGGAAGTCTCAAGCCTCGGGGGACAAGGTGGAGACCAAAAAAGTAGCTGGTGTGGAAGTAGAAGAAAATAGAGATAACCAAGAGACAACTTCTTCTGCGGAACCAGGTGTTGCTCGTGGCTCTCCTTCATCTAGCAATACCACTGGACCTGGTACTACAGGCACAAGTAGCTTCTGTGCAGCGACTTCGAGTAATTCCTCCTCAACTAGTTCATCAACATCAACAAAACAAGGAACCGTCGAACAGGGACCTCGCTCCTCTGTCGTAAACATCGCACCTGGTATGCGACGTGGTTCTGCCCTGTTGAGTGCGAGTACCGCTGATCCTCGATTTTCTGCCATAGATGCTCCTGCTGCAGTTGCCGTGCCTTGTCCTGCTTCAGCTTCCACTTCGGGAGGAGGTGCAACTACCACTGGGAAAAATGGAGAGAGCAACAACAACGAGAGCGCTCCAGCAAACACGAGCTTGCTGAGTCCATGCCAACAGACGAGTCAATTTGTAAGAGCCACAGGGAATCTTGACGTGACTCCCAAACCTCGGAAGTCTGTAAGGGATGCGGTTGCGGTGTTGAACGCAGTGTCTCCGAGAAACGCCTAAGAATGTTGTTGCGTCGGGACAAGGACATTCTTAGGCGTTCCTCGGAGAGAAGGCCAACAAGGACAAGGTTTGTGTGATCTCACTCAAGAACGGAAAGCGTAAAAATCTTGCTAAATAAAGTTTCTTTGGATTTTTTTTTTGGATCTTCAAGAACAAGAGATGTTGACAACTTCTCCAGTGTGTTATGTTGAAAAGCACGGATGTATGACGAGCACTGAGTGTTTGTAAACTCGGTTTTTCTATTGGAATGTCAGAAAAGAGAAATTGAAATAGTAAGAGTAACAACAATCATTCAAAGCGCATCGACAGGGGCTCGTATCTATACTGGTTCTTTTCTGCTCCTCGCTTTTGTATATCGTGAAAAAAGTATCCCTATCCGTATAATCGCACACGAACCAACACGAAGACCACATGGCACCGTTACAGTTAAAAAAATGTCGATCTTAATAAATTGATTTTGATTCCTTATTTTCGTTAGATCACCATCACGATTGGGTAAAAATAGGTTACTTGTAGTTACTTATACTTGTTGTATGCTATATTGGATTTGGATGTTCGTCGATATACCATAGCGCTGTGTCCGTTCGTTCTGCTTGTTGACACCAACGAAGTGAAGACAGTTGCTCCGGATGTCCCCCTCATTAAGCACCTCAATATTTATTATGATCTTCTTCACGTTCACACTTTCAAGGTAGAAAATGTACAAAAAAAGACTGCGAGGGCGAGCCTTCACAGAGTACACCTGAAAAAGCTTCACTAACGTCGAAACTCTTTCTCTTTCTTGTTTATTTTAAACAATCAAAATCAGCGCACAATCGGTGAGAGAAAGAGAGAGAGATATCTTCACCTTCCTATCTGTGGAGATGGTTGGCCACTCTGGTTATTTCTCAGAATAAAGAAGTCTGTGTCTATGGAGTCGCTTCGTCATGTATCTACGGAGTTGTTTCTATACCTGTTCTGTGACAGAGACTGTTTCTTTAACTGTTCTGTTTTCATCCCCTTCAGTTACGAGGTGTGCTGCAAATCTTGATTGGCTTCTACCTTTCTAGTATAAGGTAGAGGCTTAGGGCCAGCGACGCTTAAAGCACTAAGTAAAACAGCCGGCTCGTTTTCCCTCTTTAGGTGTAAGTACTCCTTCATGCAATATCCCTGGTCTGTGACGAGTGACGAGAGATGAGCCATCAGAGTGATGAAGTCGCGTGTTTCTATCTGTCCAGACTTCCTGTTGTTTTTTCTCTCCTGGTGCTTCTCAACTTGCATTTACGTTGTTTTGTTATTCTACAACTTCCTTCATCATGATATTTCTGTGCAGGATCAAGACGAACATACTTTGCGCCACGAATCCCTCTGTAGAAGTTTTTTGAAACCTTGTTTGTTACCAGCCTCGTAGGTTTCCTTCTATTCGCCATGCCTTTGCTCGGCTCCCACCTTCCATGAAGTAGAGGTACACGTAAGTACTTATTTTTGCTCGTTTTACTTCGTTCTCAAGAATGTGCATCATCTCAGCATCATATACAACTACATAAGGATCAACATATACAGTTCTCCGCATTTGGTACTTATTTATGAATTAGGATAACCGTGTTGCGTGATCATGGGTGACTCGGTGATAGATTTAGACTTAGAGGGCACAAATAGGCCCAAGAATAAACAGTCATCGACTTCTACGAATGCTCGCAAGTCTCGTACTACGAATAAAAAGTCTAGTAAAAAGGAGGTTGGGAAGGATGACGTAGGAGCTGGAACGACAAGACCTACCAGTCCAGCTCCGAAAAAGCCAACTGCTTTAGCCAAGAAATTCGGTCCTGGACCGAAAGCTCTCCCTACGGCAAGAAAAGTACTGCCACCTGCTGTTACTGAAACTAGAGCAACAAGCGATGGAAATGGAACTACAAGCGATGATGACGACGATGATGAAACGTTGGTGGATATCTTACAAGGAGTGTCGACCCAAAAAAAGGAGGAGAATAATAGGGATATTACCGCTAATATTAGGAAAGAGAAGCTTCGCACAGCTATGGCAGAAGCACTAGAGGATGCTCAAGACCAGGATGAGATCAAGAGCAAAGCTAAAGATGCAGCGGGTCAAGGAGGAGGAGCGCCGTCTTTCAAGCCACCAGCAAGAGCAAAAGCACTGCCAAAACGACTAACTGAGGATAAGGATGGAGGCACATCTAAGGCTGAACAACAACATTCATCATCAGACCTGAATATTCGGCCAAGCGCTCATCCCGCAGCCCCAATGCCACCTAAAAATCGTCCCGTTCGACCAGACAACATCAAGAATACTTCTATAGGAATGCTGCCGCCGGCCTCGGCATCAGCGAAACCTTCATCTGCAGCTGACAATTATGTTAATACAAAGCCTAAGCCAAGTGCCGCACAACAAGACCAAGAGGATGATAACCTTTTTGGATCTGACTCCGATTCAGCTCAGGAAGATGTTGAACAGCAGCAAGTAGATCGTTCTGGAGGACCTTCCCCGAAAGGCGCAATCAAGCCATACGCCAGCATTAAAAATGTCAACAACAATAACAATCTGGACCGCGCGAAAGTCGACCTTCAACTCTTTCGTCGTACCGTTCAACAAATGGCGCCACCTGCAAGTGTCGAGAATCAATCTTCTTCGTTGCTGTTTGGAGACACTCCTCACGAACGGGAGTTTAACGAGATCTTTGATCGGGCCCAAGAAGCACATAAATCGGCGCTGAGGAGGAAAAAGCAAATGCTGGAGGACTGGAATAAAGCGCAACAGCAGACGCCGTTGTTGGACCTGTTACAGATGGAGGCGATGTTTGAACCTTCACCCGACGAACTCCCTAAACGTGGCCAAGTAGAAACTACCGAAATTCAGCATGCGAAATTGACGTATACAAAATCAAAGTTTTTTGGCTTAGTGAAGAAGGAAAAGGCAACACAGAACGAGCATTTTGCATTGGCGGCAAAGGGAATTCCGATATTGCGTAGTGCGCAGAATCGGCCTTTGTGTGGAGACTTGCCTGGATTCTTCATGAATGAGTGCGACTTGCGAAACACTAGAACGGCTAGAAGTGAAGATGGCATAGGCACGACGTCTGGTGGCAGCTCTCCTTCCAGACCTGCCTCCGCTATTCGGTCTTCATCTGAAGACAACTTAGAACAAGAAGTGAACAAATACAACAGTTTTCTACCTCGAGTCGATGACTTCTCAGCGACGCGAGGTCTCGATCGCAATGCGACAAGGAGATACGCGTACGAATTGATCGGTAATTGCGTGAAAGTGGTAAAGGTACGGCAACGCGGAGAGACGCATAAGCGGTTGATGCAATTTGGAGAATCCGGGTTCAGTTTTTTGCGTGTAAAAAAGGACGACGCAGAAGACGATGAGAATCAGACAGTGCCTTATTCGCGAGTAGCCGAGGTCTACCTGCTTCCTGAGGGCGAAAAGAACGGCGCAGAAGGAGCAAGGATCGTCGCAAAAAGATGCATCTATATTAAGGCTAAGTACAATAAATGCATCTTCACAGGAGGCATCCTGAGACCGTTTTTCAAGAGGAAAGCAGGCCCAAGATGCTGCTGAAGATGGATTTCTCCTACAGTTCTAACTCTATTTCTATCTATGAACAAGATGGACAACAGGAGGATGCTGGTGCTGCGGGAGGTAATGTGAATGCCACAAGAACTGGCTTATCTTTATTAAATCGTAGTTCTGCCTCTTCATCGAGTGGATTGGAACGTGGCTCTGGAGGTTCCGCATCTGCATCGGCTTCCTCCTCTACTAACGGAGGAGGAGCAGGTCCTTCCACCTCTCCAGACGTGAATCAAAATCTGGGTGTAGGCGTTTTCCTCTGCTTCAACTCCTTAAGGGATTGCGAAGTCGTTGTTTCCGCTTTAGCCTGGATGGTCAAGGATGGCGGCGTCAAACTACCAGCGTCTGGCTTGACTAGGGAAACGATCAAGGGAGAAAGTTTGAAACGCGAACGACCAAGAAAACTTCTCGCACAAGGGTTTGCCAGGAAATTGTATGCGGATATGACCCATTATTGCGGAGAAGTACAAGTGTTGAGTAGTTCTAGCACGTCGTCGAACGCTGTGGCTTCAGCTTCTGGATGTAGTAGCGCTTCAGCTTCTGGAGCCGAGCCATCTGGAACACCTCCATCTTCCCCAGACAATACCGTCAACTACATAGGCACTACCACTTTGAGTAAGCGTCATGGTCGTGGCGTCATGTACAGTGAGAGTTGCGTAAGTACGGGGTATTGGCTAAATGATGCACAGAGTGGACCTGGAACCGAACTCCATCTGGACGGCACCTCTTTCACCGGCATGTATTCTCGAGACTTGCGAAATGGATACGGCATGATGTGTTGGGAAGGCGGTGCGGAGTACCAAGGCTGCTTTGTCGACGGCAAGGCGCATGGGGCTGGGGTTTTATTGCGGAGTGACAAAAGCTACTATGTTGGGCAATTTGAACAGGATCGCATGCACGGTCAGGGGGAGATGATTTGGGCAGACGGAACCAAATATGTGGGTCAATATGCGCACAACAAACGCCATGGAGTCGGGATTATGGCTTGGGCGAATGAAAGCAATAGCAATCATGGACGAGAAGGAGGTTTATTGTCTTCACAAGGAGGCAATAAAGATGAAGAAGATGAAGATGAGCCGAAGTGGTCTCGCTACTATGGGGAGTGGGTGAACGGCAAACAGGAAGGTTTGGGAGTGCTCCTGTTGAAAGATGGAACGAAGTGTCCAGGACTATTTCATGATGGACAATTGACAGAATGGTTGGATGTGTGAAGATCGGGATTTCCTTGAAAAAGGCACTCTTTACACCTTGATTCTTTTACTAGTCCTCCTAATCAATAGTAATTTCTGTGACTTAATATCTTCCTGCTGCTCCATAAGGATTGACAGACTATTTCGGTATCGCCGATGGCAAACGAAGTTTGAGTTTTTATTGTCAAAGATGACCTGAAAGTCGGAGTCAACCAACGCTACAAGTAGATCAGGGCCAATGAAGAATACGCAGGAAACACTGGTGAGAAACGGAAGACGGAGCAATACAAGGCTTTTCATTGATTAGGGGAAATTGCATGCGCAGCAGGTCTGTTCGCGGCCAAAGTTTCTAATTGAGAGGCTTCACGAGTGATATTACACAAGTTGTAGGTAATATAATCTTCTGTCTCTATCATGTATGAAAAGCAATAGCTTTCTGTTTTGGTCGTGAGTACTCCTAGAAGTTGATGAACAAGAGTACTTGTTCTCTGTGGTACTTTTCATTTCTGTGATGTATTTTCACAGTTCGTGAGAGAAACAGGAAACTGCTACTGCTGAAGAGGCTACTAGTGTTGACAAGCCACCGATCGAGTAAAATTTTCTGTCCTAGTATGATGTTAGTATCAAAGAACAACAGATACGAACAGTTCGTATCTGTTGTTCTTTGAGGAAGCAAATGGTGGAGCCTATTCTGATTGTGAGAGGACCTTGTTTAAAGTTTTGATCATACCAAGAAACATCATACTTGAAACATTCTCTCTCAATGTTTGTGGAAGCGGAAACTACAAAGCCTCAAGACCTCAGCATACACTGATTTTATAGAATTTAGATTTTCACTTTTCTCTTTCCTTGCTTCCTCGGGCAGCAACTAAACCCCAAATTCCTTTGTATATTATGCAAGATTCCCTATTAAATTCAATTTGGATGAATCTAGACGTCTGCCTCGTTTATGAGTCTAGAATCGATCACGTCTGCTTTGTGATTTTGATCCATCCTACTAGTAGTACTTGTCACCGGTGAAGGTTTGTTGTACGTTATCCCTTCGTCGTACTAGTTCGTTGTCGTCTGTCACGACGTGAAAAAGAGGACTTGTAGTCCCTTCTGAACAACTACATCATCTTCTTCATACCTAGTAAATAGAAGTGAAAGGAGGTTAAATAAGAAAAGATGTCGGACGACGAAGGTGGAGAGCCTCTCGGGGCACCGTTGGAGGAAGGCTATACGAAAAAAGTCGGCCAGTATCACGACGATACTACAAAGTTTAGTGATTCTGCCGTCAATGATTTTCTCTTAAGGCTCGCTTTTGAACATGGTACTATATCTGCACTTCTCTATCCTTTACCTACTATCCTTCCTTTTTCTTTTCCTAGTTAGTTTGGCTCCACCCATATATATTCAAAAAGGTTGGGGCTTAGGTCCAGCGGCGCGCAAAGCACTAAAATAAAACAGCCGGTTAGTTTGTACCTCTACAGGCTTAGCCCTTCAAACAAATCATTTAATTGATTATGACCAGTAACAACTACACTGCTCAAAAGAAGACTCCACACTGTGAACAATGTCAATGTTCTTGTTGATGGATGAAAAATAGGTGGAAAACGCATGCGATCCATGCAGTATCATGATTTACTTTACTAAAGTACATTTTCTAATGCCTGACAATTTGGGCTGCATTGAGAAAGTGACATTGTGGAGTCGTGATGGAGGTGGAACCATTTATGTTGGTGGGATCCAGACCAAGTATTCCAAACGCGAAAATCCCAGTGCGAAGGCCATGATCGGTAACGAAGACGACAAAAACAAACATGAATTGATTAAGGCTCTCCTAATTGCATATCTTTGAAAGACTGCATCCTCTAAAAGTATGTTGAGGGGACATACCATAGTCGATCGCAACGACGACCATAGCACAAAACACACAGAGCGCAAAGACATCCGGCGGGATAGTACGCGCCGCCCGGAGCGCATCAATACAAACAAACAAGTGCTAGCTTCACTGCGATCATTATAGATACTGCTCAGGTCTCACGCAGTTGAGTTTGACAGATGAATTATGGAAATGGATAGCTCTAAACTTGTTTTGGAGCCTGGTGAATATATCACGCAAGTAAGTGGACGCTCTGGTGCTTGGCTAGACACGATTACGATCGTCACGAACCGAGGCAACACGATGACGGCAGGAACATCTGCTGGTGGCAACCCATTTGTCTTTAATTTATGGCTGCTGCAGGTCTACGTAATTTCTTTTATTTTTTCGTAGCTCCGTCCCCGAGTTGTACACGTTGTTGTAATGAACAACTAGAAGCACAATTTCACTTTATTCTAACGGGCGGTCATGTGCATATTCACTTTCTACCTTCTCCTAATAATGTAATGAAATTCATCACCCTCTAGCACAGGAACGAATCATGTGAATGTGAAAAATATTCGATCAACAATCATATTCGTCTAACAAATGCTGGCCCCAACAAAGCGATCACGGGTTTTTATGGCGGCTTCGGCATGTTTTTGCAAAATCTTGGCGTTCGGATCCAGAAATTGGATGAGGGTGCGGAGTGCTGTGCCAGCACGTGCGAAGAGACAACGCAGCCCTTGTTCGAAACTGCACCGCAAGCTGATGGTGAAGCAGAGGTGCTTGCGAAAAAAGCAGCAGCTGCAGGTGGCCCAAAGGGCGTGGCGTTGTACATGAAGCAATTCCTGTTCTACTTCATGGTGGCGTCTACAGTCTATGCACTTTCGACGATGATCGTCGCGATCATAGCCTACAACTCATTGGCTGAGGCGACGGATGAGGTGGTGGGAATTTTGCGGAACTGGTCCTTGTCCCCGATCCAGCAAGTGACAGTGGTGGCGAAAACAGTTAAGGCTTCCCCTAATCCATCCCTGTTTAGGGATCCCTCAGATATATGCGCCCCAATACAAGGGAGATACAACTGACGCCCGATACAATTGAGGGATTTCCACAGGGATGAATAGGGGAGAGCCCTAAAGCAGATGCCTGCCCATCGGGTTACGAGGAAGCTGGGAACAGTTGGCAAATTCGCACAGCCGATATTTCGGAACAACTAGGAGGCACAGGTTGGAGAGGATACGAAGGTTTGAATTCAGGTTGTGAGTGCTTTGATGCGAGGCAGGTGTGTAAAACGACGAAAAAGAAGGATCGCAACGGACGCACCTACACAGTTAGGGAATGCGAATGGAAAAACTGGCATCACAAAATCCATCTTTTAAGGCACTGGATGAGGATGTTTCAGACTCATATTGATTACTGGTTGAGGCTCTTCATTCAAAGGACGCCAGAATATGTTAAGCATCATCATGAGTAGTGGGGACGAGTAGTGTAGTCTTGTAATTAAGGGTTTCCGCATTACATCCCTCACTACCATCCTTGGCTCCTTTTCAAGGGGGAAATAGGTAAAGGGTGTTCATCTGAAGAAGGCAACTCGGCAACCTCTAACTTAACCTTCATTATTTGACTCCTTCTCAGGATTCTGAGGACTTGAAGCCAAGAAGAAATGAAACATTTTGGGCTCTAATTCCCGGTGGTTGCTCTTCAGAACAGGCTAAGCACGGGTGTAGAGGTGTCCCTAGAAAGCTTCCTCGGGTCTCTCTGCCTTTCTTCCGCGGCAAACGCGTGTGCGTGCAGCGTGGAGCGACTATGCCAGCTCTAGATCGTCCACTGCGTGAGGAAGGAAAGTGCCCGTCCGACTTGCCTCATGACTGTCAATTAAGGCTGAAAAGAACCTCCCGACACGTGAATCCCGTGGAAATACTGACGAGGTACGTATCCCGTGAAATAAATGCTAAAGAGCAGGTAATATTAACCCGTGCCAGAGTTTCGGGCTGTACTGAGGCAAGTACTGGCTCGAGTATTTATTTCAAGGGATTACTTCACGGGACAGGAGGTGGTTGGGGCTAGCTCTAAGGGAAGAAGGAATGGCCGCGCGACCGCTATGCGTCCTGACGGCTTCAGCATGTCCTATTTTTGGGGTTCATATGTTGGCGCCCAACGACGCAGTGCCAACCGGGTGGACGACCGTCACGGCAAGCAATGGTCAAGTAGCTTACTTTGATTAAGGCTCGTGATGATAACTACAGAACACGATCATGAACAAGGAACATCGTGATCGTGCGTTGTACATTTGAATCAATCTATCTATGTATATGTTTCCTTCCTTGCTCCTTGCCTAACCCAACACTCATAGCGCTGCGACAATCGATATGACGCCCAAGCAGAAGCGGACACGATGGCTTTTCAGTCATTAGTAGTCAATACTCATACATCAAGGGGAACAACGTTTAATACTATTTGAATCAATCTTCTCAGTCTCACGGAGCTGGGTGAGTCAGGTTTCCGGGAAGCGCATTGCACAGGAACCATAACCCAACCTTCGCTCACGGACGTAGTACGTCCCACAGCAAACAATTTTACTTATTAACATGATCAGGAGATAGAAGGAAAGTAGAGATGATCATCTACTTAAGTACTTCTCCGAGACAACTTGCTATTTAGATATATCAAAAATTTATCTTCATAGTAACAAACCGATTAGAGTGCTTCTAATCTGAAGGCAATTACAAAGTCGCATACACCCGAACGTGGCAGAAGGCTCAGGAGTTTCGCGCTACGCTAGCAAACTCGAACGTGCTCCCTCAATTCAACACTTGGAACATGCCTACGCCCGTTGTCGAGTTGGGCCTGAGTCCTTGCTTCAGCAATCCGCATGTGCTAGGGACAGAACGAGCCTATATTTGTGATATGTCCGAGCACCGTTGGATCGAAGCGGGAACGCCAGATACTGCCAGAGAAAAGGCCCTTGGGCTTTACGATGACGCTCTGAGTGGGACTCAAATTAGGGCTTTAGACTTATAACTAAAAATCCTCCATCGATCTTGATTTTCTGAGATATCAACGAACATTCTTCGAGCGAGAGGCGTCCACCCAGGAAGGGGGAAAAGAAATCCTTGCAGGATGTTGTATCTACTCAATGAATCCATGGAGTGGATTTACATTTCGGCGAGCTACTAGATGATCTAATTAAATGGGCCGATTCGACAGCAACAACGGCATTTTGCACAATGGGGCACGTAAACGCTGTAGTTCCAACGGCGGATCTGGCACTTGTGTACATTTTAAGCCTACCGATTCGAACAAATGGCGCATGGCACAAATGCCGGAGGTTCTGTGGAAGCAGAAATGCGTCAACGAGGGACTGAGCCGCGCAATGGTGAACAACCGACGAAACCCAGTCGAGGACTTAGTCACGTTTCAGTTGGTTCTCTTAAGGCTATTTCTTTAGTACCGCAGTTCGTGCATCCTTCACAGCATGATCGATCATGGTCCCTTTTTCTTTTCAAATAGGAAACAAAAGGGGGCAAGATGAAGGATCAGGCACGACCCAGCAAGGATGTCATCAATGCGGTAGCTTCAAGCCTATCTAATTCTGCTGATCTTCTGTATCCTCAACACTGTCGCGAATTTGATCCTGCTCTTCATGTTCTACAGCAATTTTTATCGGGATTTTGATTGGTCCTGTTTTCCGGGATCTGGGCACGAGGAGTATCAAGCGATGGAGAAGTTCCGAAAATATCTTGGACTAATCTTGAAAATCACGGTGCTGCCTTTCTGTGTCATTGCCTACGTCATCTCAGATGAAGTTCGCCACTTCTTTTATGGCAAGGCCAAGAACATGTTGAGTTTAGAACTGCTGTATCTTTAGTTTAAGTGATCACCAGTCTCTGAGGACACCTCTCACTCTCAGGATCAGGTGGTAAAAATATTGCATCTTCCTCTGGTTCCTTATGCTGTCGTGCAGAAATACGAGCGATGATTATATACAATTTATAAGTAGGTTTGTTTTTTTGTTTCCTAGTTAGGTGTGCTCCACCGATAATATAACAGTAGGTTCTTGTAGCAAGATGACCTTGTCCAGCAAGGGCGGTTGAATTCTATTCATCAACGAGCTTAAGATTCAACATTAGAGAGTCTCTAATTCTTTCTAGACGTAAGCTCGCTTGGCTGTTCGGATCCGAAAACGAACGCAACGGTATCGAAACTGGCTGACGGCATCCAGGATGCGTTCGAAAACAACAAAGCCGCAATGATCATGACAGGTGTTGTCTTCGCAATCGAACTCGTCCTCATCCTAGTAAGCTGGTGTCGTGGAGGCCTATTCGGAGAAAATGCGGAAGCGGAGAAAGAAAAAGAAGATTAAGGAGGAAATAGTTTTTTTTATCCTTACTATACTTCAAGCACGTGAGGACTTCAAGGACTACACATGGTAGGGTTAGTAGTCAAGGACTATTAATATAGATGGTAGGGTTAGTAGTCAAGGACTATTATACATGGTAGGGTTAGTAGTCAGGGACTAGTATACATGATAGGGTTGGTAGTCTGTCAAGGACTATACATGGTAGGGTTAGTTGTAGAGGTTTTTCCTTCATTGTATTCTTGCTTCAAGAAGTAGAACCAGTGCTAGGGGTTAGCAGTTTATAGTAATTCAATTGATATTTTATCACCCAGACAGAATCAGAAAATGTCCTCAACAGACTCAGTGTTGTCGTCCTGTCTTGACGAACCTGTGTCACGTACGAGGTCCTGACTCAGAGTGCTATCGTAATCAACACTTCGTTCTGCATCATAATTTAGGAAATCCGTCACGCGCCGCGCGTGGATATCTTCTTCTCCAGAAGCAGAACATTGTTTGTATCTCCTCCACCTATATTAATCAACTTAGGAGTCTTTCCATGATGATATATATCTTAAATCTAATGCAAAGCACTCAAGCCCGACACTCCAGAAGCACCAGATCTTCCAGCGCCGCTAGGTCCTCCCTGTGACATTATTTCGGTTGTTGATCTATCAGACACAATGCCTTTTTTCGGGATGCAAAAGCAGAGGGCTGCTGAGAAAAGGGACCAAGACAGAATAGACGGAGTCCCAGGGCATGAAGAGTTCCCTGAGCCAGTCTCGTTCGAGGACATCGCAGAGCCGAGGAAAACGCGCATACTCGCAGTTCAATTAAGGCTTCCGGGAATCCATCTTCAGAAGCATCTCGGGGCACCCCTCCAAGGGAAAAACAGACCCAAGACGACTCTCAAGATGGATTCCCATTTCCGGAAGATCTAATTCAATTCTACGAGCAGCCAATGGATGGAACGATGAAATTTGGCGCGAAAATTACCAAGAGAATGGTAGGTCTGCAGGTCACGTTCGAGAACGAGCAAACCAGAGCGGACCAAGTACGTTTAAGGGTACAGACTATCAATATTTTCTATGTGGACTATACAACTGAGTGAAAAAATTCCTCCTAATCTGAAGGGGAAAACAAACGTGGAAAAGAGCAACTCACTCGACTAGGAGTAGTGAAAAAATACCTCTAATACGTCCTCGGCAGTTTCCGAAGAAACTGGAGAATCGCATTAGGGAGGGAGTGAATATGGGCACTGCTCCCGCAGAGCTGGTCAGAACCCTATCAGCGCCAGTAGAAGGAAAGTCGATAACGCTTTTGCCTCACGAATATCTCTTAAGGCCGCTAACGATGATTGTGCACACCTTCAACTTGTTCGCAGAAGATAATCTTACTTCTCCGTTTTTCATCCCGCATCATTGAGCTTGTTAATAGAAGATCACGTTGATGAAGATGAATCGACAATTTCTTTGACCTCCTCTTCTAACACTCGTTTCAGTAGAGGGCTGCTACGATAAGGTAGATGGTACGGTGTACGAAATCACAGCAACGACGAACTTGGGGAACAGTGTGACGGCTGGTGCGAGGCCTTTGAACCACTTCTTGGAAACGAACATCGACAACTTTGACATGAAAGTTCGGACTTCTCAACATCCGTACTTCTAGTTCTAGTTCTAGTTCTACGTGTAATTATTACTTAGTAGTTGTAGTCTAGAGTGTAGTTGTCTGGATGAACGACTGTAAAGTAGGTACTAGTTTTCTATCAACAGGAAGATGATGTTAAATTTATCCGTTCGTGATGTCCAGTGCTAGTCGTGCTCCTGAGATGAGCATCTACTTTAGTAGGGATCATCCTCACTATTTCTTAGCAGAGAACTTTCTTAACCACAACGGGAACGACAACGAATACATACCTCTCATCTCTCTATCGTCCATCTCATCTAACATCGGCCGCCCGGATAAGCCAGCCATTGTCGGTTTTATGACGCAGATTAGCACCCTTTTTGGCATCGTAGGGATGGCCTTCCCCCTTGGCGCTATGCCTGCCTTAGCGGCGCAGATGGAGGCATCGGGAGACACCGAGGGTGGCGATGCCACGATCATCGTGCAACCCGGATTGGGGACTGCAGCCAATATTGTTCCACAACCTGGAGGTAACATCGTTCCACAACCTGGTATGTCGCCTGATGGCGCTAGCATCGTTCCACAACCTGGTAGCTCTGCGGATGGGGTGGAAATGACGATCGTTGCGCAGCCAGGAGCTACTTAGTATTAACGATGAGCAATTCAATTTACTACTGGAGGTGGGACCAACGCGTACCAACGATCGGGCGATGAAGTGTGAGGACCACCATCGTGGGACAACCGGGAGTATGATTTTTCATGTACGACGGACTAGTTGAAAAGTGAATGCCTTTTTTTTATGACTACGACCTATGTGAAGACTCTGAGGAAAAAAATGTACAGGAGAAACAAGAATAATTTCAATGAATCTACTTATAATTTGGGAAAGAGGGTATTATATTATCACTGTTAAGATAGATATACGATTTTGTCCATTCGCTGACTTCATTGCAAAAAGTATCGTGTTTCTGTTCCAGATTCATGATTGACATGTTCCTCGATTGTGTGCTGATCGGTGAGAGGTCAGAAAACAGCGTTCTCAAGATCGGTCAGTCGACATTTTAGCGAGCCTCCGTCTATCTGTGATCATAACATGGCATATTGTCATCTTTCGAAGTATAATCAGTGTCGTTTCTGTCGTCGTAAATGAGGCTGTGTATCTTCCGACAGACTGTTTCTGACAGTCTGTGCCATGATCAATCTCAACTTCGGTGCATAGAATCAAGGCCGAATGTCTGTGAAGTGCAATGTTTCCTAAGCCCAGCCTTTCTGGAGCCATTGGCCCTGCGATCGCAAGCCAGAGAACTTCCTACTACCTCACGACCGACTCCGACTCCCTACTACCTCTCAACCGATTCTGACTCCCTACTACCTCACGACCGACTCCGACTCCCTACTACCTCTCAACCGATTCTGACTCCCTACTACCTCACGACCGACTCCGACTCCCTACTACCTCACAACCGACTCCGACTCCCTACTACCTCTCAACCAACTTCGACTCCCTACTACCTCTCAACCATCTCTGACTCCCTACTACCTTTCAACCGACTCTGACTCCCTACTACCTCTCAACCGACTCCAACCTCCTCCTCAAATACCACCTCATCAAGGCCGACAACCTACTACCTCTCAACCGACTCCAACCTTCTTCTCAAATACCACATCCAGAACAGCCTCACATTGACTCCCAGATCCTACTGAACTGAACATTTACTTCTTCCCTGATTTATTACCTTAATATTTGGAATTGGAAGTAGAATGAAGGTTGAAACATCATCGATCTGGTTGAAACATCGAAGTACTATCTTCACCAAATAACACCTTTCTCATTATTGTTCCCCATGAATTACTTAAAAAGTAATAAAAGTAATATAAATCCTCAGCACAAAAAATAACGCCTAGCAATCATGAAGAACAAAAATAGAACATATGAAACAAGAAGAACAACAACAACAACGATAATTCATTGGAGTTGAAAAAAAGATGACAAAAAATGACACGAGGACGTGTGGATTCTCCGAGTTTTGACTTTGACGATCTGTCAGTTTCTCTTGACAGACTTTCTTCTCGCGCTGCAGACGAGAGTGCTTTAGACTCCAGTAGAACAGGTTTTTCAACAGAAGAGAGCCAAAGTTGCCATGGTGCTCTCGATAGCGCTCGTTCATCGGCAGAGAGCAGTAGTTCGAGTTCTGTAAGTGGACAGAGGAGCAGCAATTACGATCATGGGACATCTTCGGTCACTTCGAGAAATTCTCAAAGACGTGTTGTAACTACCACCAGTACAACTAGAGGTGGTGCGACGAGGTCCTTAGGAACATTGTCTCCCACATCTTCTTCGTCCAGTAGTGTTGCTAGTAGCTCACCAACCAGCACTAGAAACAAAATGTCGTCTTCCGCACGGTCGTCGGAATTCGGGTCAGAATATTGTGGCTCGTCGAAAACCTCTGTCTGCTCTTCGGCATTTACCTCACAAAACTCTACGAATTCACCAACTGCGAGCACTCGGAAAAGAGGAGCACCTCCTTCACATCAGCGAGACGAGGGCACTATGGTGCGTGCTGTGCCGCCAAGAACTGGCTCATCTACTTCTCCGAAGAAATCATCTGCAACTCCTACAATGAGTGGATCATCAACACATCATGGAGGTGTTGTAGCTGGAGGCTTTCGCACAGTCAACGCTACAGCTCATAAGGCCTACATGTCTCCATCCAGTGAGGCCAAACGTCGGAGAAGTGGTGGAGAACAAGGGACCTTTTTGTTTACCAAATCATCTGGTTCGTCTTCAGACAGTAGTTCGAGTGGAAGTAGCGGGTCAAGTGGCAAAAGCGGAAGCTCTAGTTCGAGTCAAACCAGCGGCAGTAGTAGCAACAAGAAGAGCAAGAGTAGAGGTAGACATGTTGACAGTTCAGGGAGTTCCGATTCCGGTAGCTCATCCTCCGGTTCCTCTAGCGGTTCTAGTAGTGGCGGGAAGAAAAGCATGAGTTCCACGTCTTCGAAGCAGTCATCTTCAAAAGCAGACTCCTCAAGTCCTGCATCCAGTAGCTCAAGAACAGCTCCTCCAGTGGCTGTACCAGAACTACAAGCACCAGCTGCCACAACATTAGCCACGCCTCAGGCTGAAGGGGAAGCACATGGGGTACCAGTGCACGAGACAGGAGTAGAGGAAGATCCAGCAGCTGAAGGGGAACAAAAGCTTACATCAACAGAATCTGCAGTAGCTCAGCAGGATGATGATGAAGAAGAGGAAGAAAGCAGCGAAAGTGAAGCGGAGTTCGATTCGGCGTTGCTGAGTGAGGACACAGGCGATGGTCGCGGCGATCTACACATTAAGGGCACCATGAATATTCATTCCAAACTTAAAACCTACTAAGTTGTACAACAGTGGTCTCTTCTAACAACAGCGCTCTGTTTCTGAAAAACTACGGAGTACTCCTTAGAGACGAGCAGCAAAGCACTTCTATGACTTCGCACACATCACATACGGGTGCCCGCTTCACGCAGACTATTTCAGCTGGCTGCAACTTCGCGGAGCGGGCGAGGCGTAAGTCCCTACAAGAAGCTGAACAGAAGAAAGCCGAAGAACAGAGAAAAACAGAGCAGAAGAAAAAACAGGTGGAGATAGGAGAGGACGGCAAAGGAGCACCTGGTGAAGGAGATCATACAAGTGGTCTTAAGAGTGGTGAAAAGGATGAGCATGAGTTGTAACATGTTGAGTTGTAGAAAGAAATTTTCTTTTGTTGTTGAATCACCCTCACCCAGTACAACTACATCTTCACTATCTACACTACCTACATATAACTTTTATGTCAGTCGCTCTTCATTTCTAAGGATCGAACAGCAGAAGCAGAAGGAGATACATCAGGCAAAGACGATACGGCAGCGGCAACAGAAGGGACAGCGGAAATTCGCCGCTCTGCACAGCAGCAAGCAGTAGCAGCAGCTGGCGAAGCAGCTTCGGTGATGTTCCAACAAGCTTCAAAAATCGTGTCGGGTGCTATCTTTAAGGATTGCAACACTGCGTATTTCATTTTCATAGCTGAATGTAGAAGTAGATCTCCTCTAGTACCTAGGCTCCGGCGTGAGAATTACATTGACATCATATAATATTCGTTCTTGGGCAGACTCTTCTTGTTGTACAAGGGGTTGTATCCGGGCCTATTACTTACGAGACTCGCAAGTTTCTAATTACCGCAAAAAGGACTAATCATTTACAGTTGTTCTAATACCTCCACCATGGCAAGGAACGCGGCGAATACCATGGCTAGGAACGCTCTAGCCTCTGGTGGCCCTAGTAAGGCAGAGGAAGCTGCCAGAAATGAGCGTATCCGTCGGATGCGCGGGATCGCTGGTAGGCAAAGAGTTGCGGAAGTAAGCAAACGCCTCTTCGACAATGCTGCTGAGAAGCAAGCACGTCTGAAGCAAGCCAAGGAGAAACTAGAGGCAAAGCGTTTGAAGCAGGATTTCGAAGGCATGCTGATCCGTACTGCAGCAAGGAAGGGGATGGGCGTTGCGCAGCTGAAAAAAGGGGATTTGGTGAGGTCTGGAACTAACAGAGACGCGAAGTTGTTGCAGATGTACGATAGTGGGATGGAAAAAATAAGGGAGAAACAGAAGGTACTGAAGAAACTTGTGTCAAACTTCGACGTTCATTCTCTATAATTTATGAATATCTAGTACTGATGTTTTCACAAGCAACTTTCAGCCCCTTTGAAGATCTCTATCTTGTACAAGATAGATCGCCAACACAACGTAGAGATAGTGTAAAAATTGCAAGTTAATATGCTGCTCATACCTAGGTAAAAAGAAGTTCTTTTCAACCGTCCTCCACAGCTGATGGCCGAGCTCGACCGCAAGCCGGATAATGTGAAGCAACTGGTGGCCGTTCTACGTAGTGATGGCGGCTACTATGACAAATTGCGAGAACAAGGCGTTTTTAGGACGAAAGACGGCTACGAAAGTCGCTACTACCAAGAAGATAAAGAGTTGCCGGAAGAGGTGAACAATCTGAAAGACCAGTTGAATACTATGGACGTAAACAAGCGGTTGTATGCATGGTCTACGGTGTATCGGGCGAGACAGGTATATTCGTTCTATTACAGATTGATTTATTGATACCAGCGAACGCAAATACTGAAAGCGAACAACTTCTTATTGCCTAGGTAGTAGTACACGCTACAATATAAGCCACTCTGTACTTCATGTTGATCAAAAATCATCCTTGAACCTACCTATACCAACGGCGCCTTCTACAGGACTTGCGTAAGAAGAAGCAAAATGACCAGGCAGACGCGGACACGCACGTAGTGAGGAATATGCTTCAGAAACGGTTGAAGAGTGATGGTTACGCGCCAACTCAGCTACAACAACAAAACTGGTATGAGAAGGCCTACAACGCGTACGTCATTCGAAAGCAAGAATTGGAGCACGTACTTTCTTCCTATGAATATATATAGTTGTACTGTCTTCCTCTTCGACGATGTACTTGTAGTGTCTAGAAGTACACTGTTTTCTTTAGCAGGGGCAACACTCTGCTTTTTACAATAGTCTACAACATTGTTGAAAATAAGCTCAACAGTGGATTACACCATCGATCTTGATTTTCCCTTTGCCATTTGCATCCATTCCTCATCACACAGCTCCGACAAGACAACGAGAAGCGAGAGATATTGGAGTTTGCTGGGCGCCGTATGGAAATCCAGAAGAAATACATGGCTATGCAGAAGGCTGGTAAGTGGCATCCTCAGGGTGTCTGGACTGCCCTTCATCGTGATCACGAACTCCGACTAGCCAAGACACATAACTTGCGATTGCAACGATCACTGGCGCAGAAGGCGATCATCCAGCAATTGATGTTACGAACGGATTTTGTTTTGAAAGAACTGAGTGAAAGATTGAAGACTGTATATAATCAATACTACATTAGTGCACTTACTACACTAGCTACCATTTTGTAAACGAGAAATTGAAACAAGAAGTTGTATGTCTCGGCTTGGTGCGAAACTGATAGATTCATCTCTTTCTAGCTCGAGATGAAGAACATGCTACTACCACCTGCTAGCTGGTCCTGGTTCGTATCTTCTAACTCCTGAATTCGCCGCCAAGCAGCGACAGGAACGCCGCAAGTTCCTCAACATGGAACTGCGAGATCGATCTACAGAAGAGCTCTGCTCTGGTCTCTACGAGGATGCTCTGCTTAGAGATCAAAGGCGCAAGCGGAAGTTCCAGGATGACATGAACGCTGAGCAGAAGCGAATCGAGTTGATGCGTGGCTTGCTCTATGACATGATGCATAGGAACTACAAGAGAGCCGTCAAGCTGTGCGGAAGTCCAGATGGCAGCCCGACCGACGGGAACAAGAGTGAGCTCGAGTCAGTCCTCCGTCGCAGAACGATGTATCCTAGCGTGTTTGACTATTTGCACGCTTCTCAGCGAACTATCGCGACAGTGCAGGAGGAAAAACGGCCACCGGTGATGGTTAATCCGGTATTCATCTTTACGGTTGTTTCTTTTCCTTTACCTACGATTTTTACCTCATCTACTTCTACGCCACCTGCTCTTGTGAAGATAGACTCACTGTGTACAACCTTTGTCTCTCCTCACAACACGACACAGGTCTTCGAAAAGCTTCACGACGAAGCTGTTGAGCGGCAGGCGCGTCGTGAGAAGATGCGTGTGGCCAAGGCATTATTGGAAGCCAGGAAATTCAAGCTGCGTCAGTGGCAACGAGATGAATACGCTCGTCAGACGTATGAAGTGCTTTGCGGGTCGGCTGGTATCGATGAGCCTGGCGCCAATCTGCAGGTCGATGATAAAGTTAAGGCTTCGTGGTTACTTACACCCACTGCCCTGGTACTTACTCGAATTCGGTACACTCCTCATGTGCCCTGGGTAGTACTGCACTACAAGGAGGACAAAAATCATTCATTCTGAAAAATAAAAATGAAGTGTCTCCGTGTAGCTATCTATGCCTAGCATGCGAAAAGTGCGGCAAGTTCTGAGTTCTAGGCTCAGACCGTTTTTTGAGTGTCGTAAAGAAAATATCAGTACTACTTTGGTCTTCCTTCTTCCTCCTCCATCACTCAGCCCGATCATCATCGTCATCATTATTTGGTAAAAATGAGATCGCAGTTGTCCTCGCGTTGTAGATGACATCCGACCTCTAACAAGGACCGCTACCTGACCCACATGCCGTTCGACAACGATTGGCTTCAGTTCCGAAAACTCAGACAGCGTGCTTGGACAGCGGGAAAGGTGATTATGGACGAAGAAGAGGCTTTGGAGGAACGCAAACGAGGGATCGCAATGCGCTCAAACTTCTATGAACAGTCGAAAGGACAGGGGCTGCGGTCGGATGAAGTCTAGGAGGATGTTGGGGCGTAAAAAATTCCACATTGAGGTCGAGGGGGTCGATTCATTTAGAGTTAGAAAATTGACACTAGATTTTCTCAAAACATCCACTATCAGACAAAGCAGTCTAGAAATATAATGTAAAGCGAACATACTTAAAAAAACGACCATACAAGAATCGGATGTGTACATAAATGATTCATAGTTATAGGGATAAGTAAGTAGCTGAATGCATCGATTTAATACGTCATGATCTGTAGTAGAAACTTTGAATAGAATCAACTGGAAAATTTGAATAGAACATTGCCGCTAAGCTTGGGGTTTTCGTATTGTAATTTTTGACAGCTTGTTGAAAGAAAATATGGCTAGAAGTACGTTAGTATTGCATCACTTGCATCAAAGGACACACTGTACAAAACAATCTTGGCAATTTCGTTTCGAAGAAATAGAAGAAAGTGTGAAGAACAATCATCTGATATTTGAGTATTAATCTATCGCAATAAACCAATCGAAATAATATACTGCAACAAAATTCATTCGCGCATGGAATCTAGTCATCAAAATCACAAGGAACTGCTTAAAAACTACTTTCGCGTCGTCGTGCAACTGTTGATTGGAAAAAAGGGGCATTTTGATGCTCATAGGGATCACTATACCGCGCGACTGATGAACAAGTTGTTAGTCTCAGCAGACCACTGGGGATGGTTGGATATCTGTGTTCGCTGTTCACAAAAAAATCATCTACTTGCATTCCAAAAACAAGTGTTCACTGGTGTTGACGTGGAGTGACACTTGACGGACCACTCTCGCATTGGATGTGCGAATGATCTGATGATTCCGTGTTGACTCATAAGCTTCTGTTGCACTGCTACGTATTATGAATCTGCCTGCCCTGCCGTGAGTCGCACAGATGCCTGCTCTGCAAATGCAAAAGCCCGCCAGCGGCACGCGCTAGCCTATACCGCAAACACAAACCGGACTGAAGTCCTTTCGCCCAGGTATTATCTAGTTGTTCTCATCATGACGGCCGCAGCGTCACACAGTTTAGTCGCAGCAAATCGTGTAACTCTTGTGTCGTCTTTGCTGAAAACGTAGCAAGTTAGTCAGTCATGTCCATTCTCTTTGGGGTAGTGGTTGCAGATGGAATGAACGATCCTCGATTTTCCAGCATATGTCCTTTCACTTGCTGGGTGTGTGGTAGTGCTGGTAAGGTCACATGTCGTCGGCGTGGTCACATGTTGTTGTCCCGTGTGATGGTGGCATTCAGTCTCGAACTCGTTAAGTCTGTGATGAAGTCGTGATCTCTCTTGTAGGAAGGGAAGTCCCTTGTATTTGACATATCCATGTGGTCCCCGTGTTGTGTTTTTGTCCTTCTACTTCTCCAAGAACTTGTTCTAATATCACGACTGTTTTCATTGTCGCAATGAATTGGAACGAGTTGTTGAGGTATCTCAGATCATTATTACGAAAAGTCTTACACACTTTAACTTTTTCATACCACGACTACCAGGCGTCGAAGGCTCTATATCATTGAGTGCGCCTTCAACAAATAAATAGAGTCGTGACTAATTTTCTTGGCGTACTAAGACAGAAACAGCATATTTACAGTAGAATACACTACAACAACACGACGACTGTACAACAACAACTCAACATTACTGAGAAATCGTCCACCTCGTGTCGTCAACGTCCTTGTGTGTGCTCTCGTCGTTCTCCGTGTGACACATCAGCACTTTGGTCGTGTGCGCAACCGTCAGTGATAAAGTCTTCAGCGTCAGTCCTGTCCTGTCCTGGTATTGGTCGTGTCAAGATGGTGGATCAGTATGTAGAGCAGAAGCACGAGCTGTTGACATGGAACTGCAGCGAGTGCCGGTGCGACAATAACTGCATTGTATCTAATACTTCTTTGTGGTGGTCGTCGGGTTGTACTTGTACTAGTAGAGTCCCGTAGTTGCTGCAGTTGGTAATTAGAGTTGTCGAAGAAGTAGTCGGACTTGTAGTTGAGGAGCTACCTCAAAGGCGCCCAGAAGGCTTTAGAGGCGCGATCGCTGTCCTCACGGACTCTTGGAGCGCACTAGAGCGACTAAGTAAACGGAGGCCCGCAGGCTGCCCCAAACTACCTGGCGCCAACTCAGCTGCGAACTTTTCCGGCACGCGCACCAGGCGCGGAAGTGTGCTCTCAGCACGTCTGAGGCCATGCTGGGACCCCTATAGAAGAGCGAGCGGGCGCGGCAGCTGCGCAGACGCGTGGCGCCGTGCACAACTGCGAAGAGCTCGGCAAAAAAGGGCCGGAAGATGGAAGAGCAACGGACAAGGTCTGCGCCATTTGCCGGGACGCCATAACAAGCGCAGGCGCCTACTTGAGACAGATGCGCGGGCGGGCACATTTTCTATCCATTGGGAGCGCCTCAGCGGCTGGGAAGACGCGCGGCGGGGCGCAGCTTTCCCCCTCTGCAGAGTTGCACCTGGCTGAGCTGTAGGAGTTCTCGGAAGCAGATGACGACGCCACTCCGCCTGTGTATGTCACCGAGGAGGGCGCCAGAAAGTCCACTCGAAGAGAGGCTCGGGAGCGCCGCGCCCTCGGTGTCAGTCAGACAGAGCGCGCCAAGGATGCCGCGACGTATGTGGTCCATCAAAATCAGCCTTCGTCTTCCGCTGCCCCGGGCTGTCCGGAGGGATGCTCTTCCCATGGGGTTTACCCTCAAGCACCCGCTGCCCGGGAGCTCGTGGAGGGACTTGCTTCTGCCGCAGCGGGGCCGCTTTGCTACTCAACAGCGGCGCGCTGGCATTTCCCCCGCGCCCCTTGGGGGGCTATGCTTCAAAAGCGTTTCAGTCAGCTTGAGCGTGAGGGGTGCTGACTTTGCCAGCGACGGGCCCCCGGGCTTAGAGGAGTTCGCCATCTTCAGGGGGTACACACATGCGGCGTAAAGAAATTGGAAGGCCGGCTGGGGTGGCCCGTCTATGCTTGTTCGGGCTAGAGCGCCTGAACCGCACTCACATCCTAGCACCCGGATGCTGGTCCAATATTGAAGAGGCTGAGACCTATACTACCCCCGCTGCGCTGTACTTCTACGAAACCAGCTCTACAAAAGCGACGTAGAGGGCGGAGAGCTGGCGGCAGCAGGCGCCTCCCGCTTGCAGTGGGGCATGCTCTCCCCTTACCCCGACTTGCTTGACTATATAGAGTGCTCCGACTATATAAAGTTCTTCGGCTGCTTCTGATCGTAAGGCAACACTGTGCCCGCGTAGACTGGTGACACGGCGGGGCTTGGGTCTCTCACTCCAATAGGGTGTTTACGCTAATGCAACTCTTCTCGCTCAAGACTGCACTACACAACAACAACTAACAACAACAACAACAAAAGGACTCGTAGTTGTGCTGTGGTAAGTAGGGCGTCCTCGTGTCTGTGTATGTCCTGTTTACGAGGTTGATGAGTTATTCTGAATCATTTGTCTCACAGCAACAGCGTCCACTCTCCGAAAAACCCAACACATCACCACATCTTTACCCACATTCAACACAGGTCGAATGTTATTGTGGCGCTTGGTTGTGTATCGACTGCGGGAATTTGAATTTCAAGCATCGGGATAGCTGCAATGTCAAGGCTTGCGGAAGGCCGAAGTGCACTGGGATTCCGCATTCCTTGGATTTCATTACGAAGTACAATGAGAAGCAGGCACTGCGAGCACAGCGCGGAAAGGGCAATAGTGCTATGAAAGGTGCAGGACGGGAAAGGGAAGCGAGGCGAGGCCTGGTTCCAGGTGGAGGACTGAACTGCACTGGAGAGAACGACTGGAATTGTCCGGCATTTAAGGCTTGAAGAATCAGTAAAAAGAACCTTAAGCTAGTAGATGTTGAAGATAAAAAAAAGTATCTATCAATTTATTGTACTTGCGAAAGTGAAATATTTATTAGATGAACAAGAGATTGAGATAAAGAACCACGACTCCGGGAGGACATCAGATACATCTTACACCCACTAGTTCGAACTTTTCCTTCTCTAAGGAAAGTCAGAACCGCAACTACGCACGACGAGAGCTTTGCAATCGGACATGGTGTGGATACGCCAGGGATCCTTGGAGATGTCCTGACTGCCATAACGAGAATTTTGCTGGGAGGTTCTATTGCAATCGCGCTAGATGTAAACGGCCGCATCCAGCTGCCACGGCAAAACGTATAGATACAGTATACGGAATTGCTTTTTTCAGCTAGTTGCAGAGTGACGAGGGCGTTCTCGTGCGAAACTCCATCAATCTCCCGGTGTTCAGTATTTCATCCACTTGTGGTTTCACCAAAAACCGTTCTTGTTGCAGCTTTCTTATAAAAAAGCCCTGTGGGCGGTTGCGGTTGGCACCAGTGTGCTAAATTCACAGTTAGTGCTGCTACTTCACTCTCTCCACTATTGTTGGGAGTATCGAATATCTTCCCATAACTAACAAACTTGTTCAGATGTCGCGGAGCATGGACAAGCGCCAGGTCATGCACCCGGTGGTGGCACGACTGTGCACACACCCCAGGTTGCTCAAGAAGGAGCAGCAAATGCACATTTACGACCTCATGGAGTCGCACCCAGTATACCAGTTCCCGCAGGCCAGAAGCCAAAATCGGCGCAAAACTTCAAGATGAGTACTTTTTTCACTTTCTTGTGGTAGATGATCATGATGTAAATGTATCTGAATGCAAGTAGTTGGAGTTGGATCTTGTAACAAGTACTATGTCTACCACTATATGTCTATGATGTTGTTGTCTAGCCTATGGTACCTGTTCCAACTCAAACAACAGCTAACGTCGCTGCCGGAACCGGAGGGGCACCTCTGATGGCGACTATGCAACCACTTTTGGCGGCTGACGGGAAACCTATTATGATCAATGGCCAACAAGTTTTTGTCGCTGCTCCTCTACCAGCACCTGCTGCATGATTTGGAGAGCGGATGGAAGTGGCTGCTCACAACAACTAATATTCTTGAAATGTTTCTCAACATAGTTGAATCGAAGAAAAAATGCGTTTCCGAGAACCTATCTTGTACCCCAAGAATCTTTTGTACAATTGAACACGTTTCTACTAGCACCACGGACCCACCCCCATTCACATGAAGATCGATGGAAACCTCTATGAAAACCCACTATAACGAAGGGTATCTTCTAGATCTAGTCATCGTGATTTATAGATGACAAAGATATTTTCATCAAAGAATGTTGAAAAGCACATATTCAACAAAGAATAGGCGCCCTTGGTATCAGCTACTCTCGTGGAAAACGAAGGACTCGATGATGGATCATGGGCGCGGGTCGAGTGATCGTTAATATCGGACAAAGCAAGATTGATGTGAAGATGAGTCGAGAACAGAGAGACATAAAACTGCTTCCAGCAAGCTGGAAAACACAGAGAATAGGCTGGCTCTACCGCTTTCTTTTTACGTAGGTATCGAGATGTTGAAAGCATTAGATCGGATTAGATCGGGCCTTTACTCGTCGTTCCCCGGGCGGCCAAAAGTTTCAACGAGAGTTCTTGGTATAAATAAACCAAAAAAGAGAAGATGAGAAACTGTTCTAAAAGCTTCAACGAGAGCTCTTGGTATTATAAAACCAAAAAAAACACCAGAAACTAAAAAGAGAAGATGAGAAACTGTTCTTTACTCCACCAGTTCTTAGGGTACTAGACCAAGAAGAAGAAAAGCATATCAAACGAAAATAAAATGGCAACCACACTCGAAGAAGACCCGGGCTCTCCTTCGGAGCCGGATTCGGCTGAGCAGGCAGAGGACTCGGCCACTGCCGAATTCGTTGCTCAATTACGGCATGCTTGCGAGCACAATGACCTATCGGCGATCAAGCAGATTCTCACGGAGAGGCCTGATTTGGTCGATTGCAGTGTGGACAATACAGGTTTCATACTAATATGTAGTGCCTGTTCTGTAGTTGTTCTACGTAGTTATCTTGATGTCCAAAAACTTTGAGCTTATAATTCATTTTTCGCCTGTACTGCATGCTTTGATATTATATTCATTATACCTAGTTGCTTGCACCAAATACTCTACGCCCACCACAACATTCGTCGGAAAGAATCTCTCACAACAGAGCGCACCCTGCTGATGCGTATGATCTGTCGGAATAATGCTGATATGGTATCATACTTGGTCGGATTAGGCGCCAACGTAGACACGAGGTTGGATATCTACCGCTACAACGCTCTGATGATTGCCATCGATAAGAGGAATGACAATCTCATCAAGATTCTGATGACAGCAATGGATGAATTTCATCCATATGACTTCGATTTGGGTATTATTTTTTTTTGTTCTCCTTGCTTGATGTTGATCTTCTGGTATGATCGTGAGAGTCAGTAGTAAGTGCTTACCGCATTTCTTCAATGAAAGGATAATAAGTGCCCTCCCATCGTCGCCAGGAGCAGGATCTTTTTTCTCGACTGATTTTCTCTGCTTCCTCTCCTTTCTTACCTCACTCTGTCCTTGTTGATGCGCATCGACAGGGACCACGTACTCCAGCTGCTTTGTTTGCTGTGAGTTATTTAGTCAGCTTTTCTGCGCGAGTTCAACTTTCTTTTCATTTTTCTTCTTCTCCATAGATGATATGACTTCCATTCGGCTTGATGTTGCTCTTCTGGTATCTATTCTATGATTGGAATTGGCTCTTCTGGTATTTCTTCACGTCGTTTCTTGTTCTCCATAAAGGTGGCGAATGTTCGCAGATGGTCCGGTTAGACCCAGAATATTGCTCCAAACCTGGCGCAGAGTTCAATATGAATGACAGTACCAGGATCGGAATCGAAGTTGGGCTGACTGCAGAGGGGATTCAAGAAGCGCTGTGCTATATTGACGACGCAGCTAGCAGAATGCAGTCGAAAATGCCGTCGAGACAAATCACACCGAGGGTACTTACTTGTAGTTGTGGATCCAAGCAGTATTGTCCTCATAGCTTGTTCATGGGTTTTCAACATGCTTGTTGTTGGTGCTCTCCAAGAATGTCGTTAGGCCTAGTTTGCGCATCGAGTCTCGTGTTATCCTCGGCTCCATCTTCTTCTTCACACCCGTTACTAAAGCAAGCCCTCATCTACTTAGGTTCCCGCCACTCCCCGTGGCGACGAGAGCGTTGCAGAGAGTCACAGCTATGGGGCTTTTGCAGCTGCCTACGATGCGGGCAGCTCTGTCGGTGGAGCTTCTATCAATACTGCACAAGTAGTCTCTCAAGCCGTCGATCCTAAGAGACCACTGTTGGCGCTCCACGCCATTCTGTTGGACAAAGAGGGGACAGAGCTCCAGCGTATATCAGCAGAGAACAGCAATATCGTCAAGCATTTTGCGCCGCACTTGATGCCACAGAAAGGCCTGTTGAACACAGAAATGTTGCGCCAAGACCGTGAACAAGCGAGAAACAAGAAGAAGTTTCGTCGCAGTTTTTCATCAGCTAGTGCTAGGAAAGCCAAGAGGACACCACGGCAGTTCAAGGCGGAGGGCATCGCACCAGTCGACTTCGAACGTCGACTAGCGGCGAAGAAACTACATGAAACTGTGCTGATCCGAGAACAAGGCTATAGTCCAAGAAATAGTGACGATCTAGATGACATGACGGGTGGCGACCGCACTGATACGCAATCAGTCGTGAGTCGTAGTGCAGTGTCGGCTTCCGGTGTAAGTGCGGTGTCTGCAGCGAGGACTAACAAATCTGCGGAGAGGTTAGAGTTAAGGCACTCACTGATTCATCTTTGACTGCATTCCTGGAAAGCATGCTCGAGTAGTATTCATGTGCTATACTGTTCAAGGATGCAGCTGAAAGATGAATGGCGGAAAGGTCTAATAGAACGGGACGCGTTTATCTTGGAGCCGGAGAGACATAAAGTAGGTTTATTCCTAGACCTGTACAAAGTGCAGCCTGAAGTGGCGGCGATATGTTTCAAACTAGAAGCGCAACCCATCTACGCGGAGAAAGCAGGGTTGTTGAAGTTCTTCACGGAAAAACCAGAATACAGCGTCAAAGAGAAAGAACATGAGAAGTTACGATTGCGTCACTAGGAACTCTCTTTCTTCATCGAAAGGTTAATATGTCAAAATGAAAATACTTCTCACAAGTACTAGTACGTTCTTCTTGCACCCTTGTCTAAGCCCTGGAATGTACGAAAGCGAGCGTGGCGGTTCTGAGCGTCGCTCTCAGAAAGACCGAATGTCTTTAGCGACGACGATGCTAGCTAGCACTGACGCAGGTCCTCATGGGCCTCCAGAAACGTTGTTAGACATGAGGACGTCCTTTGATCTGACCAACATCTTCATTGTGTCTCTCTGTAGAGAAGGAAATAGTAGGGAATTTGCAGTCCCACACTGGATGGCGCATTATGATTGGAGAGCATGCGGCAGTAGTGAAGATCAGTTATGAGGTTTGACTAAATCGTGGTAAGTGGTAAAACCCAACCTAAAAACCTAACCTAACCAAGTGATGTTGACTTCCAGAAGTTGTCCTCTGAGTATGATCCGAGTCCTAACCTAACCAAGTGATGTCGACTTCCAGAAGTTGTCCTCTGAGTATGATCCGGAGTCAGATGAGAAAATCTTCCAACATCTAGTATCAACCCATCATTTTTCGACAGGATATCCGAGCTCTATCCCCATCTGCCGAGCTCTAACCCCCGACGCCGGCCCCCAGGCTCCAGTTCCGGAAGACAGGTTGGCAGTGCAGGAAGAGGCCATTTTCCAGGAGATCACGAATCGGATACACCCTCTCGTCTGTTCCAAAAGCTTCAATAGTTAAGGCTCAATGTCGTGAACTTCAGAGAAGAAGTGAATTGGTTTGAGCCCTAAAATACCCGAAGATTTCCAGTCCTCATAAAATCCGTGTTTGAGCTCTAAAATACCCGAAGATTCCCAGTCCTCATAAAGTCTGTCTTCCAGAACAATGTCACGCTGATGATGAGCATGCTGGAGGCGAAAGCGGCACCGGAAATAGCCGATGTCGAATACGGCATCACGGCATTGGGATGGGCAGCGCGGAGAGGGTTTGATTTGTTAGTGAGGAAACTAGTGGAACAAGAAGCGGATGTGAATTGTGTAGACTTCTTTGGGAAAACTGCTTTAGCTGCAGCTGTAGAAGAAAGGAAAGTAAATTAAGGGTCGTAGTTTCCAAATTACATCCTCCAATACCATCTCTCACCTATTTCCTAGTAGGAAAACGGCTGAGGATGTTCTGAGGAACGTAAAAATTCTGCAAGAACCTCTAAGTACAAGTAGTGCGATACTTGCTGGAGAATAAAGCCGACGCGAATCACGTAAACCCTAGAAACGGAGAAACTTGCCTTTTCAGCGTCCAATCGGTAGAGATGGCGAAACTGCTTTTGTCGCACAAGGTTGACCTCAATTGGAAGAGCTTAGTGAATAAGGGAACGGCATTGCTAAATTTAGCGAGTAGGCTTTGCGCACACAGAGGACAAGCGGAGGAAGTCTTCCAAATCATCAAGCATCTGGTACTTTTCACTGTTTCGGATTTTTGGATGAATACGTGTCTTTCTCTTAGGGACAAATTATTCCTTGTTGTTCCTTTAAAACTAGAAGTACGCATCTACTTAGATTAGTTTCACAATCTTCCACCTCGTCAGGTCGAAGCCCGTGCCGATGTTCTTTCACAAGACGACAAATGTATCTCGCCCTTGTTTGCCGCAGTGACGAACGTCAGTAACGCAAATGTAGCGCAATTGTTTCTGCAGCAAGGTGCTGGAGTGGAGATTTTTGCCGCTGTCTGTGGGTGTGCCAATCTCAATGAGGAACGTCTTTTTGAGGCCGTAGATGAAGTAGCAGCTGGCCCGATGGAGAGCGATGATGGAGATGCTGGGAAAGGAGAGACTGGGAAATTTATGAAAAAGAAAACATGCGCCTGTTTCAGCGGTGAGAGTAAGATGGAGGTACTGATCTGTCTTTATTCAGACGACGAAGTAGAAGAAGATTATTATACATTCATAGTTGTAGTTCATGATGATCTCAAGAAGAACACGTACTTAGTTCAACATTTGAATACCCAACATCTGGATACTTATCCGAAATACCTTCCACCTGATCTCGTGTCTCCCCCTCCTCGTCCCTCTAATCCCTCCGACGAAATCGTCGACGTGGACCTTGGCAGTCAGATTGGACGACGAAATCCCTACTTTGACAGTGAGCCATTGCATTTTGACAACTTCAAGAAGCTGTGGCACAGCTGTAAGCTTGCTGAGGGGATGGCGGAGTTGTTTTTCGGAATACTCAAAGACGCATTTACGAATTTCGGGCTGCCTGCTGAGGAATTGCCACCCATAATAGTACAGCCACCACCTGGGGAGAAAAAAGCTGCAAGTCCAAAGAAAGGCAAGGCTGCTAGACCGGAAGTCACGAAAATTGAACTGGGACCAGCTTTGGACAAAAAAATATTCCAGAGTTTGGAGCTGTTGCTCTCCAGAGACACGGAATCGGCAATAGACGTGCTGTTCGACAGTGGACAGCTGCGTACTTACTTAAATATCATTATCGTAAGAAGTCAATCTCAACGTCTCCTGTGCTGCGTACTTACTTCATTAAATCGTAAGAAGTCAATCTCAACGTCTCCTGTGTTGGTGTTGAAATTGCTGCAGAATTTGATTTTGAAGGATGATGAGAATTATCTAGTACTCCATGAACTTGAACCATCACGACCAACAAAAGGAACACCAACAAACCTGACAGAATTCATCACGATGGGGGATCTGGTGTACATGTTTCAGTGCACGCAAGTTTTCTGCTTGGGGATCTGTAACGCTTTCCTCATAGAAGACTACGGCTTTTGTGACGACACGGCTGTCAATCCAGATGATGAAGAAGAGGAGGAGGAAGAAGAAGACAATAATGTTAGGACTCAGCTGCCGACAGAGCAAGCTCCTGGACATGCTAAAACACTAGAGGAAATGCTCGCGGAGGCAGATGCTGCGGATGCAGCTGCAGCTAGGCCGCATAGGCCAACAGAACAAGCGTTTCAGGATATGTCGAGGGAGGAAGTTCTGACGGTACTAGAATTTTCAGATTTTGACTTAATAACGAATGCAATTTCCTTGTCGTCCACGCAATAATAGATCATTGCTTCTTCAGGATCTTTGTTGATCTCGTAATCGTATGAACATGAACAAGATGTAGACATCATCATCATCTTCAAGCAGATGAATTTTATTCCAATCACCTTTGAATCTGGACCCATATTGATCACAGCAAATCGTCGGCGACCCCACGGGCATCGGTAGAAAGCCTTATCACGTCTGGCTAGACGAGCAAGATGCCAAGAGGCAGCGAGAGCGGGACGTCTTAACTGCAAGTTTGAGACCAGGAGAAAAACTCAGCGATCTATTCAAGAAGCATGGTATAAAAACGGAGGTCGCGGAACCAAAAATCCGGGATATATTGCCACCTTTGGAGAAAAAGGCAGCGGTATCTTCACTTCTACTACGTTTTTGATCTGTTTTTAGGTTGTTGTAGTTTCCTGTCCCGTACTCCTGGCTGGATTCTTGTCCTGTTGTCTTGTCCTGCTGTACTCCTGTCCCGCTGTACTCCTGTCCCGCTGTACTCCTGTCCCGCTGTAGTCTTGTCCTGCTGTAGTCTTGTCCCGTAGTCTTCACTTCTACCACGACGTTCTTGTTTTTAGATTGTTGTAGTAGATTGTTGTAGTTTGTGGATCTCATCATGATCGTCATCATCTCTCTAGAAGAAAAAGTCCGTTACGATTCCACATCAGTTCGAGCTAGTCGAGACGCTTACGCAACGCACCTTCGGCAAGAACAAGTTGAAAAGGCTGGACAAGCGCGTAGGTGTGAAGGAATTTCAGGAACTTATCGAATCTTTGCCAAATTTGAGGAGACATATGTTTCCACATTGGACTCCGGGTGGTGGCCCGGTTGGTCTCTCCAAAGCAGCGAAAAAACACCAGAAAATAGCGAGGCAGCAGCGAGGACGGGTGGTAGAAACGCTGTGTGAAGAGAGGATAAGAAGTGACTGTCATGTTATGTGAAGAAGTAGATGTACTCGTGGAACAACAGGGGAGGTGGAACAGGGCAGTTCTTCTCGCCACTTCGCGTTTGTTCGCGAAATGATTTAGAAGACGCGCCTCAACCTCATCAATCATTCACAAGATAGGTTTCAAAGTCAAAGAAACAACGTTATAACGTAAACAAGAAGGAGGTTAAGTCTTACTCAACATCAACATCATTACTCATCATTTTCATCAGAAAGTATACATTCATAATGGCGTCCATGCGGCACTTCCATGATTTACATTTGCAGTTTGACGTCAGCATCGAAATGAACAGGTGGGAGTTCATATCAGAGATTCCATTGATTTAGTTTTATGCGTAACAGGCTGATCATCCAGTACACACTAGAACGATCTAGAAACGTACACACACTGCATAAGTTCATGCACCACGTGCCCCATTTTATCATCATCGGTCCCCATTTCATCATCCCCATTACCTTTCCCTAGTAGTCGCCCCCCTGCTTCAAAATGTTTCCGATGACAAATGCATACTGAGCTTGATTTTTCAGGTAATAAATTTATCGTAGACGAACTCAATTTACTTGTTCATAGGCTAACAATCAGTATATTTCAGCGTTTTAAGAAATCTCCAAATCCAAATCCAAAAGAACAGAATGAACTAGTCAATCACGACGTATTTTGATCTCCACTAGCACGCATAGGAATGAACAGTCGAAGAAGAAGAAGAAGAAGAAGAACAAAATCGTGAATATTCCACCGATTCGATCCTCATCCTTTTAGATAGCAGATTAGTTTCCAAGTTTCCAACTATTCCACCCATAGCAGAACATGCAGTAGAGGTTTACGAAGTTGTTAGTACTAGTTGATGTTTCAGTTTCTTTCCTATCCACCGTGCATCGATGTGAAAAGCTTCCGACTTTTACAACGGATCATGTGCCTGGGTATTATGAGGCCACGTTGTGCTGGCATTGCGCCGCATTTCAACCAGCCTTTGGTCGCCAATTTGCAAGGATTTGTGAGAGTGTCACGTTGATGTGAAGTCGAAAGTTATATGCGGCAAAGAGCGCCCGGCCCAGCAGGTTTTAAGCCAAAGAATGCACAGTTGTGAGCATGAGTTTGTCTCCTCTTGGACCTGTTTTTTTCAATCGTGTGTTCCTTCAAAAAAATGGTGAGGCTTTTTATCTAAACTGCACCAGCTATTCATTTTGATGATCTATGACGGACGTTTCGCGTTCCCCTTTCGTGATTTCCAATGATCGCCTGACGGGTTGGCAAAATTTCTCTACAATAATGGATCGATAACGCACTCTTTTGAACTGATTCAGTAGACTTTGATCGTGGTGTGAGCACGGAAAACATCATGTTCGAATTCGAGGAGTTGCCGCACAAGCGTGCGACTCCGGACGACGTACTCCTGACTTTACTGAGAAATGCGACAGAAGTAAAAATGCCTTCGAGCAGGACAAAATTGGAACATCAACAACGAGGACCAACGAAAACTGCTGCTAGTACAGCAGCACTCGACGAAGCAGATGAACTTTGGGAGGTTTGGAAAAGGATCCTCCTCTTTGTGGATTCGTGTAAAAAGAGTCCTCCAGGAGCTGGCTTTCCGGACGCCCTGAGACCACCAGATATACCGATTGGATTGGGAAACCTCGTGTATGTATATCCTCAGGAGCAGAATGGTAGTACCGGAGATTACAATTATGCGATCGTCGCGAAGAACTACGAAGTAAAAAATGGAGCGGCACCACAAGAAAAACCAGGTTCAGTACGAGCAGAAGGAGCTGCTGCGCCTGGGCTTCTCTCTGCGCCTGGGCTTCTCTATCCCTCCGATCCTTTAATCGAGGCAATCGAAACTGGTGCTTCTAGACTGGTGAGATTGCAAAATGGAGGAGCAGCCCAAACGACTTTCTGGGAAATTTATAAGCTCTTGTCACGTGCAGCCTGTCAGTCAATGGAAGTTGGCCTGTCCACGCAAATGCTACCTCTGCGAAGGTGTTGTAGTTCACCTACTCCTGGAAGGACAACTGGCATCGTTCCTAAAGATGCACAAGATGGATCATACGCCGCCTACAATCAAAAGAATTTTCCCTCCCCATGTGATGTGTCATCCACAGAATACAGAAACACGCGTTATCGCACAACCGAGTTCGTGTGTGAGGAATACGCGCATCGCGTGGCGCGTGCATTGGCGCTGATACGGGAAAGTATCGAAAAAGCAGAAGATCCTGAGCTCTGCTTGATTGGTCTTGACGAAGACCGCTATGCCATACGTTTTTGCGCTTTAGCCGTGGACGGTTGGGATGAACAATGTGAACATGAGAGTTCGCGCGTAGCACGTGGAAGTAACTTGCCGAGTGAACAGTCAAGGGTGATCCCTATGGGCGACGCAAGGAAACAAACACAAAGCCATGATTTTTCAGGTGGTGGTGGTGGATTGGGAGTAATATCGACTGCTTTTCAACTCGGCGCACTCTTTGCTCCAACACCATTGCTGAGAACTGTCTCGAATGCAGTGACAGCAATTGCTGGTAGCCTTGATCGTGTTGTTACTTGGCTCAACGACGTGTCCTCTAGTGGGTCGGGCTCGGGGTCTGCTGGAACAATAGCGAATGCTGCTGGTCGTATTATTTTGCCTGGTGGAGGTGGAGGAGTGGGTGGACACATCAACACAGCAGCTGTCAACCAAGCAGAAAGTGTACACCATCACGATCATGATGTTATACGTTACCAAATGAAGATGAAAAGTAGGCAGCAGGGTTCCTCCGTCTTGGCCACAGCTACGCAGCATCTCTGCAGCTCAATTGTGCAGAGCGTTTTCCGGTACACGGGTGACCTATGGTGCTCACGCACCTTTTTCGTCACTTTATGAAGAACTTTAAGTTCATCTTTCAGCCTAGTTGACTTTCTATCTATTCGTTCGGCCTTCTTGCTCAGCTCGCTCAGTTGTAGGTTGCTGTTCGTTCTTTCCAAATTTTCCCTCTCTAATCAAGGTAGAACAAGCTTTGCGCGTTCTGAAAACTGACCCGCTTCTTTTCCTCGTCCGAGTGTCAGAGTTGCGACCGTGCAAATTAGAGGCCAAGTTCGTGTCTATGTCGATGCTCTTAAGGCTACAGCCGTGCCGTCGAGGTGAACCCATTTCTTAATACCAGTACTACCGCATCTTTTAGCCATTTCCTTCTTCGGAATCACGTAGAAAGAACTAAAAGATGCTCTAAGAACTAAGTCTGAGAACAACCAAGTATAAAGGTTGTTCTTGATGGAACGACAACTTTTAATGTAAGAGAAGGGAGTGCGCCGTCTTCTTCTTGCGCCGCATCAGAAAGTACATCAAGATCCTTCCCGGTTCGACACCTTGTGCCTTGAAAAAAGATGGTCCCGTGGTGAAGGGGCAGCTGAGATCCTGCGACGGAGTCTTTTTCTGCTTCAAAGGATTGGAAGTTTGATTTCTGTAGAGGATGTATCAAATACTAGTACCATGCGTAGCAAAGACCAGGAGGAGGAGAAAAAAGAAGCCGTGTTTCACTTCGCTCTGGAATCTGCAGAAGCGCTAGTAGAGTCTGCGCCTTTTTGCCTGCTCACAGCTGCCTTCTTGCTGCGACAAGACGAAATTAAGGCAGATGGTTTCTTGATACACTTACACTAATTCTTTGTAGCTAGCTTTCTGATTGGTCGTTCACTTGATCTTCATCTACAGATAAAGTTTTAAGTACGTCGTTTTTAATGATATTAGTACCTGAATCTTCAGGCTGAACATGTAACCGATGACATGCTTGCGATAATCTATGCCAAAGAGAAACTACAGCAACGACAGGTGGGACCTCGACTACGCGTCGCACGCCGTCGTGGATTGTGAACGTTGGACGAAAGAGCAGAACAACTTTGCTTCGTATGGCGTTCGAGAATTTTGTTTCGTATGCGTTATCAAGCAGTGTAGTTGAAAGAATAGTTAAGGGTAGGTTAAAGGTGCTTTTCTTACCGCTTTTTATGCCTCTCCTAAGGGAGAAAGGCATAAAAAGCGGGGTAAGCGAGCACCAACAACCTACCTCTAAAATAGGTGAACAAGAACAACAGGTGGAAGTTCCTGCGATATATCTAGCTCTTCTGTGTGCTTGGAGTGACATTGCCGATGTGCGTCAGTGCTTAGGCGACGGACCTTGGCATTGGGTCCCAACTCTGATTGATGCAGTTTGGAAGTGCATCAGCTTAGCCACAAGCCCCTCATTAGACCAAGGACGATCCGGGGCTTTTTTGACAATTAAGGCTACACTTGCAGCTACAGATAATCATAATCCATCTTCAACCAGGGATATTGATTCTAGACTTAGAGGATGAGTTAGTGTCCCTCTTTATCTTCTGCATTTGCATGGCTGCTCGTTGGGCCACTACGTGCACTACCTCTTCTAAATCAGTGTATCAGTCTGACCTCGCGGAGCTATTTGGGATTTTGCTGGTACAATACGGGGACACTTTTGAGCACGCGCCTCTCGCTTTGCAAGGGTTTTGCGAAGAACACTTCTGGGTCCAAGTACGGTCTCAAGGAGGAGGCAACATGATTAGCAGATTTTATGAGGAAGATGAAGTTGAAGATGAGATTTTATACACAGTTTGTTTCAAGAAAGCTGCAGGAAACATTCTCGTTTGCCGCTGACCAGGTTCCTCCGATTGAAATCTGTCTGGAAGAAAGCAAGAATCAATTGAGTAGTTTCCTATTGTTGCAGTACATGATATCGAATGTGCGTTTTGTTAGTGTGGTAGTATTGAAGGTTTTTCCCTCTAACTTCTCTACGAACAAGAAAACCTCAATGCAGATGATTATTCTATGAGACCGAACGTGGAAGTGATAACTACGACCACGGAGTTCGCTCGACTGATGCAGGAAAACCTACTGCCTGAGCCTGTCGCGGTAGACGAAAGTATTGCATTGACTGGGTCGAAAACTCCTGTTATGCACGAAGGAGAACGAAACCGAACAGGAACAAGCGGAAGCGATAGAAATATATCACTTTCGAAGAGGACCACATCACCTGCGCAACAACGAACTGCTTTCCTGGTTGTGATGGTAGTTGCACGCACCGCGCTACAGCAACAATCCCCCATAATGTCTTCTAAAGTTATGAAGCCAAAGTCTCTTATCATTATCGAGCTTCTCAAGTAGAAAACTGTGACAAGACGAGTGATAATCATGGGTTTTGGTTTCATAGATGTTGCTGCAGCATTGCTTTATTCTGTTTGCCATATGCACCATTCGCGAATCGACACTGGTGAGTACCGTGCCCTACTGGCCTCGCTGATCCGCATCGAAGCTGGATCCTACGCTGAAAGTGTAGACGATTTCTTGATGCAGTTTTATCAACCTTTGATTGCATTTGCAACGGGAACATTAAGGGTAGGCTAAAGGTGCTTTTGTTACCGTTTGTTATGGCTCTCCTAAGGGGGACAGCCATAACAAGCGGGAAAAACGAACACCAACAACCTACCTCTAAGAACAACAAGAGGCCCACCACCGGGGCAACCTCCACAGAAGACACTTCAGTCTCTACCATTTACGCCATCAGCTCTTATGGATCGTTTTGAGTGTCTCATAACCATCCTATGCAGCAGTAGCATAAGACGCACAGCACACAGCATGAACTACATGTTCTCGAAAAGTGTAGTACAGCAGGAGGACAAGAAGGAGCAAGAGCAACCAGCAGAGGTCAACATGCACGACTTAATCTGCAGTCCAGTATTCGTCTCTATAGCACTTGATTGCATTAGGCGCGCAGCGGAACCGGAAATCAAGAAAATTGACAACACCATGAGCCCTCGTCGCTTCGTTTCTATAGTTCTGCAGTTGCACAACTTCTTTGCCGCGCGTTTGGTCGTATGGAGGACAAATAAAGGCTCCTTGTCACCACATCAAATGCCTCACTTTCTTAGGGAGTACCTTGAAGTTTCCATAAGATTTTGCAGACAAGACACTGCAGGAGCCTTCGCACCTTCGCTTCTGCTAGCCTGTGAAGTCTCGGAATTGCTAGATCTTGCCCTCACGAGGCTTTTAGGTAGGTTGGAACAGAGTCTATCTTCTATTGCAGCTCTTGAGAAGAGTGAACAAGGTGGTGAAGAACGTGATGTTGGAGAGGCTAGGACTTCTAGGTCTACCGTACTCGAAGGTTTTGCCCAGTTGTATCAAGAAACTGATCTTCCTCCAGGAAAAGTCGATGAGCAAAGTAGAAAATTGTCCGTAGGAAGAAACTCAGCGGGCCTCTTGTGGCTTTTGCTTGAGGTTTCTCGGAAATTTCTTATCCAAGGACAGATTTGGGAGCTTCTCCTAGCGCGTGGTGGGTCCTGTGGGGAACTAGCTAGAGGTCCAAGAACCTCAGGGAGTTCATTCCTCCAACATCTTCATGCTGAAGCTAGACATCAGATTTTAGCAACTCACGCAGAAGAAAGCAAACTTGGAAGTTGTATATGAAATCGTATTACAACTTAAGTAAAAAGAGCAACTTCTTCTAAACGACCTTACTCAAGTTGCAGCCCGAAGCAAAATGATTACTTGATGTTGAGCAAATTGTTCTGTACGTTTCGAGACGTTTCAAGACTTGTTGCATTCCACGGCGTTCACGAATCTTCCTATCGGTAATTATAGATGCCATGTTATTCGGTGTCCTCCAAATAAACAGAGAGCATAATTTCTAGGAAAATTATGTCATAAAAAAAACGAGCCAGTCTCAGTGGAGGACGAGTGCAACATTATAACTTTTCTACTACGAAAATTAGTAAATAAGCGTCTGTTTTGCTCTGAGTATAATCATGTCTCGTCCCACAAGTTCTTCTACGTCGTCCAGCCGATGTGACGTTCATTGTTGATGTACCCACACGTTCTTCTACGTCGTCCCCGAAGCAGCCGATGTGACGTTCATTGTTGATGTACTTAGTCAATCTCATTGTTGATGTAGTGCCACCAGCTCTTGACGAGAAGCTACAACCAGAGCAAGCGTCCTCATTGTGCTCTGAATGTAATGTCTCGTCTCTATTCCAATCTCGTTTATTCGTCTTGAGCGTCTGTCGTGTTTACTTGCAGCTTCTGTCGAGGATTTGTGTTTTGAGTTATAGTTAGTGCCTGTCAGTCTGTCGTCGCTGCTCTCTCGTTTGATCTCCCTTCGTACGAGTTGGTGCGTGAGCGACGAGTGTTACGAGTACTTTCACCTCTCTTCCGAACTTACTTCACTTGCTCCTGCCGCTTCTTTAATAGCTAGTCACATGATGGCCTTACCTTTAAGGCTAGCGTTTGGTTTTTTGGGGCTTTGGATGCGACTGGAAGTCGGTCCTATGAAGATACTAAGATAATCGAAAAATCCACGACAAACGTATGATCATTCTGTCTCTTTCCGTCTCGTTTGTGTGTTGAGCCTGTGTTTGATAAGTATGTTTCGTGTTTGATAAGTACACAATCTGTTTTGCGTCCTCGAGTAGAGTGCTGTGTTGCCGTTTTGTTTCGCCTCGAATGGTGCATTACTTGGTCCTTCGCTTCTGTCGCTTGTTCTCCACTCGTTCTCCCACGAGTCGAGTGACAACGAGAGTGAGCTGTGTATATGTATCTTGTCACGCGCCGCCTTTCCACTCTTTTCTCCTTCTTAATACTAAGTATGTAGTTTGAACATGATAATATGGGCCATCCTTGTGGTTCTCGGGGCTTTGGATGCGACTGGCAGTAGGTCCTGGCATGGTGAAGCGGTACCCTTGGTCGTGTCAGGATGTGGTAGTCTGCTGCCAGTGCGAGCACCCACCCCCCCCCCGTGTACTCCTACCTGGGTGCCTGGGGGGTGGGACGCGGCCAAGGGCTGAAGCGTTAGTCAGTTATTTTTACTTCTTTTTACTCGTATGTTGACAACTCGCTACACTCGCGGGCGTTCGTCCTTGCTTCTTACGAGTGTTGAGAGTGAGAGTCACGTCTTGGTTCTGACCCTTGCAAGCTCTTCATGCTCCTCAAGGCCAAAGATCAATCTCTCAAAGACAACCTGGGCATCTTCACTTACCTACTACTATCGCTCTACTAGGAGTCTAGGTTTTGATTTTTTTTCCGCCCTCTGTCTGTGAGTGAGGAACCTAGTCTGTCAGAGGAATGATATAGTGAGTGACTGACTGAGCCAGTGGCTGAGTGAGAGAATCATGTCCATCGTCTATTATCGAGAGAGAGAAAAATCAATGTGAATTATGTCCTAGACACGAAAACTTGCTCTTTGGTATTTTCTCCCACTCCCTTTCCCTCGAGTACGTAGTAACTAAAAAGAGCGATGGTGCTTGAGTATGTACTAGTGTGATACAAAATTCATTCTGAATCAATGATCATGACTGATGCCTGTGCCTATGGGTAAGAGTATCTAAAGATGTTGTCTTCATCTTCTGAAGACGACTGGTCACACATTGTGTTGGTTTTTCAGTTTTTTCTCATGTAGGACAAGACAGAAGACGCAGACAGAAGAGTCAATTGGTACCATTTAGGTAAGAATGAAGTTCCTGTCAGTTCGTGGTAAGCGAGTAGCGGAAGCGCGCCGTGATAAAGACACAGAGGCTTTTCGGCGTAAAAAGCCCAAAAGTGAAGCTCTATCTTCAGATGTAACGTTTTTTTCGACGCCTTCCCCTGCAGCTCCTGCAGGCGGGGTCGCAACTGAGAAGCGAAGGCTAAAAACTGATGAGCATGAGCTGCAACAAAGTGCTGATCCGAACAACCCATCTAAGAATTTTTTCTCCGAGGGTTTATTTCTAGATGGGGGAACGGGCTTGGCATGGATGCAAAAGCAGGGGACGTGGGACGCACAGACAGTGAATATTTTTGCTGGTGCCACCTCAAACGGGAGTGGAGAGCTTGGTGCGATCACACCAAATAAGCCACTCTTTACTACTTCTCTTGGGGATGACGACATGAATACTTTTGGACACAAGAACAAGACCTCAACACCAGACACAACTACTGGCGCAAGTGGAAATCCTGATATGAAAAATAGATTTGGTATCGGTTTTGGTGGCGTTTTCTCACGATTGCTTGGACCAACATCTTCTGGGCATCAAGGAAAGAACGAAGGAACAAAGAACGAAGGAAAGGAGGAAGGAAAGAACGACACATTAACGAGGCCTGGCGTTGGTTTTATTGGGACAACAGTATATGGAAAGGGAGGACATATTTTTAAAAAATTTTTCCACCTGTTGTCAGTCAGATCGATGACCATCTTTTTGTAAGCAGCAGCTGCCTGTTCCTTTCATTGATACCTTATATTGACACATCTAAGTAGGCTGTGACATAGTTAGTGTGTATTAAGTTGTAGGATGAAAAAAAATGGCGGGCAGCTGCTGTGGTGGCCCTCGATGCCTATGACCAACATGTTTTGAGAAAGACAAAGAGCTAAACGATCTTCCTTACTTTCATAGAATTGCGGAGCGTCGCGCGGCCGCGGCCTCTCCACTCGTGCTAAGCAAGTTTCGGGTGGTCGCGCGAAACGCGGTCAGTGGTGAAGAGTTTGAAATTGAACCTGTGACACAGTTTCAGGTAGAAGAAGATGCCGCTATCACTGTTAAGAGCCCTTCTTGCTAATCGACATTCGACCACTTCAACATCATGATATTGAGCTTATAATATGAATACAACTCATACTAGAAGCGGCCTCAAGACGGCTGAGGACAGACTTCATATTCACACCCACTACAAGCACAATACGCAAGAGCATAGTGCTTCTCAATAGGAGCGCGCTATCTTCTAATAGTGGACGAGGTCGGTTGCATGATCAGGAAGAGCAAAATGGCGCGCCTGCGTTGGGGAATCATGGTCTTTTTTCTTAAGATTTCACTCCTCTGTCCTCGTGGATGAAAATAGATTGCATGCGCTAATTGGTAATGTATCTCGCAACTAGAGACTGTGAAGAAGACCACTCTCTTTTCTGGATAAAGATAATGCGCTTTTTCTGGATAAACCCTAACCGAATTTTCGCAAATTAGATTATCATGATGATGATGCAGTGTTTGTCACACCCGCCTACGCGCTGGGCATATTATCATAGAGGCCTTCGACCTCATTTTCCCAGCAATCAATGAATAAAGTCCGTCTATACTGGTCGAGGGCGTGTTAACAGCCCCTCGTCTAGTACCTCTACATGAGGGGATATTTAATTACTAGGACTGCCCGCGCTAAGTTGCAGCATTTACAGCTTCTATTTTTGACATCCGAGACGGCATCGCAACTACGCTGAGACGACGGCACGGAAAAAAGCACTGCTATGCGGAGCATATCCAGCTTCTTAAGCCTGAGCCAGTGGCGTCGACAGGCAAAATCTCCACAGGGGAAGAAGAAGATGCTTGGGGAGGTGAAGGCACGACGAAGCTGGGGGGCGAAGTCCATGCGCACCAGGAGAGTAGTAGTTTAGATCGAGAGGCGTGGACGTATGTATCGCCGGAGCAGCGTTTAGAGAATGATCGGCAGCGCAAGGCTTGGGAGTCTGAAGAGCTGTATGATTTTCGACTTCGGAGTAGCCAGGACGATAGCGTTGAGCCATTTTCCCAGCCCATGTCGTCTTCTCTGGCACGAAGTGGATCACTGATTGCGGGGCGCGATTATATGACGTCGTCGGCCATGCAGGAAGAGGGAGGTGCTTCAGAAATTAGTATTTTTGGAGCAGCAGGGCCAGCAGCAGATGGAGCCTGGTCCTCAGCTCGAGAGAGGACCAGCACAGAAATCGCAGCGCTTTTTTCACGAGATGAGCAGAAAGAGAAGGCAGTCACGCTGTGCGTTGATTTTGTCGTCAGGCATTTTCGTGCGTTTTCTTCGCGTAAAGAGCTTGACGATGCTTTGCTGAAGAAGATGAGGATGATGGCATACACAGACATCTGGATGAAAGCGCGCTGGAGTGATCGTCTCCCAGCGGCCACGAGTCCTGTATTCGACAATGGGCAGAACCAGAACACTGCCACCGAAGAGGAGCAGCATTACCGTGGCGGCGCGGGAATAATTGTCAGACACGAACCGGCGGCCGCAGAAGTTCAACGGACCGATGAAACTTACGGGCCGCTTCGCACGTGGGACGTTTCGGAAGTGAGGGACCTTTCTTATCTTTTCTCGCAGCAAGAACTTTTGGTGCCCGACGCCAACGGGGGCGTTGAAATGTACACGCCTGAGTCTGGACATATGACACGCGCTCGGTTCGATTTCCGCTTTAAATCTTTGTATGTGAGCGGGCTCGCGCGTGCGGCCCCGGATATTAGCGGCTGGCTGGTCTCCGGTGTGACGGACATGAGCTGCGCCTTTAAGGGCAACGAAAAATTTGACAGCGACCTCGCAGACTGGGATGTGTCTCAGGTCACAAGTATGCGCGAAATGTTCTGTGGGTGTCGCAGATATGGCTCCTGCTTGTTGTTCTCGTTAAGGAATGCCTACGCCCCATTTGATTTTGAAAGATATATGTGGGGGCGGATGATGTGAGCACGAAGTAGAGTAGTTTTATTTGGGATGTGGAAGCATTTAGGTGTGTATAATTTAAGTAAGTAAGTACGAGTATCTAAAATAAAAGGCTACTGGCTCGCTGCGTCGTTCGCAGACTAGTTAGCAGCTGGCTCTAAGTAGACTTTTCGCGGCCGCTTGAATCGTGGAGCGTTTCACGGGTCCGTGATATGCGGGGGATGTTTTCTGGCTGTTTGACCTTCCGGAAGCCGCTCGGGTCTTGGGATGTGTCTGAGGTGACCAGCCTCGAGTACGTCTTCCACGGTTGCGAGAATTTTGACGAGTCACTCGCCGGTTGGGACGTGTCGCAGGTGACAAGCGCGAGTAACCTTTTTGCCGGCTGCAGGAAATTCAGCGGGAAAGGGCTTGAGAACTGGGATGTGTCGCAGGTCAAGAGCCTTGCAGCCGCTTTTGCCGGGTGCTCGAATTTTACGGCGTCGCTTGAAGCATGGGACGTCTCCCGGGTCACAGATGCAAAAAATCTTTTCAAAGGGTGTGAGAAGTTTACCGGAGAAGGCATCGAGGAGTGGAATTTGTCAAAAGCACACGACTTCTCGAACCTTTTCAGAGACTGCACAAGTTTCACTGCGTCACTTGAAGCGTGGAATATTTCACAAGTGACGAACTTGGGGGGCCTCTTTCGAGGGTGTAAGAACTTTACTGGGAAAGGCATCGAGGGCTGGGATGTGTCGCAGGCCAAAAGCCTTGACGGCGCTTTTTCTGGCTGCTCGAATTTTGCGGCGTCGCTTAAGGGATGGGATGTCTCCGGGGTTACAGATGCGGCGAGGCTTTTCGACGGATGTGAGAAGTTCACCGGGGAAGGCATCGAAGAGTGGAACCTTTCGAGGGTTGACAACTTCATGGCCCTCTTCAAGAACTGTTCAAGCCTCACCGCGTCGCTTGGAGCGTGGGATGTGTCACGAGTGACGAGCATGGTGGGCCTCTTTTCTGGGTGTGAGAAATTCACCGGCAAAGGAATCGGGGGATGGGATGTGTCGCATGTCAGGGACCTCAGCCGAGCCTTTATGGGTTGTTCGAATTTAACGGGACCGCTCAGCCTGTGGGATGTTTCCCATGTGACAACAAGTGCGTGGGAATCTTGTGTGGTGCGGGTGCCGGGCGCCGCCCCGCATCGTGTTTACGTGTTCGACATGTTCAGAAATGCCCCGGCGTTCCGCTTAGAGCGCAAAACGCTACAGAACTGGTGCCGGCCGCGGCCATTTACCAAAGGGTCGACGGTGAATTCCGATACGGAGGAGCTCGTGCTCATCTTATGACTGTGTTGTAACTAGTAGGTAGAGGCACTTAATAATCATTATAATCAGAGTAGAAGTTTTTATCTTATATATATAACATTGTTCTATTTCCACGATTAAGTTAATTTTCGATGACCTGTACAGGAAGCTAGAACAGCGTACGTTGAAGACACAAAGATTTTCGCTCATTTTAAGCACTGTTCTTTTTGCTTCAAAGTTTATTTGATGTTTATCTTCTAACTCGTCACGGAATGGGTCTCATGGAGAGCCAAATAATAGATGATGATGATCCGGCTACGAGTGTTGATGCATCGCGACAAGGTGCGAGCGCGACCACGCGTTCTTGGCTTGACGCGATTCGCTGTATTGGTGCATCGCTAGGGGCTGGCTCGACAAGATTCGAGCGAGAAGAAGCTGCAAGAGATTCTGCAGCGGAGATGACGGCGGCGGTCCACCTATCTCTAGTGGAGGCAGGGGAAGCAGAAGATGAAGAAGTCGAGGAACAGCATGTTTTTACATTCCGCAGAACGAACGAGGGAAATGTGACCAAGAAGCGTGATGAGGCGAAAGCACAGCGATGTAATTGCAGCTGTGTTGGTGGACGGAAATAAAAAGAAACTTGCTTTGCAACCATGATCGGTTCTTACTGTATAATTTCCTCTCGCCAGCATCTATGATTGTCATTGCAACCTACGCGGAAGCGTACGTCGACTGCGTTGTTTTTCGTGTAAGTTCAGGTTCCTACTCATCCTCGGATTCGAGCCAGGTTTCCGGGAGTGCTCAATGTGCAGGATGCATAACGTAACGTAACTTATTGCGGAAATTGTGTCATCTGTAGCTTTTTCCCTGTTCGTTGTCTGCAAAGTCCAATCACAGGAGAGTGAGTGTCTCTGTGGCAGCATCTGTGAAGAGAACTCCCAACACTTTGAGAGTGCTTCTGCCAAGATGATGACAAGAAGAACGAGGACGAGGCGAGAACCACTGCTGCTGGTGCAAAATAATTATACCATAGGAGAAAAGAATGAAGAGCAGAGATTCTTCTGTAGTCCACTTCACTATTGTGAGAAGAACGAGACGATAGCAAGATCTGTCGGTGCATTGAGTGATTATGGTCTAATTCGGCGTCCCCTCCTAACCTAGCTAGTGTTGTTGAGCACTTGAGCTTGATGTATTCATTTCTGAGTAAAATTACTGAGTGTATTCCTTTCCACCTATCATTTTCTTGCTTGTTCCAATTAATTGATTGTTCTACGCAACTTCATTGTTCTCCTTACTTTCCTTGTTCATGATCTTCATCTTCTGCTTTGCAGGATCTTCTGCTTCGCAGGCACTTCTTTGATGATGAACAAAGTGATGCCTTCTTTCTCAACAATACAGGTTGCCAGCGTTGTCCATGATTGTTGCTTTTATTCGGGGCATTACAACTACAGAGCGTAAGTACTTACTTTGATTATCCTACTTATCGTTACCCATCGTATTGAACGATTTGCCTGTCACCATTATCATACATACGGAATGTTAATCGTGAAGTCGCAGATGCTTGGTCACTTTTTGTACGTGCAACAATCAACAAAGTTGAAAGCTGCTTGGTCTAAAAAAAGTGATGTTATTGTCTAACAGCGTTGACATTTTCCGAAGACGACCGGTCACATATTAGTTCTCTTGTTTTTTCTGTAGGAGAAGAAGATACAAGCAGATGAAGAGTCAACTGATGATCACTATAAAGAATATATGGAATGATATATTAGAAGATTTGCAACCGGTTAGTTTTTACCTCTATAGGCTTAGCCCTTCAAACAATATATTAGAAGATTTACAACAAATTATCACTAGTTCTAGTAGCTTGCTATCTGCTTGCGAGGTCGTAGAGCACTTGATCACACTTGTGTTTAGAAATTAGGTATCAGATATAGAGAATGTTTTTCGGCTGGGAAGCGGACGAAAGGCATCCACCGAAAAGGAGAGCAGGTAGGAAGGGAGCGGGGAAGAAGAAGGCGCCGGTCACTTCTTCCACAGGAGGTAAAAATGTCGCTGTGCCGTTTTTTTCGACGCCTCCCCCTGCAGCTCCTGCGGGCGTGGTTATAACTGAGGAGCGAAGGCTAACTGCTGAGAATGAGCAGCATAGTGCTGATCCGAACAAGCCGTCTAACAGCTTTCTCTCCGAGGGTTTCCTGAATGGCGGAGCGGGGTTGGCATGGATGCAAAAGCAGGGGACGTCGGACGCACAGACAGTGAATATTTTTGGTGGTGCCCCTAAATCTACTGGAGAATTGTGTGCGATCACACCAAATAAGCCACTCTTCACCTCCACTTCTCCTGGGGATGACGACATGAATATTTTTGGACACGAGAAAAATATTGGCAGAAGTTTTGGTGGCGGAATTTTCACACAACCTGGCGCCGAAGATGATAAAAAACCTCCTCCGGTAGTTGTGAAAAACATTTTCGGGGAAGTGCTTGGACCAAGATTTTCGGGGCATCAAGGAAAGAGCGAAGGAATAAAGAACGAAGGAAAGAACGACTCATCAGCGGGGCCTGGTGTTGCTTCTATCGGGACAACAGTATATGGAAATGGAGGATATCAGTGTCTTTTTCTTATTTTTCTATCTGGTTTCAGTCAGATCTTCGCTGATCATCTAAATTCTTGTACGCTCCTGTATCGGTGATCTATGGTCCAACCTGTGTGCTGTTGTTGAGTACCTGTTTGGGATTGGTTGAGAGTGTACATAGTACTTAGACTTTTCTTTATGTCGCCCTACCCCTCTGTAAGCTCTTCCTACTGTGCTCGTTCTGATTATTTATTTTCCTAGTGCAGGCGCAGGGCTAGTTCTCTGTCTGTATAATCAGTCACCGTCTAATACTAATTCTTCTCTCTCTATTTTTTTGTGAGCAGCAACTGTCCCTTTAATTGATACCCTATATTGACACATGCAAGGCTGTGGCACAGTGTTTATTAAGTTGTAGGATGAAAAAGACGGACAGCTGCTGTGATGGCGCAGCTCGATGCCTATGATCATCATGTTGCGAGAAAGACAAACAGCTACACGATCACGATCTTACTCACTTTCATAGAATTGCGGAGCGTCGTGCGGCCGCGGCCTATCCACTCGCGCCAATCAAGTTTCGGGTGGTCGCGCGAAACGCGGTCAGTGGTGAAGAGTTTGAAATTGAACACAATAGGAGCGTGCTACTTTCTACGACGCTGTTTGAACCGATAAGGGGAGAAATTATGATAGTTAGTAGACTGGGACTAGACGAGGAAGCGCAAGTGCCAAATAGGTGAAGATGGAGATCTTCATAGGTCACGAAGTAGTTGGTTCTAAGAAATTGAAAGCACCACTGTTGCCCTATGGTAGCTCCTGCGACTTATATTTATGATTCGACTAAAAACCTTACTTCTAATAGTGGAGGTCGATTGCAGGATCAGGAAGAGCAAAATGGCGCGCCTGCGTTGAGGAGTCATGGTCTTTTTTCTTAAGATTTCACTTCTCTGTCGTGGATAAAAAAACATAATGCGCTAACTGGTAACTTATCTTGTGACTAGAGACAGACTGACGACTGTGAAGATAGAAGACTCTCTTTTCTGGATGAAGATAATGCGCTTTCTAATTGTTATATTGTAGCGGCAGGGCTGACTGTGAAAGTGGAGACTCCTGCTGTATATCTATAAATATGTTGTTCCTTCAAATTCGAAAATTCATCTTGGTGTAACAGCTGGCAACATCTTCTCTACTGTAAAGAAGATGCATCAAGTCGACCTCCTGAAGAGGGGCGTCGATTCCAAGTAATCCTGTACTACTTTAGCTTTGAGCGATTTTGTTAGCTGCAAGGAATTTTCGGAAATTAGATGATCATGATGCAGTGTTTGTGCTTGTCACACCCGCCTACGCGCTGGGCATATCGTCATAAAGTCCTTCGACTTTTTTTTCCCTCCAATCAATGAATAAAGTCCGTCTACTAGTAGTCGAGGGCATATTAACAGTCCCTCTTCTAGTACCTCTAGAGGGGATATCAAATTACTAGGACTGTCCGCGCTAAGTTGCAGCACTTACAGCCTCTATTTTTGACATCCGCTATGGCATCGCAACTACGCTGAGACGACGGCACGGAAAAAAACACTGCTACGCGGAGCATATCCAGCTTCTTAAGCCAGGGCCCCTGGCGTCGACGAGCAAAATTTTCTCACAGGAAGACGAAGATGCCAGAGGAGATGAAGGCACGACGAAACTGGGGGAGGACGAAGTCCATGAGCACCAGGAGATTAGTAGTTTAGATCGAGAGGCGTGGACGTATGTATCGCCGGAGCAGCGTTTAGAGAATGATCGGCGACGCCAGGCTTGGGAGTCTGAAGAGCTGTACGATTTTCGACTGCGGAGTAGCCGGGACGATAGCGGTGAGCCATTTTCCCAGCCTATGTCGCCTTCTCTGGCACGAAGTGGATCACTGATTGCGGGGCGCGATCATATAACGTCGTCGGCCATGCAGGAAGAAGGAGGCGCTACAGGTAGTATTTTTGGAGCAGCAGGGCCAGCAGCAGATGGAGCCGGGTCCTCAACTCGAGAGAGGAACAGCACAGAGACCGCAGCGCGATTTTCACGAGATGAGAAAGAGAAAGCAGTCACACTGTGCGCTGATTTTGTCGTCAGGCATTTTCGTGCGTTTTCTTCGCGTAAAGAGCTTGACGATGCTTTGCTGAAAAAGATGAGGATGATGGCATACGCGGACATCTATATGAAGGCGCCCGGGGGTGTTCGTCTCCCGGCGGCCACGGGCCCTGTATTCGACAATGGGCAGAACCAGAACACTGCCACAGAAGAGGAAGGGCACTACCGTTTCGGCGCGCGCGATTTCAGACATGAACCGGCGCCCGCAGAAGTTCAGCGGATCGATGAAATTTTCGGGCCGCTTCGCACGTGGGACGTTTCGGAAGTGAGGGACCTTTCTTACCTTTTCTCGCGGTTCGATTTCCGCTTTGTGTCTGCGGCCCCGGATGTTAGCGGCTGGCTGGTCTCCGGTGTGACGGACATGAGCTGCGCCTTTTCGGGCAACAAAAAATTTGACAGCGACCTCGCAGATTGGGACGTGTCTCAGGTCACAAGCATGCGCGGAATGTTCTGTGGGTGTCGCAGATATGGCTCTACTCCATGATGATAATTCTGTCCTCCTTGTTGTTCTCGTTAAGAAATGCCTTCGCCGCATTTGATTTTGAAAGAAAAGCGAGGGGGCGGATCATGTGAGCATAAAAAGTAGAGTAGTTTTATTTGGGATGTGGAGGCATTTAGGTGTTTGTGATTTAAGTAGGTATGTAAGTGCGAGTGGATGCTAGTCACTCCATACCAGGAACAGCAGGGACAGTCGCGAGGTCGTTGACAATCCAGCAACGGGTTAGGCAAGAGAAAGCTTAGGCAGATTTCTGAATTATATCTGTTATAGACTTCCATCATCCAGGGCGAGTATGTGAAATAAAGCGACTGGCTCGCTGCGTCGTTCGCAGACTAGTCAGCAGCTGGCTCTAAGTAGACTTTTCGCGGCCGCTTGCATCGTGGAGCGTTTCACGGGTCCGTGATGTGCGGGGGATGTTTTCTGGCTGTTCGACTTTCCGGCAGCCACTCGGGGCTTGGGATGTCTCTGGGGTGACCAGCCTCGACTACGTCTTCCACAGTTGCGAAAATTTTGACGAGTCGCTCGCCGGTTGGGACGTGTCGCATGTGCAAAGCGCGCGTAGCCTTTTTGCTGGCTGTACTAAATTCAGCGGGAAAGGGCTTGAGAACTGGGATGTGTCGCAGATCAAGAGCCTTGCAACCGCTTTTGCCGGGTGCTCGAATTTTACGGCGTCGCTTGAAGCATGGGACGTCTCCCGGGTCACAGATGTACAAAACCTTTTCAAAGGGTGTGAGAAGTTCACCGGGGAAGGCATCGAGGGGTGGAATTTGTCAAAAGCACACAACTTCTCGAGCCTTTTCAGTGGCTGCACAAGCTTCACTGCGTCACTTGAAGCGTGGGACATTTCGCAAGTGACGAACTTGGGGGGCCTCTTTCGAGGGTGTGAGAACTTTACCGGCAAAGGGATCGAAGGCTGGGATGTGTCGCAGGCCAAAGATCTTGCCGGCGCTTTTTCTGGCTGCTCGAATTTTGCGGCGTCGCTTGCGGGATGGGATGTCTCCGGGGTTACAGATGCGGCGTGGCTTTTCGACGGGTGTGAGAAGTTCACCGGGGAAGGCATCGAAGAGTGGAACCTTTCAAAGGTTGACAGCTTCACAGGGCTCTTCAGGGACTGTTCAATTTTCACCGCGTCGCTTGGAGCGTGGGATGTGTCACGAGTGACGAGCATGGAATGCCTTTTTTACGGGTGTGAGACATTCACCGGCAAAGGAGTCGAGGGATGGGATGTGTCGCATGTCAGGGACCTCAGCTGCGCGTTTTTGGGTTGTTCGAATTTAATGGCACCGCTTAGCTCGTGGGACGTCTCCAATGTGACAAATTTGCGTTCAGCTTTTGCCGGGTGCTCCAGGTACAACGAGCCACTGAGCACATGGAGCGTCGCGCGTGTGACAAACTTCAGCAACTGTTTCTCCGGTTGCAGCGAATTCGATCAGGATCTGAATGACTGGGATACCTCGTCTGCCGTCACGATGAACTTCATGCTTTACCGCTGTTCCAAATTTAACCGTCCACTCGCGTCGTGGAATGTTTCGAAGGTCGTTTCGGCACGCGGAATGTTTAAGGGCTGCAGGAGTTTCAACCAGCCGGTATGGCGAGTCTGGAATTCACGTACCCTGCATTACGTTGCGGAGATGTTCGAAGACTGCGAAAAGTTTAGCCAGTCTCTCTCTGCCTGGGAATTATGTGTGGGGCCGGGCGCCGCTTCGCATCGTCTTGACGTGTCTGACATGTTCAGAAATACACCGGCGTTCCGCTTAGAGCGCAAAACGCTACGGAACTGGTGCCGGCCGCGGCCATTTACCAAAGGGTCGACGGTGAGGTCCAATATGAAGAAGCTCGCGCTCTTATGACTGTGTTGTAACTAGTAGGTAGAGGTAAGTATTTACTTAATAATCAGAGTAGAAGTTTTTGTCTTAAAGCAATGCTCTACGTCCACTATTGAATTTCCTTTTATTTCGAGCATACAAGGCCAATTGTGCTATCATGTACTTCTAGTCGAAGCAATTTGAGTACGACGTGTACGCTCTTAAAGATTTTCGCTCATTTTAGGCACTGTTCTCTTCGCTTCAAAGTTTATTTGATGTTCATCTTCTAACTCGGCGGGAAATGGGTCTCGTGGAGAGCCAAGTAATAGATGATGATAAGCCGGCTACGAGTGTTGATGCATCGCCACAGGGTGCGAGCGCGACCGCGCGTTCTGGGCACGACGCGAATCGCTGTATTGGTGCATCGCTAGGGGCTGGCTCGACAAGATTCGAGCGAGAAGAAGCTGCAAGAGATTCTGCAGCGGAGATGACGGCGGCGGTCCACCTATCTCTAGTGGAGGCAGGGGAAGCAGAAGATGAAGAAGTCGAGGAACAGCATGTTTTTACATTCCGCAGAACGAACGAGGGAAATGTGACCAAGAAGCGTGATGAGGCGAAAGCACAGCGATGTAATTGCAGCTGTGTTGGTGGACGGAAATAAAAAGAAACTTGCTTTGCAACCATGATCGGTTCTTACTGTATAATTTCCTCTCGCCAGCATCTATGATTGTCATTGCAACCTACGCGGAAGCGTACGTCGACTGCGTTGTTTTTCGTGTAAGTTCAGGTTCCTACTCATCCTCGGATTCGAGCCAGGTTTCCGGGAGTGCTCAATGTGCAGGATGCATAACGTAACGTAACTTATTGCGGAAATTGTGTCATCTGTAGCTTTTTCCCTGTTCGTTGTCTGCAAAGTCCAATCACAGGAGAGTGAGTGTCTCTGTGGCAGCATCTGTGAAGAGAACTCCCAACACTTTGAGAGTGCTTCTGCCAAGATGATGACAAGAAGAACGAGGACGAGGCGAGAACCACTGCTGCTGGTGCAAAATAATTATACCATAGGAGAAAAGAATGAAGAGCAGAGATTCTTCTGTAGTCCACTTCACTATTGTGAGAAGAACGAGACGATAGCAAGATCTGTCGGTGCATTGAGTGATTATGGTCTAATTCGGCGTCCCCTCCTAACCTAGCTAGTGTTGTTGAGCACTTGCGCTTGATGTATTCATTTCTGAGTAAAATTACTGAGTGTATTCCTTTCCACCTATCATTTTCTTGCTTGTTCCAATTAATTGATTGTTCTACGCAACTTCATTGTTCTCCTTACTTTCCTTGTTCATGATCTTCATCTTCTGCTTTGCAGGATCTTCTGCTTCGCAGGCACTTCTTTGATGATGAACAAAGTGATGCCTTCTTTCTCAACAATACAGGTTGCCAGCGTTGTCCATGATTGTTGCTTTTATTCGGGGCATTACAACTACAGAGCGTAAGTACTTACTTTGATTATCCTACTTATCGTTACCCATCGTATTGAACGATTTGCCTGTCACCATTATCATACATACGGAATGTTAATCGTGAAGTCGCAGATGCTTGGTCACTTTTTGTACGTGCAACAATCAACAAAGTTGAAAGCTGCTTGGTCTAAAAAAAGTGATGTTATTGTCTAACAGCGTTGACATTTTCCGAAGACGACCGGTCACATATTAGTTCTCTTGTTTTTTCTGTAGGAGAAGAAGATACAAGCAGATGAAGAGTCAACTGATGATCACTATAAAGAATATATGGAATGATATATTAGAAGATTTGCAACCGGTTAGTTTTTACCTCTATAGGCTTAGCCCTTCAAACAATATATTAGAAGATTTACAACAAATTATCACTAGTTCTAGTAGCTTGCTATCTGCTTGCGAGGTCGTAGAGCACTTGATCACACTTGTGTTTAGAAATTAGGTATCAGATATAGAGAATGTTTTTCGGCTGGGAAGCGGACGAAAGGCATCCACCGAAAAGGAGAGCAGGTAGGAAGGGAGCGGGGAAGAAGAAGGCGCCGGTCACTTCTTCCACAGGAGGTAAAAATGTCGCTGTGCCGTTTTTTTCGACGCCTCCCCCTGCAGCTCCTGCGGGCGTGGTTATAACTGAGGAGCGAAGGCTAACTGCTGAGAATGAGCAGCATAGTGCTGATCCGAACAAGCCGTCTAACAGCTTTCTCTCCGAGGGTTTCCTGAATGGCGGAGCGGGGTTGGCATGGATGCAAAAGCAGGGGACGTCGGACGCACAGACAGTGAATATTTTTGGTGGTGCCCCTAAATCTACTGGAGAATTGTGTGCGATCACACCAAATAAGCCACTCTTCACCTCCACTTCTCCTGGGGATGACGACATGAATATTTTTGGACACGAGAAAAATATTGGCAGAAGTTTTGGTGGCGGAATTTTCACACAACCTGGCGCCGAAGATGATAAAAAACCTCCTCCGGTAGTTGTGAAAAACATTTTCGGGGAAGTGCTTGGACCAAGATTTTCGGGGCATCAAGGAAAGAGCGAAGGAATAAAGAACGAAGGAAAGAACGACTCATCAGCGGGGCCTGGTGTTGCTTCTATCGGGACAACAGTATATGGAAATGGAGGATATCAGTGTCTTTTTCTTATTTTTCTATCTGGTTTCAGTCAGATCTTCGCTGATCATCTAAATTCTTGTACGCTCCTGTATCGGTGATCTATGGTCCAACCTGTGTGCTGTTGTTGAGTACCTGTTTGGGATTGGTTGAGAGTGTACATAGTACTTAGACTTTTCTTTATGTCGCCCTACCCCTCTGTAAGCTCTTCCTACTGTGCTCGTTCTGATTATTTATTTTCCTAGTGCAGGCGCAGGGCTAGTTCTCTGTCTGTATAATCAGTCACCGTCTAATACTAATTCTTCTCTCTCTATTTTTTTGTGAGCAGCAACTGTCCCTTTAATTGATACCCTATATTGACACATGCAAGGCTGTGGCACAGTGTTTATTAAGTTGTAGGATGAAAAAGACGGACAGCTGCTGTGATGGCGCAGCTCGATGCCTATGATCATCATGTTGCGAGAAAGACAAACAGCTACACGATCACGATCTTACTCACTTTCATAGAATTGCGGAGCGTCGTGCGGCCGCGGCCTATCCACTCGCGCCAATCAAGTTTCGGGTGGTCGCGCGAAACGCGGTCAGTGGTGAAGAGTTTGAAATTGAACACAATAGGAGCGTGCTACTTTCTACGACGCTGTTTGAACCGATAAGGGGAGAAATTATGATAGTTAGTAGACTGGGACTAGACGAGGAAGCGCAAGTGCCAAATAGGTGAAGATGGAGATCTTCATAGGTCACGAAGTAGTTGGTTCTAAGAAATTGAAAGCACCACTGTTGCCCTATGGTAGCTCCTGCGACTTATATTTATGATTCGACTAAAAACCTTACTTCTAATAGTGGAGGTCGATTGCAGGATCAGGAAGAGCAAAATGGCGCGCCTGCGTTGAGGAGTCATGGTCTTTTTTCTTAAGATTTCACTTCTCTGTCGTGGATAAAAAAACATAATGCGCTAACTGGTAACTTATCTTGTGACTAGAGACAGACTGACGACTGTGAAGATAGAAGACTCTCTTTTCTGGATGAAGATAATGCGCTTTCTAATTGTTATATTGTAGCGGCAGGGCTGACTGTGAAAGTGGAGACTCCTGCTGTATATCTATAAATATGTTGTTCCTTCAAATTCGAAAATTCATCTTGGTGTAACAGCTGGCAACATCTTCTCTACTGTAAAGAAGATGCATCAAGTCGACCTCCTGAAGAGGGGCGTCGATTCCAAGTAATCCTGTACTACTTTAGCTTTGAGCGATTTTGTTAGCTGCAAGGAATTTTCGGAAATTAGATGATCATGATGCAGTGTTTGTGCTTGTCACACCCGCCTACGCGCTGGGCATATCGTCATAAAGTCCTTCGACTTTTTTTTCCCTCCAATCAATGAATAAAGTCCGTCTACTAGTAGTCGAGGGCATATTAACAGTCCCTCTTCTAGTACCTCTAGAGGGGATATCAAATTACTAGGACTGTCCGCGCTAAGTTGCAGCACTTACAGCCTCTATTTTTGACATCCGCTATGGCATCGCAACTACGCTGAGACGACGGCACGGAAAAAAACACTGCTACGCGGAGCATATCCAGCTTCTTAAGCCAGGGCCCCTGGCGTCGACGAGCAAAATTTTCTCACAGGAAGACGAAGATGCCAGAGGAGATGAAGGCACGACGAAACTGGGGGAGGACGAAGTCCATGAGCACCAGGAGATTAGTAGTTTAGATCGAGAGGCGTGGACGTATGTATCGCCGGAGCAGCGTTTAGAGAATGATCGGCGACGCCAGGCTTGGGAGTCTGAAGAGCTGTACGATTTTCGACTGCGGAGTAGCCGGGACGATAGCGGTGAGCCATTTTCCCAGCCTATGTCGCCTTCTCTGGCACGAAGTGGATCACTGATTGCGGGGCGCGATCATATAACGTCGTCGGCCATGCAGGAAGAAGGAGGCGCTACAGGTAGTATTTTTGGAGCAGCAGGGCCAGCAGCAGATGGAGCCGGGTCCTCAACTCGAGAGAGGAACAGCACAGAGACCGCAGCGCGATTTTCACGAGATGAGAAAGAGAAAGCAGTCACACTGTGCGCTGATTTTGTCGTCAGGCATTTTCGTGCGTTTTCTTCGCGTAAAGAGCTTGACGATGCTTTGCTGAAAAAGATGAGGATGATGGCATACGCGGACATCTATATGAAGGCGCCCGGGGGTGTTCGTCTCCCGGCGGCCACGGGCCCTGTATTCGACAATGGGCAGAACCAGAACACTGCCACAGAAGAGGAAGGGCACTACCGTTTCGGCGCGCGCGATTTCAGACATGAACCGGCGCCCGCAGAAGTTCAGCGGATCGATGAAATTTTCGGGCCGCTTCGCACGTGGGACGTTTCGGAAGTGAGGGACCTTTCTTACCTTTTCTCGCGGTTCGATTTCCGCTTTGTGTCTGCGGCCCCGGATGTTAGCGGCTGGCTGGTCTCCGGTGTGACGGACATGAGCTGCGCCTTTTCGGGCAACAAAAAATTTGACAGCGACCTCGCAGATTGGGACGTGTCTCAGGTCACAAGCATGCGCGGAATGTTCTGTGGGTGTCGCAGATATGGCTCTACTCCATGATGATAATTCTGTCCTCCTTGTTGTTCTCGTTAAGAAATGCCTTCGCCGCATTTGATTTTGAAAGAAAAGCGAGGGGGCGGATCATGTGAGCATAAAAAGTAGAGTAGTTTTATTTGGGATGTGGAGGCATTTAGGTGTTTGTGATTTAAGAAGGTATGTAAGTGCGAGTGGATGCTAGTCACTCCATACCAGGAACAGCAGGGACAGTCGCGAGGTCGTTGACAATCCAGCAACGGGTTAGGCAAGAGAAAGCTTAGGCAGATTTCTGAATTATATCTGTTATAGACTTCCATCATCCAGGGCGAGTATGTGAAATAAAGCGACTGGCTCGCTGCGTCGTTCGCAGACTAGTCAGCAGCTGGCTCTAAGTAGACTTTTCGCGGCCGCTTGCATCGTGGAGCGTTTCACGGGTCCGTGATGTGCGGGGGATGTTTTCTGGCTGTTCGACTTTCCGGCAGCCACTCGGGGCTTGGGATGTCTCTGGGGTGACCAGCCTCGACTACGTCTTCCACAGTTGCGAAAATTTTGACGAGTCGCTCGCCGGTTGGGACGTGTCGCATGTGCAAAGCGCGCGTAGCCTTTTTGCTGGCTGTACTAAATTCAGCGGGAAAGGGCTTGAGAACTGGGATGTGTCGCAGATCAAGAGCCTTGCAACCGCTTTTGCCGGGTGCTCGAATTTTACGGCGTCGCTTGAAGCATGGGACGTCTCCCGGGTCACAGATGTACAAAACCTTTTCAAAGGGTGTGAGAAGTTCACCGGGGAAGGCATCGAGGGGTGGAATTTGTCAAAAGCACACAACTTCTCGAGCCTTTTCAGTGGCTGCACAAGCTTCACTGCGTCACTTGAAGCGTGGGACATTTCGCAAGTGACGAACTTGGGGGGCCTCTTTCGAGGGTGTGAGAACTTTACCGGCAAAGGGATCGAAGGCTGGGATGTGTCGCAGGCCAAAGATCTTGCCGGCGCTTTTTCTGGCTGCTCGAATTTTGCGGCGTCGCTTGCGGGATGGGATGTCTCCGGGGTTACAGATGCGGCGTGGCTTTTCGACGGGTGTGAGAAGTTCACCGGGGAAGGCATCGAAGAGTGGAACCTTTCAAAGGTTGACAGCTTCACAGGGCTCTTCAGGGACTGTTCAATTTTCACCGCGTCGCTTGGAGCGTGGGATGTGTCACGAGTGACGAGCATGGAATGCCTTTTTTACGGGTGTGAGACATTCACCGGCAAAGGAGTCGAGGGATGGGATGTGTCGCATGTCAGGGACCTCAGCTGCGCGTTTTTGGGTTGTTCGAATTTAATGGCACCGCTTAGCTCGTGGGACGTCTCCAATGTGACAAATTTGCGTTCAGCTTTTGCCGGGTGCTCCAGGTACAACGAGCCACTGAGCACATGGAGCGTCGCGCGTGTGACAAACTTCAGCAACTGTTTCTCCGGTTGCAGCGAATTCGATCAGGATCTGAATGACTGGGATACCTCGTCTGCCGTCACGATGAACTTCATGCTTTACCGCTGTTCCAAATTTAACCGTCCACTCGCGTCGTGGAATGTTTCGAAGGTCGTTTCGGCACGCGGAATGTTTAAGGGCTGCAGGAGTTTCAACCAGCCGGTATGGCGAGTCTGGAATTCACGTACCCTGCATTACGTTGCGGAGATGTTCGAAGACTGCGAAAAGTTTAGCCAGTCTCTCTCTGCCTGGGAATTATGTGTGGGGCCGGGCGCCGCTTCGCATCGTCTTGACGTGTCTGACATGTTCAGAAATACACCGGCGTTCCGCTTAGAGCGCAAAACGCTACGGAACTGGTGCCGGCCGCGGCCATTTACCAAAGGGTCGACGGTGAGGTCCAATATGAAGAAGCTCGCGCTCTTATGACTGTGTTGTAACTAGTAGGTAGAGGTAAGTATTTACTTAATAATCAGAGTAGAAGTTTTTGTCTTAAAGCAATGCTCTACGTCCACTATTGAATTTCCTTTTATTTCGAGCATACAAGGCCAATTGTGCTATCATGTACTTCTAGTCGAAGCAATTTGAGTACGACGTGTACGCTCTTAAAGATTTTCGCTCATTTTAGGCACTGTTCTCTTCGCTTCAAAGTTTATTTGATGTTCATCTTCTAACTCGGCGGGAAATGGGTCTCGTGGAGAGCCAAGTAATAGATGATGATAAGCCGGCTACGAGTGTTGATGCATCGCCACAGGGTGCGAGCGCGACCGCGCGTTCTGGGCACGACGCGAATCGCTGTATTGGTGCATCGCTAGGGGCTGGCTCGACAAGATTCGAGCGAGAAGAAGCTGCAAGAGATTCTGCAGCGGAGATGACGGCGGCGGTCCACCTATCTCTAGTGGAGGCAGGGGAAGCAGAAGATGAAGAAGTCGAGGAACAGCATGTTTTTACATTCCGCAGAACGAACGAGGGAAATGTGACCAAGAAGCGTGATGAGGCGAAAGCACAGCGATGTAATTGCAGCTGTGTTGGTGGACGGAAATAAAAAGAAACTTGCTTTGCAACCATGATCGGTTCTTACTGTATAATTTCCTCTCGCCAGCATCTATGATTGTCATTGCAACCTACGCGGAAGCGTACGTCGACTGCGTTGTTTTTCGTGTAAGTTCAGGTTCCTACTCATCCTCGGATTCGAGCCAGGTTTCCGGGAGTGCTCAATGTGCAGGATGCATAACGTAACGTAACTTATTGCGGAAATTGTGTCATCTGTAGCTTTTTCCCTGTTCGTTGTCTGCAAAGTCCAATCACAGGAGAGTGAGTGTCTCTGTGGCAGCATCTGTGAAGAGAACTCCCAACACTTTGAGAGTGCTTCTGCCAAGATGATGACAAGAAGAACGAGGACGAGGCGAGAACCACTGCTGCTGGTGCAAAATAATTATACCATAGGAGAAAAGAATGAAGAGCAGAGATTCTTCTGTAGTCCACTTCACTATTGTGAGAAGAACGAGACGATAGCAAGATCTGTCGGTGCATTGAGTGATTATGGTCTAATTCGGCGTCCCCTCCTAACCTAGCTAGTGTTGTTGAGCACTTGAGCTTGATGTATTCATTTCTGAGTAAAATTACTGAGTGTATTCCTTTCCACCTATCATTTTCTTGCTTGTTCCAATTAATTGATTGTTCTACGCAACTTCATTGTTCTCCTTACTTTCCTTGTTCATGATCTTCATCTTCTGCTTTGCAGGATCTTCTGCTTCGCAGGCACTTCTTTGATGATGAACAAAGTGATGCCTTCTTTCTCAACAATACAGGTTGCCAGCGTTGTCCATGATTGTTGCTTTTATTCG